TCTCGTCACCGATATCCGTCTCACGTGGATACCACCCCCGATCACACCCATCACATGCCGATTCGTCGTCCGTACACCCCGGCCGGACATGCCCATCTAAATATTCATCTAATATCACCCGCCGGCATCCACCCCCCGCGTCCAACGGCAACATATACTGCTGTACCCGCTGCTGCTCCTCCGCGGACTCGGGCATCCATGCCGGACGCTGCTGATATCCCACCCGCTGCCCCTCCGGCTGAATGATGATCGCCTCACTCGGCAACCCGTCACGCCCCGCACGCCCGCTCTCCTGCGCGTAATCCAATATCGTACGGGGCTGCCCCAAATGGATCACGCTGCGGATGTCCGGAATGTCGATCCCCATGCCTAACGCGTTGGTGGCCACGATCACCGCCCCCGCCGTCGTACGGAACCGGGCTAACACCCCATCTTGATCGTGCTGCTGGCTGAAATATGCGTCACACCCTAACTGGTCCGCCATCATCCGGACGTGCGCCACGATACTCCCATATACGATCACCCGTCCGGGGTGGGCCCGCTGGACCCGCTCCTGGATAAACTGGATCACCCCGTCCATCTGGATCCACTGGGATGGGTGGTCGTACCCCGCCTCCATCTCCGGGCACCATACCCGGTATGCCACGTTGGGCCGGTGCGTGCGGGCCCGGTATATGGCCACCTGCTCCCGGGGCCACCCCATCCGGTATAATAACGTGGGCTCGGCCGCCGGGGGTAACGTGGCCGTCAACATGACCATCTGCGTCTTGGCGGCCCGCAACTCCCCCATCATCTGCAACTGGGGCCGGAAATCATCTTGATTGTTCAACACGACGTGGCACTCATCGATCACGATCCGCTCCAACCGCTGTAACATCCGCTGCCGGTTCAAAAACGTCCGGAACCCCTGGCTGCGGGTGCTCTCGGGGGTGACCAACACGATCGACGCTTCGTCCGGGGGCCGCTGGCTGTCGTACGGCACGCATGATATCCCCAACTGCTCGCACCGCTGGACCATATCCTGGCGTAACGCGATCAACGGGACGACCACCACCGTCAATCCACCCCCGACCCACGCGGGTAACATGAATAATATGCTCTTGCCCCCCCCGGTGGGCATCACCGCCACGACCGGGCTGACCCCCTGCTGGATCGCCCGCAACGCGGGCTCCTGCACCCCACGGAATACCATCTCGGGCCGTCCGACCATCTGCTGGAACGACTGCAACATATGGGCCTGCTGTAACTGATACCGCCGCTGCGTCCGGCTCTCCTCGGCATCATCCTCCCACGGATTCGGACGCTTACCGCATACCCCGGCGCGGACGGCGGATGCAAACCCTAAATATTGATGCCAATCCTGGCTGGACTGCCGGAACCGCTGCCGCCGGTGCGTGGTGCTGTTGGTGGGCTCCATGATCGTACGACCGTACATCATCCCGGCCACGTGGGACGAATGGGTGGCTTGCAAATCCGCAATATGCCCCATAAACTCCTCCTCGTCCATCCCACCCTCATCGTCGGGGTCGTACGGGGGGGCCGCCTCGCCCGTGCCCTCCTGCACGTTACTCTCAAACTGGCTCTTGCCCCGTAAATACCGCCGGCTGATCGCGATGGCGATGTCGCGGTATGCCGACACGTGGACCGCCTGCCCGTGCAACCCCGCGGCCGTGGCCGATTCCAACGCCTTCCGGAATCGTACGCCCGTCCACGCCTGCTCGCTGCCGGCGTCGGGGCCCCATAAATACTCTTGTCGGCGGGGGGTGGGGGTGCCTCGCTGCTGCCACTGATATGCTTGCAATATCTCCACAAACGGCAACACCAACCATATATATCGGACGACCAACTCCCCAACCTCCTGCGGCAAATACCGCTGAATCACCTTGGTATCGTTGGTGATATGGAACCCTTTGTGATATCGGCTGACAAATACCACCATCCCATCTTCGATAAACACGTTGCGGATCTCTCGCTCGCTGTTCCGGTACCGGATACTCAACAACTCGGGCGTACGGCTGGGCTGGCCGGCCGTGATATGGATCGCCACGCTTAACCGCTCGCGGAACCGGGCCACCTCGGCAAAATACCGGTCAATTGCACGCATCCGGAACCCCTGGCCGTCCGGCTCGCTGAATCGCCGCCGTAACGTGGGCTCCTGGGCCACCCGCTGGATCAACCACTCGGCCCCGTGGACGGGCCACTGCGTACGGGAATCCTTGATAAAACTCCAATCCGCCGTCCGCTGCGTGGGATCGTCGTATATATCCTGTAAATCAATACTGGGGATCTGTGCACCCTCGGCGAATATCAACTGCTGGTGAAACTGGTTCCGCATGCTCTCGACCAACCCGTGGACCATCCCACGGAAATCACCCATGGTAAAATGCAACTGCTTATACAACAACTCATCCTCGCCTTTCCATCCGATATGCCCCTCGGACGGGGTGTTGAAAAACACCTTCTTTCCGTACGTGCGTAAATCCAATAACCACTGGACCGGCCCGTGGGTCCCACGCACCATAAACGCATCCACCATCAATCGTAACCACTCGGGAAACGTACGAATCACCCGACGACCCTGGATCTGGGTGGGGGGTCCCAAAATGGACGTGGTGGGGGATCCGGGCATGGGACGGGGGGTGGGCGTCTCTCGTACGGGGCTGCTGGCATAACCCTCGTCCCCGTCAAATATATATCCGTCCGCGACGGGGATATCGTCACCACGGAAATGGGGCTCCTGGCTGCCCTGCGCGAACCCACGCCGGATGGCCAACGAATCGGGGTCTAACCGCAACGCCTTATGCAATACCAAAAAACGGGCGATCTTGATCAAACTGGATATCTTGGGGGGGTAATCCTCCACCCCATCCCATCCGGACAACTTCCGGCCCAACACGGCCGATGCGCATATAAACGCACACCCATACTCGTGGTGCCGGATCCGCTGGCGTAACAAATTGATGCAAAAATCCATAATCGCGCACTCCAACGGCGATAACTCGTACGGCTCGGGGTCCATGGGGTCCGGGCTGGACCGGCCCGCGGCCTGCGCACGCCGCCATACGATCTCCCACGACCGCTGCTGTGCGGGGGTGAACTCGTACGGGGGACTCTCCCAATCGTGCGGCTGCTGGGTGCGGGTGAAAAACATCAATATCCGCTGCCACGGCTCAATATGGTCCTTGATCTCCGCTTCTTTCATATACGCCAACAACGGCTCGTACGGGGAATCGGCCTTCTGCGTGCGGGCGGCCTCAATCCGCACCAAAAACCCACTCGCCCGGGTGATCTGCTGGCTGACCATGGCCAATCGCTCCATGGCCTGCCAAATGGCCCATGCCGCACCCTCGGGGCCCTCGGCATCCTCGTCCGGCCGCTCCATGGACTGCACTAACGGGGCGGACGAAATGCCCTGTAAATACCGGACCCACCCCGTACGGTTTAACCACGGCGTGGCTTCGTCGATCTCCCCGGCCTGGATCACGGTCTGCTGGCTGCGGGCCTGCTGGGCCTGGAATGCTCGGACGCGCTGGACCAACTGGTGGATGGCATCCACGGGTGGCACCGGTTCGGCCCGCTGTGGAACGGGCTGGCGGATCTGGATAAAATGCGACCCTAATTGCCGCTTGAAAATCCGCTGGCATCTCACGGCCTGGCTATTGGCGTGGATCTCGGCCTGGATCTGCGCGATCTCGGACGGTTTCGGTCGACCACGGTGGCTACTGGGGGACCACTGGTGCTGTTCGGACCAATGGTTTTTCATGGACTTTAAATCGCGGCAAATATATACTGTACAACGTGAACATAATAAACCATCTTCAAATATGGTTAATCCGGGAATCGGGCTATCAACCTGGGTGGGCCAATGGCTGATATCGGGCTGGTCCTCAATATGGTCCCACTGCTGGACACATTGCTCGATATACCGTGCGGTTGTACGGGGTACCCGATGATTGGTGCCGGTTAAATGGGTGGTAATATTATCCCGTCGTACGGCATGCTCACACTGGTGGCAAATCACCACGTTGAACTCAGAATTGGTGAAAAAAAACTCGCTGGCCTGGGGACTGTGGGGGGTGGTTTCGGACATACTGGAAATGGAAATATCACACTTGGGGCGATGATGCAAATCCGTATGCGCAACTTCAACACCGTACGGGCAAAATTCGTTAATTGGCCTTGAAGAACGAACTGAATATAAAGCTGAATCAAATCAATCGACCCCCTGAATTTTCAGCTTTCTAACCCATGTGATCCCCTATACCCTATTGGGTATCTAGTGGCGGTGGTCGTACGGTGATGTATCACCCTAGCCCGCGGTCGGCACCTCTATTGGGTTTTTGTGCACAAAAACCAATCTCTTTCGCATCTTAATATTCTAATGGGTTTTTGTGCACAAAACCCCATCTCTCAAAATCCATATCCCTGAATTTTCAGCTTTCTAACCCATATAATCCTTGTACGGTGATGTATCGCCCTAACCCGCGGTCGGCACCCCATCAAAAAAACTCCCTGATTTCCAACCCCTGTTTTAACCATTTCCACTGCTTCGAATGATCTGAATTTCGGTTTGACCATGAAATAGAGGCTGGCGAAAAACATATCAAAATCTGAGCCCCGTCCGAGTCCAGAATGTAAATCCATCCTTATCTTGAAATAATATTCCATCGTACCCCGACCCACTTTTTTTCCCCCATACTAAAGAAATCCACCCTAATTCCATCGTAGTAGAATGGAATTACCCCCATGGGTTAGGGCGGGCGACTCGGTAGTGAATTACGTTATGGTGGCTGACTACAAACGAATCCTACATTTTTCTAGTTTTTTTCTTTTTTTTTTTTTTGTTTCGCTTGGTTGTTGTGATTTCTCCAAACGGATCTCCAGCTCCTCACTACGTTGAAGTCTATCCGGGACTGTCGATGAGTGATGTCGTGATTTATCACGTATTCAAAATTCCCGGTCTATACTTGCCCCTAATACTGATTGATAAGGGCCCTGCTTTAGCTGATAGTACTTCTAGTCTCTTGCCAGACGTGTAGCTGCCCCAAAACGGATTTGGTATCAACAGAGCGGCAGTCCCAATTATATAGAAGTGCCTGGGCGATTGGGTTCATCAATTGAAGCAGACGCATCGCACACGGAAGAGTCAAGATACAATTAGTCGCAATCTGCTCGAGAGTAGTTATAGTTATCGTGGTGTCTTTCCTAATCATAAAGTCAGTGGGAATCCTGAGTCTTGGTGTTTTTCTTTCCAGAGAAGCGACAACATACACAGTCCTGACAAGCTGCGAGCTACAGAGAAACAGTATACTGGGGCCCAGACCTGCCACCAAAACTGCCCATCGCTTGCCGTGTCGCTTTTCGTTGTGGAATTTGGCTCGAAGTTTAGACCGTCGTCGAGCGTCATACGAATTCCAGTCCGGGTGCATGCGGCCGAGCATGTTGTCAATCATACCGCTTGAATCCCCTCGCCCGACTCCGACGGAATCTTTAGACCATTGAGGCTCTTTCTGTGAATCCCAATCTGCAAGTGCCTCCTTGTACTTGGCGTCGAGAAGGACCAAGGCGGCCCGCTTTCGGATTTGATCATGATCGATACGCAGGTCCAGCTCACACATGCAGGAATAGATATTCTTTAGGCTCTCGTATCCCGAACCACCACAGTTGGGATTGGACAGCGCTGACGTATCAAATAATCCATTTATCTTCCAGTATGGGAGATTCTCCTGGATGAAAAAGACGAAATCATCTCGGATATAGTTGCCAAATCCATCCGGTGGGACCACCGGCGGCTTTGCGGTCTGCTGCTTAGAGACTTCTTTGCGGGCTATCCTCGATGCGTCTGAGCAGTCCATTTTCCGAAGGTCGGTATGATCCTTTTCCTCACTGGAAGACAGTCGGGAGGGATGGCATTGAGAAGATACGCCGTTTCTGTGTGATTCCTGGATATATTGATTTGCTGTGTGATTTGTCCTTGGTGACGAAGGCGTTGCGCACTCGGCTGGTAGTCGTAGAAGATGTTGAGGCGAAGGTAGGCCCGCCGGCACTGTTACAGTATGTTAGTTCTTAAGATCGCTAGCACAACTAGGGAATGTAAGAAAAGAAGTCTTAGACCCATACAGGCAGAGGCACGTGCCCCCAATGTCGACCCGCCGTCCCACAACCTAACATCTTGGACTTCGTATCCGGCCTGTTCGTCCCATAATCGTCAGCACTTTAATTCAAGTCGATATCGGCAACTAACCCGAGCGGCAGGGTAATACGACATTTGATGCATCGATGATGAGCTCGTCAGTTAAGAAGGTTTCAGGTCCTAATTGTCCAACGCTTATCTCTTCTAAGTGATAGGGACCGGCAAATTCTGAGATGGCAAGCATTTGCTCGAAAACGCCGCGGTCAGGATTATCCACCGAGGCAAGACCATTATGGCTACTCGATGATGTCGCTGGCATATAACGATCCTCTTGATTAAAAGCTCCTGTGTCACGACTGCGGCACGGTTGATCAGTCACTCATCCGGTATGGATACGGCTCAGGTCACGAGTGCCTCACTGGTCTGTCCGTTCATTGTCCAGCATTAAAATTGGACTTGAAATATCACTGCCCCCAACAGTAACTTCGCGCGCCATAATTTGGTAGGGTTGCAGCCGTCGGCGGAATTCTCCCATTGCAATGGCGTCGGCCTCATTAAGAAATGCTCTGATTGCCTCAGCAAATTGGTTTTTGAGTGAATTTGGTGGCCCCGACATTCTGACCTGACCCTGGACCTGTGATCTCTGGATTTTTGGGGAGACCTTGGGCTCACTGCCCAGGTGCATATATACTACGATCGGCCACAGAAGCAGGGAACAGGGCACAATCCTAATTTTCCGCTAGTACTATAGAACAGTCGAATACCTCCCGCCCCCACTCTCTCTCCTTAATTATATACATTGTGCAAAAGTACGCTATCTTGGGGCCAAAAACGGTCATTCGGGAAGATGAAGCTCCAACTTATAACCACTATATGCAATAACTCGTCTCAACGCAGCGAACGTATATGGACCACTCAAGTGTGCAGATTTACCTAATTTTGATGCAATCAAGGCTGTCTGACTTTAGATAAAGCAAGGAAGACTTAGAAGGAAGCACCGAAGATCGACAGAACGTATATATTGCCTAGAAGACTACCTAGCAAGGATTGCATTAGGAGAAGGTTCAGCAGTGGATAAAGCGTTTTTCTACAGAATTGATACTCAAAAGAGTTATAAGGTGGTACTAAATATAAAGAAGGTACAATAACTAAGGGGGTACAGTATAATAGATTAGATCTCAAAAATGATAAATTAGTTACTAGGTAGGGCACTGCTCCCAACTTTTGTAATCGACCTCCATATGTATGCATGTGGTTCGAAATTGAGTGGGCCGAGCTGACGTTGACCACTTGAGAATTAGATAAGGATTAGTTAGTTATATGTTCCTGCCATCACATAATAGCAAAGGGCACAAAAACTTGGCGCATGAACTAAAGGAATCCATGACAAATCGGAGAATGAATCGCTGGATGTTATTCGTTGGCAGATTTAGGTCACATTGGACATATCTGCCCGGAGAAGAGAACTCCGCGGACTTACTAAGCAGACGCCCCGACTAACGTAACTATTCGGTAAGCGAGTCGGCTATGTAAGCCAGCCGGCCACCCCCAAAAACATAGTAAATGCGATAATTTGTAACTTGATATCTCAGCAACCACGAGCTTATTGCATCTTACTATTAGTGAATAGCGATCGATAAGCATTCTAAGTGGGATACTTGAATTTGAAATAAATCTTTGTCTTAGATTGCTACATTACTTAAAATTACCTTTTATAAAATATGAATATCTGTATTAGTGAACAAACCAGCCAAAAGGATTTCCTCAATTTTCTTGAAGACGTCAGACGCTCTAAGCAAAATGTTATAGTAGAGGGTTTACTTGTAATAACCGATTGTTGTTAAGATATGAAGTTGTAATTTATCGCATTTACTATGTGTTTTGGGGTGGCCGGCTGGCTTACATGGCCGACTCGCTTACCGAATACGTTACAAGTCTATAAAAGGGAGGGGGCGCACCCAGTAGTTAGGACCCTTCGAGGTTAACTGAATGCAGTTCTATACCTAGCTCTTTTGACCTCCGGTTTGTTGCTGCTGGTTAATTGCTATATCCGTGATCTTACATATCATCTCATCCCTGTGCCTAATTGGTATCTTCGGTATTTGCTGTCTGGACGTTACAACAAATGAGAACTTCTGAAGGTGGCTTGGTTATATAAAAATTAGCTGTTACCACAATACTAGACATCCTTGGTCTTTGACATCAAGAATGTCTCCTTTCACATGAACCAAGGCCTATCTATCATCATCTGAACAATCGAACGGAAACCTACAGCCTGGTACTTTTTAGGCGGTTGCGTTCTTAAAGTACTGCGGGGTAAACCTTGACGGTGTATGTCCGTAAGAGTCTAGAACACTCCCATGCTCTACAGTATGCTGAAACTCCCGCCAAGTCTAATGGTGTGCATACGGTTTCCTACTGTACGTATGTATAGAAGCATGTACACTTATTTTTACGTTAATAGCTTTTCCTTTTTACATCCCTCTTCTACATGTGCATCGTGAATCAACTCCACCTGTACGCTTCGTACACCCGTTTAGGATGGATAAAATACTGACTTTGCAACCTTAGGATTTTAAATCATCAGTTCGGGGCTATGCCCACGTTAGTATGGCTGCTGGGACACTGAAAGCCGTCAGATTATAGACAGATTCGACAATCTCCAACCTGCTCCTATCTTCATCTAGAATTGGGGAAGCCAAGTGTCTTACTATGCAAAAAACAAAAAAAAAAAAAAAAAGACCATACATTTATTAACATCAATGACAAGCTACTAATCAACGCTGATGGACAGCTCATAACCGGGGAAGCGCTGCCGACGAGCGTGATCTCACGAAGTTAGGGGAGATCCGACGTCTTTCAAGACGGTGGCAAGTTCCCCCACATAGCTTGACTCGGCCTTCATGTACTTCTTATCTCCTACCCCAAAGGACCAGGCGACATTTTTCGTTTGCTGCTTATCGTATGACGGCGCCGCCGCAAAAAACGTGGACACCCGGTCATTCACAGTAGGTAACTGATTCTTTGGAAGGTTCAAGGCATAGAAAGCTACCCGTTTAATAGCTCCCGTTTTGTACTCCATCGTGACTGCGAAAGCAAAGCCTTGAGGGTTCAAGAATGAGCGCATATCTTGAAACTCTTCTTTAGTAGGAGGTTTGCATTGAGCTAATGCAGTGTACTGTGTAGCCTGGGTCTCGGAAACCGGCCCTGGCGCAGTGAAGTATAGGTTCATAGTAGACCCTTCGTAATCAACAGCGAGGAACCTAAGTAGCTCTAGGCCAAGGCTATGGAACTTTGGCCCATGGGCCCGGACGGAGTCTGGAACTTCTGGCGCATTTAGGATATCGTCGACTGGTCGCCGACCTTTTAGATTCACCCAGGTCTTGGCTAGGCCTGTTTCGGGGTGAAAGTCACACCACTGTTCGGTATCTCCATTATATAGTGCACTCCAGGACGTGATAAGTCGTGCCATTTGGTTGTCTGGCTCAAGGTGGCCGGCTTTTGTGGCGATTTCAATTGTGTCTAATCGCCGCCGAAGGTAGAACCGGTAATTGACCGGATCGTCATCTCGGTTCGTGGTACGCCAGATGACCGCACCATCTCGAAAGCACTCTTCGAAGGTCTCTAGAGCTTCCAGGATGGAGGACTCCGAATATGACGAACCAATGGCATCGGCGGTCCTCTTGAAATCAGTCAAGAAACGCACCGGCTCAAACTTGCTGACGCCTTCAACAGTCATGGCGATGATAGTAAAAATAGACTCCAGGGTTATCTGAGAAGATGAGGTGGTATATTTGTAGTATGCAGCTGAATTTTTTGGTAGGGGTCAGTGGGCCTTCTTATATCTGACTCGAAGCACTCCAGTAAAGGAGGCATGTTTTGAAGCAGAGTGGGAGACGGCCTCAGAGATGGACCGCTCCTCCCTCGAAACAAACCGTAGTAGAGGAATCCTTCCTCGATTCCCTCAGTGTCGCAGTATTCACGATTTCATTTTGGTACTGGCCAATAAGACTATGTGCTAATTGTAGTCCTTCCCAGATGACGGGAGCCGGTGCGGTGAATATTTTACCTTCATGGATTTAATCCTTCTAAGATTGGCAAAACAACGCCACAAATTTTGGATATCGGTTGTGCATAATCTTACAGATAGCTCCAAGGTGGTTTGGCCCCTCGTACACTAAAATCCTTTACACTAGCCGCAGATAAATTATTCCTTTGACAACACAGAGATGAACTATTTGTATCTGTTAGATTGCTATTCCACTGATCTGAGCACATTGGATCAACCGCCGCCCTTCCTCCCCCTCCCCAAACACTCAAGAACACATGTATCAATTTCAACTAAGGCTAATACTGCGAGTAGACATTCTCACAGGGCTCGGTTGTCCGTTTCATAGGCTGGATATCCAGGCAGAAGGTGATTCAACGACGGCAACCAGCTTATAAAACTCTTTTTTTAGAAACCATGTACGGCGCACTATTTGCCGGGCTGAGCCACTGTGTAAATTCTCTTGATTTTCTCATTTGCAGATAAATATCTGCTGAGCTCTCTAAAATAGCTACTTTTGATCTTTTCAAGCCTTCTACCCAGTGTGTCATCCCCAGACAGTGGTTTTGCATCAGAGGACGTCGTAGCGCAATGCAGGATGACAAAGATAAGTACTGGTTGGCTACTAACAGCCATGCGAGCGCACGGTATTGACCTCCCGCCGACCAAGAAAAAACAGGCACTAAAGATCTGAGATTTAGTTTAAACCTCCAGCACTTCTGGAACCAACTTTCCTGCGGATATTTGATTCACCCTGATATTGCGGTCAATGACAGTGCCAGAATCGCGGACATTGGAACTGGTACAGGGCAAGTTCTTTATCGTGTTCTACAAGAGCAATCATCATTGCTAACATGGCGGCGAAGAATATGGCCCCTTTCTCTATCCGCAAAATTACCCTCCACTGTACAATTGGACGGGTTCGACATTACTGATGCGCAGTTTTCACCCAAAGTGTGGCTTCCAACCAACGTCAGATTAGTAAAATGGAACATTCTCGAGTCTGTGCCGGAGCATCTACTGGGACAATACGACATTGTCAACATCAGATATTTTGCGCTCGTGGTTCGAAAGGGAAATCTTGACAATTTGCTGAACAACCTGATTTCTTTACTCAGTGAGTTTGGTTTATCGCCGTGTCAGTTATTTTGAAGGCCCTTCACTAATCAATTCAGAGCCCGGAGGGTATCTTCAATGGATCGAGATCAACATCGCGGAGCAGCAGATTGTTTCCGCCCAGCCCGACGCATCTATGGCAGCGACATCTGCTTTCAATGAGGATGGGAAGAAGGCAATTGCGACCATGGGAGTCAGCTTTGAGTGAGTGCCTTTCAAGCCCATTTTTTGCCACCAATTTTCTTCATTCTGATGTGTTGTGCAGCTGGCTGAATAACCTCGCGAGCATCTTCCGAGAATTCGGACTGGTGGACGCAAGTCAATTCAAGCCCGATCCAATTCCCGCACTGCGACCGATATCATCCTATGTTGCTATTGGGGGGTGGGAGGAGTTCAGTCACAATGTCTTAGATAAGAAGGGGGCGCATCCTCTACTTGGTAGCGGACAAGACCTGCGCCGACGGTTGAATGAGGTGCGCAATGAAACTCAGACTGGGGCCGCAATCGAGCAATTGCACTATGTCACAATTGGCAAGCGCCCGGTCTGAGCTTTGGCAGAAAAGAGTGGTCAGCGTGAGCGTGAGCAGATCCCCTGGCCTTTCTCCCACTTCTGAGAGCCAATGGCGGTTCCCTCTCTACACCACATCTCCATAGGAATAAATCTGTTATATGTTCCGAGTCCTTTTCACCTACGTAATGCGTAGTCTTTTAAGTGTTCTCTATCTGACAGAAACGCGCCCGAAGGACGGGCCGGGCAATCCTTCGATCTGTAGCAACCAATCAACGAGGAACAAGTGGAGCCGATCAAGCAACCTGATATTTCGTTGACCCGGGGTCATTGAAAAGCAAGGTTGGCATTCCAGCCTAAGATATGTCTTCGAAATACTTCGGCCTGTTCTAGACTGAACCTCGGGCCTTATCATGGCTATTCACATATGACGTGTCCGGGTCCCCGAGACGGGATGACATTGTGGTACATAGTATATTGAGAGCATTGGGACATCTTTCGAGCTCCAAAGCCAGCTCAGATAACCAATTCACCCACGTTCCCATAAACGCAAACAACATGGATCTGATCGAGTACACTCGTGACGAGGCCCTCGATATCTCTGCTTTTCCCTTCTCGGAAGAACGAGAGTTCGCCCAATTGATGGACCAGAATGATCCCCTGAATCACTTTCGCGAAGGATTTTTCATTCCTAGCAAAACGAATCTGGAAAGTAGCCACGGCCAAGCGACAAGTTTATCGCAGGAGACAGATCCCGGGATTTATCTTTGTGGGAATCAAATTGGTCTACAACCACGCCAAGCACCCCTGCTGATTGAACATCACTTGAGAACATGGGCCACGCAGGGGATGTACGGCTTGACCAAAAAGATAGGCGAGTCTCCATTGCCGACCTGGGGTGAGATGGACCAAGCTGCAGCTCGGCTGATGGCACCGATTGTCGGAGCAAACCCACATGAAGTGTCAGTGATGGGGGGCCTCACGGCCAACTTGCATATTCTCTTGGCCAGCTTCTACCGGCCAGTTGGTGAGCGGTCCAAGGTGATACTAGAGCGTGATACATTTTCTAGCGATTATGTACGTTAGTGCACTTATCCTCTTTTCTATCAACGCACCAAGCTAATGCAGACTATCATAAACAGTACGCCGTCCAATCGCAGATCCAGTGGCACGGGCTTGAAGTGGACAACATGGTACTTATCGATCCCGTCTCTGGTGATACATTGGCTCTATCAACCGCTGGGATTCTTGCAGTGATTGATGATCATGCATCCACGGCCGCCCTAATTATCCTATCTGGCGTACAATACCTTACTGGCCAGGTCCTGGACATCAAAAGAATCACAGCTCATGCCCATTCTAGAGACATCATGATTGGGTGGGATTTAGCTCATGCGGTGGGTAATGTCGAGCTCTATTTACACAGTTGGATGGTCGATTTCGCCGTCTGGTGCAATTACAAGTACATGAACGCCGGCCCGGGAGCCATTGCCAGCATCTTCGTGCATGAGAAGCACGGCGAAGTAGATCAAACTAAGGGGATGGAGGGATATCGCCCCCGGCTGGCAGGCTGGTGGGGCAATGAAATGAGTAGCCGGTTTGCCATGCTGAACAGTACGTGTTAGACTGTTCCTTTTACATCGGGGGCACACACCAGAGCTAACGCAGCGGTCTAGACTTTGCCCCATGCACTGGAGCTGCGGGATACCAATTATCTAATGCGTCGGTGCTAGATACTGTTGCCCTTATCGCATCCTTGGAAGTCTTTAATCAGACAGATATGGTCGCTATCAGAAAGAAGTCCGTTCTACTGACAGGATATCTGGATTTTCTGCTGGGTAACGTCGATCCTCGCCCGTTCAAGGTCATTACCAGTTCCATCCCGGTGGAACGTGGCTGCCAATTGACTTTACGCTTTGACGATCAACACTTTCTGGATCGAGTTGTGATGCGCTTAAAAGCCAAGGGCTTCGTGGTGGCCCAAAAGCAACAAATGATGCGAGTGGCTCCCGTCCCCTTGTACAATACCTTTACCGAGGTCTGGGCCTTTGTAGACGAGTTGCGCCGTGCTCTAGAATCCTGCAGGAGTGCCTTTTAACTATCCATTCAATCTTGACAAGACACTCTAACTTAGCGTTATCTCGAGCTGCCCGCAATGTTTGGGTCCAGTTGCCATAATTGGTTTACCTCAACTGGGGGTGGCCCTAAGGCGTATTCAAGGATGGGAAGAGTGATTCCTTCCCCCAAGCAGCAAATATATTACAAAAGCGCTGTCTGACCTTCGTCTAGGATAAACCTATCATTATACTGCGATATGGCGATATTTAATCGCAATCTTCAGAAAGACCAACACACCTCTACCGGGGAAAGCGCAGAGATGAAAATTCTCATCCTTGGAGACCAGTCGACTGAGAATTTTGAAGCACTTTTCAGCCCACAGGCCTTGCGAAACCTTACCGTACAAGAATTCCTTACTCAATGCAACCTTGCACTTCGTCGAGAAGTTTCGTTGCTTCCCCCGATCGACAGGACACAATTCTGCGATCTATCATTGCATGTGGGTACATTGCAGAGCTGGCTACAGTGGGGAAAGACGCATCCTGTTCTGAGACCTGTGTTGACAGCGGCCTCACAATGCGTGCAATTACTTCAGTAAGTGATTGTAACTTCAGCTGATGATCTGGTTTATGGAAATTCAATGCTCATTACACATCCAGATATGGTGATACCGAAGACATCGATCGTTGCTTTCTAGGATCGTGCACCGGCATGCTAGTAGCCGCTGCTGCAACAGTTGGCCCATATCGATCGGGTAAATGGATTCAATTGGCCGTACATATTGTTTGTATTGCGTTCCGCATCGGAGTTCATACAGCACGTGTTGGCGAGCGTCTGACAAACATCGACGAAAGTTGGTGCCGTACCGTTCACGGAAATATTGACCCTGAATTGCTCTCCAAGTTTCATGAAGTTGAGGTATTTGCTTGTCGCCGCTGCTCTAAAGACTTTCTGAGTAAACACTGATAGACACTAGGGTACCCCTTTACCTCATTGTGCATATGTTAGTGCTACTACCCCCAACTCAACAACGATTTCCGGCCCTCCACAGATACTGAAAAAGCTATTTGCTTCCGCGGTATTCGAATCAGCGGGGCTGAAGTCCAGCTCGATTCCGATCTTTGCCCCGTATCATGCCGCTCATCTCCACCAAGAGGCTGATATAAATTGGATCATTGGCATCGATGATCTGCCAACGTCTCGAGTGCTTGGTGAATACATCACAAAATCTCCTTTACTCTCAACCAGAAATGGAAAGCCCTTCGTGGCCACAAACATGGCTGATCTTCTCGGCCAAGTCATCCATGAAATCCTGGAGGAGGTGCTTCGATGGGACTTACTTGTCGACGAGATCGTTTCTCTCATTCCGGCCCAGTCTAAAGTTAGCATCAATGCAATTGACGCTCCAGGCCTGGCAAAGAGTCTTGTCTTTGCACTGACAGCGAACGGGACGTGTGACGTATCATTAGGCACTACTTTTCACGAACCAAACAATGGTGTCCCTTTGAGCCAAGAACAGCCAACAGCTCACTGCTCAAAAATTGCCGTCGTGGGCATGTCTGGCAGGTTTCCAGAAGCGAAAAATGTCGACGAACTTTGGAAGGTTCTACTGCAAGGACTTGATGCCCACAAAGTGATCCCCAAAGACCGTTTCGATATTGACACACATTTCGATCCCAGCGGCAAGAAGAAGAACACCACCGTTACCCCCTACGGTTGCTTCATCGAAGAGCCTGGACTCTTCGATCCGAATTTCTTCCAGATGTCACCAAGAGAAGCTACCATCACAGATCCAATGCAACGACTGGCGCTGGTGACTGCGTACGAAGCTTTAGAGATGTCCGGTCATGTACCCGACCGAACACCATCTTCGATGTTGGATCGAGCGGGTACTTTCTATGGCCAGACCATTGATGACTATCGCGAGGTGAATGCAGCACAGAATATCGATCCATTCTATGTCACGGGTGGCCTTCGCCCGTTTGGACCGGTGCGTTATATAATTGCCTTTCCCGATAGAATGCAAATACTTATCAGTTGTTTTAGGGACGGATCAATTACTACTATAAGTTTACGGGGCCCAGCTATTCGGTTGATACGGCCTGCTCCTCTGGTCTCGCATCGATCCATATTGCTTGCAACTCTTTGCGTAGTGGAGAATGTGACATGGCCATTGCAGGTGGAACGAACATTATCAGTGGGTCGGACATGTACGCTGGTCTAAGTCGCGGACAATTTTTGTCCAAGTCTGGCTCATGTAAGACCTTTGACGACGCGGCTGATGGCTATTGCCGCGCGGATGCCGTGGGAACTGTCGTTTTGAAGCGCCTAGAGGATGCAGAGGCAGATAATGATCCCATTCTTGGGGTAATCTTAGCTTCGGCTACGAATCATTCATCTCACGCCGTATCCATCACACAGCCCCACGGTCCGACGCAAGAACTCTTGTACCGCAAGGTTCTCAGCCAGGCCCGAGTTCATCCATCAGATGTCGACTACATTGAGATGCATGGCACCGGTACCCAGATCGGTGACAGCACCGAAATGAGCTCTGTCAGCACCGTCTTCGCTGGTCGCGCCCAAGAAGAGCCTCTCTATGTGGGCTCGGTCAAGGCAAATATTGGACATAGTGAGGCTGCCGCAGGCGTGACAGCGGTTATCAAGGGGCTTCTTATGTTTCAACAAAGTGTCATTCCAAGACATGTAGGCCTGAAAGGGCAGTTGAATCGAAAGTTTCCCTCACTGATAGACAGAAATATTCACATTCCCTATCAAAGCGTACCATTTCACGAGAAGAAGAACAGGAGACGACGAATACTCGTGAACAACTTCGGCGCAGCAGGAGGCAATACAGCACTGCTCATGGAAGAACCATCAGCAAAACAGCAGGCTAAACCCTCCCAAGACCGATCATCCTATGTTGTCGCCGTCTCAGGCAAAAGCCTTACTTCATTGAGGAGGAACAAGAATCGATTATCTGCATTCTTGTATCAGAACGAACAAGTGTCGCTAGCAGACCTGTCCTATACAACGACTAGTCGCCGCATGCACTATCGTCACCGTTTCATAGCTGTAATTTCTTCTATCCAAGAAATTCAGCCTGCATTATTGGAGTCGAATGAAATTTCTACGCCGGTTGCTCCATCTCTTATTTTTGCATTCACAGGCCAGGGGAGTATATATTGTGGCGCAGCCAAGGAACTTTTTCACACCTCTCGCCAATTTCACTCTGATATTGTGGAGTTCGACAATCTAGCTCGGAGCCACGGGCTATCTTCCTTTCTTGCACTGTTGGATCCGACAGTCGAACTGGCTTCATTGTCGGCCGTTCAAACCCAGATCGGGCAAGTGTGCATTCAAATGGCCCTCTATCGGTTATATAGATCCTGGGGTATTGCGCCACGGGCCGTAATAGGACATAGTTTGGGCGAATATGCTGCTCTATATGCCAGCGGAGTTTTCACAGCCAGTGACACGATATTGGTTGTCGGCCGCCGCGCAGAGCTCATGGAGCAGCATTGTACTCCAGGTACTCATGTCATGCTAGCTGTGCGAGCTTCATTTAGGACTGTGCAGGATTTAATCCATGACACATTGGCAGAAGTGGCCTGCATCAACGGGCCGAGTGATGTTGTGGTCGGGGGTCCTGTGGATGAAATTGAGCGCTTGGCGAGTGAACTCTCGAAAGTTGGTGTCAAATCAATTTCGTTGCCCGTGCCATTTGCTTGCCATTCGGCACAGTTGGACCCTATTCTCGACCCTTTTGAGGCTGCTGCTCAAGGGTTGGTGTACTCTGAGCCTAATATTACGCTTCTGTCGCCACTGATAGGCAGAGATATCGACAAAGCGAGTCTCATTGATGCGCACTACCTGTCCCGCCATCTTAGGGAACGGGTGAATTTTGTCGCAGCTTTGAAAAATTCATCCCTGCTCTCAAGAGAGCTGAACATGCAATTCGTGGAGTTGGGCCCTCATCCGCTTTGCGCAGACATGGTCCGGAATACACTAGGCCTGACGGTGGTAAATTCCCTACGCAGAGGAGATGATTCATGGAAGACGATTGCAAACTCTCTCGCTGCCCTCTACATGCGAGGGGTTGATATCGAATGGGGTCAATATAACAGGGATTTTCATTCTTCGTCGTCACCCATTTGTTTGTCCACACTTCCTTCATACGCCTTTGATGAGAAGAACTACTGGATCGAGTATCAAAATGATTGGGCTCTCACCAAGGGGGATAAGTTCACTCAGTCAGCAGAATTACCAACAGGGCCGGGTACAATCTCGGTACAGCATCTTCTCCGGGAGAATCTCGATGAAAGCTCTGCCATGGCAGAGTTCGAGTCTGATCTTATGCACCCCGCCCTGCATGATGTGATTGTAGGCCATGTCATCAACAATGTGGGATTGTGTCCTTCGGTATGCTCTTTTAACCTTGTCTCTATGAAAAATTAAGCTGACCGACGCAGGGTGTATTCGCAGACATGGCTTTCACGGCAGCCAAGTATCTTTACGACAAGACCACCATCGAGTTTGATCACCTTTCCATGGACATCGTGGACATGGAGATCTTATCCCCCGTCATTCTAGAATTATCTGGGGAGAGGTCTCCACGACTCATGAGGATTTCTGCTACAATTACACAAGACAAGGTGTGCATTGAGTTCTCTGACAGTATGACTGCAGACGCTCCATCCACCTTGTATGCCAAATGCACCGTGATCCGGCATGACACCACCAAAGTCAATCGAAAATGGAAGCGAAGTAAACACTTCGTGTCTTCACGGATTGCCTATCTTCAATCTACAAAGGATGTACATCGCTTACATTGCCGTATGGCATACAAGATATTCGGGGCCGTTGTTGACTATTCGGAGCGGTTTCATGGAATGGAAGAGATTCTTATGAACAGCGAGCATTACGAAGCCGTCGCTAAAGTGTCGTTCAAGGCGGACACATCTGTTGGAAACTTTTTCCGGAATCCATACTGGATTGATAATGTTACCCAGCTTTCCGGCTTTGTGATGAATGCGAATGAGACAGTGGATTCATCAAAGGCAGTGTACATCTCGAGCGGGTGGGAGTCGATGCACTTTGCGGCTCAATTGTCATCCCAGCAGGTCTATACGGTCTATGTGAAAATGGAGCCAAATGAGGGCTCGGCTGTTAGTGGCGATATGTACATTTTGGATAATCAGCACGAAATGATCGGCGTTGTCAAAGGGGTCCGGTTTCAAGCAGTTCCTCGTCCTTTGCTGAAACTTCTCCTAGCACCGCCCAAGGGTGCAATATCTTCTGCTACCAGCCCTCATCAGCCATGGAAGGACGAGACATTGGACTACAGCCCATCAACCTCCAGTACAAACGGGACGACTACTTCAACGACGCGGAGCAAGAATTCTACAGTGAACTCGCCCGTGGCAGCAGGCCTTACAAAAGTACCTCCACCGTCGGAGATCGTTCTCCGCGTCTTGTGTGAGGAGATGGATGTGCATATAGAAGACTTGGATGACAATATCACTTTCTCTGAAATGGGTGTGGACTCTTTGATGTCGTTGGCGGTCATCGGCCATCTAAGGGAGTCATTCTCCCTTGATATCCCATCCACGTTCTTCCAACATAATCACACCATCAAGCATCTCGTCAAATCTTTGGATGAGCTCAACAAGGAAATCATCTTTGAAGGTAACCAGAAGTCGCTTGCTACACCAGAAAAGGTCCTTGACAGACCATCGCACAATGGCACCATTCACCCTCCAAGTGCGACATCCACGGCCCAGCATCACGCTACGTCTATTATTCTCCAGGGCAACCTTAAAACAGCCACTAATAAACTCTTTCTTTTCCCCGGAGGTTTTGGGACCTCTGCCACGTTTACCAATATGCCATCTATTCATCCCGAGCTGGCCATCTTCGGGTTAAACAGCCCCTTTGTGAACGCCCCCGAAAATTTCACCGTCAGTATTGCCGAGATGGCAGCTCTGTATGTCACCGAGATTCAACGCCGACAGCCTCAGGGTCCATATTCTTTCCTCGGGTACTCGGTCGGAGGTATCATCGCATATGAAGCATCTCGGCAGTTACTTGTGGCAGGCGAGACCGTGGAGAGACTCTACCTCGTCGACTCGCCATGTCCGCTCGTCATCCCACCCATGCCCCCGAACCTGATCAAATTCCTCGACTCGATTGATCGGTTCAGTGGGAAAGCTAAATCCTCTGAGCATGCGCCCGCCGAGCCAGTCAAACCGATGGGATCGCTCCATGTCACCCAGACGCTTATCAGTCTCGAGGCGTATATGCCGGAGGCTCTTCCCCCCGGGATATGCCCCCCTCGAACGACGTACTACGTCGCCAAGAACGGCGTGAATAATCAGTCAGATGTGCAGCTTCCAGATATTTCGGATAGAGATAGGAGGGTCATGACTTGGTTGTTGGAAGATAGGACCGGCATGGGTGGATTGGGTGATGGATGGGAGATGTTGGTAGGTGGAGAGCTGTTGAAGGTATATCCGGTTGAAGGGAATCATTTTAGTATCATGAAGGAGCCTGATGTAAGTCCTCTATCTATCACCATCTATACTGTGGCCTTGGTGGCGCTGACTGACGCATTGTTGCAGATTCTTGGGTGGGTAGACGAATTGAGAACGGCGTATTGGATGTGAGGATATTCGGCAGGGACTGCTGGAAACGACCAGTTAATCCAAATTTTAAAAGTTTTTCTTCTTTTCCTAAGGTTTGCGACACTGCAATATATGAAATACGAAGACTATGTCGATTCAACTCCTTCTTATCGTTGACCTGAAATCTCCACCATCCTCACCATACCAGAAACAAGTACTTCAGAGAGCAAGCAACTAAGCTCAGAGATGACATCCAACTAATTCAAATCCGCGTTACTTCTCTCCAGCATCTCCTTCCTCTTCCCTGCTACAATCACCGCAAACTGATCCTCCGTCATCGTTGGCACTGGCACTTTCAGGGCCTTCTTCACGGTCTCCCTCGCCAAGATCGAATCATACCATTCCCGAATCGCCGGCCAATCATCAAGATCGAAACCTAGCATATTCGGCGACGCCCGCACCCAGCAGAAACTGGCGATATCCGCGATGGTGAACTTTTCGCCCGCGACATAGGGCGATTCTGTGAGACGGGTGTTCAGGGTCGCGTAGAGCCGCTTGGTTTCGTCGATATAGCGCTGGATGCCCCAGTCGGAACGAACGGGGGCGAACCCGGTGAAGTGGTGAGCTTGGCCTATTGTTGAGGGTTGTTATTTACTTTTTCATTCTTTCTTTCCTCGCAAGGGTTGTCGGGGACCTGCGCAAAAGCAGAACATGCAATAGTATTTATTATGATAAGGCATACCTTGCATGGGACCTAGACCTCCCATCTGCCACATCAACCAACTTAGCTGGTCTGAATACCCTGGGGTATCTCCAGGTGCGTAGCTGATCTTGCGCTCGGTATCATACTTCTCGACTATGTAGAGCATGATTGCGCCGCTTTCGAAAACTCGCGTTTCTCCATCGGTGATTGCGGGGAGACGTCCGTTGGGGTTGATTTTCAAGAACCATCTTGGATAGATAAGGTTAGTATATCTCCTGCCGTTGCCGATATTTGATTCATATCATACTCTTCTTTCTGCTCCTGGGATGGGAGATCCACGGGTCGTGCTTTATATGATAGACCTAGTTCTTCGAGGGTGATGGAGATTTTAAAGCCATTGGGAGTGGCAGATGTGTAGAGTGTGATTGGTTCGGGTTGGGCCATAATGTTTGCTTAGAATCCTTTTGTTTTCATCTACTGAAGGGAAGAATGTGTTGGTTGAATAGATGGAATAAGAGAGGATACTATGGTATGATGATGCAAGAGGGGGTATTCTTGTTTATATAGGACAAAGAACCCTACGGGGTTTCTATATTATAATTGTCACACGCTTTGACCCCTCGGGGGTGTACTGACCAAGCCTACGTCCACTAAATTGTCAATCTTTACACTTTTTAAGCTTTTCCAGCGTCACCCCTTCTATATCAACTATATAAAGTGGGTTTCCATCATCTCCCATGACTAGTCTGTGCCATAACCCGCAAATGGGTAGGTAAAGTCAACCCGCAACCCGAACCCGCAAAACCCATGGGTTGGTCAGGTCAACCCGCAACCCGCCCCATGCGGGTTGCGGGTTCGGGTGCGGGTTACCCACGCTAGCCCATCTTTGCATAAATTTCTAACGCTATACCTAAATAGGATGGATAAATTTGATTATTCATGAAATTAATTACTGTTATTTACACATGTTTCTGTCACGCTTTTGAATTTCTCGTTATTCAATCATTAGTATCATGAATTTAAAAGGATTTAGGTTGTATATCAAAACTTTAAGTCTGGTAATAAGATTGCCTTTAGGATTTAATGTATTTAAGGTAGGTTGTGGTTATTTAAAAGAGTTTAGGTAGGAAATGGTTATTTGGGGTGGAAATATATATATTTCATGTAGAGCTCTTCAAGTGTATCTTCTAGGAGATTTGTGGACCTTCTCTCCCCTACCTAAATCCGCTTAATTTCAACTTTTTTAATATCAAATCTATGACTGATTTCTATAGAAATCAGCAGTACTTTTATATACTCTCTCTATCTTAGACTCTGTCGTTCAGTGGCAGACTTTATCAGCCATTTCTACAGCAATTAGTAATACTTTCATAGCCTGAAAAATCAGGAGATCAACGATTTCTATAGAAATCATTAACCCCTAAGGCCTTCAGTAACCCATAAATTCAATGGGTTTTTATGGGTTTTTATGGGTTTCTTATGGGTTTCTGCGGGTTATTGCGGGTTACTTGCGGGTTTCTTGCGGGTCTCTTGCGGGTTACCTGATAACCCATAAATTCTATCCAATAGGAACCATGCTTTATAAGTCAAGTTGTGATAGATCAACATACTCAGTTTTTCACTATACAGCATGGTCAACCCCCCTCTTATTATTAAATTCCCTTATTTACAGCATTGAAAATTCCACGTAAGTGCCTACTGCTCTCATATTCTTCTAAACCATCTACTACCCCTCTTTACTTTCTATATGTCTCAACTCCAATACTCTGATGCTGATGGCTTCTCATCATCTATCTACGATGGTGATATAGATAATCTTCCTTATTTTCCACCAGAGGACTCACATCTTTTATATACACCCGAACTCTCAGTCAGCCAGCAGACAACCAATTCCTTTGATCAAGAGTTTATTCGACCATCCGCCCCTCTCACGATCCCTTCCTCTCTAAAACGCGTTGGCCCAGATCGTCGAAAGGGCTACATTCTCTATGAAAGCATGACACATAGTGATTGGGTAGAATGGTGGCTTCAGACCGACTTTGGGAAACAAAGTAGGGTACGATGGGACTCAAACCACTTTTCTGAAGTTTGGACCCAGTTCGATCAGGTAGCAAATGCCGCTGATGGTGCACCAAAGGTAATGTGCAGACGTTGCGGGCAAATCCTTGAGCACCCTCAATCTCCATGCGCTGGAACGAGTATGCGCCATGGAACTTCGACAATGAACAAGCATTTAAAGGGTATTAATTGTCGCAATTATACTAAGAATAAGACGCAAGCATCTGGTATTACCCAGTTTATACAAACAGCTGTAAGTATAAATATTCATCTATTCTTCTATTTTTCCAACTTTCTCTTCGATCATTAAGAGACGTGTTTTTGTGCACAAAAACATATCTTTAATTAATATTCACGCTCAACGCTTAACTTTCAACGCTATAGAGCAGAAACCCTTTAACCAATCACAAATTTACACAAGATGCATGGGAACAGAAGCTTCTTACTTTCCTTACGGTCGCACGGCTTCCATTCCGACTAGTCGAGCACCCTGAATTTCATAGCCTTATCAGAATGGCCCAAACTGCCCCAACATGCCCTGAGATCCCGTCACAAAAACGTATTAGAAACCGGCTACACACTACAGTGAAAGAGAGACAAGAAGATTTACTCCGAAGGCTACCTGCTGGGTCTAAGATATCAATTGCGCTTGATTGCTGGACATCTCCATTCTCACAGGCGTTCATGGCTATCAGTGGCTATTTTATTGATGAGGACTGGCAGTATCGTGAGATCCTTCTTGGATTCGAACCACTTTATGGAACACACTCTGGTGCAAATCTGAGTGTAGTACTCCTGGAGATCCTTCAGCGACATAAAATTGAGGATCGAGTTCTTGCAGTTGTCACTGATAATGCATCAAACAATAAGACCTTAGTCGACACCCTTCAGCAATCTATGTCAGATGATATTACCCTGATTCGGGTCCCCTGTATCGCGCATGTTATTCAACTCAGTCTAAATGAGCTTCTTGGTTCTATGAAGGCGGACCCTATGAATGAGACAACCGAAGCACGGTGGACTGAGCAGCGGTCCCAGTCAGCTCGCATGAATGCAAAGCACCATAGACGAGAAATTGTGAGAACGTTAAATAAGGTAAGTGATATCAAATCTATGAAATATTACTATTACTTATAAAATTCTCCAGATTCGCAGTCTTGCTATCTATATTAACGCTAGTCCTCAACGCCGGGAAGCATTCTATAAACTTCAACCTGAATCTGTCAAACTTACGCCTATTCAAGATGTCAAAACACGTTGGAACTCTACATTCCTCATGCTTCGCCGTGCAAAGCGCCTCCAATCTATCTTTGACCCTTTTTGTGAGGAATACGATCGGACAGACTTGATGTTGGATGATGAGGAGTGGCGGCAGATTGAATATCTCCTTTGGATCACACAGCCATTCTTTGAGTTCACTAATGAACTTTCGAAGACAAAAGACGTTACAGCCCATCATATCTTCAAGATTTATAACAAACTGTTTGAACATCTCGAGCTATCGATTTCCCAACTCCAAAGAAAGAAGGCTACTTGGAAAAAGAAGATGCTTGAAGCGCTTCAGGCTGGCCTACAGAAGCTTCGAGTCTATTACTCTGAAACAGATAATATCCGAGGTGACCTTTATGCAATTGGCACTATCTTAGCGCCAGAGAATAAGCTCCAGTTTTTCATGACTGACGACTGGTCTGATGAATGGCGCCAAAGATATCGACAAAGCTTTAAGGATTACTTTATCCCCTACCAAAGCCGTCTTACTAGTCAACATGATTCTATTCCCTCCCAGTCATCTACTAGAGTAGGATCACGTCTAGATATGATGCTTAAAGGGAAAAGGCAACAGGCAATACCACGTGATGAAGTTACGCAATATCTTGATAGTGGTAAGTTTTATCTGTCTTATACTTAAATATTATTAATCTCTTTAGATATTATTGAAGTTACCCCTCTTACGTTTTGGAGAGAGAATCAGTACCGATTTCCAGCACTTGCAAATCTCGCTCGGGATGTCCTTTCAGTTCCAGCATCTGGTGCTGGTGTTGAACGACTGTTCAATACTGCTCGTGATATTTGCCACTACCGCAGAGGGAGACTAAATGCCACAACTATCCAAGAATTAATGATGTTCCTCTGCACTTCAAGGTTTGATATGCAAGAAGAGCAGTTCAAGTTCTTAAAGGAGTTCTTCTCTCATGATGAGATTGAAGCAGTAAATGAAGAAAGAGATGATTCAACTGATCAATTTGATATTGATCCAATCAGTGATGATGAGGAAGAGGATACACAAGGGCAAGAGGAGACTCAAAGGTCTAAGTCACCTGAAGACCACAGTGAGCATGATTCGCCTAATTTACCTATGATAGAAGGGGTAGATACTCAAAAACGCACATCAGGGAGAGTGCGTAAGCGTGTTAGACGTGAAGATAGTGATTTCCTATATGATTAGCTGTTTATTTAATATATTCACTTTATATTCTATCTACTTGAGTGATTCATAAATCAAGATTTCATGAATTAAGATTATATTGCGAAAACTACAAAGCTGTACTAGGCTGTACTAGGAATACTCAAAAATTCCCAAAAATACTACATAATTTATGCAGAGAGAGCTATTTCTATGTTTGTCCTGTTTGACGACCCATTGGGTAACCCATAAACCCGCGCGGGTTTCCCAACGGAACCCGCAACCCGCATGCGGGTTAGACCGACCGACCCAAAACCCGACCCATAGGGAGGATGGGGCGGGTTCGGGTGCGGGTTTCTGCGGGTTACGGCACAGCCTATTTGAGGCCACGTAGCCCACTAGGTAGCCGATCTCTGCCCTCGACCTCATCTTATCTAGGCGTGGAATACTATCTAGCCGGCAGTATACTAGCGACCCGTATATCCTGACGTTCGCCAGCGAGGTTCTTGGCTTTTCGGAATCATCTATGAACTTCCGTGCCTTATCCTTAGACTTTAGCATGGGCCGGCCCATCGGGCCGGACCTGTTGTTTTTATTGAGTGATGCTTCAATTTTTCATGTTATTGAGGGGAGTTGTGTTCTTTGTTTTGCATTAGATACAAGCAGTGTGAGAGATATACAATTATGCACGTGATTCCAGCCTCATTATCATCTCGGCAACCAGGATATTTCAACACTCCCACTCGCTGAAATCGTTCGTCAGAAAGATATCAGCGATCTTTTGTCATGGTTGCCAGGTCCCATTAAAACCTCCCAAAACCATTGGTAAAAAGAAAGGAAAGGGTACCTGCATGCTCGGTTTTCTTTTTCCTTGTCTGATATGATGGCTCTTGTCCGACCGGGCTATTATTCAATGCCGAGGCCTTTCCGAAACCATTCAAATCTGTCTCGCGCAAGAGGTTTCGTAAAGCCATCTGCTATCTGCTCTGACGTTGGGATATATTTGAGTTCCACTGTGCCGGCGTCTTGGATCTCTCCTTGCCACTTTCGCTGGATTTCCATATGTTTTGTACGCGAATGATATTGAGGATTCGAAGCCAGCGCGATGGCTCCCTGGTTGTCGCCACAAATGATCGTTGCACGTTTTCCCTGGCCGATGTTCAGCTCGTGGAGAAGCCTTCTCAGCCAGATGGCTTCCTTGGTTGCTTGCGTCTGGCCCATGAATTCGGCCTCGCAGGTTGACAGGGCAACAATGTTCTGGCGCTTTGATTGCCAACTGATTGCTCCGCTTCCAATGTTGAACAGATATCCTGCCGTCGACCGTCTTGTCTGGTGACACCCAGCCCAATCTGCATCCGTGAAGCCACGGAGCATCTGAAGTTGACCTTTGTACGCAAGACCGAGGGATTTGGTGCCTTTGAGATATCGAAGGATTCGGCGGGCGAGCTTCATGTGTTGTGGACCAGGATTAACCAAGTGTCTGCTTGCCGCCGATACAGCGTATGCGATATCGCCTCTGGTCCCAAGCATGATATACATCAATGATCCGATCACACGTTGGTACTCTTTCTTTAAATTCGACGGGCAGATATATTCAGGACCGCTTTCTGGTAGGGGTGAGGTGTCTATAGGCGTGCTGGCATGTGCACTGTCCAACATTCCGAATTGTTGCAGGACCTTGTGCACGTAAGCCTCTTGGCTGAGATGGAGGATTCTGTTCTGTCGATCTCGCCGGATGGTTATGCCGAGGTAATAGCTGCACGGACCCAGGTCTGTCATATGAAAACGGTTTCTGAGGCTTCTCTTGATCTTCTTTATCTCTGAAATGCTTGGTCCGATGATCAAGAGGTCATCGACGTATACTGCGATGTACACGCCGCTCCGAACAAAGATACTGAGATCGGCGTTGATAGGCTCGAAGCCAAGATTCCGAAGGAAATTGGTCAGCGTCTGATACCAAATACGAGGTGCTTGCTTCAGGCCGTAGAGCGCCTTGCGAAGCTTGCAAACCCTCGATGTACCGTCTGTGATGTGATGAGGCTGTTCAACGTAGATCTCATGGTCGATCTCGCCGTATAAAAACGCTGTTTTGACGTCCATTTGTTCGATCTCGAGATCCAGAGCTGCGGCAATTGCAAATAGGGCTTTGTAGCTCATCGGCTTGACCACAGAAGCAAATGTCTGATCATAATCGACACCTTCTTCCTGGGTGAAACCTCGGACTACCCATCTGCACTTGTAGCGAATAATTTCTCCGCTTGATCCTCGTTTGAGTTTGAAGATCCACTTTCCGCTCAGGATTCGACGATCTCTGGGAGGTTTTACCAGTTCCCAAGTCTTGTTTTGTTGAAGTGATTGTATCTCTTCGATCATTCCCTTTTCCCATTCGAGCCAGCGTGTATCATTCTTAGCCTGTCGAAGGGACTTTGGTTCGAAGGGTTCTATGTCTTCCGCTGCGACAGTCAAAAAGGTCGGAATGACATTTTTGTCAGGAATATTCATCAAGGCGAGTTCTTCTTGGTCATAACCGGATGTGTCTGGAGAGTTTTGTGTATCACGAAGCTTGAGTTCAGGGTGGCGTTCCAGTGAGTCTTTCTGCACTATGTGTTTTGCACCACCCTCTTAAAGCTCGGAATTATCTAGCCAATCTGGGATTCGCCCTTGCTATGCATCGCCTTGTCGCTGGTCGCTACCCGGGGGTGAGTCAATCCTAGGGACGGAATCCTGCGAAGCAGGTGATAGAGGACCAAAGGTATCTTCACTCCGTGGAGGCGAAAAGGTTATAGCTCCTCGGCCAGCAACGGCGGGCTGCGAGTTATCATTACTACTCGACTGAGGCAGATGCACTTGCACTATATCGTCCCATGATCCAGGCTATGTCTGTTCTTGTGGTGCCAGGGATATTTGACGTCCCGAGGCTGGCACGGATGTATGTCGCATACTGGCCGACGGGTGATTTATTTGCCCCACCGTCTCACTCCCCCCTGCGGCAGCAGCCGTTGCCACAGGAAAGCTCTACTGTTTGGCTCCCACGTCTTATATGGTCTGCGTGGAGGGAGGTTCAAGGACTTCATAAAATTCTGCGTTTGGTGTGCCAATGATTCTGCCGTCTTCTAGTAGGACGCGATAGTTCGTATTGCCTTCGTATCCCAATAGTAGACATGGCCTTATTCTTAGCTCCGTCAGCTTCTTTCTTTGTTTAGGCGGAATCAGATACTCTCCCTTAGATCCTATAACTCTCAGCCGTGATAGGTCAGGTTTGTCACCATACCAGGCTTAGTACGGAGTCATATTGCGTTTAGATGATGGTGATCGATTGGAAAGGTATGCCGCCGTTCGCGCAATTTCTGGCCAGAATTTTAGCGGCAACTTTGCATGCGCGAGCGTTGGTCCAACTCGATCGTAAATTTTCTTATGGGTTCTTTCTGCTACCCCATTCTGCTGGTGCTGGTCGACACCCGTGACCTCGGCTTGAATCGCCCTTAAGAAAAGCGTGAATTTCATGTCTTCTCCCACTTGCTCCGGAATCCGGTCAAGGCGAATTCGCCTGCATTTGCGCTCGGGGCGCTCATTATGGTCGAGGAAGTACCGTAAGGATTCAACGACGTACTCTTGCCGCCGTGGTATGGGGACGATTTCAACCCATGCAGTAAAGTCATAGACAATGGTCAGCCAATAACGGCTACCATCGAGGCCCTCCTCGAACGGTCCTGCAACATCGATATGCAGGAACTCCATGGCGTATTTGGCTCTTTTGCACACTTCTGAACGGCGATGTGGGACTTCGATCATTCTTCCCTGGAGACAAGGGTTGCAAGGTCCGCGTGGCGCATCATCTTTAATGCCGTGGGCTTGCTTTTTCAATCGTCGTATGTTCGCACCGCTTAGGTGGGCGAGCCTATGGTGCTAGAGTGCCGACTGCGGGCTGATATGGTAGGCAGGAAAAACAAGTTTTGCCCATAGGTCAAGCGTATAGACTCTATGGTATTGGCTCGCAGTGAACAAATTCTTTCCATCTGATTTGTTCCGAATGATGGCGCCATTGCTCGAGAAATCAATCTTTGCCCCCCGATTGAGAAGCTGCAATACTGATATGAGATTTGCATGTGCGGTCGGGACGAATAACACTTCATCTAGGACGAGCCATTTCTTCCTCCCTCGGACATTGTATAGGACATTTGCTATTCCTATGCCAGAAGGAGCCGTCGAGGTATCGACACTGCGTAACGGTGGACTATCATATTTGTTCATCTTGACGAATCTCGTGGCATTGTTACAAACGTGCTGAGCACATCCGCTGTCGACAATCTAGGCGTCGTTGATCGAAACAGACTTTGTGACCATTATACTGGGGAAGAAATCAAACGTGGTAACATTTCCTTCAACTTCGGTGCTGAAAGCTGTATTGATATCTTGTTCTGAGGCTTTTGTTGCCACAAATGTCGGCCTTCTGGGGTCTCTCGGTCCTTCTGAATCGTCGTCTTCATGATCCGTACTAGCTCGTCGCTTTGATAGATTGCGAACACCCGTGTGCGCCTCTTTGGGTCTTGGCCTGCGCGTCATTCTCTCCTTTTCTTGATCCTTCAGGTTAGGATCCTTTTTGAAGTAGTGTGACTCTCTATAATAGGGTTTCCGGCAGAAGGCATAGAAAGGAACATTGTTCATCTCGATTCGGCATGTTTTCCCATCTGGAGACGGTATGACTTTCCTGTCTCGAGGCTTCTGGCTAAGTGTGAAGGTAGGAAGCGCATTCGTATTAGTGGGCTGGTTGCCCAGCTGACCCTTCCTATGCTCCTCCTCAATGGCCTTATTTTCGATGTAGTTAAATGTAGGAGCTGCTTTGGTGATATTTCCGTCCTCGTCTCTGTCATTGACTATGTCCATTTGTCTGAAGATATGGTCGCGAAAGCTCTCATATTCCGGGCCTAATGCATGGAGGAAAAAGAATGTTCGTTCGATCTTAGAGGTGACATATGCGGGGTCGAGTAAAAGCTTCTCGGCATGAATTTTTCTGATCTCAGCTCCGAGGGCTTGTGCACTCCCAAATTTTGCTCGGGTGAGTGATATGTACCGTCTCTGAAGATTCATATATGTCCCTGAACCTTCTGGCTTGAAGTGTTCCTTTACCGCTTTGATCAGTGATTGGACCCGGGTGATTTCGAAGGCGTTTATCCGCTGAGCCGCATTGTGGGTCAACTTGGCCGCGATCATTGCCGAGTAAAATGTCTGGCGGTGGGTCCACTGCTCCGCCTTACCCTCTTCCATTGGTGGTGTTGTTCCATCTTTGGCGATAGGGGAGATTCGAAGAAACTCCTTGACCTTTTGATTCTACTGCGACCAGTCATTGGCATTATCGAGAGTTGGTATGGCGTGGTAGAATGAGCTCAAGCCTAGTTGTTCAAACTTGTTCGAATCCATCGTGATGGTGTTCAGGGCTCTTCGGTGCTGAAGAATTCAGCGCTTGATGAATTACTTGAGCAAATTGAGAGAACAGAAAGCGTATGATCTGATGGCTTGGGGGACCGTGCCTCGAGGCCGAACAGTTCTAAGCTCGATATCTCGCTAGGTAGACTAGAGATGATAGAAGGAGAGTGCTCCGACGAGCTTGGAGTAGGTGTATGTGACGGAATGTATTCGCTGTCTGGTAGCTGGTTCGGCTTGGTGGAATCGCGATAGGACTCAAAGAAATGAGGAAAGCGGTCGCGATCCACCATATAACGTGGCTTTCGTTCTGCAAAGGTTGAGGGTCTGTTTGGCCGGAGGTTGTAGCGATTTTGGTTGTCACCATTGCCCAATGGTGTATCACTAATCTCGATGTTTGCTGAGTTGTGATGACTTGAAACGTTGCGTTCTGTGATATGGCGGGGCCTTGTGTGGGCAGGTACGGCAGCGAGTGCTCGGCGTGTGCGCTCTTCTGGAGGTAGTCTCCTATAGGCCCGGCCGACTGCGTGTTGGGAAAGTGATGGAAACTTCGCCTTTTGAATTTGTGTGAAGCGCCAATGACGGATGCATCGAAGATAGCACACCGAATCGAGCTCTTCGTCAGACCAGTTATGCCCCTTGTACGACCCTTGCCTTCTTGCCATAAATCCGAAGAAAAACCGGATTGTCCTTGTTCGAGAGCATCAGGGTATTGATGAATAATGGTATCCAATCACGCTACAGAAGCTTCATCGTTATTTCTGGCTGGGTAATGTGATACGTCGGTAGCGGTGTGGCACGTCTGCAGCGGTGATACGTCCGTTATCTGTTGTGAAGCAGAACCATAGACTATGATTGGCCTGAGGGATATTCGTAGCGGTGTGACGATTTTGATCCGAATGTTGAGATGATTTCGCACAATCAATTTTCTCCTGGTCGTGAGAAAATGCCTTCTTTGTTGATGTCCTAAATGAGTAGTTCCAGTTTGGTCAATAGATGAAGCTATCACTTGACGGGGAAAACTTAGGAGCAGAGATAGTGTCTCCAATTTGAGGTAAGCGGTGCCGGGCTCATAACCTGTTGTTTTTATTGAGTGATGCTTCAATTTTTCATGTTATTGAGGGGAGTTGTGTTCGTTGTTTTGCATTAGATACAAGCAGTGTGAGAGATATACAATTATGCACGTGATTCCAGCCTCATTATCATCTCGGCAACCAGGATATTTCAACAATTTCAACACGGCCCTCCGCCCGCCCGCGGGCGGGTGCGTAGGCCGCCCTCTGAGGGCCGCCCGCGGGCGGGTATGAGGTCTATGGATAAAGGAACACAGTAGAATGGAACACCACCTTCAAAGCCCACTAGAAGGAACTAAGGGAAGTACTCCGAAGTTAGAAGTAAAATCCAACAAATGTCTGCCTCGGAAGGTTGAATCCCTATCCTTCAATTTGCTACATCTACCCTAGGTACTACCTTTTAGGCTTATGGTACCTCATTCATTTTGATTTTCAGTTTTCCTTTTCATTTTTCATCCACACTCCTCGATTTTCTTATTTGTTTGTCGCTCTTTATTGAGCTTAACCAACGGACACATGATGTACCCCAACCATGGTTTCACTCTTGTCACTCTTTTTTTCTTCCTCGTCGGGCTCTTTGTGAATGATTCATGGGCTCGAGATGCTCCGTTGAATACGGAGCCAACCCTCAACGCAAACAATTTCCGATTCGATCTGAGCGGGAGTATCCGAAAGCAGGATCATGCCCTAGCCAGCCGCGCTGTCGACCTTGGCCCCCGTGACTTGTATTCAGATTATGCTACATATTCGGCCAAGGGGAACAGACTTATTTGCCTGACCAAAATGGATGATGCAGCTGCGGCAGCCAAGCTCGATAGAGATCCAGCAGCAGAATATACGACCGTAGCGGAGATGGAGGCAGCTGGTTGGGTATCCTCTACAGACAAGTTGAGCGCCGCAGAGATCGCAGATGCCAACACGAAGATGGAGGGCTACTTGAGCGGAACTTTAATGAGCAGTATTGGCGTGGATTTGAGCAATAATGAGCTTGTCGACTGGAGGTGGACGGTTGGTGAAGATGGGGTGCTCACAGCGGAAGTATGTATGCAGCATTCAGTGCGCTATCTTTTACAGATACCCCCTTATCACCCGCTCTCCTCTAGATATTGTAAAAAAAAAGAACAGCCCGAGAAGAACTTGCAAGCTAATGGAATATACTTTTTTCATACAGGACTTAGAAGAAAACACCGGAGAGACAGCCGCAGCTCAATATCAAAATTGGTATAATGTCCAAGGTGGCCTCATTATCGTGAACCTCGCATGGAGTCCGGGTTATGTCGTGGGTCAAAACTCAGATCAGGAATGGTGGCCTGAAGATGTAACCGACGATACTGTTACAGCGCTCAATGTTAAACAGCTATCGGATGTGATGTATATTGAATGGGCGAGCCAAGCGACGGACGTCACAAGTCTCGAATATGTCATTCCCTTGAATGTTGTAAATCCGGGAACAAGAAGTGCGATGACCCTCGCCATGGCATCTGTCGCTTCAACTTGGTCGACGCCTGAGGTCTTCTATCCCGGATCAGAAGCATTTGATGCACTGGTTGGGTCTCCAAATGGAAACGCACAAGCGTGGATCCTCATCAATCACAAAGCGCAGCTGGGTGTGAAGACCATCTCCAGTATTAGGGTATGGACAAGCAGCACTATCAAGGCTGGTCAGCCAAATGTGTTTCCTGACACGGAGGAGTGGGCAGCTGAAGCCGATAAAAGAAACATGTGTTATATCTACTATGATGACCCGGAGGAGGATGGAATTTTCGAGTATGACGGGGACGCTTACTGGGGGGCTATGTGAGCATATGCTTTTCACTTTCGAGGATGTGTCAACCAGTGACGAGGACGCTATGGACCTTTCTTAATCTCCTCTAATGCTACCACATGGACGGAAAGATAAAAGAAAGAAAGATAATAACCTTGGGAGCACTTAGGTAGATATTGGCCATGACTTTAGCTACTATTGTATATATATATCCATGACATAGTAGATAGTAGTAAACTGGGAAGCGGTCACTGACCGCTAGGACCTTTTGAGGACAGGCTTGTTCATCCTGTACCTAATTTCCACAAGTATTATATTTATCTTGAATTAGGATACAGCGTAGCAAAACATTAGAACGCGGATAATAGTCCATAGTAATCGCTTAATCAAGACTATAATCAATTATCCGATTATATTAGACATGTTTAGTCTTAGCCAATACATCGATTTTCATCTTTCTAGATAGAGCTCGCCTAAACAGCCTAGAGGAGTAGGTGTACTGTAACAGGTTGAAATACTTTACCGGGAAATAACTCCCCCGGGTAATTCCATGTCAAAAATAAATTAGTCAGCACGTACGAGTCTCCAAGGTTGTCAACCTAGAATAGACCCCGGGGCTTCCAGGGCTCTCTCTTTGCTTCCTCTAGTAATTAGACAACCATCCTTTCCTACCGTCGATCCTTTGTGACCACTGGCACTGAAACTAGAAACCCATAATAATGGATCAGTTACCAAAAGAGATCAGGCACATAATCGCCGATTGGGTGAGCCTCTCTGTCTAAGCTCTAAAGCGATAACTTGCACCTCTAATTCAAGCTACAGACAGGACAGATATCCAAGGAAAGCCTCCAAGCGCTGGGCTTAGTCAGCCGTGAGTGGAACGAGATTGCCAAAGAATTCTTGAATCAGCATATCATCATTCGCTTAAGGGAAGGAAGAAACCCCATCATACCGGACGACCAACGTATCCTCATACACGCGAGACAACTGAGCCTTGTGGCAGAATGGCGCCCGTATTTCCCTCAGAAAACATCTCTCTCCAATCACCGAAAGCCTCTGGCCAGGGACAAGCCTGACAATCACAAGTCCCACATTTCTAGTCTTCTAGAAGGAGCATTCTCTGGGGATCACTCCGTCCCCGGAGCTGGTTTCTACGTTAGAGGAGATTGGAGTCCTGTTATTGATCTGATCCGACTAATTCCTCGTTTACACGAAGTGAATCTCCTTGTCTTCCATGGTGGTCCAGTCGAACTCTTTGAGGCTCTTTCACAATATCACCCTACTTGTCGAGTCTCCATATTCAGCACTTTGATTAAAAAAAACCCAATTCGGTGGGACTCATTTCCTTCTATAGATCCGGTGTGGATTTCCTCGCCAATGCTATATGCTGTCCATTTGACTTGTGAGGAGTACTACCCTGTGCTCTCTGAGGATCCCGATAGGATACTACAGAATATTGTGTTACATGCGCCGAATCTCAAAAAGATCGCATTGCGGATTAGAGGTCGGGATAATGGTCAGGCCTTAAGAGAAAGGCTACACGAAGCCAGTGTGGACATGGCCAACAAAAATGACAAACCACCTGGATCTGCTAGAATTGAAACCATGTCATGGCCTCTCCATACCGATATGACAGCTACTCAGTTCCAAGATTGGCACACAGTCACCGATTTGAGTGTTTTGAAATCATGGACTGTTGGCTGTATTAAAGATTCGACACTGCTCCAGTCTATTATGGATATTCGCCCTTTCAAACAGCTAAAGCAACTCACCCTTGCCGTATTTGCACCTAAGGGTGATGGGCCAAGGTTTTGGCGCGCTGCAGAGTCGATGTTCAGCTCGCTGCCACCATTAACATATCTTTGTTTATTGGGAGTATATCATCCTGGGTTTCTGAACAATGTGCTTAGCTATGGGCATGGGCAAACTCTCCTTGAGTTGAAATTGCATGAGCAAATATCACCTTATCCGCTCGCAAGAGGCGTGTCTCTACCCCGACTGTGCAAAAAGGGGCAAGCCGGGCCCATATTTTCAACTGAGCAAGTTCGAGAGTTGGGACGCTATTGTCAACTTGTTCGGAAGCTACAAATCTGTGTACAGCGATATCCAGGTCCTCAAACAGATATGTCGAGCGCTCTGGGACGTTTTCCCTCCCTCAAGGAGCTCGACCTTGTGTTGAATTGCTTACCCCAAATGGATGCGAACGGAATGCCTGTCCCACCGCGAGAATTGACCGAATTTGAAAAGGGTCTGGTAGCGGAGTTTGGGCGGGGCAGTGATGTCTGCCCTAGCTGGTTCATTCGGGACTGCATGGTCAACTGTGCTATGAGCGAGAATTTTGTGAAAGCGTTCTTCACACACATACGCAAATCCCAAGAACATCTTATCCAACTAATCATTCACCCTCTCTTTGGTCAATTGGATCAGTATTCCGGATCGGAGCAATATCCTCGTTTCCCTCAAGGAGTAAGCAAATTCATCCACCAGCGTTTTTTCACTAACTTGACCTCTGTCTGGACGGTAAGAAAAGACAATGAGGTCAAGCTACGTGCGATGTGTGAGAAACCTTTTAATCCCGCCCACCTCAAGAAGTACCCTGATGAGATTTTATCGATTTTCCGTTCCACTATCATGTGGGAGATGAGGCCAGAGATTATTACCTAATGGCTTGATTAGGTAGATCATGAAGGCTAAAGCATTATCTTATACGTAATTAGGATCAGTCATACTGTCAGTAAGGACCGGATCGATATTTTAGTAACTCCTGAATAGACCTATACTTTAGTGGTTAATTGCACTCGACTCCATTGCCTTTTTCTATATCCTGATTAGTCCGTTTTGCGTGTACCCGTTAGACTTTAGTAAGCCTATTGGACAGCCCATTGGGCTTCGGTGGGCCGGCCTAAGCCCATTGGGCTTTGGTAAGCCTATTACGGCCTATTAGAGTGGAGATACTATTTTTACATAATTTATGAAAGATATGCTGTATTTTTAGTATTCTAGCTGTAAATACCATAAATAAAATACATACTTTTACTACTAAGAGATGGGGTTTTGTGCACAAAACCCCTTCTACCTGAAATTTCAGGAGTCATTCATTTGCGCTGAAATCAGTAACCCTTATTGATCTGATAAAATTTGATTGATAAATAATAATAAATAATGACTAAAAACACCTAATTAATTACATGAAATCCAATTGGCTGATCAGGGCGCTTCCGTATGCGACCAGAGGTGCGAGATGCGGGCAAATTCCCATCATCCGCACTTTCATCCGAACTTTCTTCGGATAAATCCCCTCTTTTTCTCTTCAACCTCACACTCTCTCTCATATATACTCTTATACTCTCTCTTATACTCTCTCTCATACTCTTACTCTCATCCTTACTCTCTTTAATATCACTAATTTCACTAATATCACCCTTTTCTACCTGAACTTCATCCTTTTCCCCCTCATCAAAGATATCCAAAGATCGAATGAAAGCAAGCTCTGTCTCTTCTATCTCAAATTAGGTAACACGACTATAGAGCATAAGGTCTTTAATCGTATCCACCTTAAGACGACCACGTCGATAGTGGTAAATATCACGTGCTGAGTTAAAAAGCCTTTCTACCCCAGCACCTGTCGCTGGGATAGAGAAGATATCACACGCAATTTGCGCAAGAATTGGGTATTTAGTCTCATTTTCTCTCCAAAATTGTCGAGTATTTAGCAGGGTTTTGCCTAAAGATAGGGTTAGTAAGCTTTATTAGCTAAAAGAGAGTATAAAAGGGTATAAAAAGGTAGTAAAAAGTGCCAAAAAGTGTAAATTACCTGATTAAAGATAGTGAGATAACTCATCTTGGACAAAAGAGCTCTCCACTTCTGGGGTAAGTAAGCTTTTAAGCTCACTCTGCTCACTCTGCTGAAGGGTAATCGAGGGTAGATCTGATAGACCAGTATATTTACTTTGATATTCTTTTATCCGATCTTTTAAGCTTATCTCATATTAAGTAGCATAATCTTGATCTGACTAATCAGCAGTTTAGAAAAAGCGGAGCTTATGCTAAGGGGCAAGAATTATCCCATGTACATACAGATTACCAAGGTTAGGGCTATTAGTTTAAGCATAATACTCAGATAGCTTAACCTTAGCTGCTTCTAGGGCCTGAAGCATATGCTGCTTCTATGGAATCTAAAGAGAAGATATCAGCTTTTTGACAAAAAAAGATCGGATGAATGAAAAAAAGATCAGATAAAACTTACCTTTTTCCGCCGCAGCTTCCGGATTAAAGCTTCCAGATAGACAAATAGCTTATTATAGATCAGGAAGACAGTATGGATAGTAATATCCTTTATTTTGCATAGAACTGTGGTAAACTAGTAAAAAGGCTCTATAATATATAGTAGATAGTCGATTTGCTACTATTCGTCTGCAGAAAGCTTCATTTCTGTAAGCTTAGACATTAAGCAATACTTTGTAAGCTGATCTCGAAGACGCTTAGCCCGCTGTAGCATCAAAAAGGTTAAATTCCACCGAGTCCGGACGTCTTAAAGTGGTAATAAGCGTACTTTTATCTGATCTTGAAGCCCTAAGAAGGTATCTCGTCGTTATGGGCTTACGTTGATATAGATAGCTAAATTCCGAGCTTTTTAGAGGGATTTAGCTATACCCTCTATACCCCTTTTGCTATAGGAGAGATCGTTAGACCAAATAAGGTCAATTATATCATTCTTAGGGCCTGCTTTTATCTGTCCAAGCAGCTGCTTTAGGCTTAGCTAAATTACGTGGGCCATACAAGGATTTCTGATAAATAAGCATATAGGGTATACAGCTTGGAGAGAATCCACCAAAGTATGGTTATATGACGCATTATCAGCTATAATAGCCATAATTCAGTCTGATAAATCATATGCTTCGATAGTAGTTTGCACTATTTTTATAAGATTTTCACCAGAATGGGGCCCTGATAGGGGCTCAAACCCTAAGAGCACTTCTCTATACTCCCATGATTCGTTAAGAAAATAGCCTATTATAGCCATAAATGCTTGCTGAAAAGGGGAGGTCCAACAATCAAGGCTAAGCGAGAGCTTAGAAGTAAGGGGTAGGGTATCGAGAATAGCCCTTTATCGAGTTTTGGTCTCTTTTATCAACCTGCGTTGAATTGTTGAACCACAGGGGAAAGATAGTATAGAAGGTACTGATTATGCAAGCTATAGAAGGTTCTGGAAGTGTGGGCTTTCGACTAGGTAAAAAGGGAGCCGTAGACTAGTAATAGTAGTCAAAAGCTATTTTTCCCATAAATCGTTAGAGAAGGGTAGGGTAGGATTAGTAGGATTGGTAGTTATGGTCTATTATGAAAGAGCTTATTAGCTTTTATGGCGAAAAATGATGGGATGAAAAGAGCTAAATTACCACTTTCTATATAAGTTATTAGATATTAGGGTATTTTACCCTATTCTGACAACTTTAAAGGTGTTAACGAATTACATTAGTGCTATTTACTACTGATTTACCATACCAATTCGGATAAACAAAGATATTTCTACAGTATAAGCACCGAACCTAAGGTTTTCCGGTCCGAAGGCTAGCTAATTACTATAAACTTTACCAAATTAGAGAAATATGCTTTCCATCCCATCTCATTTCAGACCTCGATAGGATTAATCCATACTAGGTTTCTGACCACCATTTTTTAAAGTCTTCACTTATAGGTTTAGCCCAAAGTGCATACTCTTCACCATTAACCCTAACTCGCTCAATTGATTCTAGTAGGGTTGTGAAGGGCTGAAGCAGAATTTATGTTCAATTGAGCTAGGCCACGAACTGTGTACAAAAAGCTTAAAGAGAGAATTATTAAGTAGGTGTTCTGTGTGTTAGGTTGTTATGGTCACGTGGTGCACGTGACCTTATACCGGGCACTGGCCCGTGACAGGGTAGGGGATAGGGTAGGGGGTAAAAAGGATAATATAGAATCAGATAGATCAATACTATCAATACTATCACTATAAAGTGATAATTAAGACATATCAATATAAGGGGTAAGTAAGAGAAGAATCAGAGAGGAATCAGAGAAGAAAAAGTAAAGAAAAAGTAAAGATAAAAGGGGTAAATTATAGTAAGTAGGGCTAGTATTTACTGGAGAAAATTGTCTAAGTCCAACAATTCGAACCTTTCATCCGAACTTTTATACTATTTCTACCTATTTTTTATCAATTGAATAAAGAATATAGATATTAGAGGGTCTAATCCATTAGATTCTACTTCAAACTAGTTCAAAAACGCACTTTTAGGGTAAATTTAGTACTAAAGATGGTATAACCAGAAATATAGTGAGGGTAATGCATATAGGCTTTAGCATGGGCCGGCCCATTGGGCTTTACCCTTGTCCAAGCCCAGCCCATGGGCCGACCCCTTTGTCCAAGGCCCATCATGGGCCGGCCCATGGGCCTAAAAAAGCCCATGGGTGCCTGATTCTGCCTGATTTTTGGACATAAACTGCTGAGTCACCTGAAATTAATTCTGTTATTTACCCCTGTTTTCGTTAAAACACATACCACCTACCCTTATATCTATCTTCTCTATTGTATTTTTATGAAATATTCTTGTATATAGATAGATAACTACTATCTTTATACATCGATTAGCTCTTTTTAAGGATAATAGTAGCATATAGGTTATATCAGAGAATGGTGGTTGATAAACTTACCAAGGTATGAAGATATATATTTCGCACATGCATACCCTCACTATTTTTCTGGTTATCCCATCTTTACTACCAAATTTACCCAAAAAGTACGGTTTTGAACTATTTTAAAGTTGAATCTAATGAACTAGACTCTCTTTTTTAAAATGGTATTAAAGTTCGGATGAAAGGTTAGAAATGTTGGACTTACGCGGGGTTTTCGGCAGAAAACCCCACAATAATTAGGGATAGGGTTATAAGCCAGTTAAAGGGTTATTTTCTTAGTATTTTGGCATATTAGTATAGTTAGTATATACTATTCTAGTTATTCATAACTAGGGTTCGATTCCAGTGCAGACTGGTTTATATTTCTTTAATTTGTGAATTTTTTAATATATTTATTATGTGTGCGTATTATATAGCTGTATTTAACAGCTAGTATACCAAAAATACTGCACATTTTTCATAAATTATGTAAAAAAAGTGTCTCCACTCTAATGGGCCGCCATGGGCTTTTCATGGGCCCATGGGCTTTGCTAAAGTCTACCCGCACCCGAACCCGCCCCATCCTCCCTATGGGTCGGGTTTTGGGTCGGGTCTGTCTAACCCGCATGCGGGTTACGGGTTCTGATGGGAAACCCGCGCGGTTTTATGGGTTACCCAATAGGGATGTTGTAATTACGAAATTGGCCAACTCATTACGAAATCTTGAAATTTCATTTCATTTTCTCGTTTCAATTACATTTCAAGGGGCTGGCGCCTGCTGAGTCATCAGAAGCGGTAACCTATTATAGCCAATAATGGCCTATACTTCATTTTTCTGCCAGTCTTCATCAAGTATGCTGTAGCTCGTGGCAACAGGTGGAAGAATATATATCTTTGGCTTGTTTAGAATACTCTCAAGGTCTCACCCCTTCCTAGCACCCTCACCTTCGAAATGGCTCCTAATCATCCTTGCGGAAAGGTTTCCTACTCAGAGCTCGAGCTTCAGAGATGCTTCAAAATCATACAGGGTGATAAAAAGGTAAGAACTAATTCATAAACTTATCCTCTACTCCCCTAATTGCAGCTTCTTCAGGTGCCTCAAGCACAATGTCTTGGATGCTTGAAGACTCGCGCCAAAAATACTACACGCCAGAGTGAGCATGTTAATAAATGCACAAAAGCACAGGCTCTGATGGATCCCAAGACCGCCGCAGAGAAGAAACAGAAATTGCTAAGTTTCTCTACATCTCAGCCAGCCAGAAGCATTGATCAGCTAATCGCTCAGGTCTGTTTCACCGGGGCTAGACCATTCAACCTTTTCGAACAGCAAGAAATGCGAGAACTTATCCATGCGTTAAGCCCGACGTATCAAATTCCTTCCCGCCAACGAGTCGCCGATGACCTGCTGGATGAAGCATATAATGAACTACTAGAGAAGGTTATTAAAGAGTTACGGAGAACTGAGTTCTTAAATGTCACAGTGGATGAGACCACTAACATTAGATCTCAACGGGTGATAGTGATGACTATAACAACGCCGATAAAGTCATGGTTTGTCTACTTGAATGATATGGAAGACAAGACTCTTGATGCTCCTGCTATTAGTGGTTGGATCTTGAATAGTCTCAAATGTCTCCTACTACAACTGGATACAACGATTGACTGGAAAAGAATTAATTCTATCTCGACAGACACATGTTCTGTCATGAAATCGGTCTGGGAGAAGCTAGAGAACACACCAGAGCTCAAACACTGCTTTATGATTCCCTGTGACTCTCACGGCCTACAGTTAATCATGAAGGATATTGTTGATGCTAAGGGTTCGAAGGTTCCACGGGCTGCGGAGGTATTTAAGTCGGCCCTTGAAATAGTCGTCTTCTTCCACCACTCACCACTCGAGTACGCAAGGATGCAAGGAAAGCAGATTGAGAAGTGGGGATATAGGAAGGCTCTTATTGCGTCAGTCATTACAAGATGGGGAACGCAATATAATATGCTCTCCTCGCTCCACGACTGCCAAGAAGCTATCTGTGAGTGGACACTTATCACTCCTGCTACCTCGACTGCTAGGGGGAGGGAGATTATTCGGATAGCGAACTCGCATTCGTTCTGGTGGCAACTAAAGGAGTTGATTAAAATCCTTAAGCCTCTACATGTTGCCCAAAAAGAGTCCGAAGCTCGGAACTCGTCGATTATGGAGGTAACGCAGCGATGGCTAGATCTCCATGAAGATCTACGAACATTGGCTTCCCAAACATCTCTTAAGGACGATTTCTTGTCCTATTTGGATGGCATAGGCTGGCAAAGTCGAATACTACGTCAGCTTGAGCCTATCCACTGGGTAGCCTATCATCTTGATCCCGCTAGAGTCCCTGGGAAAGTTGACCAGAGCTCTCGTAATTATATCGGTGTGCTACGGCCTCTACAGAACAACGACAAAAGCTCTTCCGCTTGGCATGAATTTCTGTCATTCAGGCAGAGAACGGGCGCTTTTTATAATGCCTCCTGCTGGAAGGCCCAGAGCCCGTCTCTCTTTTGGCTTGAGGCAGTACGTTATACTATCAACGATTAAAACGAAGGACTTACTTACGATATGCTTATACAGGAGGACTTTGCTCCGCTTCTTGCACCCTTTGCTCGTCGACTCTGCAATACTGTGGCAAATTCAGCGGCAGCGGAGAGAGCCTTTTCACAGATGAACCTTCAGCATACAAAAGTCCGAAATAGGCTCGAGCCCCACCGCGTTGAAAAACTGCTCTTCGTGCAGATCAATAAACGACAATTCCGGACAGAACGGCCTCCCGAAGTTGCGCAAGAATCACTCCTTCAAGAAGAGGATAACGAGATAGAGAGGGTTTTGCAGCGAAACCAAGTGCTAGACGATCTATCAGGGGGCTCATATCAACTACTAGAGCAACCACCGGAGCAACCACTAGAGCAACCGCCAGAGCAACCGCCAGAGCAACCGCCAGAGCAACCGCCAGAGCAACCGCCAGAGCAACCGCCAGAGCAACCGCCAGAGCAACCGCCAGAGCAACCGCCAGAGCAACCGCCAGAGCAACCGCCAGAGCAACCACCAGAGCAACCACCAGAGCAACCAACAGAGCAATCACCAACGTCTGCCCTGGTTTTAGCATTGAATTCAGCTTTGACTTCAGCTTCAGAATCAACAAATCCTGCCCTCATTTCTGCGTTGAAGTCGAGGCTTAACTCCTTGTTGAAGCCAACTTCGGAGCCTCCCCTTAGTCCTTCAACGAAACCCACAACAAATTCAGATTCAGCTCATCTTATGCGGACGAGGTCGAAGCGTGTATCTGAATGGCCTCAAGGAGTTCCAGATGATTCCAAGCGGCCAACTCGGCGACGGCGGGGGATAGATGACACATGATGTCTATGTCACGTGCTTTACGTTCGACTGTTTTGATTGGAAGAATGGAAGATAATCATTACCACTTTGGGACTAGCTAGATTTCAAGATTTCAAGCCCCATTTCAAATTACATTTCAAGCAGCCAAATTTCAGGAATTTCGAAATTTTGAAATTTCATTTTGACATCCCTATTACCCAATGGGTCGTCAAACAGGACAAACATAGAAATTTATGTATAAAACTGTACATAAAAGTGGTTTATTACATAAAAAATTATGCAAAGATGGGCTAGCGTGGGTAACCCGCACCCGAACCCGCAACCCGCCCCATGCGGGTTGCGGGTTGACTTTACCTACCCATTTGCGGGTTATGGCACAGACTATGCATGGGCCGGAAAATTATGTCCAAGGCCCAACCCATGCTAAAGCCTAAGTAATATATACATATATTACATATATTACCTAGTTAATACTAATGTTTTTGATAGACTACATGGTAATTACATAGAGATTTAAATTTACCGGCCCATGGGCCAGAAAATTATGTCCAAGGCCCAGCCCATGCAGAAGTCTAATAACAGGATAAAAGGGCCCTTGATATAGTTGTTTTTGCGCTTAAAGTCATATAGAAACCAATCTACACACAATTGGTTGGTCGGACGAGGGTGAATTTTAGACTAATAAACCCTTAGCGCTTACTTCTGCAGATCCAATCTACCTAGTCGACCGCTTTTCAAACGCTTCTTAGTGGTCGATCGTACCGTGGTAGGGGGGAGGGGAGGTCGGTAGGTAGGGCGAAATTCTCGAGGTCAGGTATTATGATTAGTCGAAAGAGCTTAGTAAGTAGGGGTTGAGAAGAAGAGTTTTACACAGAGGTGAAATATGCAGATTAACAGATTTACTATAGAGAAAGGGATAAAAGTGGGTTCATCCAAGCGAAGGGCGTGATAGATCCGAGGGTGTGGTAATTCCGCGGGAGCTATAAGCGAGGTTTGACTGTATTTATTCTTTGAACAATACCGGATGGAATACATGGGCTCGGAAAAAGATGCAATCAATTAAAAAGTACTATATTTATTCAGCTTAAACAACCAAACAGCTTACTACCCAGAATATTGAGCCTCAACAAATTTGTCTAATTGGCCTGTTCATCGCCACCATTGAACAATATCAGCAAACCCTTGGCAGCATGCTCCCCGAGGGCATCCAAAGTGCCCATTCCCATCATCTCCAGCACACTGATATCGAACTTGAACGTCATTTTCCACCACTGCCTCATTTCGATTGCCACAAGAGAATCCATACCAAGATCAGACAATGAGCACCATGTATGCAGATCATCTTCTGACTTCAACAAGAAGCTGAAAACTTTCTTTCCAATCTCGAGAGCTAGAAAATGAGCGGAATCTGGTCGAACTAACAAAGTGGGATGGCCCTTCGCCGAGGCGATGAATGATTTGAGATTGTCACTGGAGGCAGTACTTGATGTGTTGCTGGTGGCTTTGTTGTGGAAGACCGCCGTCCGGATGTCTTGCTTCCAGAGAGCACGGTTACCAGGATCATTCAGGGGCACCCTACATTGAAGTCCAATGCAGAAGTTGTTTGAAGGCTTGTCGGTTGTCGATTTGATGGCCAACTCTATTCCCTCGAAAAGCTGGCATATAGAAATTGTATCACCCAATATACCGGTGGCCTTGAACCTTTGCATGACTGATTCGCGGACGGCGAGGCAGCCCACTTCCTCGACCGCTCCTATACCAATCGCACAGGCCGGCAATCCCAAGCCAAGGCGGTATTGAGAGAATGCATCCAGGAAGGTATTCGCGCCGGCATAGTTACTTTGACCAGGCTGCCCAAACATACCAGACAGAGAGCTGAAAAGGACAAAAAAGTCAAGTTCTGCGCCAGCGGAGAGAGCTGTATTATGGAGGTTCCAGGTTCCATTGACTTTAGGATTCACGGCTTCGTTCCAGTCATCCAGGGTCATACGTGTCAAGTTTTGGTCCCGGTTTACCATGGACATCTGAAAGATACCCTTCAATTGGCCCTCAGCTTGAGCTCGCGTGACGGCCTTGGTCACATCGTCAAGATTGGAAACACTACCCTGGACAAAGCCGACGTGGCACCCCATACTGATTAGCTCTCGAGCAAAGTCTCGGTGCTCCTGGCTTGTACCCGCGCTGCGGGAAAGAAAAATGAAGTGACGTGCGCCACGTTCTGCCATCCAGACAGAAAGACAACGGCCTATGCCTCCGAGGCCGCCGACCAAGAGATATGCGCCAGAACTGGTGAACTGCGTGGGCTCTCTGCGCTTTTGTACCTGCCCCTCTAAATCTAGATTCACCTGACTGGCAGAATCGCGAATCGACACCACGATCTTGCCTAAGTGGATACCCTGTTGCATGTATCGGAATGCGTCCAGTATTGCATCTGCTTTGAAGATTTTGATTGGTCGGATCGGATGGATATATCGCTCTCTAAGCAGCTGAACGACTCTCTTAAGTAGCCTTATGCTATGTCAGTATCATTCATCATAACTTCAAGTCCTGTCAATACATACTGCTTCAAAATGGTCGGTCTCCTTAAGCAGATCTGATCCAAGTCAACGCAGCAATAATTGCGATTTTGGATGAAGGGGCTCATATCAAGCTTTCCAGATCCTAACAGATCTCGTTTGCCAATCTCGATCATTTTTCCAAAGACTGCAATGCACTTCCACGTAGCATGTAGCAACTCGCCAGACAGTGAGTTAAGTGCTAGGTCGACACCGCCGTTGGTCTCCCGTAGAACGTCCTCGACAAACGAGATGTTGCGAGAATTGAAGATTCGCTTTCGAGGTAGACCAAAATTTTCCATGAGATATTTCACTTTCTCCTCATTCCCGACAGTGACATAAATCTCAGCACCGACCATCTGAGCGAGCTGAATGGAAGCGATGCCAACCCCTCCACAGGCACTATGTATAAGAATGGACTAGAAGGATCGTCAAATCCAATTCAGAAGCAAGTCAAAGAAGCAAGAAGACATCCGAAAACGTACCTGTCCTTTCTGTAGATTGCCAATGTTGAAAATGCAGTATATCGATGTAGCGAACACACAAGGCATTGTAGCCGCATCCTCAAAAGTCAAACCACCTGGGATTCTCTCACAGAGATTTTCGGAAACAACTACCTGGGTGCTGAATGCACCAGATCCAATCAAAAACACACGGTCGCCAGCTTTTAGATCTTTGACGTGAGGACCGGTACGCCGAACAGTACCAGCAGCCTCAAGGCCAAATCCAATTCCAGAAGCTTCGACAATATTCATTGCACATAAAACATCCTAGAAAATATTGTTAGTTCTTGTATTTCCCATCTTTCGTGATCTTGCGACATACCCTGAAGTTCAAGCCAGTGGAATGTATGTCAATCTCCACATCATCACCCTCCAGTAGTTGTTTTGTCTCCTGGCAAGCCCAGTGCAAAGTGCTTAGACTACCAGGCTTCCTCGAGCGTAGAGTAATAACATCGTCTACAGAAGAGGTCGAGATCTCGTCATGCACCAGGAAGGGATAAACGCGTGCAACCTGGACCGTATTTCTGACAACAGCGTATTCGAATTCAGGCTTCAGAGAGTGGCCCTCTTGGCGTAGCTGAAATCTCTCGAACACATCGATAATTTTATCGCGGGAAGAATCAGAGTCCACGTTGTCGACCTCACATGTGGCAAGGCTAACCAGTTTCTCGGATCGGATGGATCTCGCGATGCCGTTGATCTGGCCATATCGTGGATCCCGACACTCCATTTGTAAAAGTTTGGTCACCCAGAGAATACCGATACCGCATTCTTCCATATTCTCAACTAAGGCTTTGAATGCTTCGAATCGCTGTTGATCTATGTTTTCGAAGAATGGTGCTTCATCATCAAGGAAAGCAATCACGTCTTGGCTAGCAGGCAAATGGGCGCCCTGTAGTCCCCAGCGGTCAACGACATATCCCCTGTTTTCCAAAGCCTGAACCATAGAGCGTATACGACTAGACGCAGAAAGACTCAGGAGTGTCACACATTTCTTAGGAAAGTTTTCCTTCTCAGGCGCCTGTCTGGCCACAATAACAGCACCCAGCTGATATGGTTCTGGTGCATCAAGAACGACAGCATCGGGGGTACGGAATCCAGCAGCCTTCAGCTCTCTCACCCAGCGATGGACATCCACATATGGCTCATCTACTCGGTCATCAGCTTCGCCATTCCACCAGCCCGCGAGAGTTCCCCAGATGTAATTCACCCATTTAGAAGTTGGTGATGGTGCTAGCTCATGAAGCAAAAGCCGGCCACTGGGTGCGAGTAGTTTGTGCACATTCTTCAAACTTTCATTAAGATATGGGGTGGCGTGAATCACATTGGTTGCTAGGATGAGATCGTATACACCATGAAAGCCCTGCTCCAGGGGGTCTTTGCTAATATCGAGAGTTGCAAATTCCATGTTGGGATATGAACCGAAGCGATTTTTCGCAGCAACGAAGAATCCAGGAGAAATATCAGTAAAGGTATAACTTGAGTATAGCGTTCTACCACCGGGCGTTAAGTACCTCAAGGCACTGGCAGTAGACCCACCTAGCCCGGCACCGATCTCGAGGACACGTAGATTGGGCTTGCTGTGTGCCAAATGTTGAAAAAACTGTGACTCATCACACTGATCAATGGAGGCATATAGGCTGTTCATTGTGCCGTCCGAAATAAGTAAATCCAGTGCCTCTACTTCACCGGTGAAGATCCTTTCGACACTGTTGAATATCTTCTGAATGGCCTTAGAAGGAGCGGCAGCTACAGTTTGCGACAAATTATTGACAACGCACTTGACTTGCTGCTCAATGGTATAATTGTCAAGCATGGAGTGATCAAAATCACAAAGCTGCAGTTGTGCCCTAACCCAAGACCGATACTTTCGCATATGACTGATTGTAGTGTCAAGGCCTGCAATGACTCGATTTGTGTGAACCATGCAAATATGGCATAGCTCTGTTAGGGCTTCTGTGTGGGCACTACGATCGACCGATGGCAGAATAAGAGTATTCACATCCAAAAAGTCAATGTGAGGCCCCCATTCTGCGCGGGCAGTAGTTTCATCGGCTTTGGACTCCTGGTCATCTATAACAGAGAGCCTGATGCCCGAACCACGTAAGACAAGCTTACCATTAGAGACACACTGTCCGCCACCAATGATAGAGCCGTTTGGAGTGTATGATGCAGATGCTCGGACTTGGACATTTTCATGACTTGTGTAAATACACAATTCCTCGATGTTCGTCGGCACCATCATTTTAGTGGTAGGATTGGCGTAACCCTTTGATGCAGCGATACTGAGTAGCTGTAGCAAAGCATCAATTATGGTCGGATGGAGGTGGTAGCCCTCGCCATCGGTTGTCTTGCTGATTACCTCTGATGTTGCCTCTGTTGTCAGAGTATCTGACCGAATGTCATCTAGACGTTGGAATGCAGGCCCGAAATTGAGACCAGATCTAGCCATAGACCGGTAACAGCGACGAGTATCGATTTTGCGCAATAGAGGGGTACTGCTTTCCTGGTAGACATTTCCGCTATATGATCTAGCCTCACCAAAGCAATGCTTTATTGAGACTGTGCCGCTGTGAGAAGCGATTGTGAACTCCCACCAGTCACTGTCGAGGAAATCTGTTAAGCGGTGACGGCGCATTATAGTCATTATTTCGACTGGCTGGCTGTTTTCTCTCAAGACCAATGCAGTATTGGCGACCACATTTCGCATTATAAATGCTTCATTGACTCCAGTGATCTGCCGCACAGCCTCGCCAACCATTCCAACATAAGCAGCGAGAGGAAAGACGATATCTTCGCCGATTTTGTGGTCACGAATCCATGCCGCGTTGTCCAGATGGAAGACATTGCGGAAAAGAACCTCAAATTCGAGACTTTCTGCTAGTCGAACGCCCAAAAGACTGTGATGCTTATGTCCTCCCAGTCGGTGTCGCCAATGCTTGGTTAATCGAGACTCGTGCCAAAATTTCTTTGAATGGTCCCAGGGGTATCTCGGAAGATCTGGTAGGGCCAAACCCTCCGTAATGACCCGGTTAAGGTCAAGGCTAGCATTAAGAGTATAAAGCTTCCCGATGGCTGTTAAAAATGATTCCACGTCGTTCTGGTTGCGAACGAGTGAACAGGCATAAGGAGAAGTGTTAGATAGGTGGCTCTGGACTTGACGTAGGGGACCAGCGAGAGCGGAATGTGGGCCGACCTCGAGGAATACCATATTGTTCGCAATTTTGTGCCGGATGATGGAGGAAATAGCAGAGTGGAAGAGGACAGGACACTCTAAATTTCTCTGCCAATATCGGGAATCCAGGTTCGACTCCGGGGTGAGTAGCTTGCCCTCAAGGCTACTGAAAAACAGCATTTTGAAGGTCGATTTTGAGCCTTTGCTGGATATGTGATTTTCTATAAGGGCATGATATATATCACCTATCTCAGCCATATGGTGAGAATGGTATGCCTTGTCTACCTGTAGCTTTTTGGCCAGGATGTCAGGATGGGTTTCTTTGATTCTGGTCATTGAAAACTCAACTGCCTCGCAGTCACCAGCGATAGTAACACTTTTGTTCGAGTTTTCGCAAGCAACAGTTACTCCGGGCTGCAGATATTCTTGTACGCTGTCTGAGCCAAGGCCTATCGCGGCCATAGCCCCTATTTTGGTTTGCATTTTGGTGACCTTACCACGATAAAACGCAGTTATAATGGCCTCCTTGGCAGTGAGTGCACCGGCAGCATATGCGGCAGCTATCTCGCCACTAGAGTGACCAATAACAGCATCAGACTGAACACCAACGGAGGCAAAGATGTCGACTAGGGCTATTTGAATTGCAGTGCAAAGAGGCTGAGAATATTCAGCTGAGCCGAGTCTGCTAGTCTGGATTGGCTTCTGTAGCTCTTCCTCAATTGTCCAGTCTGGAGCATCATCCTCAAGGGTTTGGATATACGCATCAAGAGATCTGATACTCTTTTTGAAGACAGGATAGGCCAGTATCATGCACCGACCCATTTCTGGCCATTGGGCACCCTGGCCAGTGAAGACCATGACAATATTGGGAGTTTCGCTAGAAGACCGAAAAGGTAGTGAAGCCGTAATACCCCCAAATAGGTTTGCCACGGCGAATGCTCGATAGGACAAATGCTCTCTTCGTTTGGCTAGAGTGAAGGCCAGGTTATTCACCATACCGGGGTGTTTTTGTGCGTAATCACTGTAATTGACTATTATCTTCTTCAGTGAATCGGCATTGTTGGCGGAATAGACAAGTAGTTGTGGAGTTGTCATAGTCTGATTCGTGATAGGAGAGACACCGAAGCTTTGAGCGGAATCGAGGATGACATGAGCGTTTGTGCCTCCAATTCCAAAAGAGTTGACACTGATACGCTCTTTTCGAGAGTTGGGCCATGGCATTGCCTCTGTGGGCACAGAAAGACCACTTTCCCATGGTATATTAGGGTTAGGCTCATTGAACTTGATGTTCGGGGGAATAACACGATGCTCTAGTGCCAAAACTGACTTGATTAGCGAGGTTAGGCCTGAGGCACCTTCAGAGTGGCCAAGATTAGGCTTGACAGAGCCAATTTGAACACCCCCGGATGGACCAAAGACACGACCAATTGCCCTGGTCTCTATTGGGTCTCCGATTGAGGTTCCTGTGCCATGGCACTCAACGAAGGCTGTTTGGGAGTAATCGTACTCCGGGATACCAGCAACTTCGTAAGCTCGCCTGATCATTGCTTCTTGTGCAACATCATTTGGCATTGATATGCCGGCACCGGTACCCTTTCCATCGCTATTTGAAGCTGTTGCGCGGATAACAGCTCGCACCGGGTTGCCATCGCGTATAGCCTCTGCTAGTGGCTTGATAAAGATAGCAGAGACTGCCTCTCCACGAGCATAGCCATTAGCATCAGCAGAAAAAGTTTTGCACGACCCATCTGGGGCAAGAACGCCTTGCTCTGACATTGCGGCGGTCATTCCTGGGGCCATTATTAAATTGGCTCCGCCGACAATGGCTCCTTCGCAGTCGCCTCTGGAAACCGCTACACATGCCTCGTGCAATGCAACAAGAGCTGCAGAGCAGCCCGTGCGGATTACCATGCTGCAGGTTATAAGTCAGGATATGATATAGTATAAATTGGAGGGCAACGTAAGAATGACAGGAAGGTAGCAAGGTGGAAGAGGAGTGAGTGATGTGCAAAATATCAGACATTGACTCACCTTGGTCCCGTCAGATCCATTTCATATGAAATGCGGTTGGAAAGCATGAAATCTCCATATCCAGTCACACGGTATAAGCCATATTGCTGGTTCTCCTTCGCAGACATCTCGACCCAATCCTCACCAAAGCTTCCCATATAGCAGCCGATCGGTCGACCTTTCCAGTTCACACCTGCATCTTCAAGGCACTCGCGAGCAACCTCGAGCATTTGTCGTTGGTGTGGGTCCATTCTCTCAACATCGAGCTTTGCCATGGAGAAGAATGACGTATCAATGTAAGCCAAGTCAATGCTCTCATCAAGAAAATATCCATATTCGGTCTTGGTACTACCGGGATTCGGCATCTCGGAGTCAGAGTAGTATGCAGAGGCGTCATATCTTGACTTAGGTACTGGGCCGCGAGCATCACCTTTAGCAATCAAAAAGTCCCAGAGCTGTTGTGGCGAGTGTATGCCTCCAGGGAGACGAACAGACATGCCGCAAATGGCGATTGGTTCTTGAGGGTGAACTTCCTTGCATTAGAATCTTCTGAACGGTAAATGCTGCCAATAATCTCACATGTTGTACTTGACGATGCGCCAATTGTACTCAGATGGTCATTCAGGTGTTTCTTTGTGTCGCTTTCAAAGTTAATGTCACCCGTATTTGGAACATAGCCATTCGAGTCATCGGTATCGATAATTAGCGGTGCCATTATATTGATTTCACGGCAAGACTATGAGAATAATCAGGGGCGTTCGAGTCCAAATTATATGATTTTCCCCTCAGCCTTTTTTTCACTAGTCTCGTTCAATAAGATATGATAAAACCCCCATGACGCGATAGTAGACCCCAGAATCGCTGATTGGGCATTTTTTTACCCTTGCATACTGGTGGGACAAGGATGCATCATCCAGCCTTGCATACCTGCCATATACATCGTAGCCTTTCTTTTATAAGCCAATCATATTGTGGGGTTCTTTGCTTGCATATCTTAACTTGAATATGTCGTTCCTCAAAGAATACTCTCCTGCTTTCCCTTCAAAATCTGCTCAGCACTGTCATAAATCGAAATCAAATCGGTATTCCGAGGACGAGATATCTGGCTTTTGATGGATTGTGACAGTGATATTGCTTCAGTCAGGTTACTGGGCATCTAAGAGACACAAGGCTCAGGAGTGTTTTGGCCCCTTTTGTGTGACTAGGCCACCCACAGGATGGGGTGGGGCAGGGCATTTATTGACTATTCGAGCCACGTATCGCACCGCACAGACCCTCTTCTAGATATTTATTACCCTGCGGAATAGATTTCCCTGCTCTAAAGTTCGGTGCAGTGGTTTCCAGGGTAATCATCCATCACATGTTCATAGAGCGATTTAGCTCAACCTCAATCCTGTTTCATGATTCAAGTTTGATTTTGTTGCTTTTGGCTGAAGTGGCTGCCACGTGGCAGCCATACAAACGGTCATCGTGCTCTGTATGATACTGCATCTGCATTCCCACAAAGTAGAAGACTGACAAGAAGGATTTCCTTCTTGAATTATAGGATCTTATGTTCAATACATTTAATATAGTCTAACTTAACAGGTACTACTTAAATATAAAGTCTATCTGTGCATAATATTGAGTTTTCTGATCGAGTTTGCGTGAAACGGGAATGATTTTAGGCGTTCAGCCATAATCCGACAGATGGCACGTATCGCCCCGCACTGACCCACGGATCGGTGCGAACTACGGGTCAGTGCGGGGCGAACCGTGTATCGATTGCATAATTACGCCAATCATATCCTTTTTGGGAATGGGCCGCTGAGTCAGCTTTGTCGTATCATGATTTTCGAGTCTTTCCATGCCCATCACAACGTAGCTGACCTTCTCGAGTTTCATGAATTGTAATTCTGAATGGGCAATTTCACAAAGCTTGTGTCCCTGGCTATGAGTTCCAAAGTCCCGAGGTTGTGGTTGATGCCAAATGTTGGTAATCTCATGGAGTCGAAAGTAAATATTTCAACCAAAGTATACCGGTGGACCACTGGCATATACAGAAAAGCAAAGCATCCGGGGATATAATACAGAGAACTAACGTACCAGTAAGCTTAGTGTACCAAGATGACCGCCTGTACAATGACTTTTGTTCCAAGCCTGAAGCTACATTTTCAGTCTACGTTTATGGAAAGAGAAGTGGATTAAATTTCATGAAAATGTAGATGAGCTAATTGCGATTAAAAATTCTCTGAATATTTGCGGCCGGTATATCAGTGCAAGTGTGGTCCTTGGAGGCTTGCATGAAAAGCTATTGTGGTTTTTGGGCCCTTGAGGCCATCGACTTCAACAATTTGTGATGATCGATAGCTCAAGTAGATTCTCGAATCAAGGGGCATTCTGCCACTGCATGGCTGGAATAGATTTTGTAGCTTAGGAGAATTTCAGGATTTCAATTAGATGATTTTGATAGATCATAGCACTCCAAAGAAACCCGATCTCGGAATTCCCTTTGATAAAGGAACTTTTGTCAGTAGTGGTTCTTGCTATGTCCTGTAAGGGGCAAAGGCATGTCTAGACCAAAAGCAATCATTTTTGATAGTGTGGGGAGTGGGGTGTGGGGCTTACCAAGAGAGTGGCTGAATTATTATGCTTGGTGAGATCTGTACTTTCGATCCCTGTCGGACGTCCTCGGGCATCATAATAGGGACTCTAATTGGATATGAATGTTGACAGGAACGGCCAGAATTTCAATTTCTACTTTTGCGCGTCACACCGCTGCGAGAAAACGCAAGGGATGACGAAAGGCCTCTCTATAAAGAATTTGCTCTCTCGGCCGTGTTGTGAGACTACTCATCTGTCTACGAGTCAAACCACTGGAGCTCAATATGTCTGGACAAGCCTCAGCAGTACTCGCCATTGCTATGATGACTGCGGGGTATTTTGTCGTACTTTGTGCCACTCCCCCAAATCCAACTCCAGAGAAGGAACATCGACACACTATAGATCGCATCAGCTTTGTTTCAGGAAATTTCTCGACATTCGCGCACGGAGTTTGCATATCTATTGTCATTTATCATGGGCTTCTGGTAGCATTTGCCCAATTCACCCCTGTTCGTATGTCGCAAAGTTGTCCATTAGCCCTGAATATCAACCCCGAGCTCTTCGCCTGGAATCATATATCGGTCACGGCGCTCCTTTTGATTTACATCGGCACATATGTGCGCCTCTCAGCTTACGGCTGTCTCGGAAAATGCTTTACATTCCATCTTGCCCCGCCACCTCATTTGGTGACTACGGGAATCTATAGCTGGATTCAGCATCCTAGCTATACAGGACTAGCAATGCTTTGCCTGGGCGGTGCAATTTTATTCCTTCGATGGGATGCAACCCCGGCCTGTTGGATTCCAGAGATGGTGTTATCTCAACTGGAAGGATTGGGGCTTGGCATTAGCGTGGCTTTGATGGGAGGTGTTTTCTGGATTTTGGCTCTGAGAGTACGAGATGAGGAGAACATGCTGAGGCAAAAATTTGGGAACACATGGGAGGACTGGCATCGCACAACGAAGAGATTCATTCCCGGCTTTTTTTGATGCTCTTGACTTAGACCACTGTCAAGTTTCACTTGGGGATGCAGGTAGTCGTGATTGAAATTACAATGTAGTGTGTCTGTCTATTCTGTATGCAAAATTGAGAGCTCCATTCTTCCAATACGTTTATTCGGATTAATCTTTTATAATACTTTTAGTATAGGAGTAGGATTATAGTCATATTATTAGTCAAAGGTAGTATATTCTATAAGTATCTAAATCACTTTACCTAACTTAGGCCTAAATAGCCAATAATCGTATTTAAAAGCCCCCTATAGCGCTTTCTTTAGATGATAGTAAAGCTTAAGTCCTCGTTAACATCTACGCTTCCTAAGAGTCTAGGGAAATAAAGTAGATCTTCATCTATTCCTCTTAGGAGTTATAAGTTAATACTATTTGGTGATAGGAATTTACTATCTAAAGTTCTAAGAATTAAAATCCAGTATTTATTAGGTAGTTAGAAAAGGAGAATAATACAGTATAGACTTTTACGAGCTACGTATGTATAAAAGTTTTCGAAGTACTTCCTTAGATACTGAGCTAAAGCTTTCTAACGTTAGGTCTAGTAGCTAAGATAATAATGTATCGTGTTGTAGAAGAGAGAAGAAATACGGACCGCCGAGTTGCTCCAACATGCACGCCGAAAATAGACCCGAAGAACCACCACTGATAATTAGAATCGAAATATCTTCGTCAGAGGCAATCTGAATGAATAAATGAAGGTGATACAGTGCGGTTTCAGTCTCTTGTCGTGTAATTCCTATTGTGGAATGAATTTTCATGCCTTGAATCAGCGTCACATAATTGACCTGAAAGTATCTAAAATAGAGAATAATCTATGCATCTTTAAATTCGGAGTAGAAAAAGGCACGCTTCCATTCCATGTTCCCCACCTCTGTTGTGGCGGGATAAGTTGATTCATGTGGGGAAGGGAAGTGGAGAGCCATGTCCCACCTGTGGCAACAGAAACCATAAAACAAGTTTGTTCGTGGACAAAAAAGTTAGTGTTGATAGAACAACCATAACCTGTTTTCTTCGCTCTTATCAGTTGGGCTGACTAGTCGGGTTCGATTTCAATCTCGATGAAGGGCACGGGACTAAGTTCGTGACGTGATAAATCCACTCGGCTACCCGACCGGCTACCCGAGACGGTAAAAAACAAACATGGAGAAGGACAAAAGGGCCGAGGCATCGCAGTGTATATTTTTCATGTATTCAATGCCAGTAATAGTATTATTTAGTGCATTATATCATACTCCTCACTTAAATATGGTTTTCGGCTTTCACCGGGTATGAGGAAGAACCTTAATTCCTTGGAGTTTTAGATCAGATATAAAAACGGCAAGAAGTCAATTCAAAATTCTTGACCTTGTCTATATCTACTCATATCAAATTCAATTGAATAGCCTCCCAACAACATTTCAATCCCAAGATTTTTCGGTGCCCCCATCAATTTACCGATTACTCACTGCTTGGAACCACGAATCCGCAATGGAAATAATACATCTCGGAGATGCGCGCTACGAGGAACACAGCAACGGCTGGAACACTCTGTATGGGCACAAACCAACCTCGATTCTGCTTCCTAGGACGGCAGAAGAGGCAGCGTCTTGTCTTAGCGATGTAATTCGCCGAAAAGAGAAATTTCGGATTCGCTCTGGCGGCCATGATGTCAACGGCTACTCTGCAGCAGATGGTGTCGTCGTTATTGATCTGCGTCATCTTGATACCGTTGAGATCAGTGACGACAATACTCACGTCAAGGTTGGCCCTGCAGTAAAGTTCAAAAAGCTTTACCCGGCCCTCGCCGATCGCAAGCTGGTTGTTCCAGCGGGGATTTGCAATGATGTAGCGGTCGGTGGCCACGCACTGGGTGGCGGGAACGGCTACCTGCATCGTTTCCTCGGGGCAAGCTGCGACACGGTCATTGGTCTGAAACTCATAGACTGCCATGGTAGACTAATCCATGCAAGCTCCGAAGAAAATCCCGACCTGTTTTGGGCCTTGCGTGGGGCTGGGAATGCAAACTTCGGCATGGTCATCGAATACACCTATCGAACAACAAAGGTTGAGAAATTCTCTACTTTTGCGATCACATGGAAGTGGGACGAGTTCAACGAAATCTTCAGTTCCTGGCAGAATTGGGCACCATATACCGATACGCGTTTGACATCGACATTCACGCTTTATAAAGATGAAATTACAGCGATGGGTATGTTTGCTGGACCCAAGGAAGACCTTCAGTCGATCTTGCCAAATTTCATCTTGAAGCCCGGCAGTGCTGAAGTCCTTTCAATTGACGAGTAAGATCGTTATGATACGGCGTTGGATGAACTCATGTCACACTACGTGCAAGGGGATAGTTCAGTCGCACATGAACACGCGACCTTCGCGGCTGCAGCCGTCATGTGTGATTTGCTGGATGATGCTGCGCTAGTGGATTTTGAAGACATTATTCGTCACTCACCGGGCACTTCATCAATTGTGTTTTTTGCTCGCGGTGGGCGCATTTGTGGCGTGCCATCCGACTTCAACGCATACCGCTACCGCTCCCAGAGCCTTGAGCCAATGTTTCGGACAACGTGGAAGGATGATTATGATCGTGAAGCTTGCCTGAATTGGATTACGAGCGCATATCGCCGATTGAAGTCTCACTTCCAAGGAGTTTACAAAAACTGGACTTATTCGAAGGTAGAGTGCGGAATGTATGACTGGTACGGGGACGACATCCCACGGCTGGTCAGCGTTAAGCGAAAGTTCGATCCCGAGAACATATTCTCGAATCCTCAGTCTCTTCCCGTCTATGTAACCGAGCAGCAAATCAATGATTGGAACCTTCCAAAGAGTGTTGTCGACATTTTGGATCAACAGGGCAGTCTGGCTGAGACTTCCCAATGCCACGCTATCAATTGAGTTCAGGCAAGCATAATGTGAATGATTTTCAATTTTCAAATAAAGCAACTCATCAGTTAAAGAACAAAAGGAGACAATATCTTTGCCGCAAAAACGCTACATCAAGCGCGACGAGACACCGTAGTTGTGGTGATTTCGCGATCAAATCTTAAAGTCTATGTACCTCTTGATAAAGATGTGAGCTGAGGGCTCGAAGGCGGAGGGGTGCCTGTACCCTGGATTGTTATCCGAATCAATTTTATCTAAAACCCATGATTCTTCCATGCATGTATATATTTTCTCTTTTCTTCTATCTGATTTTCCCAAACGGCTTTTGCATTCTTGTCAGGGGCTTTTCTTGTCCTGCCTCTTGTGCTTTCTTTTGACTTGATTCTATTAGTGTAAGGGTTAGGGTGTTCGGGACTATAGGTAGTGGTAGTTTCTAGGCCTCGGACATTAGAGCCTTAGCCTAGTTCGGTCTGGGCATAATAGCTAATGAGTTGGTTTTCTCCACCTTATCTAGGAATAGAGCTCTTTATTCGAGAGTATATTAATCGCGGAGGATTTTCTATACGATTGAATATGCCATTGGTTAGTTTCATGAAGTGAATCCTATAGATCAGGACTTAACAAACATACCGAAAACATAGCGTCATATACTCTGTACAGAGTTGGCTCTATGATCAACTTGATGGCCATGCGATAACACTCTCTGTTCAAGTTCAATTATTCCAACAGCTCCCGCAAATGCTTTGCTTTGAAAGGTACCTTTTGGATCTATTCCGAACGTCTCGTGAATTGGTCTTGGGATTTATCGAATACTTTCTCCGATGCTAGAATTGAGACCACACGGCCTTGGGCTTATATTTTATCATTTGTATGTAGGAACTCAGTGAGGGAGTCCACTGCTATATTTGATCAAGTGCCCCCCTGCTGCAGAGTGTCGCTGCCTTGGGGTGACGACGGCTTCAACGCCCTGACCCAAGCGGATTGGGGGGAAACTATTGCCTGCAGAAAGTAGTTATCTTGTTATATGGTGAGGAGATCAGAGAAATGGTATATGTAATAAGTTATTGACAATCTGGAGATATATACATGTGTCTGGCATATTTGGGGAAGCAGAGCTTCTGTGGGTGACTTAGCAGAGGGTGCCAGCAGGGAGACCAAGCTGGGCTAAGGAAGTTTGCAATTAGAAGTCAGACCTCGGCTCGCTCTCGTGTTACATTTCGGTCGGGTACGATCTCAATCTCCATAGAGGGCTTAGCAGTAAGTGCGGGCCTTGATTCGGGCATCCACTCGGCTAATTAGGACGCTAAACGAAGACGGAACGATTGAAAATGCCGAGGCATTGCGGCTTGTGTGCAATCTGGTAAATACTCAAGTCATTTTCTTCGGTGATATCTAACCTCCATCTTACTTTCTTCTCACATTTACACTGGAATATTTTGGGACTCAAGGACGCTCGATTTTTCTGAAAGAGCCACGGCAAGGCATAGTTAGTAGGCTTCTTTTTATGCTGTGGCTAGCTATCTGGTCTTCTGTCCTTTCTGAATCACGACTATCGTAGCGTATCCCATCGTCTGAGAAATTAACGGGCCTTCTAGAGACCATTGACCAACTATGGAGACTAAGTACATTGGTTTTTTCTGGAAACTTGCAGGGCTTAACACTTCAAAGTCAGGTGAGAACTATATTCATTATGTTATCGAAGTGACATTCGTGTAGAGAGGGGGGTAAGACATCGTAGTGGTGGTTATCGCCCTCCGTTTTTACTAAGGTGTCAAGGTACATTGGATAAAACCACAATCTGCAAAATTAGGCCAACCCAGAGCCCCATACTGTATTTTTAAGTCTTTTCGGTATTGATGGCGTTTTCTCTCAAGCGCCGTGTAGCTTGAATGATATATAGCAGACTTGTTGCAATACCAAGCCCACCTAATCCGATCCCCATATAATAGGCTGCACGGTAGCCCAACAACTTGTCATGTAGATTTTTGCCCCCATGGTTCACATGTACTTCCACCGTACCTGCGAACCCGAGTCCCAGGGATATACTGTAGTTCACCACTGTGGTGACCAAGGAAGCAGCAACTCCTTGATGGCGGCGACCGACCGCATTGGACAGGACCACTGTGGCGGCGGGAAATGACATGTCCATACCCCAAGGAATGACTAAAAGGGTAACAAATGTCAGTGCCCAGTATGACTGGTCAACAGGAGCGATAGCGGAGAAAATGTTTCCGATTGTGAAGGCGGTTAGAGCCAGCATCATGATCCAGCCCGGTTGAATTTTGCTCATTAGAATCCCCGTAGAAAGAGAGGCGACGATACCCATTAATGCAGCAGGAACAAACTCGGCAGCCACGAGTAATGGAGTTTGGTGTCTGATGTCCTCAAGGAATCTGAAGAAATAATAAATCCAGATGCCAAAACTGGCCCAGCCACATGCGACGCATGCAAGAATAAATGAAACATCAAGATTCAGGATTTCGAGAGGGAGGAGCGGCTTAGGGGCGAATCGAATCTCGTAGACGAAGAAAAAAACCAGAATGATAGCACCAACGATCAGCAACACGTAGACATATACTTCCTGCCAGCCTACCACCGGGGCTTGATTCCAGGCAACATTAACAAGGACCAAGCCTGCCACCCCGAAGACGGCGCCGATAATGTCGAGCTCGAGACAAAGCTCAGTGAAACTTAGACTTCTGCAAGAAGACGGGTAGGAGGGAATAACGATAACCCCAAGAATGGCCAAGATCAGGCAATATATGGCCATTGACCAGAACGTCCACGGCCACCAAGCTAGCTGGGAGAAAATCGCAGCGAAGACACTTCCTAGCACTGCTCCATTTGGTGCCATTGCACCAAAAAGTGCAAATATCATATATTTCTTTTTGCCTGGTCGGTAAGTGGCCCCTAATAGCGCCAGGCCATTCGGAAGAAGCATAGCTGGGCCAAGACCCTGAAGTGTGCGTGCAAATATAAACAGGACCGAGTTTGAATAGACACTGACGCCAGCAATCATGGACCAGATTGAAAACCATAGAAAACCAATAATGAACATAATACGATAGCCAAAGACATCTCCACAACGCCCGAAGAACAAGATGAATGTCCCAACTGTTAGAGAGTAGCCCGCGATCAGCCAGCTGAGGGTTCCGGCGTTCGTGATGTTGAAGCTGTGACCAATGATATCCAATGGTGACAAACAGGCTCCCAGAGCTGCCTGTGTCATGAATTGTGACATACAGACCACAACCACGAAAAGAACTTCACGTATAGGCGTAAAGGCCTGCACCGAAGAGCGAATTGATTCAGACCGAGATAATTGGGGGACTGAGGCTCCAATCTCAACCTCATTGAGTGAGTCAAGCGATGTTTGACGTGACATCTCGTAGGTTACTTTCCGACTTACAATGGCGTTCAAGGCTGCAAAAGGAGTGACGCCAGAGACGTGAGGGGTAACGAATATATTGGACTATTGAAAACTTCATGGGAACGAAATTTCTTCTTTGCGCCAAGACGGGCCGAATGGTTGCAGATTGTGAAAAAGTTTGATGGACCTCGGGAAATATCCGCAGTTACGAATACACATTTCCGGAAGGCTGAGGTAACCATAGATCAGTAGATAAGGGGAAGTGGGGAAGTGGGAAGCCCCACTTTTGCTTCTCCACTTGGAAGGTGGGAAGAGTGAACTGGTCAGAATGATCTCAGAGTATTTCGAGGGTTGGAAGGAGGTGCGGGCCAAATGGGTCCTGCATAAGCCGAATCATAAGCAGAAGATTATAATCCTATGGAATCAGGGGAATAATGTGATTGATCCAATGGGATGTTTTTGTACAAATCATTCAGATCCTCTGGTGTCATACTGCCCTTCAGATCGCAGAAATTTGGCTCGAATTTGAATTTGCAGATGATGTACTGCATGCGGTGAAACGTGAAACGCCTTCAAGAAAGACAGTATACCGGCCCATGAAACATGAGTCCAAACGCAAAGAGTCAAAAGAGAAAGCACGGAATACGAAATGAAAAGGTCTGATCAATACACCTCTTCACGCAATGAAGACCACAGATGGCCCTTGATTCCTGACAAGTCCTATCTCAGAAGGGTGTCACGTCAGTCATCCCGTTTCATTTGCAAGCTGTGAAATTGCCTTTCTAATCCCTTGATAAGATCTTTGGAGTGGTCATTTGAGGCAACCAAAGTGGCCCCCTCGTGTTGCCACCTCTTGAGCCGGTTGACTTCGGTACTTCGCACCGAAACTTGAACTCTATGTTTTCGCAGAGGCGTTACTGGCTGGAATCGTTCTTGGTCATGTTGACGAGTTCTATTCCGCAATTTGCCGGTGCGGTGTAGGCTTCATCAGGACCCAAGTTGGACCCAACCCAACCCAACCCTTAGGGCCCCAATTGGGTAGCAAACATAGCAAACATGCTAAGCTTTTCAATAAGTACAGCATGTTGTAGTATGTTGTAGGACTCTATGTATATGAAACTTTACTATTTTACTAGCTATCAGCTCTTAATATACCATTGGACATATATTATCTATAATATATTCAATTATTATTGATTTATAAAATGAATAACTTACAAAGGATCCCACAGAAATGATAAACCACCGCTGATTTTGAATATATATGTGAACTTCGAAAATTTTGAAAAAGATAAAATTCAGTTTCTCCACTTTTACCAGTCGGATTTGATTCAAATTGAGACATTAGATTGACTCATTCTTTGTCTATCTATGTCTATAACTTTATTCGAATACACCCCATATCATCAGCAAAATACAGAGGAGACGGGTGCATAAAGTTTTGAAAATTCAGGGGTCAATTATGCAAAATTGGGCAGCATTGGGTTTCCAATGGGGCCCCCAAAAAATCCAATGGGCTGGGTTAGTTTCTAGAAGTTGGATCCAGATTAGATCTTGATGAAACCTAGTGCGGTGCTCGTAATTACACCAATAGGCGAACAGGGTCCAGCTCCAGACCCCACCGGGGGATTGTTTCTAGTTGTAGAAGCACATTTCTAGTGGATGCGTTAGTGCCATTCAATCCTTAGGTCTGATGACAATTTTTTACTCTCAGGACCCGAGTCCTTAGTTTGGGGTAGATAAAGGCGCGTGATTTCCTAGATAATTTAAAATTTTACTCAGTAAGGTTAATGGCCTAATCTAAGACCTCTTTTTAAAGGGGTTTGGAAAAGAGTGGTAAAAAGAGAAATAATTCTTTCTGTGTAAGATATCGTGGATCTGAATTATTGACTAAGAATACTATTTGAATCTCAAGAGGATGAATTCATACCTAAAGTCTTTCAAGGAATCTGAATGCCATCATCTATTCTTTATTTGCTTGTTGATACCTTGATCTCAGTAGCCTTATGTTTAAAGCTTTAATTCATTATATTCTATAGATAAAAAGCGTGAAAATGATGATTGATTTCGCTATGGGAACTCGCTGTGGGACTTGGAAATCAGATATATGCATATTTTACTAATACATGTATTGAATAACTATTGCTACCAGACCTAAATTTTGAGGAATATTAGTCATTGACGGAGTGGCGGCTATAGGACATGGTGTGTGGGGAAACAAACGAATTGACGATTGGAGTTGCCAGTAGTGGGTCAAAAGAATGTCAACCCCTTTTCATGGTTGGAATACCAAATAGCAGCGCCAAGCATGAACTCCTCTCGCGCAGCCAGCATCTTGTACAGTCAGGCCGTAAAAGTCTGGACATGTCACCCTAGAGAATGGTGGACTATGTCCAAACTTTGGCGTTCCCACTTTACAGTTCTGAAAAAATTCTTGGCGCTTTCCCTTTCCGTTTAGTGCTCACCCCTTGCCGCTTTGCTTACGAGTAAAACTCTGAACACCCCTGAGTATGACATAATCGTGGGCTTCACCGTCACAAACTTCCTTATCCAATTTATCCAATTCCATTTTTTTCACGTTGTTCGTTGGAATTTCAAGGTGGCATATCAACACCATGGAAGAACATGTGGTCCCTCATTTCTTCTCTTCCCGCTTTCGCAAAGCATGTGAGGAATGTCGACGGCGAAAGCTGAAATGCGACGGACGTGAACCATGCCGCAACTGTGCTTCACGGTTTAACCCTTGTGTCTTCGGTAAGGTTCGACGCCGAACCACGAGGCCGCCACACCCCGATGAACCTATTTCAAGCCATATTCACTTTAATGTGGGGACATTCCTTAAGCCCTTCCATGTCACTCACCGATCATCTCCAGGCGAAGAAATCATTTACGATGCATTTTTTGGGCCATCCTCTAATATTTCAATACTCCTCAATCTATATCATCTACTTCCTTCTCCTTTGATTGATGGCAACCAGAGTCAAAAGGATGAGTATGCTTTGGCGAACAATTGTTTAGACCTTTTTGGATATCGTCACCTGGTCTTTCCCAAATCACAACACCATTTTAATTCCGTGTCCCAGGATACGCCGCTCAATCTCGGTTTACTCCCTTTCAGCTTGGCTGAGCAGTTCTTGCAAAATTACACGTCAACACTGTTGCAAATGCTTCCTTTCCAATCCGCAGAATGCTTAGAGTGTTGGCTGAATGAAATTTACTGCCCAGGCGCTGCAAATAAGTCTTCCTCCGCGCAGCACGCAGTTCTTTTTGCTGCTTTGTCGATTGGGACGACCTTCACTGAACATAATCAGTGGGGAGAAAGGCTCTTTCAACAAGCAAAGTTACTGGTCTCTGAAATATCCGGGTCACTATCCAGCATTCCCGCAATTCAAGCCACTGTCTTGATGATACGTCAATCCCCTAAACAACTTTGGTGCGGGCACCAGACTGATTTTTCTTAGTATACGCCCAGTATGAGTGGCAGATTGGTCGACTGAATTCCGCCTATATTTTACTTGGCGATGCGACTAGGCAGTCTTTCGCAGCAGGCCTGCAGCGCGCAAGCTGCACAAACGGACGGAATATCTTGCGTGATGGCAATATGGCGAGAACCACTTACTTGTCGCTTTACTGTTATGAAAGGTTTGCCCTTACGTGAAATATCCGCTGCTGAAAGGTCAAATTTGTTGATATTGAGTTAGCTATGTCTGTACCTCGCTTGGACGTCCTTCCTCTTTCAGTGAGCAGCATTTAAAGAATGCTACTGCCTACGATGAGGATCCTGTCTTGGCGTCTCTTCTAAGATTTGCCCAGGTCATGAATGAGCTTGAGCGTGTTCAAAACAGTGATGAATTTACTGTGCATGCATTGTTGCAATCTTCAGAAAAAGCCCGGCAAACACTCACGACGCTTTCCGACGCATTGCATGATACCAGCCCCGGAGGAACACCGGAAGATGGAACAAAGCAGGAAACCTATTACTTACTGCTGATCTGTAAGTATTAGCATTTTTCGCTCCTTGATTGAATTGATACGTGGTAGTTAGACCTAATGCGAGTTTAGTGTATCACTTCGCTATCCTCATAGCGCACCGTCCATTCCTAGCGTTATTGGATAAGAAGAAAGCCCAGTTGAACAGCACCAAATTTCAAAACGGCATGGTTGATGTTGGGGCTGTTCTGAACAGTACATGGCTTTCAGCCGGTGTTGAAAGGGCTGTATCATCCGCCAAAATGATCATATCGTTCCTCGGAGATACTTGCAAGTCCGGAATTAGAGTTAAGGTATTTATACGGCTCAACAAGCGACCATAAAGAACGCACGTTGATTATTATAGGACTCCTCCAATAATTTTTCATTTGTTGAAAGCGCTTGCCTGGCTCTAGCCTACCACTGCCTACTGGATAAGGATGCCTCGTCGAACAATGCGTCCTTCATCCATGCCGGCATGAACACCATGCGAAACATAGCTTGTAAGAATGTTGTTTCTGACAGGCTATTAGCTATGGAGACTGTGCTTACAATGATTGGTTTTCATGGCACAATATCTTGAATCGTACTATTCTTAATATGTCAAAAGAGAATTACGATCACTGTCCGGATCTATACATTGCCCTTGATTATTGAATGGAACCTGTACATTTGCACGTATACCACATATTTACCACATTACTGTAAAAACATTCCAGCTTTGCTACGAAAGATGGGGACTCGGAAGGCTTGATCGCTCTTACATAGTTCTGTATAACATTGATTTTACATGTACATAAAGTTGTGTAGTCAAAAACTGCGCTGTCAATTTGTCAGTGTATATTACGTATTGACTAAAGAGACTAAATGCTACGACAACATCATACCGAACCGACGGGCTACATGCTATGTGATCAAACATAAGCATCAGACCGGCCTACTTGCTCAGTTCCAAGACATCGAGCTTGAGATATATGAACAAACAGACCTTGCAACCATAGAATAAAATCTGAACGAGGCCCGGTACTCGCTACATAATGTCCCGTCCAAGGAAAGAGAGGGCCTCGGCCAATTGCCCGAATAGAGAATTTCTCAATGACCGTTATTTCAAGATGATCAAATTGAGGATGGAGCGAGTCTCGAGAATGTTGTCTGATGTTGCTGCGGTAGGAATTGTGAGAAGTTAATGAAGAAGTAGATAAAAATTTAGTATTTGAAAGATAACAAAAGATATGGTACGTAGAGGACTAATGCCCGCGTACACATGTAAACATGACTTGAAAAATTACATAGATAAGCAAATAACATAGAATCAGAGAGGAAAAAAGATATGAAAAGAAGAGAAAGAGGCACCGCACCGTCATCTTAGGAGGAAGTGACGTTCAGAGGAAGAAGGAGGTAGCTGTCGTATTTACCACCGAGATGGAACAAGTGGGTACCATTGTTACGGCTGGTTGGCGTCGGAACGCGCATAGCGGCAACATTATCTGGTAGGTGGTCCGATCCTCCCAGAACCCTCAAAGTGGTGTTCAATGCTGCGGAGAATGTACCCCCCGCAGCAGGTACAGGTACGGCGGCAACACCAAACCCAGAATCCGTGTCAGAAGAAGTGATCGTGTTTGCCGCGACTGTCAAGCGCAGATGCTCGCCTGGGTGGAATCGGAGAGCCATTGGCCAAAGGCTAATTTCAACGGGGACAATCTCTTTAGCCATCAGCAGCTGCTCTCGATCAAAGGTGAGGTAAGGCTCTTGGGGTGTCGACCGCGCCTTATCTAGGTGGCGAGCAGAGACACGCAGATACCCGGTGGTCGAAACAATGTCCGAGGTTTCGCTGCCACCTGTGACGATGTAGGAATCACCGTTGTGATCAGTCTTCTCCAAGGTAATGGCCAGTTCCATATCGTCTGACCCATCAGCTTCCACCCACAAACGGAGCTTCGTATATCCAATCAATTCTGTCAACTCTTCGATAGGCCAACTCCATGTCAGATTGCTCGAGCTGCTATGAACTTTGTAACCAACCGTGGCAGCTGATATGGGAAGCTGAGTACCAAGAGAGCCGTTCGATTGCAGGTAGAGGGATTTGTGTTCGAGACCGGGAGTAGGCCACTCTGACTCGGGGCGGTTGAGCTCGTCCTGATGACCAGGGTCAAGGATAGCAAGGCGAACTGGAGGTGTCTGGTCCCAGCCGTTTTGCTTCTTCTCTTTGAGGTAATGGTCAAAGAAGCGATGGAGGTCATGCACGTGGGCGGTCTCATAGTAGTCCGGCCACTCCGAAGTGTTGTGGACGCGAAGCCATTTATCCTGGCTTTGGATGCGACGGAAGGCCTCAAATGAACCATGAGTATGCACAACGTTGGTGTAACTGGCGACGATATAAGCTGGGACCTTGATTTTCTCCAGTCGTGCAATCTTGTCTTGCCAGTAGGGGTTGATCAGCTGCTGGTTAACAGTCATACGCGGGACATCCTCGATGAAATTGGGCCCCGAGAATGTTGTGATGATCTCTTCATTGAAGGCCGAGACTGCAATGCCACCTCGGTTGCTCGAGTCTCGGAACATATCAGTGAGGCCTTCCCAGGGTGCAATCGCAGCCAGATGAGGCGGTTGCTCCGCAGCAATGAACCATTGCGAAACTGCCAGCCACGAGTTTCCTGACATAGCAACCTTGCCAGTACACCAGGACTGCTCTGCAGTCCATTCGACGAAATCATATCCATCTTCCGCAAGTTGGCGTCCCCAGAACGTAATGTTGCCTTCGGAAGAACCTGCACCTCTCGCATCAGGGTTCAACACAGCATAGCCCTGTGCCACCCAATATGCGGGATCAGGACCCTCAAACTTCTGGAGCTCAGATACCTCCGAAAGTTTAACACCGTCTCGGTCAGTCACATCATCAAGCCATTGACCGCCGACTTCTTTGCCGTAGGGGCTCCAGGCAACGATGGCTGGAACTGGATCATTTCCAACAGGGCGAAAGACATCGGTATAGATAATGGTTCCATCCCGCAACTTCATAGGCACGTCTCGTTCGAACAGTATGTCACAGTCGAGGGTCTTGGCTCCATAGCGACGGATAGTCCCTTTTTTGAGCACCTCTGTCGACTGATTGAATCCGGTATATCTGGCTCGAGAGGCTGAAACGTTCATGGCTCGTCGATAAATGATTGACGCAGCATCATCGCCGTAGATTGGCATCGTGCCGGTGGCAATTTCAGCTGCTTCAATTGAATCTCGAGCAGTGGCCAGGGGAATGGCCCCCGCGGCAAGTAGCCCAAGGACGAAAGGTAACTTCATGGAGAAGATAAAAGCACCAAGGGTACTGACAAAAGCAGGGAATAGGAATATCGATTCTTTTGAGACTTGGATCGAAGACGCTGATTGAGGGCAGCGGAAACCCATATTTATAGCTTTGAAAACATTTGAAGGTACCGAGCAACAAATCAACCTAAGTCTATCCGGAAGTACCGGACAGATCCAATATTAATTTCTTCCTGCCTTTTCCAGAGATGAAGTCAGGTTTCTTGGACAGTGGGTCCTTGTTGATAAAGATTGGACCGTTATCGAATGGCGTGTGACGCGGCAAATGGGTGGGGTGGCGATGACCCAAGATTGCAACCCCTGAGTGACGAGCCAGGAACCTATGGGAGATGACGAATCTGAAAATGAGTAATGTTTCGGTAGCCATGGAAGGGTGATAGAAAGCCAAGCCTTGAAGCCGATCTCTAAGTATGCATAACTTTTTCGACAGGGATGATGTCGATCCGGGCTTATGTGGGTCTGGACCCGGAGGTATGTGGGTAATGAAGATTTAGATGACAACCAATCATCATCGTAGACTAATCAATATATTGATGCAGCTTCATCAAACCCATTTAACATAGACGATAATTTTCAAGGGTGCTTGAAGATGGCATAATAGATTTCAGGAAGATTGGGAGAGCAAAAGGGAGGCTTTTCTCATGTTCCAAGCGATGCCTAGCCAATCCGGCAAGAGTACAACAAGTCTATCTTTTCACCTTCGTTCGAATTCCTTGTTATCAACATGAACCAATTCTGGGCACTTTAACTCACCCGCGTCCTAAGCGTGATTACGGTCTTGCGGAAGGACCACACACCAACCTCGGCATTGCTCTAGTCGGGCACCCGAGTCCTAAGCGTGATTACGGTCTCGCGGAAGGACCACACACCAACCTCGGCATTGCTCTACTCGGGCACCCTCAATCTGGGAGAAAGCTTTATCATTGGTCGTATCTATCATCAATTCCGAGAAAATCACCGTCAGCCGGAAGGCTAGCGACTGTGCCGTCTTCGTGTGCTATACAACCGAGTGCGAGCTCTTCAGTAGAGCTTACGTTGACTGCACGTGGTCTCATGCTAGGGTGAGGATCTTCTTTGGTATCTCAGATCGCTGAAAATAGCAATGTTTCGTGATTAACGGGGACTAATATGCCTTTGAGAAGAACATCAAGGCTGGGGACGATTCTAGCGACAGCCTGTCCTATACCACTCTGGAATTCGGCAGCGTGCCGCTCGAGTGACCAACATATCAACCTTGAACTCCCGCTACCGGACCAGCAATCTAGGTCTCAGTGGCTTCCAAGATGGGTGGGAAGAGGTAATTTAGATCTTAACTAAAGCCCAGAATAGGATTAAACACGGAAGCTGAGGTAGCCCGACTTTAAATCACCTGCCTCTCCGAGGCAGCGCAGCCAAGGCATGTCCTACGCAGATTTGACAAGGTCAATATCTCTCCTGTTAATCTTGCAAATATCATTGTGAGCTTCCGTAGAGCAAATATAAATACTGGGATACTGTGGCTCGGGAGTGAGGCGATAACCAAAATCGAGACCTATTCTCTGTGAGATCCAGCTCGAATAAATCCAGGGTCCTGCAGCTTCAAGGATCTAGCACATAGTATCTGGTATTTTTGTTGGATAATGTAGTCAAGTGACCCCCTATCTTTGATCCAGCGCTTGCTGATCTATATTTCATCCTTTTTCATATCTCCTGGGCTACTTCCTTCAACCCTCACGAAGTAAAGATCTGTGCATATCCTTCGGCTTCCAGGTCACCCTTCCTTTCCCTAGCCCAGATAGCTCACCCACAGTAGGGGGAAGACGCTCCCTTGGACTTTAGCGCCACGTTTCATGCGCGTATCCGGACATTGCCGCCGAGGAGCTCACCAATCAGGGTCTCGATTATGCCCCCAAGGAATTGCAAACCGATCTCTAGTGAGTTGAAGCCGGCCATCGGACCTAGTAGCGCTGACATCTCCACAGTGTTCATGATGGAACAGAGGCCGAACGCCATGGCGTACTAACCATAGGTATCGTCATCATGAGCTATCGTGCCCGCAAGAGTGGCTGGTAGAAGTCAAACAAGGTAATGGGTCTTGGATCGATGCGGCGATATTTCAAGTATTCAACCTGAGCCTGGGAGAAGACTCAGGTACTCGGACTCATATGAAGGGTTTCGGGACCGAAGAATAGATCTTGCACCTCTTTCCTAAAAATTTCACTACAGAATTATCAACAAGAACTAATGCTTTTGAAAGAATGAACCGTCACATCTCGCCAATCAAATGGTATCATCCATGTATTGAGGCCAATGCCAAGCTATTAGGTGAGAGATTCGGTGTGTGGGCAAGTGGGCAAATACTAACTCAGTGTGGGAAAGGTTTTTGTGAATCCATGACCCTCGCAGTATAGTCCAAATCCCGGAATGATCCGTGGCTAAATTCCATTAGCATAGTTGAAAGCACGTGGAACCTGAAACGAGAAACTTCTTCGGGGGTTTATCCACGAAAATGTGGACCAATTAAGTAAAGAGTGGAGATAGCCTGGGCGGGTTTCTTAGCCTAAGTATTGTTGTCCACGCCACAATACCTAGTTGAGTATCTTTAAACTTCATCTGCATCCGCTGAGTAGTAAAGATCATAACGGAGTTATGTGGAGATACTCTGAGGTAATCATACTGTATGGATCTTACAAGAGAAATGACTAATGGTGTTGCAGAAACTGTACTGTACATTTTATGGGCAGGATGGGGCATATTTGTTAGAAATGGAAAGCGGTGAGGGAAACAAAACCGTGGATTATTTCCACAGATGTAATTGGCAACCTTTCTTCCTTTCTTATCCCCCACTTAATATTACATTTCTGACCCGTCTCTGGTTTTATGTGTTGTAACCGTATTTCGTGTCTGGAGCGTTGTCCGTGTATCAGTGATTACTAGTTTGTTTCAATATTTGTCCTGTATAGCCACCTTCGGGGCGCAGAGCGAATCATATTAGTACCCACTTGACCCACACGGCATGATTCAATTCTACCACTTTACCATATCATGTAAGATAATGTTAAATTTCGGTTTCATACACATATTAATATTGACTATCAGTATCTATAATACACAGCGAAAATATGGCAATACTAGATTGGGCTTCCTAAAAAGGCGGAGGGTGATTAATGCGTGGATACAGATATAATGCCTGTAGGCTCAATGGCTTTATAACGGTGACATGGCCGTCTAACGAAAAGGACATTCAGGATATCATGAGAGTTGACGTTGATCGTGTAGCCCCCTATTCAAATTTGTTGCGTAGGAATCTCTATGGGGAAACGCCAAGAGGTGACTTGGCGGCCATCATTCATCCTGCCTTCCTTTTCGGCTATAATGAAAATGAAATAGTGGAAAACCTAGTATATAATTCGGGGCTCAATTAGATCAGGTTCAGTCATATGTCATGATGTATCAAAATTGTCACGAAAATTACCATACTCGCTCCTTGTCTAACTCTCGACCATTAAAATGCAAAATCAACGCGTCAAGTTTTTGATGAAGAAGAATTGTTATTTACATGGGAATCAACTCAAAGACCATCTTGTGGAAACAGTTTGCAGTTTCCAAGGCTCTCATAGCTTACTAAGAGGTCCATCTTTCGTCGCCCGAAAATTGGTAGGGTAGGGATCGAAAGTAAGCTCATTCACAGGATTCTCCTGGCTAGCCCGGCGGAACAGATCCTCATACACCTTTCCATCATAACGGCCCAGGCTGCTGTTTAACTGCCAATCGGGTAGTTTCCACGCGTCCACCAAAGACACTGCGTGAGGACGGATATCCTCCAACAATTGCAGAACGGTTTTGGTGCGTGTCAAGTTGGCCTGGCGAACTGTAACAGCGCCCGCCGCGACGAAATCGCCAGCATTCCGCTCCAATGTGTGCAAAGCATGCAGCCGGAACAAACTGCGTAGGATAGAGATAGTGGGCGAATTGAGTGTCGATCGCATTCGGCCAGAGGACAGGGCTTCATAGAAGGTTTTCACGACCAGGTATTGTGAATGAGCAGTGGCTAAGCGCCAAAAGTTCACTTGCAAACTATTCCAGGTCTTTTTCTCTTGATCGCGGTATTCGAGCGTCTCAAAGGTCATGTGAGCAGTCCTCCAGGCGAAAGCCGCCACAATATCAGCGTCATTCTCAAGAATATCAAACGAAGCCCCCTTCTCTTTTCGGGATACATAAGTGTGTAGAATAGCTCCGGTGTCGTTTCCTGAGACTTTACCCTGTAAGACTTCACGGGCCGACTTGAGTAAGTACCTTGCCACCTGTTGGGTGAGCATGTAGTTATCTCCTTCCCATGTCAGTGTTGGAAGGTAGTCAGCATATAACGGCCCAATGCCACTAAAGCTGCTGTAACCATGCCCGCCGCAGGCCCGTCGACAAGTCTCGAGACCCTCCCCCGCCGTTGTGCTAGCCAATGCCTTCAAGCCACAAGAGAAGGCGTGCAGCTCTGCCAGCAGGTCTCCTCCTGTCTGCTTTCCTGCAGACATCCGACCCTGGTTCTCTTCGTAGAGCTGCATCATACCGCGACCGGTGAAGTGCAGAGCATACATTGCTGCAAGCAATGGCAGCAGGCGTATCTGCACCATTTGATAGTTAAGGACCTGATTCTCATCGGATCCAGACTTTGCATCACGGTCCTGAAACTGTCTTCGAATTGCACAATACCGGGTAGCAATGGTAACTCCATGAGCCAATATATTACCGGCATCTAGAACGATGTTAGACCGCACCCAAGTCATAGTGCCATACAAAAGAGTAGGCGAAGCTGCCTGAACGTATTTGTTGGTCTCTTTGTCGACATAAGCAAAACGGGCCAACATATTGACATGAGGTATCTGGTAATGATTGAACAGCATGAAACCGTTGTCCATGGTGCTAAGGCAAGTAAGTAAGCATACATACTAAACTCCGTTTAGGAAAATGACATCGTACTTATAACCGAATTTTGGGCCGATATCCCCAACATATACTCCATCGAAAGGTTGATGCGTATCCATATCTCTGATGGGCACCACAAAAGGATGCGGGCCAATGTTCTTCCCGTCGATGTGAAGCTGAGCCATGACCACCGCATGATTCGCTGTTCGGCCCAATGTTCCAGCCCACCATTTTGAGGCAGTGAGATAAGGGGAGTTGATGGTAAACGTCTTGCTGTTGGAATTCCAAGTGGCGGTAGTCTCCAGGCCTCGGACATTGGAGCCGTGACCTAGTTCGGTCTGTGCATAACAGCCAATGATTTCGTACTTTTCAGCCTTATCCAGAAATAGCGTTCTCTGTTCAGGAGTACACTGTTCGCGGAGCGTTTTCTATATGCGTGATTAAGCCATCTGTTAGTTCTCAAGTCTTATACACATTTTCTTAAACCAGTCTTTTAGGACCAACAAACATACCAAGAACATAGTATCATGTAGTCCATATGGAGTTGGCTCTCCGATCATCTCAATAGCCATAAGGTACTCTTTTTCGCTCCATTTTAGCTGTTTGCGCAGCTGCAGCAGCCTTTTTCCCTTTAAAAGCGCCCTCTGAATCCTTTCCGGACGTCCCATGGACTGACTTTGGGATTTGTCGAATATGTTCTCCGATGCTAGAATGGAGACTATGCGGTCCTGGGCCTCCAGCTTTTCCTTTGAGTGCAGGAATTCGGCAAGAGCATCCACAGTAAGTCCGGACTGAGCGCGCTCATCCCGCAGAATGTCGCTACCTTGGGGTGATGATGGCTTTAACGCCTGGACCCAAGCGGGTGGAGGAGGAACCATTGTCTGCGGAAACTTATTATTGCCTGAGGTTGGTGGGCAGAGAATGACGGTATATCAATCTATAAAGAATTATTTACAGATATATGGGTCTTTCTATAAAAAGTAGGGATGAAAAAGTCCTGGGGTATGTGGAGTCCGAGATGGAGCCGAGGATGCCGAGGCAGTTTACCGTCCAATAGATTCCTCGGCGCCGAACCAATGTAAAGTCGGCATCGAGTTGTAATTGACTTCCGGTATTAAATTTTAGCAACGTATTGCTTACTATTACAGTACGGTCCTGTATGTTCCTTACTATATATGGAGGTGGCTGGGGTCGCAGATCTCACAATTGCCGGGTTTATTAGCCTCTCAATACTAGGCTTCGGCAGGACCCAAGTTTACCCGGACCCAACCCAACCCTCCCAATTTGGTCACGAACATAGCAAACATGCCAAGCGTTTTAATACAGCATGTTTGTAGCATGTTTTAGGGCCCTATATATATGAAATTTCATGATTTTACTTATTATATCCTTTTTTTCTACTACAAGGTATGTATAGTATCTAGACTGCGGCAACATCCTCAATATCCACGGACATCCGCATATCCTCTCCGCAAATTGCGGATATGGTATGTCACGTAATATCCGCAATCCTCAATTTTGCGGATATGGTATACCACCTAATATCCTCTGGATATTTGAGGATATCCAATGGATATCAAACCAGCCAAACACGCCTAGCCTCGTGACTTTTTTGAGCGTGTATAAATTATGCGGTTTCTTGTGTATTTTTGAAGTAATCTTCGTGTAATCATCATTTTAAAGATTTCAATCTGGTAAACATGATTCTGTCATTTCTAATCAATACTTAATACTAACTACCTTAAATCAATCTGAAATCCATCAGGTAACCTAGGTTGCTTCCGAATTCGCCCCGACCGTCCCTGCATGCCCTCATCTATTGGCATTTCTGGAAGGTCATCGTCATCGTCATCAAAACATTCGGATGATCGTTTCTTTGATCGTTTGCGCTGCAGTTGCTTACTTTGATCATTATTCTTCCCACTACCCAAATCATCATCGCAGCTCTCTATCTGTTGTGTATCCTCTATGCTAGGCTCTTGATCCTCCTCTTCGTTATCACTAATTGGCTCAAGTGTTTCAAGCTGGGGCATTGGTTTCCAAGCTTGATCTAACAACGCAGCTTCTCCAATGGATAGATACTCCTTGATAACCTCTATCTCCTTCTGCTCAACGTCAAAGTTAGTGGCGAATTGATGAAGCATCAGTCCTCGGATGGTACTTGGTTTCAATTGCCCGCGACGATAGTGGCACATATCGCGAGCGCAATTAAATAATCGCTCAACGCCTGCGCCACTAGCTGGGATTGAGAGATTATCCCGTGCTATCCTCGCAAGAATAGGAAACTCATGCTCATGGTCTTTCCAGAATGCTCTAGGCTTCTGACCCTCGATCCCGCGGGCAAGATACCTCGCAATCTCATCATCTTCGGGCTTTGAGAGCCTATGCTGTGGCTGGCTCTGAGAAGCACAAGCAGCATCAAGATCACCATAATCATCATCCAGGGCCTCTTTAGTGGTATCTTGTAAGACTGTATTGTTTGAATCATGGTGAAGTGTCTCTTTATATCGATCAAACTCTCGCTTAAGAACTCCATGATAGTGATCAACATAGTTAATTTCACCTTGCCAGTCTGATGATGCAAAATATCGAAGTTTTTTTGATGGGCAAAGGATTGTCGCGAGTGCATAGACATCACCATATGATTCATAATCGGTCGCAGTGTAGTACTTTGAGAGCTTCCGTTTAGCAGTCTGAAGAGCTTCGAGCATGTGCTTCTTCCAGACAACACCTTTATTCTTCAACTTACTCTCAGCTTCATCAAGATGAGAGAAAAGCTTGTTGTAAATACTATAGATGTTATGTGTAGTAACATCCTTAGTCTTAGACAACATATTTGTGAAGTCGAAGAAAGGCTTTGTGAGAAGAAGAAGGTATTCAATCTGTCGCCACTCTTCTTGATCAAGTTTGAAGTGAAGATACTGATGGTCTATACAATACTGATCATAGAATGGTTGTAGCCTTTTGGCCCGATTCAGCATGATAAAGGTCGAGTTCCATCGGGTTTGGACATCTTGAACAGGAACTAAACGAGGCTCCTTAGTTTGTAGAGCCATAAATGCCTCCCGGCGTTGTGGGCTTGCATTGATGAAGACCGCAAGACCTCGGATCTAAAACTCTTTTATCAGAATAAACTACAAGCCTTAGGGAGATAGAACTTGCCTTCTTTAAGGTATCTGCAATTTGCCGAGTTGAGCTAGATCTTTTGGTCTGAAATGAATGGGTCCGCTCATCAGACCACTCTAGTTCAATCTCTTTGTTAGGTGGTGTCACCTTTAGCTTCCCAAGAAGCTCATTCAAGCTTAATTGAATCACATGCGCAATACATGGAACTCGGAAAATCAAGGTATCTGATTGGCTTTGCGACTGGATAGTCTCTTGGATGTTCATCATTAAGGTATTGTTATTCGTTGCATTATCTGTTGTCACAGATAACACACGATCAGTGATTCCATGATCAGTTAGAAGCTGGATTACGGTCTTGCTCAGATTTTCACCAGTATGAGATCCATGAAGATGCTCAAACCCAAGAAGAACTTCACAGTAATTCCAGTCCTGATCAAGGAAGTAACCTGTGATGGCCATGAAAGCTTGCTGAAATGGCGATGTCCAGCAATCAAGCGCTAGTGAGAGGCGACTCCCATCTGGAAGCCTTTTCAGAACCCCCTTCTGGTCACTTCTGACTGCAGAATCAAGATAACGTCGTATGCTTCGCGCGGATGGTATATCGATCTTGCTGTGGGCTTGTTGAATAATCTCTACTAGATCTTTGAATTGGGTGTGTTCAACGATTCGGAAGGGTAGGTGAGCTGTAGAAATGAAGTCTAGTATCGCTTTCACCAGACGCTCCTGGGAGAAGGGTTGGTGTCTAGGGATAGTTGGCTTTGGGATAGTTATTAAGATTAGCAAGAGAGATATTAGGGGTCTTGATGAAAGAGAAATATAGCATATGTTTGAGTAGCTGATCGATCCTCTGGGTAACTGGCTTCCGAGTACAAGTGCCTGCCTTAATATGTGCATTCATTGGCGATGACCCAGCACGGCGATAGCTTGGATGAACAAGGGTACAGAGACATGATGTACACATAACCTTTGGCTTGCCAGTCTTCTCATGTGCAACCTGATTGAAATTATCCCAGACACTTGATGTCTTTTTCCCATCCCAACGGATCGAGTCTTGTATTTCGGGCGCTGATCCAGACTCTGTATTTAGCCACCACGTTATAAAGCGCTTACGAGATCCATCCATCTCGCTACCAGGCTCGGAGGAATAGAGGACCCAGTACTGTTGAAGAGGGAGGCCAACAAGCGTAAGCGAGAGGGGCGCAATCGGAAATGAAATTCGGGACGTGGATGTCAATGAAGCCTGACTGCCAATGAGCTCAGAGATATCATCTGAATAAAGGAGGTCGGTATTCAGACCTAGATCTGAATCGGCGCAGAAGGAAAATTGGGACTGAGATGCCTGTGAGTAAGACATATTGTACTTGATCACTATACAAGAGAAAGAAAGGGAGAAACGTACATATAGGACGAGCTGAAAATATCAGGGTTATGGCAATAAGCTGCAACTCGTAAGTTGCGGGGTGCGTTTTCGACATATCTCTTACTTTTAATGACGATGATTGGCTATTACTAATCACCAGTGAGGATAATTGAGGATAATTGAGGATATATCGCGGATATCCTCGACCTTACTATCATACTCACTAAGTCCGCTGTCCACAACATTAGAGCTTCCGACCGGTATTTCTTAGAAGGATATATTTAAAAACTTAATATACTTAAAAGATAGGCTTAGGAAACTAATTTAAAGCTAGGCTAGTTAAATTTGACCAAGAAATGGTGAGTTTAGTCATATGTACATCGTTTAGCTAAAAGATCCTACACTACTGGCTTGAGTAAATATATATTTCCATGGTAAAGTAAAGTGGAATTACAAAAAATCATGTATATCCCCCAATCTACTTCAAAAATCAAATTGCTGCTATAAGTAATAATAAAATGAATATAAATTGCTTAATACAAATATATTTCTTAATATTTCATGAGGAATTAGGATAAATAAGGCTAGTAGTATGGTCAGGACCAAACCTGTGTATCTTTTGTTCTGAAAAATAAATTAATCAGCTGGATAAGAGGCACATGACTACCCCTAAGTAGATAATCAGGCGAGAGTTATGCTAATGCGGATATCCGCAAAATATCCTCATATCCTCGCGGATATCCATGGATATCCTCATTGAGGATATGGTATGGAAGTAATATCCATTATCCTCAATTTGCGGATATGGTATTGAACCTGATATCCAGCGGAGAGGATATGCCGCAGTCTAATAGTATCTATATTATTTAATTATTATCAGTTTAAAGAATAAAATAAATTACAACGTATTTTCAGAAAATGGTGGAACTACCGCGTATTTAGAACATATATTTTGAAGTTCAAAATTTTTGAATGCATAAAAATCAGTTTTATCGAAGTTCCTTCACTTCTACCAGTCGGATTCAGTTAAAATTGAGAACATAGGTTAATACAAGCCTTTCTATATAAAGATATAATTTTATCTAATTCCGCCGAATAGAAGTAGCAAAATACAGAGGATACAGAAACATAAAGTAATGAAAATTCAGGGGTAAGTTATGCAAAATAGAACCCAATTGGGGCCCCAGTGGATACCCAAGAAAACCGAATGGGTTGGGTTGGGTAATCGAAGTTGGACCCAACTTGAGTCCTGCCGCAGCCTACTCAATACATGAAGACAGAAAATAAGGGACTTTGGAAAGTCAAACAATAAATGAATTGATAGATCAGAACATTTTGAAAACTGGCATAAATTCCAGCTCAACAGGTATACTCTAGCAGAAGCCGTAAGAATTTCCATAGGAAATATTCCTGCCCAGAGGTGAGGATCGTAGTAGTCTTGATAGTATCCACAAATTTCTTTTCTTCTTCCAACTTTCAACCAAATCCACTCCCCACCTTCCCCACCTACAAGATTCTTTTTTCTTCCCCACTTCCCCATAATCTCGCGTCCCACTTACACTTCTTTCTCTGAATGATAGCTAGTATATAGTGTGATCATGATCATGGTATCCCCTTCAGTGGCGTATAGAGCCAACTATGAAGGCTCATTCAGGGCATCGACATCTCATGTTAGTATGAATAGGAATGGTCCCTCTATTTTGGAGGAACTCAAAACAGAGGAAACGCCAGCGGCGGCAACTTCTAGTTTACAAATATTATCTTACTCTTACTCTGATGATTCAAAGTCAGTATCACGCGCAGTTGCCATATATTTGATTAGACCTTTCCCAAGTCGCCAGTCGACTGTTGAGACTCAAAACCGCCAAGAGATTTGATTTTGAAGTTTCAAAATTTGCTTTATGCGATCTTGGCCATTCAGGACACAGCCCCACATATCTCCGGTCCCACATAACTCCGAATCGGCAAGCCAATTTCCCACTTTTGATGGGGTAAAGTACGGGGTCGGCAGTGACTGCAGAGCCAATAATCAATAAGCGTAGCGGAAAGGAGTGCGAGAACACTTTAAAGCAAACCTCCTTTCATGATATCAGCCACAGCAAAAGTAGGCTTGTTCATCACACGGAGGGCCAAAGAGATGTTAGGAAACCTTTCACGCACCTCTCATATTCCTGCCATAGAAGGTTCGGCATAGTGGGGCCTATGAACTTTGGCATTTGACTTTTCACTAACTAGTCAACTAACTATTAAGTTACCATTGAGTACGTAAGCGGAAGATGGTGAGCTCGGCGGTTCCGGAATCGCCGGTAAATGTTGATTGTGGCCTACATAAAACGGAGGAGCTCTCTGTCTAGAAACTGCATTCTTCTTCATTGAAAATCATTTTCGTGGCCCACTTTTTCGATATCGTGAATATGTTTGTGCGCGAAAAGCTCAACAGCCAGTTTCCAGATACGGCTTTTAGCCCTCTTTGTCACCCAGATAAGCACCCGGCATTTCATTACAAAGGGTTTCATCCTGGGAAGGTTCAGCAACTTCCTCGTGGCCATGTCAAGCAGCGTGGGTTTCAAGCCTTTCCTGTCGATGTGACCTGGGAACAAGACCAAGTTATCCACATGCGAGATGGTATAAAGCTCTATTGCGACATATTTCGACCAAGCAACGAGTCGAAGGTTCCTGCGATCATTCCATGGAGTCCGTATGGAAAGGCGTCGACTGGCTCGCAGACCTATGACGTCATGGGACCTTGGCGCATGGGTATCCCATACCAACGTCTGAGTGGGTATGAGACGTTTGAAGTGGGACCCATTTAGATCTCTGAATATTATGACATTTCACTGATTTAATGGGCAGGGACCTAATCCGGCAGAGTGGTGTGCTAGGGGATACGCCGTTGTGGATATCGACGCCCGAGGCTGCGGTCACTCGGAAGGTGACATCATGTTTTGGGGTGAACAGGTCGGTTCCACTGATAGAGTTGCCGCTTACTACTCCAAGACGCTGATACAAACTTTAGGAAGCCACCGATATCTACGACTCTATTTCCTGGGCCGCTAAACAACCTTGGTGCAATGGATCCGTGGTGATGATGTAAGCGAATGAGTTTTGATTGGTTGTTTTCAGCACGAAGCTCACGACGAATTCTAGGGGAAACTCTTGGCTGGCTGTATCTCAAATTAATTTTGCTTCCCGATTTACACACCCAAACCTGACAGCCATTGCCCCGTGGGAATGCCTTACGGATGTCTACGCTCAGCAAATTTGCCGGGGTGGTATTCCAAAGGAGGGTTTTGGTGATATGATCATTCGAGGCTTCGCCGGTATGCCCTAGGTTTTCGAAATCTTGACTTTTAGCGTGGACTGATACGTTTCAGGGTTTGGCAACGCAGAAAATTTGGGGGCAATGCTGGAGCGACGTCCATTATTCGATGATTACTGGGAAGGGAAAAAGATTATGCCCGAGAACATCTGCAATATTCCGATGTATGTCACCGCTTCATACTCCACTGGCATACACTGTGAAGGCTCTTTCAAAACCTTCGAGGTTGCGCAAACCTCTCGCAAATGGCTTCGCGTTCATGCATCTCAAGAGTGGCATGATCTCTACAGGGTGGAGGCGATGGATGACCTCCAGAAATTTTTTGATTTCTATGCTAAAGGAATTGCCAATGGATGGGAGACAGACACTTCCCGTGTTCGGCTCACCTTGCTGGGTTATGATGGCAGCTACGCTCGAACTGTCGAAGAGCGGCCTGAGCAGAGCTGGCCACCGCAGAGCCAACAAGTCTCACGACGTTACTTGGACACATCTAGTCGTTCACTGCGACTGGAAAATCCAGCAAGGCCTAATTCTATAGCGCATGAAGCGCATTCACTCTCGGACTCGTCCGTATGTATCACCCTCCTTTTTCTCGTCTCTCATAGGGTTGCTAATAGTTCGCTACCATTCAGGATTTCGTGATGCACTTTGACAGATATACAGAGCTTTGTGGCCGGCCGTATGTAAAGCTATATGTTTCCTGTGATGAATCAGATGATATGGACATCTATGTGCAACTTCGAAAGGTTTCATCGAAAGGAGAGCTCCTGGAGTCTTTGAATTGGCAGCCAATGCCGAAGCCTCAACTGGAAGTTCCCAACACCAATGTGGCCAAACATCTCGGTCAACAAGGTATGCTTCGTGCATCACATCATGTCAGCCTAAGACCTGGAAGCAGTGACGATGAGTTCCCAGTGTATGATCATGCACGCCGCCAACCAGTACCTGCTGGAACGATTATTCCACTGCTAATCCCTATCTGGCCTGTGGGAATTGTTTTTGAAGCTGGGGAGGGGTTTATGCTTCGTGTTTCTGGCCATGATATGGCGCTCCCCGAGGTCGAATTCCTGACACCCACAGAACCAGTGGGTCGAAACCGTGGGAAACACACAATTCATACTGGGGGAGACTTTGACAGCTATGTATCTCTACCATTCATCAACTAGCAGAGAAACTTTTTCATCGATAGCAGACACTCAGCTAGAATCTGTGAGGCATAATTTCATATCCTTAATCTCGGCGTCGACCTCTACCCCTTTTCCCATTAGAGCCACCAGCCTCTACTTCCAAGAAGAGAGACGAAGAGCTTCTTACCCTAATTACAATGGCCTATGCAAAACTTCGAGAAATAGAAGACGGGAAAAACACATACAATGCGTGGAAATCGGGACATGGATCAGAACAGCTAGAAGAGAATTGAGGTAAGAAAATAAGACACTAAACACTAATAAGATTCATTATATTTGGGCCGGTGTTTTCTATATAGCAATGTTTCAGAGATGGTTGGTTATATTAGGGTTTCTTTACAGCTAACATACGCCCACGCAACAAAAGAGACGATGATATCGATCTCGACCTTCACACAATTTGGCGAGAGTCTTCTGGTATACCGATACCACCTTCCTGTTCTGCCACTGACCACCGAGAATGTGGCTGACTTTTCGTGCTAAGTCTATTGGATATGACGCTCCTCTTGGTTGAATGATTATTCCACCACATCCACGGGGGCTAATGCGGCTTCCAATCGGCAGATCCCGATCCTTACTCCCTCTCCACTCGGCCTAAGGACATTTTCTTCAATAATTTATCATTTTTGTTTCATAGGAGGTACACTACGTGGATTTTTGACTAGAACGATTTGATCGGATCACCCGGGGGAGGAATAGTTATACCCATTCAAAATATCTCACTAAGTTCGAGAGTTTTAATTAACTCCCTTGCCCTATCTACTAGGGATCTAGATATTAATTGGAATATCTTGAAATCTTCAGCGAAATTAGATAAGTAGACCATGTAATTAGTTAAGTACTAAAATCTTCGTCCGCTACGATGTACCTTTTATCCAATATAAAAATGCCAAGAATTTGTAGTCTAGGAGACTATAATGAGCACTTAAGATAGAATTTTTGGAGGAGTTCTATATTTCTAGGAGGCTTAGCTATCCAACTACATAGATTCTGGCTTATTAACGTTCAATTTGGAATATCCGATGAATTCTTAAATTACTTTTTAGATTAAATATAGCGATAGAGCTTGAAGCTTTTGATCATTTTTCTAGTTCTGATTGTTTGAGTACGAGGAGGAGCTGATCAGGATATAGTATAGAAGGAAAAGTCGACTTTTGGTTTTGATACCCAGAGCTCCTTACCTGATCATGTTGTTTGATCTGACGAAAATTCCTCTTGACCTCTCTCTTCCTCATTAAATATATTGTCAGATTTTATACGCTGGTAGTGGGAACTAGCATAGACGCATTCTTCACCCTTTGCCAGCAGCTCAGACTCAATGTCCATCAGCCGATTGTATTTGACCACCCTCTCACCACGGCAGGGTGCACCGGACTTGATATAACCAGTTTCAAACCAACCCCAAATCTGCGATAAAGTCATCAGTGGTCTCAGCCGATCTGTGAGAGACAAAAACGCCCCAGTCAAAGCCATAATACATGTTTGCTCTATACGCAGTCAGCAAGCCGTTCTAAGTAAAGATAAGATAAGCCCGAGACTGACACTTCGATTGCTTCCAAAATAGTCCCAATCTAGTCATTCTTCAGGAGTATGCCATCGTATGCCTCTTTCTCGTTCGCCAATTGCACATACTCCGGATTTGTTACCAACAGATTATCGCTAACCAATTCAATAGGACAATTCTTATTGAATTCTGTCCAACTATCCTAATATTTCTTAGAGAATAGATCTTTGAGGAAAATCATAGGATAATTTTGAAGTAAAGATTGATATAGTTGTATCATCTGAGTGGGGCTGTAAGGGTTGGAGGCGCCTTTAAACCCGATATCGTATTTGCTTTCCTGATAAAATTCACTGGATGTAGGGTCGATTGCTAATTTGATCTTTCCGATATATCTAGCATTAGACACTACTGCGATAAGGAGGTCAAGTGCCTCGTGCGGCTCTAAAGTTTAGGGAGGGGGGGGGGGGGGGGGGCAAAACCGCCCTCATCACTACTCCTAATAGCTTAAAATTAAAATTCAGTACTAGGATTCTTCCTAAAGAGATTTGGGGGAACTCGCATACCAGAGGGGTCGAACTTTCTAATTCCGACCTCTTTTATTTGCTAGTAGGTTTCACTGCCAATACTGACCGCTTCTGCAATTAAAGACGCTCCGAAAGGAGCAATCAAAGTCTCCTGAAATACTATCTTGTTGCCCGAATAAACGCCTCCATTAAGCACATTGAAGAATGGAACGGGCATGACAAAAAGCTTTTCAGCCCCAGCTTCAAGTCGCAGGAACTCGTACTGCGGGATACCCTAGAGCAATAAGCAAGACTGTGATGTTCGCACTTGAGGCTTAACATACTGCTTTGGCGGCACCTGCCTTAGCACATGCCATGCTCCCGCTAAGGAGAGCGTTTGCTCCGAGGGTGTCTTTGTTTTTAGCGCCATGTAAGCTTTTCAGACGTTAGTCAATCTAGACTTTGACATGGGCCAGCCCAATGGGCTTTTTGGCCTATTGCTGCCTGATATTGCTGCCTGATTCTTCCTGAGTTTTTGAAATTAACTGCTGAGTTACCTGGAATTAATTCTGTTATTTACAGGCCGTGAAGTAACCCGCGGGCGGCCCTTAGAGGGTTACCTGCGGACCGGCCTATATGCGGGAATTTTTTTATTAACCCTCATAAGGGCCGCCTGTGGGCTTTTCTAGGGCTGATAAATAGGATATAAGTATAAATACTTTCAAAAACCCATCTCTTTATGAATTATACGTTTTTTAGCTATATTTTTAGGTATTTACTTTATAATTTTCTTATTAATATATACTAGAGTAGTAGTATTTTAGTATGAATTAATAAATAAGGATAAACAAGATCTACAAATAGGGATATTTCATAAAAATAGAGAAGATGGATAACAGGGTAGTTAGTATGTGTGTTGACGAAAACAGGGGTAAATACAGAATTAATTTCGGATAAGTTATCAGCTTATGCAATCTTACGAAATAAACAGAAATATATTTGCTGGTCGGACAAAGAGCGAATATACTGAAAGTCTGGGAATCACATGGCATAGAAAGCCAGTCCACCATTCCATCAACATTCGGCGATTGGCACCTTATCTATACCATCATCGATGAAATCTAAAACCAAGATTCCGGAAGCAAGTTTGTCCTTAGTAAGCTGGATCAGTTCCTTATGTGCTGGATCTTCTTGAACAAAATATCTCCGATCCTCCTCGCACCTGAATTGCACGATTGAGGCAAGATTGAAGCCTACATCAGAATTTGGTACTCAGCAAGATTCAATGATTTAAGATGTAGGAATTGAAGTTACCATGACTTCTGACCGGCAGGCATGGTCTGGTTGTACCACATTTGATGGACAGAATGTAAGGCTCGCCATTGTGAAGAGCTTTCGCTGCAACGGACTTGATGGCTTGCGCAGCGAGCACCAAGTCGGATGCATCCTTAAAAGGCCAGAGAACGATATGCTCGACTTCAGGCATGATAGAATTATTCTCGGCACCTGATTGGGTTCAGGATTGAGGGTTGTCTAATTTGAGAGCGGGTTAGTGGTGCTTCTAAGTACTTATGTGTTTTCCTATCAGATGAGATCATCGCTTCCTTGCTCCACGACTAGAAATATCTACCAAGACAAGAATTGACTGTCCCCCAAGATAAGCCACATTCGCATTACCAAACGTTACACTTTAACCTGGCTCGGGCCTACAATGTTTAGTGCGGGACCTTTATTGCGGGACCTTTAGTGCGGGACCTTTCTATTGAAAACCATTGAAAGGTCCATCCCCACGCCCCACCTGTCCAGGATGCCCCCAAATCCGATTTCTAAATTTGAAACTAGTTGAAATACCGATTTCTTTTTCTGTCAGAAGAATACTCTTTTGAGCTTGCATACCCTCTAGAATGCCATCCTGAACGCATCTTGTTCGATTCGACGCTGCCTTCAACAGCGAGGTTCATATTAGCCAACTGATCGATACCGCCCGCGACATTGGACGTGACAGCCCCGTTGGAGTGAACCCGATGAAGTGGAGATCGTCATGAAGGTAATTCAGGATGCCTTCTTCAATGGCCATGTGACAAAGGATATCTTACGTGCAAAGAGTGAGATGTTAGCATCCTCTTGTGATAATTTCAACCAATTACTTGGTCGCAAAAATCACTACGACAGACACGATTTCACCCGTAAGCAGAAGGGGGCCGAAAACGTACGCGGGGAAGATGGTACAAAAATTCACAACGGAAACCTAACCAGTGAGAGTCAGTAAGGGCCGGTGATTTCATATATGGAGACAAATTGGAGAAAACTACGCCCCCGCAATCACTTGACGAGGCTGTAGGCGAGGGCCTGTGCGGCATCCCCAACGAATCTTCTCATCATAACGATCCGGACAATATTTTATATCCCATCATTCCCGCCGCACCAGATTCTCCATACCGATGATATGCCAAGGTGACTTTTTTACAGGAATGTACGGAGACAATATACAGTATCCAGGGGATTGGGGCGAGCTCCTCATATATACCGAGAGGTTAGAAGAGGATTGTTTACGCCTTCAATTCGAAAACTGGAGGTTACATAGAACCTTTAGGTGTGTTGATTGCAATTCGCATATTGGAAACTTGTCTTTGGCCGAAAATTACAACCTCGACTCCATCTCAGCATCTCCTGATCCAGCTAAAAGCCACCGTTGTTTTCCATCGGACACAAAAAGTCTCCCAGCCAGTGAAAATCCTTTATGCCAAGAGTAGATGCTGGAAAATGCATCTATGTTCGAAGGAGGTGTTGCCCTGTCAGACTTTCTGGACATAGTGCAGACACACAACCCCATTGGCTTGTCGCAGCTACCAGGTGAATCAGCGAATCCGGAGAATAGTACTGGTATACAAGGTTCAAACGATGAGAATTGTCTCGTATTTATTTATCAAGATCGGCGGAATCCTTCAATGCCAATAATTCTGCTCGGTGTGACTTTGATGGTCTTTTTTGGCCGTTTCAAATGAAGGGCTATAACGAGGAATCTGGTTCTCAGGCCATAACAAATGCTCGGTATCCACTAGTGCATTTGGCGGTACAGCAGACCCATCAGAATATAGAAGGATGTTCATCTATTAATACCAATGCCCCTTTCAATCCTATGTTATCTATGGATTTCATTCCATTATCTGCCGACATCAGAATGGGATTCAATACATGGGTCTCGAATCATGGGTTAGACAGGTACATTTGCGCACTGAGGCTTCTTATCAAGCGTGCTCTAAGCATTACTCGTATCCCGTGAGTCCTTGTGCTGGGTCACTGTCTCATACAGACGATGAAGCCTGTCTTGCTCACCTAAAATAGTTCAGATAATCTGGAATCACTTATGGCGGATTGTGTCCTGTGGGTAGTACAAGAGGCTTGGCCAAAAGCAGAATGCTACTGGAAGTTCACGGTATTTGCAACAACGCAAACTGTTCATACATTTCTAAGAAATGATTTAGGCTTCATTCACAGGCTTTCTGCAATCGGAGATGTGGAGGAATTTTCCATGCAGCGCGTCGTACAACAAACTACATACTGCCTATCGACCGACTTCCCTCCAGCTTGGTGTTCCTCACTTTCCAATAATATTGACTTTGAAAAACCTGGCCAACAAGTCAGTGCGCTTCACCGATCTAGCTTGCATCTCCTTCTGCCGCTTGTTGGTCCAATATCTCCCAGCTTCCCTGATTTCATCAAATCCTTGGTTTGAATTCCGGATAGTCGGGAACAGCATACCAATACTGGAATGAAAATACCGAAGATATGCAGGAAGTACGCATGACTGTGCAATTACTGGCAACAATGTATCCAGGTTCTCGATATATCCGCCATAGTCATGCTCGTCTTGCATGAAGCCAAATTGAAACCCGAAAAAGAGTTCACCAACTACATCGAACGTAAACCTAGCTTTGCGTCAGCTTTATCTATACGGTGTATTCTGTCTGGAAAGTCAACAGATGTAACGGATTTACTTACCACTGAATCCATTCACCAAAGTCAACTTTGCGTGCTTGACTGCTGAGTTTGGACATTTTCTTCAGAAAGACATCGATAAAATCCTTGATATAGTCTTCACTCTCCAGGATTGTTGACATGGAATAGATTGAATTCACGTATTTCCTCCTTTCCGCATGCTTTGTCTCATCCATCTGCGAGAAATGGTCGCCGTGTCGAGTAATATTTGGGGCAAAAGGGGGATAGAAGTCTGTCTTGGTGAATCCAGACTTGATGTTATAGATGGTCTCGACAGCAGAGGGGTCCGCAATTGCCACCTCATTGGGCGCAATTCTGACTAGCGGTCCGTGTTTCTTGTGGAGTTCTCGTTGAACCTTTTCTGCATCCCCTGTAGCAACGGACCAAGCGATCCATAGTCGTGAGAAGGACGCAATAAAAGGACCAGGGACGTCAGAGAACTGATGGAACATGATGGAACAGCCTGCAATAGATTATCCAGCCCCCTTCATATGCTAGAAGAATAGCTAAGAGGTGGTACATGAGGGTGAGGGTTATCGTAGGAAGACTGGCCGAGACAGCCGAGACAACGGCAGAAATCAAAGAGATCAATGCCATTTTTCTTTGGGAGGACGGTTCGAACTATTCAGTTACAAAAATGCAGTCAAGTAGCCTTCTTCCCTATATACCCTTTCAAGCCTGCGTAGTACTATCGAATCCAGCACCAGGGGGGGTCGTGGTCTTGTCGCTCTCCACACCCTTGGTGTTATGTTATTGGTCGGAAATCATGAGGGTGGCGTGGTCAATCATGCGCTATATTTGTGACCCTTGGTAATGCGAAACTTCTCCACTCAAGGAGACTCTGAAACCGGCTCAGGTTCGGAAATGACGGTGACTAACCTATTGCGCCGTCTTTCTTATAGATAGACCTCAAAGCCTCCCGCGAGCGGCCCTCAGAGGGCTACCTGCGGACCCTTCCGCGGCTTAGGTCAATTTTTTGTTAAACTTATGAGGGCTGCCCGCGGGTTTTTTTGGGGCCGATAAATAGGATATACAGTATAAATACTCTTAAAGACCTATATCTAAATAGATAATACGTTTCTTAGCCATATTTATCGGCATTTACTTTATACTTTTCTTATTAGGTTAAATTAGGGTAGTAAGTAGTACTACGGACCCACTTTGAACACCCCTCACGAAAGAAGATAAGGACCAATCAAGTTCCCAGAAACAAGTAACAGAAATAAGATCACGTGGGTAGCCACGATGCTCACTGATCAAGCACTAAGCAAGTAACCGGCAGAACGGATTGAGACCAAAATCCACTACCCAGGTTAATAGAGGTAACATATACCAATCCTTACCGCCCGAGCCATTTGTGGCCTCCGACTGACCGTCATGATATATACTTATTATCACTAGGCGATAGTGCCTAGCAGGCTAGAAACAGCCGCCGGATCATAGAAGTCAATTCTACGCTAAGAGAGCACAGGATACTTAGCACCAACACATAACATACCTAGTACAGATAGACAACTTCAAAATTAAGTACTACCTTAGTAAATAGAGCCTAGAACCAGCGATACTCACTATGACTAGTGAGTGTCGTGTAATAAGGTTATATTTTAGACCTTGAGTTTAAATATATATTTCTCTAACTTTTTCAACCGCTGCTCCTCAGCGGCAACCATCTCCTTCCAAAGATCACCCTCGTCCTTGGAATTATGGTGCGCTGGAACTTAATCCGCGGCCTCATCCCGCTGAGCCACCCGATCACCCTTCTTCGAGTCAAGCATACCGCGACCTCGACGCTGATCAGATATCTCGAATGCAGCAGACGCACACAGAACACCTAACATCAAGCCTTAAGCATACTTTATGCTATCCTCGCCTCCTTACCTCGGATAGTAAAAGTGAACAGATGCTACTAAGCCTAAATAGGATGAGAGCGGCAGCGCTGTTGTCGAACTCAGATATCACGTGATCTTGCCATACCAAAAGGGTCCCACTTAGTAAGGCATATTTCAGTGTATTTTTCCCGGTGACAGCTGCCTAAGGTCAGGTGATGACCCTGAAGCCCAGTGCCCACTCTCCAACATAATCTTGTCTTACATTTTCAAGCTTCTATCATTCAGCCTTTTTCTGTCATCCTCTGCTTGAAATGTTCTTGCCGTCAGATGTCTTTCAATATTTGTTCTAGCAGCTCTTTGACCAACAAGCCTGCCTTTTGTCTAAGCATCATTCATCATGACCCCTAGGCTGGGGCTTGCGCCGAGGAGAACCAGAGAAAGTACATCCAAAGTTCGAACCGGATGCAGTACTTGCAAAGCTCGTCGAGTAAAATGCGATGAATTGAAACCTATCTGTCAACGTTGTGTCATCGGAGGTCGAAAATGCGAGTACAACACCGCGCATGCAGCACCACCTCGAAACGTGGTCACGGTATATCTGCCTCCTACGCAAATTCAACCAGTTTCTTTCGTAAATGACCGCGGTCTCGACTATTTCCACCGGAATCTTGTTTCGAAGCTAGATGGACACTCCGATTCTAAGTTCTGGAGCAAGCTTGTAATGCAACTATCACACTCCGAACCATCAATTCGACATATCGTATCAGCTATCAGCGTCATTTATCAAGACGTTGAATCGTCTCTACGTCATCCAGCGGGCTACGTTAATGCCAATCCCGAGGCTCAAAAGGAGTGGAACTCAGCCGTGAGGAGCCTGTCAGCTCGAATTCAAGCGCACCCCAATTCGATCCTGGTACCTTTGGTTTGCTGCCTTCTGTTCACATGTATCGAGTTTCTCAGGGGCAATGATGAGAACTCTTTACTTCATGTTCAAAGTGGATTGAATATTCTAGCCGCGCTCCGTCACAGCAACGATACAGCCCCGGGTCTAAGGTCTAGTGTTTCTTCCAACGATCTTAAAGCCATCGAAGATCACATCGTTCCTATCTTCTCACGTCTAAATGTACTCTGTTCTCTCGCTGGCAGGATAACTCCGCCAGTATACGCTCCTACAGCTATAGAAGGCTCTCCCCATGAAGATCTTTGCGATTCTAGACAACAGCTTTTTGAAGCCTCGGATATATGTATCCGATTCATTCACGACACCATTCCTAAGGCAGCGATGTTCCAAATCGATGTCGACGATCTTGCTGAACAGTTAAAACTTCAGACAAGGCTAGACGCATGGCGCGACCAGCTAGCCGAACTTCTTGAACGAATGCAAGCAGCTGGCAACCCGGCGAAGCAGCACGCGCTTAATATGCTGTTGGTACACTACAAAGTCATTTACATTTGGATCCGAGTCTGCACCACCGCTGGGGAAACGGCCACAGATTCTTACTACACCGACTTCGAAGAGCTTGTGCATTACGCGGAACAAATCGCCAAGCCAGGCGTGGGAATGGCAACGCCGCAACCGCTATCTTTTGACATGCAGATCTTGGGGCCTCTGTACTTTACCGCACTGAAATGCCGTTATCCCGCTTTACGAAGACACGCGTTACAAATCCTGCAATTCGCGCCTCGACGGGAAGGGCTTTGGAACGCACATTACGCCTACGTAACTGCCAAACGAATTATCGAGTTGGAGGAAAGGGATCTCAACGGAGAAAAATTGCCAGACGAGACTTCGAGAGTGCATGGTCTCCCCCTACCCAATGATGGGTCGCGGATCTACAGCATGAGCAAGACACCTTTTAGCTTTCGGAATTATGACCACAATTTTGTGACTAGCCCAGCTTATCCAGGCATGCTTAAAGCTGTGTTCCAGAAAAAGCCGTGGGGGCTGTTGGGACAGTGTCAGATAATCACAGAGTATCTTAAGCTTTGAACTGAATATCTATACTTATTATTCTGTTCCAGACTAGACCTCGTAATAGTATATGGAGCGAATGCGGAGCTTCATACAGCATCCTATAATAGGCACCTCGAGATCGTATTTCATTATCACAATATTCTTATTATTATTGACTATGTGCATCTAAGAGTATCTCTGCTGGGCGAAGTATCAAGCGAGATCAAGATAATCAGAGCCCTGGTTGCGGGTCTATCACACAAAGGATGTCACACTCTTATCGATGTAGCTGTTGATATACGCCCCGGATACAACGAAAAGTACTTAAAAATGCCATATAGATATCAGAGCCGTGAACAATTCACTCCCATTTTCTTACGTGATGTCGGTGGTGGGAGTATTTGAGATGATCACATGGACAAAATTTAAAGTTGCCTTTTATGCTTAATTTAAGCCAAGGCTTGGTAGTGTATTATGTTAATGTTATAATATAAAATTACGATATTAATGATATACATAAGCACGATAAAGATAGCAAATCTGAGATTCCGTATCACAGGCTGATGGGCCTATATTTGTTTATTAATTTCTTTTAATATAAAAGAATAGATTTTCATTTTTTGAAACAATTGGCCAAATAGGACATCCTTTTAATTATTCCGACTGAAAGGCTGATGATAAAGTTCTCAAAGGTGATACACTCTGAATACAGGGAAGAAGGCACAAAAGGTAAGAAAGAGTGGTATCAAAAGACAAAAGGGCATTTAAGAGAGAGAAGCATTGTGGAATATACCTCCTTCTAGCGCGAAAACGTCACCGGAGCACACACCCACTGTGATGAAAGTTCGATTATATCACATGTACAAATAATAAGACATATCAATCATTCAATGTTTGTATTCGACGATATCATAATTATGCCTCGCTCCCTAAATTTTTGTTATAACTAGGTATATTATCGGCAATATCATCCACAACGACTTGAATCACCTAAGAATTAGAGGCTAACTCAGGCAAATAGCATCCACTATGTATCTCGGATACCATCCCTTTATTATCTAACTCGCGCGGCGTAGACCGATTAAGGGATCCTGCACCAGTCAGTCCCATATTGGAGGTTTGCGTCCGACGCTTTTGGGCAATGAAAAACGCGACTATCGCAGCAATTATAATCACACCAACGCCAACACCAACTCCGATTCCAGCGGCAGCCCCTGGGCCAATATTTGAGGATGATGACGAAGATGAAGAATTTGCGTTTGAGGTAGATGTTCTGGTCGCAGAGCTATTATATGTAATGGAACCAGTCTTGGGGAGGTATTGGACAGTTTGAAGACTGGATGGAGCAGGCGCGGGAAAAAGCTGATCGGTAGGATCAGAACAATTGGCTTTTCCACCATTGTAAGAGCAGCAGGCCCAGAGGCCACTTGTTGAGTTATAAGTAATCTGTGAGCCGGCGAGACCTCCTATACGGCGAGAACAAAGTTAGCATACAATACAAGCGAACATTGAACGAATAGTCAGAAAAGAGGTACCAACCACAGCGATTTTGACATATAGGATCTTGCAGTGTTGGATCTGTACAATCTGCACTGTAATGCCCATCGCCATTGCCGTTCTGGCAGATGCCATTACTCATGCATGTAGAGCCTCGTACACAACATGTCACATTATGACCGACTTGGCTCACGTCTTCACATGGTGCATCGTCAGAATTGATGCTGATTGTGCCCAAGTGGATATCATAGCAGGTCGCCATATTTTTGACCGAAATGTGCTTAAAGGGAAAGGGGAGCTGAAGGGATTCGACGCAGAGAACGTAAGTTATTGAAGTCATCTGCGCCTAACGAATTTGGTAAAGTGTCTCTATTGTGGATCCATTTGCAGGCGTAGACCAATGATATACATTAGGCCCCCAAATCTAAGCGCTCTCGCAAATTGTGATAGGCAATTTACGGAGACTAGTCCATATACGGGGTGAACTATGCTTGTAGTCCTAATCTTGGCGGCGCCCGCATGATATAAGTATTTGCTGGAAAACCTCTGCTCATTTGGTTGTATGCTTTGTCGGGAGGAAGAGAGAGTATCATAAGGCTTAGCTTTCCCATCTTACTTGACTATTCACATGAAATCATAATGGGGAAGGTTTATTCTGACAAATAGACGATACGCAGGGTTCGGGGTTCGGTGCTCTGGGTGGGGTCAATGCGACCGGCATGATGCGCGATACTTGGGAGCGAAAAATGCCTCCACAACCAAATTGGGAGATGGATACAGGTCTCCAAAAGAGTACAAAAGACCAATTTTCATTAGAGTAAATTCCATAATTTACTTTCATCCACAGAATACTTATAGGAGTAGATATACCTAGGTATTAGTCAACAAAATACACATTACTCTGTACTTGATCAGAGATCCAATGCCTATGTCCACGGGTGAGAGCTCATGTAGATACAGTAAGGGTCTCGCACAGCAACGCTAGAGATTGTTACATTTAACCCATTGAACGAAAAGGGGGCATATTTATCGTTTCAGATTCTCGAGACTTTGCTCTTCCACAAGATTCTTTGATGGCATGGCGGTAGAAATGCAAGACGTTGGACGGGGGCGAAGGAGGGAAAAGTGAGCCAAAAACTGCACTCCGGACGGAGTACATTTCTCAAGATGGTCTAAGCGTTAATTATCGTGTGGGCTTCGGACAACAAGTGTCTGTTCAGCCAATATTTAGCCAACTAGGTGCCACAGTTTTATTAAAAAAAATCCCGATGCCAAAGTACATAATTACCAGGGCCTTTCGTATTGGCTGGCCCATAGATGGAGCTGGCCACCGGAATCAGCATCTGCCCGGCCGATTGGCCCGCGTTGGCCCCACCGTAAATCGCAATTTACCGAATGATCCCATGGAAATTCAAGGTCTTAACAGCTATGAAATTCGAGTTCGATAAAGCTCAAACAACGCGCACCCGAAACCACACTGATCCATGAAACTGTTTGGGTGACAGGCGAGAATTTCTTAAAGCGGTTCCTGATAGCCTTCCAAATGGGGGCCTCGGCTCCACTATTCTGACTTAGCACTGATCGTCGTTCCATTGTCGTATTTGGATCCGTGGCCCGACGAATGCTATGAAACAAATCAATCAAAATTCAAATCGAGTAGTTGGTCTGTGCCGGAAGGATCCATGTACACATGTGACTTAGTACGGACTTTTGTAGCCTCCTTTTTTGCTTTATTATGATGAGCAAGAAGATAGCCGATATTTAAATAAACCGTTTTCTTCTGTCACTGTAGAAAAGATCAGGCCCGAGGGTGGAAAATATGGAAAGTATGACTTGTTAGAAAGGGCCAGCACAAAACTTCATTTGTTCTTTTCAAACGTCAATATATTCCATGTGTGAAATCCGTTCATCTGAGGACCACTCTAGGGTCAAGTTCATTGTCAGCGTAATACTCATAGCCCGCATTCTACGGGTTTATAATTGAATCGAGGGCATGTCACTTCAATGTGAACAAATGAATAGCTCGTAAGATGGACGGCAAGTCTAGCTGCTTTGCATTTACTGAGAAATAGTTACAGCTCCAAACGAAAAATTGCTCGGATAGCTGTACATAACGTAGGAATATATAATGAACGGTCTTTTGGGCGTTGGTCCTTGTTGCTTGAAGTGTTCAAAATGTTGGCAAAGTGGATCCCAGATACTTTTGAGCGTGCGCGGGCGCCGAACGGCCCCAATTCGCTCGAAACTCTATCGAGCAGGAGAGTAGGATCTTGCTAGCTATCCATTTGAACTATCAAAGACGACGACATTTCAGTGGGAAATTTGTTGTAAACGTTGAATGTGTTCGTTTAATATAGGCATTGTGGAGGGGGGGAGCCTATCACCAATTATTACTGCAGATAGCGTTTTTCTCCAGACATCTCTTTCCTTCCAGATGTCTGTATGCTAGGCTCTCCGTCCTCACCTCCGCTCGGATACACCGCACAGAATGTTATTTCAAATCTCTTTCATTGAACCATTGCGTTGTAATATCGAAACATAATCTTTATCTAAACCTCCAGTCTCATAACTTGCTGTTTGCCATGGCTAGATATACATGCCCTCTGATTGGTCTTCAGTCCAACACATGTGGTGGATTACAAAAAGGAAAATTACCAAATTAACATAGTGATATTGTAGATCAAAGAGGATGTTTATCCCCAAAACAAGAAAATCCTTCCAAGTCCAGCCTTCATTGAAGATTAATTTCTAGTTTATCAACATTTATGTAATAGATCGCTCACTTCAGCGCTCTCTTTCTCATCTCTTCTTCGAAAGTTTTCGCCGACAGGACCTGAATGCATGCCTTTTTCTTTTGTTCTAGTTTGATGTACCACGATGAAAAATTACCCGCACTCGCAGCTTTAATATTGACTTTCGGGATCTGCATGCCTTTGCAATTCACGATCTCAGTCCAAAAAGAGTTAGATACTCATTAGACAGCCATATAGCCAGTGTGTCCAGCCTCAAACTTGAGACCAGCATGACATGATTCGCCCAACTCAACAGGGACTTGAAGCGCTACCTAGTGACGAGTAGTCAAGCCTACATAAGCAACGACTCTTGATTGGCTCGGGAGCATTTCGTAGCCGTCTAACCACATTGATCTCGTAACCATCTAACCCGAATAGGAAGTAAGCGGTCAGCTTCCGATCCTAGATTCCTTGAAGTATTTATTTATCTTTACCGTGCTCCTCAATTCTTCAGTTTTTGTTCTCTTCGCTCAACAACCACGTTGATTAAGGGATCTTTGCACACCATGGCCATAAAGATTGCGGCGAATAAAATGTTCCATTTTGCCCTGCGAGCGCTGCAACTCACCTTCGCCATCATCGTCATGGGAACGGCCGGCTACGGTACGAATAACTAATATATCACAATCTTTTGACACACCATTTGTTCTGATATCATCACCTAGCTATCCACATATTTCGCGGCCACACCGAATACGTACACTTCGATTTCGGCAACTTCTACAATTACGTCGGTGTCCCTGATGCGTGGGGCTTCTTAATGTTCTGTGCTGGGTGGACATTTTTGGACGTCATCTTCGTCCTCGTTGCTGGAATCAGGTTCGCGGATCATACATTGATTGGCTACGTTCGTGTCGGCGCCGAGGCTGTAGCTCTCTTATCATGGCTTGCTGGCTTCATCGCTGTGGCTATTAATATAGGAAGTAATGGATGCCCGGCAGAAGAAAATCGCTGTGGGTTGCTGAAAGTGGCGACAATCTTTGGGGCGTTGGAATGGCTGCTATTTGCGATTACCACAACCCTGACCTTCAAGATCGTATTCAAAAGCGCTCGCCAGTCAGGGTCTTTGTGATAAGTTCCGCGATACCAATTTAATCAGCGGCATAGGATCCCTGCATATCAGAACTACCTAGCTCGCTATAGGCCATCGGAAGTCTCGCCATCATGTTTTAAGCAAAGATTCTTTGTTTGCAATGTATCGTGCTTGAGTAGTACGTTCTGAAACTACTGTAGGACTGGCAAAGGAGCAAAATCTTGATATCTTTGTTTTGAAAAATGAAAGATACCCATTTAGAAATAATTCGCCATCAAAAGCAGAATGCTGAATGACTTCTCTGAAGTCATAGCTGTAGTATACATCGTGTATTTGAAGGGATTGAATCTAAAATATAAGCCGAAATGCTTATGAGTAGAGATTTGAGTCATTTATGGAGGTTGAAGACGGCATGGACGCTACATGAGACTCTAGATAATAAAACCTTTGGTCTAGTCTTCGGGCTGGAAATTGACTCTAAGATACTGTAAGATGAGGAGTACATGGAGAAGTAATATGATATTATGGGTGGAGACAAAAGGAAGAAGAGAGCACTCGAGAAAGAGCTGTCTCTTCAGATGTGCTCATATGGACGAATACTACTAGCCTAAATGGGATGAGCGAAAGCGCTGCCTGGAATCGTATGACGAGTCTCGAGCCTGAAGTCCACTCTTCAATAAAGCAGTAAAGAGAGAAATAGTGATGGCGTAGGAAGAGAAAGGGCAGAATGATATGGGAGACAGGGAGACAACGATGTATGGTATTCTAAGCCTCATACAGAAACCAATAGACTATCGAAATTGAACTCCGATGACTTTGCAAATCCCCGATTGGCTGCGTATTTATTACAATACATTTATTCCGATACCCTGCGTATCAACTCCGGTAATTTTCGTAATAATGATTGGCTTGAATTCTATATATTTATGCACACTGTTTGACTATGTTCGAAGGTTAGAATATAGAAATATCCGTGCAGGATTGGCGCACTGTATATTCCTTTTTCAAAATAACAATATGGCGAAAATTGAGGCCTGCAACAACTCTGATCTTGCAATCCATCTGGATTCGATCAACTCATTCATCCCTGGCCAAACCATTACCGGTTATGTCTCTCAAATCTCCCGTTGGGTTGATACTGAAACGAGTATCAGCATCATTCTCCACGGTAGATGCAACACAGCACTATTCTGCAATGATTCTTCATATTGTAGCAGTCTAGAGCTATTCGGCAAAGGGGGAGTTCAAAAGGAGCTTTTCAATGGGGCCTTGCATATTCGAACATTATGCTCAGAGGAAGGTAAATGGTTCTTTACTATCGATATCCCCAGCCACCTCGATCCTAGCTCTCTGAAATCCCTTCCCTTTGGGAAAGCATCATACCTATCTTTGTTGCGTACAGACCAGCTGGTTCTTCCGCCTTCCTTTACTTTGGGTGCCAGTGCTACCGTTTCGCGTCGCGGGTCTGCAGTTGTTGAGTACTATCTGGAGGCCACCATGGTGACTCCTAGCCCCGCCAAGTCCGCAATAGCGCGCCTGCCAGTCCAAATCCAGTGTGAATCATCCCCTTTCCCGATAACGGATTTTGACATTGTATTACATTCTCGACAATGCTACAATGTTACCTCTCCTTATCTGGTCTCCGGTATGGAAAATACGAAAATTCCCATGCGACAAAAGATTGCCTGTGTATTGGGGTTTCCCACGGCTCCTCGTCTCACATTCCGGCTCGAAATTTGCATAGCTTCGGTTGTGCAGAAGGGCAGTCCATACCACATTCCCATCAAGTTGCGAGCTATACCGCAATGGATAGATACCAGCCAATGTGTCGCGAATGCTCCCCAAATCATTGACATAACTGAATTCACTCTTGCTGTCCGCTCAACCTCAAGCTTCATAGCCTACACTACAGACGCTGTAGCGGCAGTGACGATTGTGCATGAGGACCACTCGATAAACAGAATCGTGTTGGCAGATCATAAAAAATTCAAAACGACAAACCAGATAAACTATCAAGTACTCCCATCTGAGTCCTGTCTTATCAGAGACCATCCATCGTATCACAGCCCTCTAGCTTTACCGATTGGTGACAACGTGACTCCCTTGGATATAGGTCAAATTCTGGATTTGAAACTGCGGCATGAACAATTCCCACTTGACGAAATCCCAACTTTTATCACCCACAATATCAAACGAACATACGAATTTGAATGGAAAATGAGTCTGGAGGTTGGCGGGAAAATGGTGAGGGTCAACGGCAGGCATCCCGTCTTGATCATGGAGAAGTCGGCACAGAACTAGCTAAGTGGTGTTCACAAGTATTTAACCTTGGGAATTCTAAAATCCATTCTTATTATTGCCGGCAGAAACTGCAGAAATTTATTACAATCTAGTAACTGGAATAATTTGGCCGAATAAGAGAGTAAAAATCCTGTAGATTATTCTAAGCACTCTTTTATCTCACAAATAGTGATGATGATGATGATGATGATATTCTATTAACCTGATGCTGCCTAGCTAGAATCGCAGTGGCAATGCAGGCGCTTCGTCCGTCCGAAGCAAGAATATGCCCAACGCCGTAACCCACGCAGTAAAGAGTGACTATGCACAAAGGAAATAGGTATCGCGCTACCACACAGGTGTAAATGAAGCCGAAATGAAGCCGAAATGAAGCCGAAATGCCAAATAAAGTAAAAACCCGCTGAAAGAACGTCGCAATCGCTATGCAATATGCTTTGATATCCCCGATATCCTCCTGTACATCCCCCTCTGCATTTGTCAACTCCCTCCTGCCCTGCTGGCAACAGCACACCCCGCTTCGATCGATTGTGTTGTGTTGTATTTTCGCTGTCGTCGTGGTCGACATCTCAGTTGTCGCTCACTTCGTTGTTGGATACACAGCGTCTTCACCCCTTGCCCATTCCGGTCATTCCCGGTGTGTTGGTTCAGTGTCTTCCTCGGGTTCAACGTCGCATTGGCGAAATTGTCCGAGAAGGCCAGTTGATAACATGAATTCGGCGACGTAGCGAATCGCCTGCGGGTGAGACATGATGGCCTCATAATCCGTCCATTTCCCACTGTCCAGGTCCGTCCTCTTAACCTTTTCTATGAATGTCTTCCGTAGATCCACGTACAACGGACACTGCAGGAGGACATGCCTTGGCGTCTGAGAGCCCTCCTCGCAGCTGCATCTGTCCGATTCCGCCTCGTTGATCTTATACAGGAAGTGACGCAGGCCGATCCTCATCGACCGCATCTGCACCAGAATCGAAGTGTACGGCTTCGATAAGCCCTCGAATAGCTTTAGAACCTTCTTGTGCGGCACCTCGACCAGTCTATGGTTCGGTCTGCCCGTTTTCTCCTTCGCCCACTGTTTTGCCCACTCTGCACGGATCCGGGCTCGCACCTGCCGTTTGGCGGTGGTTGCAAGTCGCAGCTTAGGGCTTATTCCAGACCCGGAAGAACCTATTTCCGACCCCGCACTCACACCCGCACCCCCTTTCGCTGCCTCCTTCGCCGCAGCATCCGCCAGCTCGTTGCCACTCACGCCCACATGTGCGGGGATCCATCGAATCGTAACCGAAAGACCGGGCGTGAGGGCACGGATGTGGGTATAAATTGCATGGAGGACATATTGGCCGGATGGGCGTTTGGGGTTCTGCACGGCTTGAATCGCGGCCTGCGAGTCTGCGAAGATCACCAGTTCGCGAGGGGGCTGTGGGTGTGGGTATGACTTACGAAAGTGACAGACAGCCATCTCTATTCCGGAGAGCTCGGCAATATACACTGTCGACTGGTCAGAGCTGCCTAGGTGCTGGCGTTCTGCTACCAGCGGCTCCGCCTGTGGGGCTACCGCGGACGCCCCAATCATGCCTTCGTATCCACTCCCGTCTGTGAAGAATATAGTAGGAGGAGGATTTAGAACAGGGTCTACGCTAGGCTCCGCTTCCGCGATAACAGCGTCGACTGTCGCATAGAGAGCGTTGGTCAAGATCTCGTTGTGTGATTTTATCGCAGCTTCTGCACCTTCAATGATGCATCGCACTCTTGGCTCCCACGGCGCGAGGACAAAGGCCGTCCTTGATTTCCACATAGTCTTTGTACGTTCGAGAACCTGACCTTTCTTCTGGAGGGCTTCCAGAGGTGAGAGGCCTCCCAGTTTCACTTCTTGGGACTTACGTGGCTGGCGCGCTGTGAGGCACTCCGGCTGGGCCCATTTGGCCCCTGTTTGGATTCTGATGGCTGTTTCCTCGATGATTTGTCGCATTTGTAGCTGGATTGGCAGTAGATAAAGTTCCACATTCAATGCAGCAGCAGACATGCTTTTGAAGGCACCCGCGATGAGAATGGCCGCACGGCGTTGAATTTGTGCAAAGATACTGGTGATTCGATTCGTTTCCGTTTTAGGGACAGTAGCTGGGGAGTGCCACGCAGCCACGCCGTAGAGCATCTGTGGTACCACCACTGCCTGGTATACCATGCGCATGGCCATGAGTGGGGCTCCCCATGTGGAGCCTGTCATGCCTCGGAGGGCCTCTAGACTGCCGTTTGCTTTTGCAGAGAGCTTCGCACGGTGGGTATTGAATTGTAGTCGTTTATCAAGCCAGATACCAAGATATTTGGCAGATTCTGTGGGTTGGATTGTTTGGTTTGCGATTTTCACTGGTAGCTGGTCGTTGCCGGGGTCTTCCACAAGGATATCGTAAATGTCCGGGGCGTGCTGGCGGTCCGGTAGTGGTGTAGCTGTCGTTTCTGGTATCTGTCGGGGGTTGGTGAAATGAATAAGTTCGAACTTGTCTGGTGCGAATTTCGCAGCATGTCGTCGTGCCCAGGTGTCTGCTTTGGTGAGGGCTTGTTGAAGAAGCTCCACGTTCCTTGCGTATGTCCTAGACTCCACAATCATGGCCACGTCGTCGACCCATCCGTATCCACGGCACTCAGCTCCATCCGGCCCTCGAATATAGCATCCACGGACGAGGGGGGTGTTGAATAGTAAGAAGAGGATTGGTGAGATCGGGGAACCCTGGGGAATGCCCGTTTCCGTGGCGAAGAGGTCGCTGGTGAAGCCCGGGAGCTTGATCCGAGTTGATCTGCCTGTGAGGAATGATTGGACCCATGGCACGAAGTGCCCAAGTCCTAGCATTCGCATATTGTGTAAAAGTCGCTGATGGGAGACGTTGTCGTATGCTCCAGAGACGTCCAGCAGTAGCATACTTACCTTTTTGCCGTCACCCCAGGCCCGGTGGACACGGTCAAGGATCAACTGGATTGCGTGGTCGACAGAGATACCCTTCCGGCCCCCGAGATGTGTATCTGGCAATAGGTGGTGCTCTTCGACCGCCCACGAGATTCGGCTGGCTATCACGGCTTCTAGCAGCTTTCCGAGGGTATTCATAAGGGCGATTGGTCGGTAGGATTTGGGCTTGCGGAAGTCCCGGGGACCCCCTTTGCGAAGGGCTACTGTGATTGATTGTTGGAAATGGCGTGGATTGTAGCCGGTACGTACACATGCGTCGAAGATTAAGGTGAGGATTCGGGTGAAATCCTTGCATGCGAGTAGTAGCTTCCATACCCTGTTTGGCAGTTCGTCTGGCCCGGGGGCCTTATCAGGAGGTGCTCGGCGGATCACGTCTATTATCTCTTGTTCAGAAATCGGTGGGAATCGTAATTGTTGCCTTGCTTTGGCCCTGGCTATGTCGTCGAGATCGGCATCTGGGGGCTGTGGGAAGAAAACCTCCCGTAACACCTGTGCTTTATCCTCGTTCGACTCCGCCAGCTGGCCATCCATTTTCTTCAGTGCTGGTATAACGCCGCCAGAGCTTTCTCCGCGATTCCTAGCCCATTTTGATACCCGCCAGAGGCCGCGCGGGCCGTCCTTGATGGTGTCTTTGATCCAGGTGCGAAAACCCTGTCGGAGCGCCTTACCGATCGCTTTCCCCTTCTTATTGCGTGCGGTTCGGTATTCCTGGTGATCTTGGTCGTTTTTGGAGTCTCTCCAGCGTCGGAATAACCTTCGGGTGGTGCTGATTGCCTCTGTGCACTCGGGGGTCCAGCCGGGGTGTGCCCAGGCTGACGGACGGGCCCAAGGCGTTGAAACCTGCACACCTTGCTGTATGACGCTGAGTAGAGACTCAGTAGCTTCATCGATCTGTCGTGGTGTCGTGACACCTTCTGGTATCCCCCTTTTGCCCAGCAGATTTGCTGACACAAATTCCAGGAATTTCTCTATGTCCATAGCCTTCCAGCAGTGCCGGCGAGCTTCCCCCACACTTTGCGTACCCAGATCAACCAGTGTGGCAATTGGAAGATGGTCTGAGTCCGCATGTGTGTCCTCGCTTACCTCGCACGCTATCAGACGTTCATGAAGCTTTTGTGACGCTAGTACCAAGTCGATTGTGGTCTGGCTCACTGCGTTCATCCTCGTTGGAACCCCTGGTTCCGTCCATAGTTCAAGGTTTGCTGTGTCCATTAGTTCTAACACTTCCTCCGCCTTAGCATCCTCCTCTGCGTCGTCACCTCCCCACACCGGGTGGTGTAGGTTGAAATCCCCCACAATCAGGTACGATGCCCCCCTCTGCTCCTTTGTTGGCTTCACTAAACATCTGAGGAGGTTTAAACCGTCCCCTGTGATCTGGTCGTTATATACATTGAAGACTCGCACCTCACTGATATTGGTGCGGATCCTCACTTCTTGCAGATCTCCTGAGTGCGCGTAGTGCGTCCACCCCGCTAATTTCTTCGATATATACATGCATACCCTGGCCCGCTGGCCTGTCTCTGCCTCCGCCGGCCATAGCAGCTCGTGAATGCCCTTCGCGGGGTGGTGGGTGCTGTCCTGGAAGGGATTCTTCCATGGTTCCTGGATGGCGATGATGTCCGCGGCTAACACTTTAGGATCACGCAGAAACTGCGCCATGACCCCGTCTTTCGATCGATTCACATTGTACTGGAATATAGTGAACTCTTTCATTAGGAACTGTGAGATTTGGAGGGCTTTGCGCTTCTGTTGTTCCGTCGGAGGCGTGGTTCGAATCGGATGTCCATCACCTCTGTCTGCGTGTGTCGACGCTTCCTCGGGTTATATGTATTGAAGATCTTGTCACTGATCTCGGTGAGTGCTGAGCTGCCGACTGTTGATGGTTTGTAGCTGGCGTCACATGCTGGCTCTGAGGTAGGGACTTCAGGCATGCTGACTGTGGCTTCAGCAGCCTTTTCGGTGAGCTCTATCAGTCTCCGCGACTTTCGGGAGCTTGTGCTCTCTATGCTGACTGATTTATTCTTTGATTTTGGTCTCTTTGTTGTTTTAGTGGCTGCTTTGGCAGCCTTTGTGGTGGCTGGCTCAAAGTTGATGCCGTCTCCGTGGAGGGTGCTGGCTCTGTCCGGTTGGCTTGCCTGTGTGGCGTCCTCTGCCGGGCAGAATGAGTCTTCTGCAGTATCCATAGACACTGTGAGCTCGTTAGCGGCTGGCTGCTGCCGCTGGAGGCCACTCTTGGACACTGTGGCCCCTGACTGAGTGCTGGTCCCCCTCTTCTCCTTTGCTTTCGCCCACTGACTAGATTGCAGGCTAGTCGAATTTCCAGTTAAACTTCCCGCTTGTGCAGAACTTTCGGCAGGGGTCGAGTCGCTACTCTCGGTGCCGCTGCCCTCGCTTGATGATGACTGCCCTGCCGGTGTGCCCCACGAACTGGCTGGTGACGGCTGCAACACCACAGATGAAGCTTTGGCGGAAAAGTGAGCCGGAACTGGATGATATCGTGGCCGATATCGCGCCATCTCCTTCATCTTATCGACTTCACGCACTCGGTTTGGGCAGTCGTTTGCCCACGCGGCGTGTGTGCCCCCGCAATTGGCACATTTGTTTTCCTTCAGCGTGCCGTCAGCCTTGGCGCTGCACTTCTGAGATAAGTGCCCGCCGGCGCAGTGGACGCAGGTTGGGGATTGATTCGGGCAAGTGGCTCCTATGTGACCATACTTTTGACAGTTGTGACACTGACGTACACGGATAGCCCGGTCGTACATCACAGCAGTCAAGCAGCTCCCGTCCCAGAAGACCCCCCGGTCAATCGCCGCGTTGGCTGGCAATGGAGATGTGAACTCGACCACCAGTGACCCCGTCTTTCCCGCAGGCGTGCGGAGCCACGATAGTCGAGTGATTTCCGCCCCTTCTCCCCAGTCCGGCCCATTATTGGCGAGCAGCTGGCCGATCACCTTATCCTGCACGCCCCGCAGATCCTCCGTACGTGGCGTGTTCACCCCTAGCGAGCGAACGTTGATATCGTGGATCACGATACCCCAGGTCGGTAGCAGCACCTCTGCTTTCCTCCCCAGAGAGTGCACCCAGCCTTCACGGTGCACTCGCAGGATTTCCGCTTCCTTGGCAGTGCGCGCGGTGAACCGGAGATCACCCGATCTCAGCTGGCGGGCTGCCAGGAAGCGGACAGAGGCCAGTGGTGCGGATCCTATGGCTTTAGCTGCACGCTCACGTAGCCTGTTGGCTTTCGCGGTCATCTCTACAGGCGTTTCTCGTCGATAACGATTCACCGCCTCTGCATCGTTGAGCCGTACGGTGATCGCGCGGTCTGCGGCAATATCGCTCACCGCCGCCGCCACCGACGACGCGGAGCCATGAGAGGACAGGTGGTGTGCTGGGCCTAGGGCCCCTCGCACCACGTCTGCCCAGCTGCTGGTACTCATACGGGTAGGCAGATGCCTCTCTGCCGCGGCCCGTACTGCGGTAAGGTCCTTCCGCATCTCCAGCGTCTCCTGACGCAGCTGTGAAAACTCTGCACGCCAATCGGCGCCCAGGGGGTTCTTCAGGAGGTCCCCAGTGAGCTCCTCGAGCAATTTGAGGTGTTGCAGCACTTGGGCGGGCACACGGTGCCCATTTTGCTTGTCAATATACGATAATAACTGCTTGGTGTCGTGATTGGCGTTCAGGAGTCTGGCAGTGGCGTCGGCGGGTGCCGTGCGGCCCGTCCCTGAAACCAGGGTTGGCCACGCGGACGCCGGCACTGGCATGCTGACACGCTCGAAGATGGTATCAGAATGTAGCGCCGGAAGTAATTAAAAACTTCCCGTTTACAGTTAATCGCCAACTGGCGTGGTTGTGGAGTTATTTCAAGAATTCGTTGTGCCAAGAGATATGTGTTTTTCATCTCACAAATAGTGCTGTCTTCGAATGTTCCACCAAATCGGCGAGGATTATTTCAATGTTGAAACTTTTATGGATGAGGCCTATATATCATTTACTAGCAAGAGACCTGTGGCCCAAACTGATTCTCATTCAAGCAAGTTACAACCAAGAGCAGGGTTCTAAGAAGCTTGTGGTTGGTAGAGCCCTTGAGATATGCCACTCTGCTTGGATAGGCTATTTTGTATCATATGAGGCCACTTTGAGCATGGGAGATGTGGATGCCGTGATGGTAATAGAAATTACGGCAGTGATGATGGGCAGCATCTCGAGCCGAAATACTGTCTGCCAAGACAAGAATCTAAGAGGAGATGTCACAATGCAGTCTTATGTAGGCAAAGAGCAGATGCGACCTAGTGGAACGATATCTTTTAACTTGAATATTTGATGAGACCGGCTCTGGCTTCCTGGTGGGTCTTTGTGCCACCCAAAAGGTGAATACCCGTTAGGCCAAATCAGGGCTATCTGGGGCTTCTCAACCCACTCACCCCGATTGGTAATGTCTCCCGTATTCGTGTGATATGGCTATGCATTCAGTATCTCCTCCAGCTCATGCGTATCCTGGGGCCGCACAACTCGTTGCAGCAACTATTTATACCACACTCGGCCGCTTTGTGCGATCACTTAGTGGGGAGCAACATACAATCATGAGGTCAACTCATCTTGAAAATATGTGTCTTGATTGATATTGGAAGCTTTGTGTTTTAGATGATGGGCGCTATTGTGCAAAGTAGTGGTGATACGGAGGGTACCAAGACTGACCAGCAGGTGGTCATTGGGGGGCTGATTGTCCAGCTCGTCGCACTTACTTAGTCGCTTCTAGAGTGTATAATTCTTCACTGCCAGCTCCAAACAACGCCCACGTTTGTTTCGAGAAACGCCATGGTTTATTGGTAGAGATACTTTGGATATTACAGTCAGTGACTGTGCTTGTTTTCGTTCGGGGCATTTATCGGCTGAAACAGTTTCTTGGGAGCTCCGACGCCGATTTGGCCACTCATGAAACCTTTTTTTGTGTTCGACGCGTCTTTGCCTTCTATGATTATCCTTCTGTTGGCCATCATTCACCCCGGCCGGCTTCCGAATGTTGTTCGCGAACGTAACATAGAGGACGCACAAGAGGGCGTCGTTATGCTGGATTGATATCTGATTGATCTGTGCCAAGAGCTACCTACCCTTTTCCGGGTGTGTGTGTGCTCTTCACTGTATTCCTAATTTTCATGCTTCTTCACGTATCATGCTGCAAATTCATTCGAGTCCTAGGTATAAACACCACTACTCGATAGATCTGGTTTTAATTTGTCGAACTGAATCGTGCTGCACGATTGGCATGGTCTACGCGAGTTGGCTGACACTAATACATTTAGACCAAGATATCACCAGCCCGTACGCCATGATACGGCTCACAGAACCCATGCTTCAATATAAAAAATGTCTGCAGATGGATGAAGGCTGGGTTTGCTTCATTTGAAAGGCCAATCCTGGCTATCGATGCTCTCCAGCCACAGCCTGAATTCATGATCTGCACCCAAAATCGGCACATTCATATCATAACCAATGTCATTCCCCACTACCAAGCTCTCTGGCACATGGATGTTGTGACTCGTATTGTCAGTGATTGTGATCGTGTCAAGTTGCTGTGTTTGCATCAAACAGGTATGGCAAGGTTGGCCCGTGGTCTTCGGAGGACTCAGGATTTTATCAAGGATCCGCGATATGACTTTTTGCCCCTTCTCGCAAAGATCTTTATCTCCAAAGATTGGATCCAAGTCGCTAAGCTTAGCTGAAAAGATAGATAAATCCTGTATTGTTCTGCTTCTAGGCAGTAGTGGCTCTTTAGGGTACACTGGGAGCTGTTCCTGTTTCAAGAGCTCCATTGCCAGTATAACCGCGCTGCGGAGTCCATGTACTGTGAGAAAATAGATAAATGATGTTGTTTCCGATATTTCGACACGCTTATAGAGTCGCATGACGTCACCCAGGATTATCTGTGCCGTATGTATTAGTTCCGCAGGACCACTGCCAGCCTTGCGCATGAGTACGCGGTGCAGTAGTAGTGAATTCGCCTGCGGACCTTGGCGAAAGATATTTCGAAAGTGAAGGTCAATGGGTTCCCATGTTTCAAGCCCCGAGGTACTTTGTCTTAAGCTGGACAAAAAGTGCGGGAGATTTGCCCAGTGTTCCTCCGTTCTTTGTTGAATAAAGCTTGCATTTTGCCGGACCTCATCAGGACTATAGGTTCCCAATGAAAGCTCTAAGATATCCTCCCGCCTTTTGGTGAAGTTCAAAGAAGATCTTATCCAAGTGAGGTGATGAATCTCTCCATCTTGATTGTATCCCTGGTCATCCAGTTTCAAAATGGCGATATCCAGCTCCTGTGGATATTCGGAAAACAGCTGCGTGTCAGTCAGATCTAGCGGTGGATCTAAGTTAATATACCGATGCGCAAGTCGTGGTGGGCGGCCCAGGAATGTGGCTGTGCTAATTTCTGCTGTGTAAACCAGTGCTCGAAGTCGTTTGCGCAACTCAGCGAGAAAAATTGGAAGTCGGGTATCAGCTTTGATCTCCTGGTGAAGACCCATTGCAACAAATGCACTATTTAGTTCAGCACCCAGACAGTATGCTGTATAGCTCATTCCTCCTTTGGTATATTGGGTAATGTTGTAGTGCTCGAATAGGGCCGAGATGAATATATCATCTAAAGCTCCGAACTCTCGACAAAACTCAACACATACCTCTGAGACCTTGGCCATATGGTGCAGCAATGATTTGCGCTCCACTTTAAACTCTTTGAAGAATGGATCAGATGATTTTGTCACCATTGTATATGACCCGACGTAGTTGGCGATCATCGCAACTACACCCCAGCGTATATGATTGCCAGTGGCAGAGGAAATCCATTGCCTTGCCGTGGTATTACCATCAAATACCAGCGGCTTCGCTGTATTCTCACACAGTAGGTGACATAACTGTCGTATCTGATTAGGATCCTGACTGGACAAAGTCTCACCATGAGCAGACCACAATTGAGAGATCCACTGCCTCATGATGAGCTCGCCGCAGTGAATGTGAATACATTCAATACACTCAAAGAACCTGTCGATGCCACAATCTATCATCGCCCTATTCTGCAAGAAGGCGAGAATCTGACAACCGCTGACGATTAGGTCATTCGGGATCTGCTGCTTATGGACTGCAGTGGCTTGCTCTAAGTCGATGGAAACCACGCCGAGTTGCATCAAGTCCTCTGTCATGATTGATGTATGTGAGGTAAAGCCAAGGAAGCCATGCATTCCCTGTGAAATTTCAGAGCGGCCGACTAATGGCGGAGCTGAACATGCAGGTTGGGGTAGTACCAAGTTGGCGCCATGATGGTAGCCTTGCGAAGTTGTAGCAAGCTTGGGATCACCGCCTGTGCGAGATTGATCGATCGAATAGCTAGAAACAGCACAGCTCAGCCCTGGTGGTGACAGGAGTTCTTGTGATGCCGACGTGATGTGTTCTCGTCGGGGCTAGTGAAAAAAAAAACATTAGTATACCTTCACACCCCAAAGCAAGGATGAAATGTCGCTTACACGTGTAAGAGGGCTGGGGTGGTAGTAGCAGTTGTGGACACATCCTTTCCTTACGCATCTACCGCAAGGGATACTGTGATCACAACCGACTTTAGCCCTCCGGCATGGCTCACATGACTGCATCTTGCGATTACGGCGGTATTTGTCAATAAAGACTTGATTGGCTTGTGGCGCCCGTGTCGCCCGCTTGCTGCTCTTCATCTTGGCGGCCGCAGAATATGAGTATATTTGCAGGATAACCTCTGCTCATTCGATTATATGCTTTGTCTGGGGGAAGCGAGAAGTTCATGAGGTTCAGCTTCCCCACCTCACTTGACTATTCGCATGAATTAACACGGGGGAGGACCTATTCCGACAAATAGATGATATGCGGGGTTCGGTGTTCGGTGCTCGGTATCCGGTGTTCGGGTGGGGGTGGGGTCGACGCGACCGGAAAGATGTGCAATACTTGGGAGTCACGAAGGGTGCTTCTACAACCATATTGCGAGATGGATACAAGTCTTGTTCTTTAAAGGTACAAAAGACATGAAATTGTCAATAGAGTAACTCATATATTATACCTGCATACACAAAGTACCTATGAGAATAGATATACTTAGGCATTAGTCGATAAAATACATATTTTGGCGTATTTGACCCGAGATAAGTATCTATGTCTGCGGGTGAGAGCTTTTTGAAGATAAAGTAGTGTTTCGCACATATAGTTTATTTCCTCGCGTTCAATCTAATTTCAGACATTATTACTTTAATCACTTCGATAGGAAAGGGGTGTAGTGATTATTCCAGATTCTCAACACTTTGCCCTTCCACAAGAATCTTAATACACGTTGATCTTCGTCTCCGTAGCCTTCTACTGCCAATCCCGGCTTTTCGGTAGCTGAAGGGTTGCCACGAAGTCCAGAATAGGGGATGTGATGACGGAAAAGTGGGGGAAGATCCCGGCTTTACGGACAAAGATCTCCGGGTCGGCTTTGCGGATGAAAAATACCTCACGGCGTTGACCTCATATCTGGTGGGGGCGAGATAATGATAGATAATTTGGAGGAAACCAAAGAATCAAAGCAAACGAAAGTATGCATGTCTGTTTAATATGTTATGTGTGATGTGTTTGTGTTGTGTTGGTGGCGCCATCGGCTGTTGTACTTTGAACCGGAAAGGATATTATCCGAGACCTCGGGGTTTGTCCCAAAGAGGTAATTTCCATCTCGGATTTAATCTGATAAGAAATCTGATGAACCTTAAGACTCCGTGCATCTTTGCCGAGTTTACGTTGCATTTATATTTAAAGAACTGGCCCACCTCATTCCTTCTGCATTATACACATTCAAAATGGCTAGCACTCTTCGCAATATCATCGTCGTGGGAGGCTCTTTCGTCGGGCGGACAACCGCTCAAGAGCTCGCCAAAGTGGTTCCACCGACACATCGAGTTCTCCTCACCGAGCCCCATAGTCACTTTCATCATCTTTTCACCTTTCCTCGGTTTGCGATCGTTCCTGGACAGGAACACAAGGCATTCATTCCATATAGTGGACTGTTTTCGGTCGTGACCGACTCGAAGTCACACGAGTTTGTTCAGGCGCGCGTCACATCGGTTCACCCCCAACATGTGCAGCTTGATCGAGAATGGCATGGATCCACGCAGATCCCATTCGATTACATTGTGGTCGCCACCGGCACGCGCCTCTCGAAGCCTGCGGCCATGGAAAAGGACGACAAACTGTCCTCGGTGGAGTACCTACAAAAGCACCAAGCCGATGTCAAACGGTCGCAGTCTATCTTGATCGTTGGAGGTGGTGCCGTGGGCGTGCAAATGGCAACCGACCTGAAAGAATATTACCCAGAGAAGGAGATCACAGTTGTTCAGTCCCGACCTCAGCTCATGCCCAGTTTCCATGTTGGTCTGCATGAGCTCATCAAGGAACGCTTCGATGAGCTGGGGATCAAGCTTATCACCGGGGCCCGAGTCAATATCCCAACAGGTGGATTCCCCACCGATGGAAAGCCTTTTGATGTCCAGCTCACCAATGGAAACTCCGTGTCGACCCAGTTTGTGATTTTGGCGACCGGCCAGACACCCAACAACCAGCTGGTTAATGACTTGGAGCCCTCCACCCCTGACAGCCCATCTGTGGTGAACCCGGACAACGGGTTCATTCGAATCCGACCGACAATGCAGTTCCTGGATGAGAAATACTCTAATATGTTTGCCGTCGGAGATATCGCGGATACCGGTGCGCAGAAGGCGGCACGCCCTGGGTCAGTGCAAGCAGGAGTGGTTGCAAAGAATATCTTGGCTATGATTGAGGGTCGACAGCCCGAAGAGAAGTTTGTGAAAGGTCCTGGGGCGATCCACATTACTCTCGGAATGGTCAGTTTGAACTTGTAGCGGTCACACGACGTCACTAACATTATTCAGAAATACAACGTGATATTCCGAAACCCTAATGTGGCAGAGGGACAGACAGAGCCTTGGACCAATCCAAAGCATGAGTAAGATTCACACCCTCCAGCATCAAGACATGGCTAACCAGAATTTAGTGGGCAAGAAGATATGAATGTGGAGGGTATGTGGCAAAGAATGGGCATTGAAGTCGATCACCCCCGTCAATATCATCTCTGAATAGAAGTTCAAGCCAAATAACGGCCGTGCGGATGCTGCGTGTTTTCATTTTCATATAATATGCCACTACGTCATATTGCAAACGGCATGAGCATCGAAGGAAACCAAAATTATGTGATATTACTACACAAATACGATGTCTACAAACGAGAAGAAATGAGATACAAGATCATTTGAGATACCAGAATAGCAATCATAGTATCCTTCCAGTTATTGCAAGTCGATAAGATGTAATGGATCTTGGCGGCAGAGTATAACCCCGGATCTGAACCCCGCAAGATCTACATACGCGGAGAGAAAGCCGACACGCTACTATCATAAAAGATCTAAAACTGTAACCATGTCAGGCTAATCGCTGATCCGCCCGATTGTTATGAAGGAAGCGATTCCTGGAGAAAACCTGGGGTAACTCATTCTCCACTGTTTCCCCATCATCTTACACCTCTCCCCACCTTTGACCGGACATTCTATGCTTCATCATGCCACTTCATGGTAAGAGTCTCACTTGGGGGATCACAGTTTCTTGTGGGGCAGGCTTCTTCCTCTTTGGATATGACCAAGGAGTGTTTGGAGGTATTCTCACGAATCAAAATTTCCTGGATACCTTCAATAATCCAGGTTCCACGATACAAGCTCAAATCACATCGACTTACTATCTTGGGGCGATATTCGGAGCGATCTTCTCGAGGTTTATTGGCGACCACATTGGACGACGACGGGCCATTATACTGGGATGTATTTTGCTCACTATCGGAGGCGCACTTCAAGCGTCCGCAAGTGTTCTCCCTCATATGATTGTCGGTCGCATTGTCGGAGGCATTGGGACTGGCATGAATACAACCGCCATTCCAATGTGGCAAGTGGAAACATGCAAGCAGCATCATCGTGGACGACTAGTGATCATGGAGCTGGTGCTCAATATCTTCGGGATTGCAATAACCAACTGGATGAACTACGGCTTCACTTACCTACCAAGCAATTCAGTTTCTTGGCGCTTCCCCCTTGCATTCCAGTCTTTCTGGTCGATTGTGACCTTGGTCCTGACGATAATTATGCCGGAATCACCCCGCTGGCTGGTCCTTCGAGGTCGTCAGGAGGAGGCACATGATATCCTCGCTCGTCTGATGGATAAAGATTCGGATGATCCACAGGTGGAGAACACATTGCGGATCTTGGTGAACACAGTCAACCATGAGACAGAGGCCGAAACAGCCGCATTCACCGACTTTCTGAAGCATGATCGCACACAAACTCTCCGCCGTATTCTCCTGGGTGCTGGGATCGCCTTGATGCAGCAAGCCTGCGGCGTGAATATTATTGCTAATTATCTACCCGTCGTGTTGACGCGATCTATTGGTCTGAGTGACCGACTGGCACTAATTCTCTCCGCGGTCTATTCGCACCTTCTCACCATCTGGGCAATGGCCTCTATGCTTGCTATTGACTCCCTCGGTCGAAGGACTTTACTCCTTCTTGGTGCCGTGGGTCAAGGGGTTGCTTTTATTCTCATCGCCGTGGGAATCTATCTCGACACATATCCAATGTCTATATTTAGCGTGGTTTTCATCTTCGTGTACAACTTTTTTTTTGGCATCTCATTCCTATCCATCCCTTGGCTTTATCCCGCAGAAATCAACTCGCAGGCCATGCGCAACGTCGGGACCTCCATTTCGACCGCAACCAATTGGATATTCGTCTATGTAATCGTTCTGGTAACCCCGTCAGGTATCGATAATCTCGGGTGGGCCTTTTATCTCATGTTTGGTATTTTCAACATTCTCTTTTTGCCTTTCATCTGGCTGTTTTATGTGGAAACGGCACGATTGTCTCTCGAACAAATCGATCGGGTGTTTGAGATTCAATTTGAGGGGGCACCAGAGATGACTTTCAAGGCAGCACGACAGCAGGTTCTCCTGGAGGCGCAGATTGCTGGTGAAGGGGGCCAAGAACTGATTGTGAATGTAATGGATCAAAAAAGCTCGGTAGATCACTTCGAGACCATATGACTTCCGAGGGCTTTAGCCATGTAATAGACCAAATTCATGCATAACTCAGTTGCATCTCAAGTTACAAGGATCTCCAGGGACACATTCCAAGTTTATGACGTATGTACATGTTGCCTGTTTGTATATTCCACTTCCAGGGTTGCAGGCACCTGGGTGAATATACGACACATAACATTTTGCATTCAATATTCATTTCCAATTTCCCTGCCCTATCCCATCAAGCAGAATCAAGCGCGACCCACTTGGATGCCGTGATAGGGCCAGCCTTTCCTAGAACATCGCCATCATATCCAATCGCTTCAACATAAAAGGTAGCCGAATGGTCAATCTTGTTCCACACAAACGAAGTCTCAAAAGAGACCCGGCTCACGTCAGCGACAAGTGAGCTAGCGTCTCCATCCGCAGCAAAAAACCTCCAGCTCTGGGTTTCGGTGTCGCCATTCCATGAAACAAACAAATGGGTAGCATTGGCAGTCTCATCCGTGAAAGCACTGATGGCGGGTGTTTCAGTCGAGATACCAGTCCAATTGGCAGCAAAGGCACGATAGCTGATACCGTCTTCGATGAAAGCATGGTATATCACCTCGTTCTCGGTGTTAAACTCCGAGTAAGCGCCGGCAGAACCCCACCCAACAAATAAATTCCCATTAGCGAGCAGCTGGGCATTACCCTGAGAAGCCGCTTGCAGGCTATATGGAGCAGTAGCCTTCCGTAGTATGGTGGCAGTGTCGTCTGTTTTGTTTAGTTGTACAACCAGAGCTCGAGAGACATTATTGAAGGTAATGGTTCCGTCACCAGAGTTGTCAAAAAATGAAATCACTTCGACCTCGTTATCTGTAGACTGAGACACCCAGCGGGCATAGTGCTGGAAACCGAAGGTAAAGCCGTGTGAGAAAGTGGATGAATTACCCCCCAGACGCCATATAATGGACCCATCGGTGCCATTGATCTTGAAGATGGTGCTTAGGTGACGAGAGGAGACAAGGTAATCACCTTCTTCATTCTTATCGACGCTGTTGATATGAATGAAATCCCAGGATTCCGCAGAAGACAGGCCGCTGTAGACTGTCGAAGAATCCAGTGTCACTAAACTGTCTGCTTAGGAGAAGTAGGTCAGAATCTTGATCAAGCTCATTTATTATGGCGCAATTGCGAGAACTAACATGCAGGATCAATGTGGTCCAACGCATTCCACTCGAATATTAACTCGCCAGTACTAATATCAAACTCTGCCAGCTGATGTTAGTAGTTTGGCTCTTTAAACTCAACATCTGAAATGTCAAGAGACCAACCTTGGAAAAGCCCATTTCCAATCCACTGCTGAGAAGAGTTCCCTCCATAGGCCGACAGATTGGCGAGGGTGGGAATATAAATCTCAATAAGGGCCGTTTTGCCATTAATCACATTGAACTCATGAATAGAGGGAATGCGATGATTTGCTGCCTTGGCTGTGACCACATGTTTGTAATTTTTGTTTAACAGAACGAATTGACCCCAGCCTTCACCGTGAGTTTCATCGATGGTACCTTGGTAAGCCTGGAGGACGGTCTCTCCATGGTACGTGGTAGGATGGAGGTTGGCGACGAATCCAGCATAGTAGCCAATGCTAGACCAAATCAGATCCCCATTTTTGCGATAAATGTATGCTGCCGGTTGCTGGAGGGTACCCGCATAAGGGGTAACAAAGACGTATTCAGTACCATTGGCGTCCGAGGCAGGAATGGTGATGTTCAATTTTGGTGGCGCGAGGTCACTACGTGACCGATATTGGCCATCAGCAGCAGCAAAGGATGTGAGAACTGCCAATGCCGACAACAACTTTTGCAAGTAACCCATTTTCACCCTCAAATGTGGCTTTCTTCCAGCTCTTAGAACGATTAGAATGTAAACAAAAAACGCTCTATGTTCTCTCTTAAACTGTCGCAATTGAGTCTCTTATATATCTCTTTCAAAAAATACAAAAAGATGCCATATTCTTCTCCGATGGTGTTTAGCTGCCATATGCAAGTTCCTTCCCATATTCTTGATGGATAACGCCATCATCTATGAAAATAGCCGAGCATGGGTAATCTCGCTTACAAGTGGCACAAGTTGGTGGCTAGGATTTGATCTTCCTGAGTGATGGAGACAATTTGGATTGTACCGTGTGGCGAGCTTTAGTTCCTAAATGGCATCATCCAACCCAAGTATGACTCTGAGCAATTAATTTAAGGGCTCGGAAACTGCCGACGCAAGTGCTGTAAAGTTACCCCAGGACCGAAGAAATATGAAAATTGTGAGCAACGTGCCGTCCATTTCATCAGATGTATAGAGTATCCCTTTCAATTTTAGGCCCAAAAAAATAATGCACTGTGTGTATGGCCATATGAATATTGCGTTCCCACCTGCGGTGCAGTTTAAAAAATATATATGTGCATACCATACATCTTTCCAGAAATGCCAGGGATATGTTCCACCGTCATTTCAATCAATTTTCAGTTGCGAAATAAGCGAAATAGAAAATCTCATGCTATTTCCTAGAACCATACGATAAAGAGAGAGAAATCAATCAATCAGTCAATTTGGTTCCCAAGTTTGATTCTGATTAGTGAGGGTCATGTGACTGATGAGTCAGGATCACTAAAGTGACGCCAAGAACATCAAGAGTCGTTCGAACTTCCACATTTCATGATTATCAAATGCATCGCAAATCTTACGGATCCTCGATGCTGGCAAGATTTATTTCCCGGTATGTCCCGTGCAGCTCACTAAAGATATCACGCCAAAGTGCCCGATCACATTCGACTGTCCTCTGTCAACACACCCACTGCCTCTCAAAGCGAGCATCTCTCAATGCCAACCAGAATGTGATAAAGCATGTGGCATTTGGCCCCCGAACGCTATTCACCAGTTCTATTCCACCTGTTCTAATTCCACCCGCAATCTTTGTTGGGCTCCTTCTGACGCTCTGGACATGGAAATGTTTTTGGATCATTGTCATGCAAAACAAATTATTATATCTTTCATGGCTACCACCATTTTCCAGATCCGAGAAAATATCAGATTATGAGCGGGAATGCAAGCCTGTGCTGTGGCAAGAGAAGCGGATTCAGAGTCTCGACGGCACGAAATTGTCGATTTGCGAGGGCCACATTCCAGCCGATACGCCACCGAAATCAGCGCAAGTGAACAGTCGGAAAAAGCTCGTGGTCATTTGTTATTTCCAGGGAAACGGTGGATCGATGCCGCTTCGCCTGCCGCTTCTGTCGCAGTTCCTCAATTCTATCGTGACGAGGTCTAAGACTAGCAAGGCCGAACTTGATGAAACAAACTACATAGTCGTTGGATTGTCATACCGTGGCTATTGGACATCTTCAGGGACTGCAACACAGTCAGGTATTGAGCGAGATGCCCTGGCATTTTTAACCTGGGTATCGGACACCTATTCCGCACCAAATACAGATTGTCAGATGGTACTGTGGGGCCATAGTCTTGGCGCAGCCGTTGCGTCGTCTACCATTTCCAGATATCTTGCACGCCTGGAGCTTCGACCCCCACGGAATTGTCCTCTCGCTCCCATATCCGGCCTGGTAATGGAGGCACCGATTTCTAACATCAAGGATATGCTCATTGCCTTGTATCCTCAGAAATGGCTCCCATATCGATATCTTTGGCCCTTTTCATGGAATACATGGTGTAGCTCGAAGGCACTGGAGCAGTTAGCAGAGTTTCGCAACCGAGGCGCCAATTCACTTCCAGCGAAGTCATCAAATTCCACATATGGAGGTCCAGTCCGATCTGTGCCTCCAATATTGATTTTGGCGGCCGAAAAGGATGAAGTGATACCCGACCACGTGGCAGGGCAACTCGAGCAGAGAGGCCAAGAGATCGGATTGGATGTTAGCAGACAAGTTGTCTTGGGAGCAATGCACACAGAGTGTCCCATCCGAAGTGAAGGAAGAGATGCGTTGGTTAAATTTATTCTCCAACACACGGGCCCACGTGCAGGGATGTGAATATCTGAGCGGCTTCCTCCGAAGCATGCAATCTTCGACGTAGCTCTAGACCACTTTCTCGGGTCCATCTGGTCTTTTTTTTCAGTCACTTGAGATGTTTACTGCATTAGCTCTCTGTATGGCGGAGACAAACCAAGGAAAATGTGGATCTTGACCCACTTAGATAAGACGGGATGCTCCGAGCTCGGCCGCACAGGACAATTGAGAATCTCAACACACAGGGCCTACACATCAGTGTAAGTGCCAGTTCAGTAGATGTGGTTTCTACTTAAGAGGGTTTGTCAGTTAAGTCTGGTGAGGAAATATCATACTTCATTAATGCCCTTGAAGCCTATATTTTGATGCTTATCTCCGCGGAGTCGGTCGGTGGATACTGAGATCGACAGTGGGGCAGTGAATTCCGAAAATTTCAACCAGTTGCAATGATGATGGAAAAGGTATAAGTACGTGTTTTGCTTGTTCCCACAGCAATTCATACCACGGTGTCACAACCGGCATCATGAATCACGAACCTAATGACTCAAATCCAAAAGAGCATGTTGTAAACACTGCTGAGGATAGATCGGATCAAGACCGTCCGACCAAAGCGCAAAGCAATGTCACCATCGTCAGCTGTGTAAGGGGATCCCATGGTTCAAGTGAGCGCTTTCTGACACTACTTTGCAGTATATCGCGAATTTTAGTGATGGTTTCCAAAACACTCTGGCCAACCCGACTAATGTGATCTTCAAAGATCTCCTGGGCGCCAGTGCCTTCTCATCAGTGATGAAAACGCGCATTAGCAATTCACTTATCGTCGGCGCAATCCTGGGTGTGGTCGTCTTGGGATATACCTCTGACATGTTCTCCCGACGGGGCGGACTGATGTTTACTTCCTCACTCGTGGCTATTGGCACTCTGATGTCGACACTCGCGTTGCAGGTACACCCATCCCAGAATATGTTATGGTATTTTGTGGTGGCTCGTGGAATCGCAGGATTTGGTGTGGGGGGTGAATACCCTCCCAGTGCAGCAGCTGGAATCGAAGAGTCCGATGATGTGAAAGAACACCCGATACGATTTGAGAACTTGAGCTGACCAGTGCAGTTAATGAGCAAATATCGCGGCCCAATCTTTGTATCATTCACCACGTTGATGGCCACGCTCGCCGGTCCGATCTTGCAGATTATTTACCTCATCTGTCTCATTGCCAGCAACAATAATCTGACAATTACCTTTCATGCGATCTATTCCATTGCCACCATACTTCCTGTCGCTATTATCATCCTGCGCTTTTTCATGGTGGATTCATCATTATTCCGCCGCTCCAACTTGACGAACCAACGTCGTTCCCCCAAAATTTATCTGCTGCTCGCTCGCCGCTATTGGTGGAGGATATTCACCACTTCATTCGCCTTTTTCCTCTATGACTTTATCAACTTTCCCAACAGCATCATGTCGAGTAGCATCCTTTCTACGCTTGTCAAGGATAATGACATCCGGCAGACTGCAATCTGGCAGGTTATTCTCGCCGTTCTGCCCGTCCCTGGTGTCGTGATCGGCGCTTGGCTAACCAATGTCATCGGACGGAGAAATACGGGCATACTTGGGTTTGCTGGGTACGTGGTGCTAGGCTTTATTATCGGAGGAACCTATGCCAAATTGTCCAAGAATATTGCCGCCTTCGTTGTCCTATACGGATTATTGCAGGCATTTGGACACATGGGTCCCGGTGCGACCATTGGCTTGATCTCTACAGAGTGTTTCCCCACGGCGGTCCGCGGGATGGGATATGGAATCGCCACGGCTTTTGGGAGAACAGGGGCTGCGGTCGGAACCCAGTGTTTCACTCCATTGGAAGATGCCTATGGAATCAGTTCGACCTTTTATCTTCTAGGTGCAGTTGCCGTTCTCGGTATTCTGGTGTACTGTCTTTTGCCCGAGAGCAGCAAGCTAGATCTCGCCCACGAAGACAGAATGCTGGAGGAGTACCTGGCCGAACATGGATACCATATCGAGAAGGGCGATCGGGTGGAATCTTAATGGACACCAATGTCCTAATCTGAGAACATTCCATGTGTTTTAACATGGATTGGGTTCTATCAACCTGGGATTGGGTATGGGCGCCAAAGCTCGAACCTGAATGGGTATTTCAACCCTATAAAATAATGTTCGGTGATGTAGATAAATCAATAGAGTCGTTTAGTGAAATGTGCTACCTCTGCTACGGCTGATACCAATTACACTACGATACAATGATGTCCCAGAATAGTGCATTCTCGTTGGAGCCTAGTGGGCCAATGATCAACACCTAATCATCCTATTTGAACCGAAGATTTTGATACGAATTGAATAATTTAACCCTTGCGGGTACATGTGGTGTAGAATGTGAGGTCATGCTAAGACTAGAAGAAGTGGATCTGATACAAGGGATAGTGTATAGCTAATCTCCAGCACAGAATATCCCAGACCCACACCCCTAGATTAAATTGGGCAGTGGCATTGTCAGAACTATCTGATCGTAGGATGAGATTCAGATCGATCGATCGATTCTGTGACAGAAACTACGTATACTTCTAGCTAAAGTATCGGTTCCCAAAGGTTACGATTCTATCATGTTCCTTGGTTTGTAATTACAAGTGAATGCCTACGAAACTTGACATGTCCCCATATTTGGGATAGAAAACCTTCCTCTCGGTAAATTAACTCTATTTTATGGAGTGTTGAACCGTTCAAACCCGAATACCTGGGTCAGGAACGAGGTTGGAATGTTTTGTGTAGCAACTGGGGGCAAATTGTTAAGCTTCCCCCGGCTATTGTTAGGCTATTGTTAGATCGACATTGCCAGACCGGAACTTTCCGAATTGTTTATATAATTACACTTTCCCATGTCTCAGTTTCCCTCTACGCGTGGTCTCATGCAGGATGCGTGCGTTGCTGATTCTGGGCCTGCTCGGCTTAACCAAAGCCCAATTATCAGACTGCACTTGCTCCTATACTGTCACTGTGACGGAGACTGCCAACCCGTCAGCCACTTCCCCAGCAATCGCTTCTGGTGAGTCTAAAAAAGGGAATGATTATGCATGCGCTAACGGTCAAAGGAGCTGCGGTGACGGTTGCAACGGATAAATCTGGACAGTTTACGGAAATCGGTGATGCAATATCCTACGCTCAACATAACGAAGTCCCCACCGTCACTGTACTAGCAGGTACCTACCCAGCTGTGACAGTATCCGCCACTCCGTCTGTTGCGGTGATCGGTCAGAGCAAAAGTGACGATGACAACAAGGATAACAAGGTTGTTGTGTCGACGGAAGGAACCGCTCTTGAGCTGTCAGTCAATGTCGATGGAATCACGTTTCAGAACATCAACTTCATTACCACCGGTGAAGATGACCCATCCGTGAACATCAAGGGAAGTGAACTGGCATTTTACGCCTGTCAGTTTGTTTCTGCAGGGCCTGTAGGAATTGAAACAGGTCTTGGTGTTGGCATCATCGCGAACAGTTATATCGAAGCCCAGGAAACAATCATCGACGGCAAGGCAACATTGTATATTTTCAATACCGACATTGTACCGGTTGCAGATTCGGCTCTTCTGGTCTACACAACCGGCACAGACTCGGATGGCACGTTGTACAACTCAACAGTTGTGTTTGATCAGGCGACAGTATCCCCCAAACCAGATGACAAGAGTGAGAGGGTCTACCTGGCAAAGGCAAAAGGCCTGGGATCCGTGGCCGTCTATCGGGGCAGTACGCTCGATGGATTTATCGCCGGTAGTGGAGTCTACGTTGACGATATCACCCAGGATGACAGTAATTTTTATGCTGAATATGGAGACACAGGAGCAGGAGCATACCCCAGCAACAAGGATGCCAGATCACCATATGTGACCCTGTTAGACGATTCAGCCGTGTCTCAGTTTAGCATTGGCACAGTTTTCGCAAGCGCATACCCTGGCCTTGCCACATCGGATACCAATTGGATCGACCATGCTGTCCTGGCTGCTATTAAAAATGCAGATGAATCAAGCTCTTCAGATGGATCCAGCCCCTCGGCAACCAGTGGAGCTGGAACCGACCCATCCTCAACAAGCGCGACGTCCCCAGAATCCTCTTCATCTCCATTCGTGGTCTCAACCACGCCATCAAAAGGACAATACAAAAGCGTACAAGGGGCTATCGACGCACTTCCTGATGATGGAAGCCCCTACGTCATCGAGATCAAGAGTGGGACATACAAGGAGCAGATATCCATCAAGCGAGACGGAAAAGTTACGCTTCGCGGTGACACCACATTCAAAAATGACTTCACCAAAAACACTGTCACGATCGAGTATGAGGATGGCGTGGCCACAACAACCAACAGTGATGACCAAACTCCCGTGATCAACGTGAAGGTCTCTGGAAAGACCGTGGTAGCATTGTATAACATCAATTTTCAGAACACCTATCCACAGAGCGCAGACACTGTGGCACTTGCTGCCGATTTTGACGGGTTGGTGGCCGCATATGGCTGTTCATTCATCGGCTATCATCATACCCTTTTCGCAAACCAGGGGACACAAGTATTCTCCAACAGTCATATTGAAGGATCAATTGATTTCATTTGGGGTTCGTCTACCGCATACTTTCATCAGTCATACATCGCCACGAATACCGCGGGTCACTCAATAGCAGCCCAGGGCAGATCTTCAGAAACGGCCAGTGGAGGGTTTGTGTTTGATACAAGCGTGATCACTTACACAACGTCATACGGTACCTCGTTCGGGAAGACCTTTCTTGGAAGACCCGTGGCAGAGTACAGCGTTGTGATTTATATGAACTCCTTTTTGGATAAACAAATCAGCCCAGTTGGGTGGAGCTCGGTAGGCGAAGACACAGAGAATGTTATATTTGGCGAGTACAAGAATTCTGGACCTGGGAGTTCGCTTGATGACCGCGCATCATTTGCGAAAGTCCTGACTGAAAGCGAGGCGCAACCCTACACACTAAAGAATTGGATTGGGGACACATCCTGGCTTGACATGACGGCGTATGATTATGTTCCCTCTTATGATCTTTCCTCTGGGACCGGAGGTGCCTCTCCCGCAAACCCGAATTCAACTGGAACAGATGACGACTCTACCGACTCACCCGACCCTACCACGGGAACATCGCCAGCTAGTCCAAGTGGATTAGGTACAGCAGGACACCCGGAAAGTGGGACAAAGCCCCCGACAGGAGCAATTCTTGTCTCTGTGTCCGCGAAGATTGACAAATCATATTCCTCCTTAACAGAAGCTCTCAAGTCATTGCCGTCTGATGGCTCTTTGCAGGTGATTTTCATATATGAAGGGACCTATCATGAGCAAGTTCCAACGATTGACCGAGATGGTCCAATCAAGATCATCGGGTACACGGAGGGTAGTCCAGGTCAGTCCTACGCCGACAATGAGGTGACAATTATATTCTCCAGTGGGAAATCCGCGCCCTCGGATACATCAATTTCCAGTGGCGCAGATACGGCAACTGTTTCGACAACCTCCGCCAACATTGCCTTCTACAATATCAATATCATCAACAGTGAAAATCTAGATGGAGCAGAGACAGGGTATATTGCGGTCGCAGCCTCAGTATCTGGCTCGCACAACGCATTTTACGCCTGCAGCTTCATAGACTGGCAGGATACTCTTCTTACTAGTGGTGCAGCTGCATTCCAATACTACGAGTCATCTTACGTCGAAGGTGCGGTGGATTTGATCTCAGGATCTTCAACAGCGTACTTCAAGGGCTGCACTCTTGGCGCTAAGTTGAAGGGCGGAGCATTCACAGCACAGAGCCGACCATCTACAACGGCAGGGGGCTATATTTTTGACCAATGTCTCTTTGGAGCGGCGACAAATGCCACAGGTGATCTGACCAATTCGGTATATCTTGGTCGCCCACGTTCGGAATACGCACTTGTTGTGGTCAAGTTCTCACAGCTGACTGGGGCTATAAATCCATCTGGGTGGACAGTCTGGTCATCTACAGACCCCCGAACGGACGAGATCATGTTTGCTGAGTATAAGAATACTGGGCCAGGCAATTGGGAAAACAACGAGGCCGCCCGGGAAGCATTCGGCCACGCAAAACTTCTCAGTTCAGATACATACACCTTGTCTGATGTGATGGACTCCACCGACTGGATCGACCTGACATACTCGAACTCAATCACAACACCAAAGGATGAACCTGGATCTGGATCATCACCCGACACTCCAAAAGCTACCTCGGATAGCACGACACCCCCAGACGGAGCGTTCATTGTGTCTAAGACGAGTATTGCGAACAAGCAAACCTATGACACGATACAAAGCGCCCTTGATGCCTTGCCGACCTCCGCGACCGCGTCATCCACCGTGTTCATTTATCCTGGCACATATGACGAGCATATCGAAATCAACAACCCTGGTACTGTGATTCTTATTGGCTACTCGGACTCTCCCAAAGACAATGAAAAGAACAAAGTCACAATTCAAAACAGCAAAGGAGGAGATGCCAGCTCAGATAATTCTTTGAGCAGCAGCGCTACAGTCTATGCAAACGGCAAAAGTCTGCAAGCAATCAACATCAACTTTTCCAATACTTACGATGGAGCCAGTGACTCATCCGTGGCATTCGCTGTCGCGTCGTCCAAATATGCTAGCCTGTACAGCTGTCGAGTCACTGGAAAAATGAATGCACTTGTCGTGAATGGCTTCTTTTTTGCGGCAAACAGCTACGTGGAAGGCAGTGCAGATATGATCTCGGGAGGTGGTGCAGGCTATTTCCTCGTTTCCACAATATCGCCAAGTGAGGATGATATTAGCATCACTGCAGACAAACGCGCATCGGATTCTACACCAGGCGGACTCGTATTTGACCAGTGCAAAGTGACTCCCGTGGGTGGAGCAGGATTGATGTCAGAAATCTCACTTGGAAGACCTCAAAACTCACATGCCAGAGTGGCTTATATTGAAACGCATCTTGGTTCTTGCGTCGAACCCAAAGGATGGGAAATATGGTCATACGCCAGTCCTAGGACGGATGGAGTATTATTTGGTGAATATAAGAATGATGGACCTGGTTCTGATACCTCCCGCCGCGTCTCTTTTGCAACTCAATTAATAGATCAGTCTGTTGTCCAATTCGAAATCGCCAACTTCTTCGATAGCCTCTCGTGGATCGACTTTTCACGCGTCTCTGGCAAACCTTTCTCTGTCACTCCCTCGAAGGATTCTGATGGTTCATCAGATCCGACAGGGGCCTCTTCAACAGTCTCATCGGGTTCAGCGGGCGTTTCACCAACTAGTTCGCCGGGAAGCGCGGATGCTGCGTCAACTAGCTCACCAGGAAGCGCGAATGCTGCGTCAACTAGCTCGGGATCTTCGACCTCAGACCCCGCAGAATCGACAGGCTCAGGAGGTTCCTCTGTCTCAGACGGAATTACTACAAGTACTGTTCTAGTAACCGTCACATCTTCCACAACTACTACAAAAGCCAAGACAACGTCGACAAAGACCGAAACCAACGCTGACGACTCCGACTCCACTACCACACCAGCTACGGTCATCCAAACATACACCAGTGCAGAATCTACCAAGACTGTGCAAAAGACATCCACAGTCACACAGATGGTGACTGATCCTTCACTAAAGGCAACATACACTCGAACCGTCACGACAACCACTGTCATAACATCAACGCCGCCCCCATCCATAACAACCTCCACATTGACCATCACGTCCGCCGCTGGAACAATCACAAAAACTGGCAAAACTACAGTTTCCACGTCCAGTGTGACCTCAACCTCGACCAAGACTGAGAGCACAACCACTACACTCAGTTGTATCCCAGCTAAAAAGGTCAAACGAAGTCTCCTCCCACCTCGATTCATCCCAGCTACAACTACCGCTTTCCCAAATACCACAAACTCTGCCATGACCGCCAAGTCTGTATCTCATTCTCCTAAACTCAGTACTGATACTATGACCACGGATATCCACCACGCGGAGGACACGATCTCGTTTGTGACATCCACGGTGATCAAGACGGGCACAGCCACGGTTGCCGCCGAGATTGCCGTTGTTACAGTGACAAAGGATGCTGGTGATTCAGGAACTATAGACTCAATCACATCTACAGAGACTGTGACTGCCGCTGTTAAGACCGAAACAAGCGTTGACACAACCACTGTTTCGTCAACAGTTGGACAGGCTCCCGCTGCATCGACTGTGATTCTCGTTGTCCAGACAGAGACATCTACATCCATACTCTCTCTGCCGGTAGCTACATCCACGAAGACCGAGACCACTACCTACAGTGATCTTTCGACGGTCACCATCACTTCTCGTCCCACGTCAACAAAGACCAAAACAGTCAACACTACCTCTACCACGACCAGTACAGTCACAACAACTCTCACAGATGCTACGACCTGCGCATAGATATGTTTATTTGGAGCCGCCTTTTGATATTCAAGTCTAGGGATTGTAATAATTACCATTCGACGGAGTTAATTTCAATTTATTTTCAAACCCTTCAATCTCTGTATACGTAGTTTCAAAAGCGCGTGTATAGCACTCTGTTACTGGGTACTGTAAACTCGGATATCAAGGTATGGTCAGCAAAAGGGAGATGAAGAACATTTGAATAATCATTTGCACTGTTCGGAAACTTTTGTCTTGTACAAAGACGTTTCTCGTAAATAAATCCCTTTGCTATCTGAAGTGAGTGTCTATACTATGAGTGCGAGTTGCACCAATCACCATTGCGACGCCAAGTATCTTTGCTGCACTGCCAGCTGCCATCGGGAATGCACAAAAAGTCCTCATCAGTGACACCCCTTAGAAAGAGATTTTTGGTTGTGTCCTCGGCTAATGACACCACGTACAGAGAAGAAGCAACGGGGTTCTCTCCTGTCCCACGAGCTTCAGACTGATACGAGTGGCAGCCAAGTCCTATATTATAGGTGAATCCCCGAATTTTATCGATCTAACTCGTTGTCCAAAAAGTTCAAATCGATGATTATCCTTATCGATGTCACATTCTTGAAGCGGCCCAAGTGGAGTTTCCCCTGAATCCGACCGCAACCGGCATTTGCCTCCCAAGAATGCAACTCCCGACTCCGGAATGTGGACTTCGGACTGGATCCACATTGAACCACCTGGGAGATCGTCATATTCAATCTATAGCAATTCAATTGGCATTCCAATTCGAATGGACCTATTCTGGCTGGATGATGAGCGAAGATGTATCTCCAATTCCTACGATATACCTTCGATCGTGCAATGCCACTCCATGGGGCCAATGGAGTTTGTCCAGGGTCTAACTGGGTATAACCCAAAAGGTATAATGTGGGTATGCTCAATCTATGGTTCATGTTCATCCATGGTACGAAACTCCATTGTGCCTGGTTTGGTGACTTTGACTCCCTTTGATCTCTGTCTCAACCCCGGGGGGAACATCCGAATGGGTCGAATCACTGAACCAGGATTCTGATCAATGTAACTGTTGGTCTGGGACTGGCGAGGATGAACTATCATCTTGATTCTTTAAAAATGGACAATCCTTTGTTCACTTCTTCAATCAATTCAACATATATTTTATCTTCTTGCAAGCCCAATGCACTACATCACCAACCCAATTTTCCTGCTGCTAGTTTCATCAGCTACTACAGGTGTAAGCGCTCAGGATGTGGCAGTGGTGGCCGGTCAGACCCTGGCAACCAGTAATGGCCTAGCGACTAGTAATAATGGTGGGGGATGCGCATCACAGCAGTACGTTTCCCTTTGTCGTGCCTTTCACAAACAACCTCATTCTGACCGTCTCCAGGGTCGTTGATCAATGTGTCGTTACAATGCAAGGGACCCTTGCGAAGTGTACTGATGATGATTGGGATTGCAAGTGCTCGGGCAGTGCAAATATTGCCAAGTAAGTACTCACAATGAACATGCTATTCCATACTAACACCTGCTGACCTCTAAAGCTGCTATGAGGACTGCCCTGATGACCCAGCACGCTTTTCGGCCGAGTTGATGAGCGAGCAAGATTGCGCCACCGCTAATGCCTACGATAAAGGTATCTCGGATGTTCCGACTACGTGGACAACTCCAGGGCCCAACACAGTGACGGCCACTCCGACGGATGTCGAAATTAGTACCACAACCAGTACTGCTGGGCCAACAAAGTCATTGAATGGAGAGGAAGCCAGCCCGTCAGCTTCAGAGGGCGCCGCTGTCATGAAGTCGGCTGGGAGTTGGTTTGCGTTGCTAGGATTGGGTGTTGGAGTCATGATATGAGCGACTGCGATTAGAATGTTACGTCTTTTCTACTGCTTCAAAGTCTACAAATTAGAGTTAATACATGGTAACAATCTTAACGATATCATCAGTTCTGAGAATTATTACAACATACACTTGTACTGTGATTGTAGGTACGAAAAATAAATTGAGGTTCAAAATGTCCATTCTCGCGAATTCGTCCTTACCCTGTTTGAGTGACTGGAGTCTATGTTTGTTGATTTGATGTCAAAATCTATTAACATGGTAATGTTCCCATCAGGCCCAAACTTCGGCATCAAGCCCGGCATAACCTTCCATCTGCCTCCACCCAGTAATCACTCCCAACTGCGGTGGTGCCATAGAAGATATGCTTTGGATCGTATTTGTTCTTCACACTCAACAATCGATCATAATTCTCGTTGTAGAAAGCGTACTTCCAATCTGGTTGATGAGGATCTGCCTCGTTCAGATACGCCCCTCCGCCTGGGGTGAGATCCTCCAACTCCGGGAGCAAGACATCCGCAATGAGTTTCTGGGCTTCAATATTATAGTTTTGATTTGTGTCACTGAGACTGCTGTTGTTTGGTCAGTATATTGACTCATAGAAGAAGAGAAAGGGGTCACCTACGTTCCGACCACAATATCGATAGCCGCGTCGTGCCAGGCAGGATTCACGGAGTTGGTTGGTGCAGACTTGCCATCGCGGGATAGTGATGCGTTGACAGAGACTCCGGAGACGACCGCACCATAGTTAATAATGGTGCGGAATCGTTCAACTAGTGAACCGGAGTCGTAGTCGATCAGAGAGCGTGGGAATAAATCGCCCTCCGAGGTTGGCTTGGGTGATGTTGACGTCGGGACTCATGGTCTGGAAACTAGAGTACCATGTAGGAAATTCATCAATATAGTAAGTTGTGACAAGTAGTAAGAGTCTGCACTAATCAAAATCAAAGGAACGTACAGTAGGACATGTTGGCCCGGTTCAACCCCGCAAGTAGCGGAGCCATGATTCCTTGCAGCTTCTCCTTTGATCCACCTGGAAGGGTGATCGGCATCATCTCGAAGGCGTCGCTCAACAAATACCAAATGGCAACCCCCCAGCATCCAACAATGGACCCAGAGTAGAATTCAAAAACATGTTCACAGCATCGTCAAACGCCGCTTGGGTGGTGCCCACCGTCGCGAATGTCAAGTTCGCCGTTGCAGTCCGCATCTCCCGGTGCGTCTTGCTCGTCATCGAGACCACCACACCGTAGGTTCCACCACCACCTCCAGAAAGTGCCCACCACAAGTCCCTGTACTCGTTTTATGGTGTAATGCTCACCAACTTCCCAGTACCATTGAAAACCTCCCATTCCAAAACCCGGTCCGCCGCCAGGCCGTATTGTGAGACAAGCTGACCATGGCCTCCGCCTTGGCTGTACCCCCCGGCTAATCCGACGGACCTACAGTTACCCCCGACAACTGTCAGGCCGTGTTTGTAGGCAGCCGCATTTGATTCAAACATCTGCACACCGGCGCCCACTTTGATTGCCTTGCCGGTGTAGAAAGAGGACTGGTAATCGAGGAATTCAATGTCCTTGAGATGATGCGTCCAGATGGCGACAGCGCCCGCGCCCGTCGACTTTCCCAGGTAGCCATGTCCAGTATTTCGGATAACGACGTGAATACCGTGAGCTGTTGTAAAGGCCATCGTCTTTTGAACATCCAAAGCGGACTCGGCCCGAACGGAATATTGCACATAAGTTCCAATGATGCAGCGGGTTGCGGGATCGACGAATGCGTCGCAGCTCTGGTTGGCGTAAAAGTCAGACAAGATCGATGAGGAGCTCTCATAGTGGGTTTGGGGGAAATTCCAATTGGCTCGGAGAGTATGGCATGCTGATGCGCTGTACGCTTCAAATCCATCACTTGTATGACAGGCACTTGCGATGGGGGTGGTTGCGATGAGTCGACCCCCGACTGTTTGATTGAAGGCTGTCCATTGAGCTGGACTGGGCCAACAGGAATCACCCGGGAAACAAAGACAGTCGGAAGTGGCTATGGCGGGGGATTGGATGAGGGAGATGAGGGAGATGAGGAAGGGGAAACGGACGGAAAAAGTAAACATAATTGCATTCAGGAATCAATTGTTACTAAGATGATGTCTACAGCCGGCTTTTATAAAACCTCAATGAGACAGAAGTTAGGCTTACATGGAGGGCCCTAATTATGGATATTTATTTTCGCAAAATGCATACAATTTTCTCATCTTCGCCCCCAAGCCAAGCTGAAAAGAAAGCAATTAAGGATTGGACGCCTGAGGAAAATGCACAATTTGACTCCATCACCTAGACCACCATCCCATCTCCACCAAGGGTGCAGCATCTTCACGCATTGGTTCATACAACTGGTCAATCATGGATGCCAGATCCTCCGACAAAGGACCAGCTCGGCGGGCGGCCAAGTAATCCTCCAGCTGAATGAGCTTAGTCGGCCCGATGGCCACCTTGTCTGTAGTCTTCAAACCGGAATGAAATAAAAGCCATCGCATGGAAACCTGTGCTAAACTGAGCCCATCCACAGCGGCTACGAGTTGTCGTACAGCATCATTGAAGACTGGCTTGTCGTACCACATGCGGTACAGGTAGCCCATCATGTTGTCGTCGGATTGCTCAAACCGTGTCCCCTTCAGCTGGTCTGCGTCCTTGGCCAGGGTGAGTTTACCTGTCGCAAAACCACCTGCCAGGGGAGAGTTGGCAATAAACTGGATTCCATGTTTCTGGAGCAGGGGGAAGAGCTCTTTCTCATACTGGCGACAGAAGAGGTTATACTGACCCTGATAGACGGTGGGCAGGACGTAGCCTTTTTCGGTCGCGATCGTGATCCACTCGCTCAGCTCGGCAGGGGAATAATTGCACAGCCCCAGCTTCTCAAAGAAACCTGCACGATACAGTTGATCGAAGTTGGCGGCCTGGTCCGCAAGTGGGGTGAGCTTGTCCGGGGCATGAGCGTAGAGGATATTGACCTAGAGAGGTGAGCCTAAGATGATTCATGATGGGCCAATAGTACGTACCTTGGTAACTCCGAGGTTCTCCAGGCTCTTGTGAATTGACTCGTCCATGTGCTCCTTGGACAAGGCCTCGGGTCGGTAGAAAATTTTAGTGTCGATCACCCAGTCCGGTCGCTTAATGCTTCCCAGGAGGCGTTCAGAAGCTCCAGAGTCACTGATTGGGTATAGTTGGGCTGTGTCGTAGTTCTTGATCCCGGCCGCGTCAAGCTGAGCAACTAGCTCGGACACATTGTTGTTTGTCCAGGCAATGGCAAAGCCTTGCGTGCCCATAATGTACTCGGGCCCAGGCATGATGAAAAGGTTGAAGATATGAAAAGGTTCAAAGTGTTTAAGTTGAGGGTGGAGATGAAATGGAAAGGAAATGAAATAGAAAGAGAAAGAGGGAATTTATATTATTGACCCCTCACCCCACACCTGGTCATACCTAAAACACAACATTCCTATTTCCACTAACAAAATGGCTACTTCAGTACTTTGCAGAAGATTTTGCAGAAGATTATAAGGAAATTAAAATGCGATCGTAAACGGTTTCTCAGAATGAAGTAGATTCTGTAGATCTGTATGATACACATCAGGTCTTGTACCTAAGTCTAAACATTGATCTGATCCAAAAATTCCGTAATCTTTCCAACCAGTGTCTCAGTGCAGGTGAGATGCGCAGAATGTCCAGACGCTGCGTGGTAGACCGTGAAGTCATTTCCATTCGCACCCTGCAGGCCAATCATTGCCTCTTGGCCGGCTCTTGGCACGATGAGATCGTCATCCAGCACGAGATACGCACATGGCAAAGCGGAGTAGGCATCATTGGTCAAGACGCCAGTGTGAATGGGTGATGCCGTCAATGTTGCTGCCCACTTGGATGCTGATTCGGCATCTAGATCGCTGAACATGTACTTCTCAGGTTCAATCAATGTCCCAACCCCGGCCGCGCCATGTTTCTACCCCGGGTCAGTTCTCAACTCTTGAGAGGGGGAGAGGTACTAACGTAGAATCGCAACCAAGGTGGAATGGTAAAACTCCCATCTTTGGGTTGGAAGAAACTGTTAATGGACTCGTTGATGGGGACCACAAAAGCCGAATAGTAGAAAATGCCAATCAGACCTCCATCCTGTCCGTTTAACTGGCGCGTTTTCCGTTGAAGTTCTGGAACCGCCGCTTGCGTTGCGACCCAGCCACCGGAGGAATGGGCAACAAGGAGAACTCGCTTGCCCTGCTGGATGATTCTTTCCAGGACTTCATGAATCACGGCAACATCCTCGTAATCGCTAGGAATACCCTCGGGTCCTGGTCCACGGTCAAAGTCGGGATTGTTGACATCACCCACGTTGTGTCGGCTGAGATCCGCCGTAGGTCGCTGAGGACAATAAGTTTCATATCCTCGTGATTCCAACGCCTCAATGAATGGTTGATATGGTGCAGGGCTGTGGTAGGAGCCATGACAGATGACGATGGTTGAGTTATCCTGGTTGGCCATGATGAATCTTGGGTTGTGGTGGATGAGAATGGACAAAGTTGATAAAAGAGTTGGGGATTTGTCTCTTTGTCTCTTTGGGGGCCAAATGTTAACTTACCCCAAAGTCATCATGCAAACTTGTTGATTTCATGACGATACACTTATCAGGTAATTCCTCGATGTGACCTTGAGATATTTCCATACATATATCTTCCAATGAATCAGGATCCTCGATTCTCCTTTTGCTCCGTCATAGTAAGCTTATAACAAACAATAATTACATTCTGACCTTTGATGCTATTTCCTCACTTTCATCTACTTTTCCTCACAGTCTCTGTTTCTTTTCTATAATGACGACCGTTAAAGAGCGACAGAATAAATTGATTATTCTTTCAGTGATATTCTGGGCATTGGGTACAATCGCCTTTGCCTTGAGGATTGTCAGTATTCGACTTCGACAACGATCGTTCAAGATACATGATTATTTCGTTTCTTTGTCTTTGGTACATCTACTCCCTGAATATCCTCTCCTCCCACTGACAACACTTCAGGTCTGCCTCACGGCTTATGTGATTGATATTATTATCGGTATGGCCATTCAATCCTTCATTATCTTCCAGGTATTGATTTTATCTAGGTGCCACTGTAGGGGCATATGGTGCCGATGTCACCACTGTACCAATCCCTACGCTAATCACCACACTCAAGGTCAGTCCAGTCTTCACGCGATTACGATCACCTCACTGATTTATTTGATCAGGCATTCTTCGCATCGGAATGGTTCTTCGTCACTAGTGCAGCTGCCTTCCGCTTGGCCATCATTCTGCTATATATTGAGTTGTTCAGAGGTGTTTGGTTCTATTGGGCCTCAGTCGTCACCGCCGCCCTTGTGGTTCTCTACTGGATCGCATCCATCTTGACAATTACTCTACTCTGCCGCCCGATCAATTCCAATTGGAATATCACTATCAAAGGAACGTGCGGGGATGTGGCCAAAACAGAGTACGCCTCTGCCGGGTTTAACTTGATCATTGACTTTTGGGTCGTCGCACTCCCTATGCCAATCGTCTGGACTTTGCAAATGCCCAAAGAGAGGAAGGTCAGTGTCACTGTGGCCTTCCTCCTCGGCCTGATGTAGGTATCTCCATGGCAAAGGCCCATGCATTTCTAATGTCGCCTAGCACCGTCGCCATCAACATTGGCCGTCTAATGCAAACCAAGCTGTGTCACCAGAGCAATACGACGTACTGTATACTGGATGCGTCGATCCTAATCGCCGCCGAGCTGACATCAGGCATCATTGTTTCTTGTGCACCCATGATGGGCCCGATATTCTTCCGCAATCGCGTGGGCACGTACGACCAAAATCCTCGGGCGATTCGCACCATCGGCTCGACCGCGCGCACATGGCAACGACGTCGAATGAAATCGACCTCGTTGCTGGTCTCGCAAGATGATGACTTGGGAATTGTGGACAAGCAACTGTCTTATCGGACCCACATTGTGTCCCCCGAACGGTTTCACCATCCAAGTCCGGGAAGTCAAGGGATCATGGTACAGAATGAGATGTCAGTTATGAAGAGTAGCGCTCCCGAGCGGAAAATATAGCTGTATGTAAAATACAAAAAGGTGGTATTGAATGCAATCTGCGATGTATCGTTTCAACCTAACCTCGGAAACAGTTAAGATCTGCAATGAATGCAGTCTAATCGGGAGTAAAGTTCGGTAATTAAATGTCGCTGTAATAAATTGTCTGTACGGAGTAACGGAATCACGTATACTCACAATATAAGAGGTGGACCCGCCAGTGTCATCTGGCAGTAAGCGATCACAAACTTTATAACGCCATTCAAGGGAGTCATCCCAGAAATCCCTCTCCAAAATGACAGACGTCTACGCTGCCAACCTGCGTCGCAATGAAGACGAGTCACACAGGTACAACAGGTCCTGTCACCCATCTGCGCTGCCACATTGGGTAACCTGAATTTAGACTAGATGAGCAATTTGACCTGCTGACAGAGTGAGCCTTCATCTCCCAACCCAAGGCATTGGCTGATGATCGGCAGAAATATCGGGTATCTGATTCATCCGGATATCCTGCGGTCTCTCCCGTCGAACAAACCCAAGATTGCCGATCTTGCTACCGGAACGGGTCGATTTCTGCTCCGGTTAGTGGAAACCAAGCTGGTCGATGATACTGCTATCCTGCATGGAAGCGACATCTCGGCCACGCTATTCCCGGCCCCAGCCACCCTACCGCCGAATCTGCAGTTGACCGTGCTGGACATTCGCGTCCCTATTCCCAAACACCTGGAAGGGACGTATGATTTCGTGCATGTCCGCCAAGTGGCCGCAGGGCTCACGTCGGAGGACTGGGTGGATACGGTGACGAATCTGGCCAAGCTCCTGAAGCCAGGCGGGGCGATGCAGTGGGAAGAGTGCAACTTCACTAGCGTGGTGCACCTGCGGGGCGCGGGAGTGGGGGCGAGTACGGAGACGGCCGCCCGTAAGCTAGGGAAGATGTTTAAATCCGGCCTGTGGCAGTATTTTCGACACGGATGGAATCGATTGGAGGAAGGGATGATGGCGGCTGGGCTAGAGGGGGTGGCGTCGGAGGTGGTTAGCTCGGATCGTGCTCCGGAGACGAGGGGCGCCTTGACACGGAATGGGATGCGAGCCATTTTAGCCTGGGCGAATGCCAAGGCACAAAACGGAGGCTTGCAGGATGAGAACAAACGGGCAGTATCCCTTGCCGAGGTAAAAAGTCTCGGGGAGCAAGCTTACAAGGATATAGATTCGGGATGTTATGTTCGGTTTGACATCCATGTGGCATGGGGAGTTCGACCGGAATGACTTGACGCTTCGATGAATTTCTTTTCCATGTTCCATCCATGCACATGGACACATGCAAGCTGTATGGTATTGTAACTGGCCCTTACTTATAAACATAATACATGGATGATCCTAGTCCATCCACGTATAGCCACATGTGGAACTGTACTCCAGTACGTATTATACTGCAATTGTTACTTGTGCAAGTTCATCACATCACTCAAGCTCCAGAGCAATTCAAGGTTGATTTCCGAAGCTTTCAATTTTGGTTTGCTACAGAGTATACTATGTACTCCGTATTTTGATTTCTGAACACGTTTCGGAAGTCACGGATGGCATTGACTGTTTCTAACTCCCCCTTGCTTCTAAAAAAAGTTAATATGGGCGCTAACAAACAACTTGGTAAACCCTGAAAATTTCCAGAACTTGGAATCTTGAAATCTTGCATCATGAATAAATTGGAACCTGATTTACACCAGGTACGGCCTGCTACCATGTGGGCCACGCGGGATGTAGATCCGCACGAAGCTCTGTGCTCAGCAGTCCAGGTCCAGGACTTTGCATCTACTGTATAGTATTGACTTGGACCCAATTAAATGGAACACTAAGCGCCGAGGATTACGCGTCTATCACTTTCCCCTTTCGGGGATTAGGTTCTGACCTGGTAAATCACGCAGAGTCCCGAAGGATTCATATGAAAATCCAAATGTCACACTGGGCGGACAAATGTTCCTTTTTGGCGCGCTCGTGGCTTCCTCTATTTCATTGCAAATGATCCATTTACCTTGAAATGCGACTTCGGAGATATTATGAAACACGTGGAGACTGTCGATGCTCCACGTGTGTGATATCATCCTGTACATTGTACAATTTACAATACCCTCTGGGACAGATAATGAATAGAATACATTTGTTTCCTTAATCTATATTGATGGTAAACTGCACACGATAAGCATGTATAATCAAAATGCCACCGGAGAAACAAAAACAATAATTCAACATGAGAAGATGAAAATAACCACACCAGGAATGATACAGTAGAAGAAACACAATAAAGAACATCATCATAAGTTGGAGAACAATGGCATAACATAAATCGTAGCGATCCAACAGTTCCAGACGCGAAATGTTGTTCGGTCGCCCTCCTCGCTCCGCACTGTAAGAACTCTGCCGGCAATAAAGTAGGCAAGGACAAGACTGAGGAGGAAAAGCACAGTGTTTACCTTCCAGAAAAGAGGACAGACTGCACCCCACAACATCATTGGGATAGCGATGGTCCAGCGGGCAGGTCCATCCCCAATCACCAAGGGCACGGTGCGACGATCACGCACCGCGTCGCCTTTCTGGTCATAGAGATCCTGGAGATGCACCGTACTGGAAATGATCCCCGCAATAATCAACAACCACTGGATCAGTCGATAGGCCGGCCCTGTCGGGTCGAAGGGATTCTGCAAGGAGAATGGAAGTCGCTCTCCCAATGCCACCTCGAGAGCTCCGGAGAGGAAGCAAAGGTATCCGAGGGCATTGATGATATTACGAATCACCGGGTTGCGATCCGCCCCTCCGAAGTTGTTGTACCAGATGTCTAGAGCGAGAAGGAACGTTGACTGCCGGTGACCGATGCCATTGCCCACTAGCCCGTGGATTTGGACGAGAAGAGCGAAGAACCACATGGCAACCTGCGCTTGTCTGGGCGTGATACGTTTTTGTGGCATTGGTCGCCATGGTTTGTTGATTGTGTCTTCTTCGATGGCTGATGGAGTGCGCTGGTTGTTGATAGAAAAGGGGATGAAGACCAAGCTGACCCAAAGAAGTGTTCGGGGCAATCGAGTGAGTAGTACAGCGAGAGTGAGAGATGTGTTATCCCCGAAGCCGTAAGCCCCCGCGAGGGAATTAAATACCCCGAAGATGGTACTGGGAACTACAATGGTCTTGAAGTCACTGCAGGTGAAGAGGTAAAGAGTATATGCATGATAAGCCATCGATCTGGACCCCGGCTGGACCTCAACCTGAGGCCCAGATGCATTGTTCATGATGCGACACTTCTAATCATCATTAGCTTCCTACTTCATGGTAGAATTCAATCCACAAACCTTGAGCGGAGGGTAAGAGATGACCTTGGTAGAGTACTCCATGATGTATGACGTGAGGATCAAACCTTTGCCCCCCACCCCCCTCCCTTCTCTCTGCTGATGTACTTCTTTATATTCCCTTGCTTCCCTGCTGCTTTACAATACGTGACGGAACTTAACTGGAACTTACCACTTAATCAAGTGGGGCGATTGAAGGTATTGGTTTTACCGTCCAGTTTGGTTTCTAACTGTCGCTTATGCCAGATTAGCGGGAAATTCTTATATGCGTTTGTCCCCAGCTTGTTTCTCTTTCTTGTCCAATGACGGGGTTAGTCAATTATGTTCACTGCAACGACCTTGGCCATCTTATCGGGTGTCCTGGCCCATTGGACTGTGTTCATCCATAGCGAATGGCATCTCAAGATCATGAAACTGGGGCTGACACATCTGGCAATCTATGCAGCACTTTATGTTATCAGGGTAGTTCGGGAGGAATACAATCTCCACAACGAGAATACCCCAAGCCCCACGATTCTGATGCTGCTCTACTTCTCATCTCTCTTCACCAGCATCGGCATCTATCGTTACTTTTTCCATCAACTGCGCACTTTTCCCGGTCCTCGTTTGGCTGCAATTTCCAAATTATGGCACGTGTGGAAATGTCGGACTTCGCGGGGACACCTAGTGCTTCACGATTGGCAGAAGTACGGCACTTTCGTTCGCACCGGTACGACCAAGGATGCGCGTTCCCTGTTCCAGTATTTCAAAACTGATATGAGATCCTTAGGTCCCGCGGAAATCACCGTTTACCATCCCGCGGCGTATGAGGCGATGGATGGGCCGGGCAATCAGAACACTCGATCGGATTGGTACGATCTGCTATATCCCCGAATCTCGTCAATCTTCACTCGCGATCGTGACCTACATAATGTCCGGCGGAAGATGTGGACGAATTCGTTGAGCAGCTCCGGTAGGCCTGCGTGTGGAGTCCATGAAATCACCTTCTAACACGACGCAGCAATCCGGCAGTACCACAATCGCATCATCGACAAGGTCAACACATTAGTTCATCTGATCGATGAACAGAAGTCTCGGTCAGTCTATATCAACGACATGATGTACTGGTTTGCATTCGACTCGATGGGTGACTTCGCCTTTAGTGAGGATTTTGGGATGATGAAGAGCAAGAAGTGGCATCAGATCATCTGGATGTTCCGATATGCCCTGGCTCTGTTGGGCCCGTTCAGCCCGGCGATTTGGATCCCTCGTCTAGCATTCGAAGTGATTCCCGGCCTTTGGTGGGCCAAATGGTGGTTTCAAATGTTGAAATTCTGCGACAAGTGCATGGAGCGACGGATGAAGGTAAGGTGAGACGTATACTTTTGCGATTCATGGCTGACAATTTTCAAGCGCACTTTGCCGGACAAGGATATTGCCTCTTTCTTCATCGAAGAGCATAAAAGTAGTGTCGATCAGCGCAAAGATCATTGGCTGAGTGGCGATACCGCGACTCTTGTGGTGGCGGGGAGGTGTGTTGGGCTGTGTCCCGTTCCTCTGGCCCCTAACTGACAGTGACCAGTGATACCAACGCCCCCACTCTCACAGTTCTCTTCTACTTCCTCGCTCGCCACCCAGAACATGCGGACAAAATTCATGCTGAGCTTCAAACCCTGACCTCCCTCGAAGACGCGGTCGGGCTATCCAAGCTCCCCCACCTGAACGGAGTCCTGAACGAAACCATGCGTCTTCTTCCCGCCGTCCTCACATTCGGAACCCGTGTCACACCTCCCGAAGGTTTAACGATTGAGGGCACATTTATTCCTGGAGGTACGAAGATCTGTGCACCCAGGTACAGCATTGGAAGATGTGAGTTTCAAGATTACCCCTTGATGTGTTGATTTGTAGTGGCGTCTGACTAATCTATTTTCCCAGTGGAGTCAGCCTATGAACGATCTGACGATTTCATCCCTGAGAGATGGTACAGTCAGCCCGATCTGATTCGGGACCGTCGAGCCTTTGCCCCATTCGGAGTCGGTATGTTTTCTTGCACAATTTCCCGCCCCAATGTCATTCCATCCGCGCAGGAACGCACTGACCAAGGATGATGACCTCCAGGCAATACAAGCTGTGTAGGTAAAAACCTGGCTCTGACACAGATCCGCATGGTCGCCGCAGCCCTTGTGAGCCGGTATCACCTGGATTTTGCACTGGAGAGCAAGAATGGCGAGCTGGTGGAAAAGGAAATGAAAGATCAATTAACTGCGCAGCCGGGGCCATGTTACCTAGTATTTACTCCTCGGATTGAGAAATAAAGGATTCAAACCATTATCGATCATCCTCTCTCTTATGTTTCTCATCTGTCTCTAGATACCTTTACTAATATGACCCCTATTACCTTCGTATGTACTTTCTAGTTAGTTTTCCTAAATCTCATCTTCTTACCTTCTCTATCTATCTTCTGACTACTCTCTTTGCCCTACCAGCTATCCCGTTCCCCCAGCACCATATTGAACCTCGACTATACACACAAGGGAATCGGTACTGGTAGCTGTGGGCCAGGTCCACGTCCAGGCTACAGGCTCTTACACGGAGATCTCTTTTTAACTACAACACGCCTGAGCGACAACAAAGAATGACCGAGTTGAAAAGACACAGGAGATACATTCAAATTATGGATATTTGAACACGCTCTCTTCTATTCATAGGGCAAGGCCTTTGCACCTTTGGTCCAGCGGTGCAATGAAAGTAATTCTCTACGTTTGTCCTGATTGTTCTGACCAATTTGCGTCTCCTGCCATGCAAAATTCATACCGAGTAGAGCGTAGAACCTTTCGGAATAATTTCTATAATAAATTCAATATTAGCTTCAATAATGCTAATCTAGTACAAGGAGCCGGTTGAGAAGGCCTACCGGGATCCGTGCTTGTGGTTACTACGCACGCCTCGTGAGCCCTTATAATTGTATCACAAAGCTTTTCCACCTTCGCATTGACCCCAAGCTGAGGCATACGGTCAACAAATAGGAGGAGAATGAAGCTTCCATGGAGCATTTAGATGCCGAATAGATAGGGCATAAATGTTAACTCAGAATCAACTTGAAGTATGCTCGACACCGCTTGGCAGGCTTGTATAGCATGAGAGCTACGTTTGATAAATTTCGGTGATGTGATCCAACCTTCGTCATCTTCAAGCATGGAAATCGGATCCCACTTCCCATGAAGGAGCACATATAGCACGTGAGGCATTTGGTCACTATAAGCAATGACCAGGCGAAGACAGCCATGTTCCTTCAACGTGTGAAATAGATCGCAGCTACCAAGCAAACTCTGTCATGCATTTAATTAAAGGATTTTTGAGTTATTCGGTTTTCAGAATATTGTCTTGATCTAAGATAATCGCCTGGAATACAGCACAACGATCCTGGAACTACCTGTCGGTTACAATATAAGGACGCCGCGAAACCGACCCACATGGACATGGGTGAAACTCCTCGTAATCCATCTTCCGATAGGTTTCAAATGCAGTTGTAGCAACCCATAACTCCTGAGCTTGCGCTCGGACATAGGAATTCTCTGCCAGGGCCTTGAGTTGACGGAGACTTGCTACTAGTGAGTAGCAGGCAAGCCTTCTTGCAATAATGGTCTGCAAAAGCTTCCCGCGACTTCAAAAAGGGGGCATTGCATGTGAGGCGGGTTGTATTTCAATCCAGCAATTCCAGAAACATACAAATGTCGCTTCGTCCACAAGTTCTGTGGGAAGTTTTGTGATAGACATTGGATGTTCATGTGACCGCATGGCGTCTAAAACTTGAGCCTCCTAATTGTTTGCACCAGATCTCTCGATACTGAAAATAATTCGTGCCGATCTTCCGCCGTGATCAGTCCAGTTTCGAACTTGGTCGAGTGGAACCGCGGTACAATTTTGAAACTTTCCCCGCCTGAGACCATATAGCCGAAGAAGCCGAGCGACCCACTACAAACATGTAACCCGCCTACTGTTCTATCTTGATTCCGGGTTATACAGCCTATTTCAGCAATCATGGTGATTGAATCTGATCGGCCGCGCACACGCGCTAAGAAAGCATGCATGGCTTGTAATTCTCGACGAGTGCGATGTGACGTGGTTACATCTCAACCCTGCCGGAACTGCGTGGCATGGAACCTCTCATGCGAAGTTGGAATCTCGAGACGGGGGAAGTAAGTATCTAGTGCTCATGTATCATTTACTTTACTGAAATTGTTAGATATCCGCGGAAGAAGAAAGGCGTATCTCCTGGCTATGAGCCGGGAATTCAGACTGTGCCTGCTATACCCGAACGGCAATTGCACTATTTACCCTCTGCTCGTCCTGCAATCGCAGATGAAGCCATTCAGGAAACTGTCTTTCTCGGCGAGTCAAGTCCCCTAACATGCGTGGTAGACGAGAATCGACGGTCGCCTGAAAAAGGGCGCTTACACTATGCAATTCCAGAAGTTCGCGCGAGCGAGCTGAGCGATGACCAGCACAGAAAACTTCTTCAGGACCGTCTGATCCGTGAAAGCGCGTTGGTTTTCCCATCGGCGGACATCTGCGAAACTCTTTTGCGGGCGTTCTTTGATTGGTTTCACCCATGTTTCCCTATTCTCGACCGACAGGCGGTGTATCAAGCATACACTGAACATACTATCTCTCCCCTACTCCTACAAGCTATGCTTTTTGTCGGTGTCAGCTTATGTTCAGATACAGCATTGCGCACCACTGGATTCACCAATCGGTATCAGGCCAAGGGCCAATTCTACCATCGAGCAAAGGAAATATATGACGTCGGGTGGGAGACTGACATGATCATCAGACTGCAATCATTGTTCCTCATGAGCTTCTGGCGGGCAGGACCTACAGAGGAGCGAGATGTTCGATTTTGGTTGGGCGCTAGCATTGGACTCGCCCAGAAGAAAGGGATGCATGTGATGTGTGTATTCCTCGATCAGGTCACAACAGTACTAATGAAGTAGGTCCAAATTGCCTTTCCTCAGCGCGAGGGATAAGAGAGTCTGGAAAAGGATCTGGTGGGCCCTATATGTAAATCAGCTATATATATCATGCGAGCTCAACATTGAACTGATGATCCTAGGTTCGCGACCAGCAAACATCAGCCGCGCTGGGGCTTCCCTCTCGGATCCGCGATGAGGATTGTGAAGTGGCAGAGCTCGAGGAGGCAGATTTTGTCGACAATGATATCCCTTCTGAGATTTTCCGCAAGCCACCCACGGCGCATGTGCCATATGTGATTGGGATGGCTCAACTAGCCAAACTATGTCAGTTTGCTCTGGTCCATGTGCGTTGAAACAATTCATGTATCTAACTATTTGCAGTACGCGAGGTAGTCTCTAGTCAATATTCACCCTGTCGTGCCAAGCTGGACAAACTATCCCGACCCAAGTTGCACCAGCGGTTGCTAGACTGGGAGTCCAATTTACCCAAGGAGATGCATTTCCACACATCAACTAGTCGCGAAGTGACATTCCTCGTTGGCATGCTCCACATGGCTTACAAGTACGTACCTTTATCGACTGAAGAACACGCTGACTCTGAGCAGTAATCTCTATGTGTTACTATATCGACCCATCTTCTTACAGCCCCCCAGTGAGTCAACTATGGAATGGAGTATGGCACTAGAGGCCGCGACCAGGAGTACACGTATCCTAGAAGACATGCTCTCTGAAAACCTGGTGCAGCATGGATCGGTCCACCTGTAAGTAGACGCGTGGATGTCTCTAGCGTGAGCCTAACTAACTAGTGTAGAATCACACACACATTCTCTGCACTATGCATCCACACCATTCACTTCGGACGCGTCACTGGAACGGCACGGACTCTTGCAGAACATAGAGCCAAGCTTTGTCTGTTGGGATTGAAGGAACTTCAGAAATCATGGGATCTGGAGAATTGGGTGCTGGATCTGTTTTTCCGCTGCCTTGACGATCGCACGGCAAGAGATCTGCGCCTCGGTGACAGTGACAAGGGACTAGCCCCTGCATCCCCGGCTGATCCTCCAGTTTCGCCCCATGCGAATGAACTACTGCTTCCTCCCGCCCATGATCCTCTGCATATGGATGATCCACCGGTTAATATGGACTGGTATGAATTGTTCAATGTGGAAGGGGATGACGTGTTGGGATTGGCGGGCTCATTGACGAATCCGGACTATCTTAACCCACAGAATCTCGAACATTTGTATCGATTCTTGTAGCCGCAATTGGCATTGGCTTGGCAGGACGTGATTCGCGTCCCCACGGATCACGGATGTAACGGGTGTTCCTGTCCCGTTCCACAATTGATTGTTCCAATGTTCGTTTTCCGGAATGTGGGGAAGGCGTGGCGGTGCTGAATACCACCATGACCGGATGCAGCAAAATGTGAATAGGTCATTATGATCTTTAGATGCATCATGTACAGAGTAACTTTGTAAGTTATTCATAAGTTGTGCCTGAGAATGAAGTTGCCTAATTCCCTCGGTCCGTGCGCGACCGGGTGTGCCGTGCACTAGTACAGTATACGAGAGTCGCAAAGAGAAAACACATGAGTCGAATTACAAAAAAAAGTCAAAAGGATAACTAAAAATAAGATGCCAGTGAGGGGGCAGTCTGTAGCTGTTTCAGATTTCGGGTACCTGAATTTGAGACATCACCAGCCACTGGATTGCGTGTCCAGAAGTCGATCATTGGCCAATTCGTGCTAAGCATTCGCCTATCATTTAGTAGAAGCTTGGCTGCACGGGATGATGTTGCGTCATACGGAATTGACCTGTCGATCCAAGCCAATCAAACTTTGCATCAATGTCGCCACTTGCGTGCTATTGTGCAATGACAATGGTATAAAGGAAGGACTCGAGCACTGATCTTGGACTCTTATCACATCTTGCTCTATACAATATACATCTATATACTCAATTTATCCACCATGGGTTCATCTCGGACATCAAGTGAGCGGACTAGCTCTATTCACTCGGCAGAATCACCCAAGAAAATATTACAAACCAAAGCTGATCCCAACTTGGCCCTCCATGAAGCGCAACCCAGTATGTTCATACACCGATGGAATTGAACTCTTACTAATCATCCCAGTGTCCGTGATGGACGGAAACTATAACACAAACTCCCTGGGAAGCATACAACACAAAGACCGTCACGGAAACATTATCTGTACGTCTCATCATACGTACTCCTGCTAGAATCCAGCTGACATAGTCATTTCCAGCGGATCCCGACCGTTGCAACCCCACCCGGAATCGAATGGAGCGCCCACTCGACACGATTCGATCCTTTGAAGCCGCGATTGATGCACACCGCAAACAGATGCACATGTGATAAGGGATCCGGGATCCGGGATATGAGATGATATGATACCTGGCAATGCGATTGTACGATTATGATTAGCGATGGAAATAACAAGACAAAGGTCACCTGATCAGGACCCCCCGGATAGAGTCATGTGATTCACGTGAATTGCTGAGTAATATCATGTGACCCAACGACACGTGATTGTAAGACTAGTTTTTCGCAGGGAAATTCCCCAGATCGACTGTCTTGGCATTTCAATACTTAAAATATCTTGGATTTAAGTTTCAATGAACATGAAGGTTTGGGTCAAGCAATAATTCCCTTATGGACTGTCTATCGGGATTATCATTGTATTTCCAAGGTTCTACTCGGCCGAGCCCGAGACGTGCACGGAGTTAAAGTTCGCGAGTGAACAAGTCAACATGGGTAAGAAATGACCCCCACGATCAACAGATCAACACTACATGTACTCCATACTTGGTAGATATAGTTAAACAGGCAACTGAATAAGTCTTCTACCTTGGCCGATATAAATATAGATTTAAATATAGATGAGAAACAAGAAAGAAAAAAAAAACAAAAACAAAAATCCCCAAAACCAGGTTGTCCACGCCATCCCAAGCCCTTCAGCCCCACTGCCGCGTGTCTCTTTTCAATTTTTCATTTTTCCCCTTTTCAACTCTTCTCGTCCACGATTAAGACTTTATCCAACCGAATCTATATTGTAGCAATAATCTTCACTCATTTCATTCTCTTTGGCCATGTCTCACTTCTCCATAATTCCACTGCTCAATCTTTTTCCGAATCTCCCCTCCACGGTTGTTCTGGATCGTGGCGCACTAATGAGTCTTAGGCTGCAGAAACTAGTATCCTTTGGGTGAGTGGATCATATTTGATTGGATAGAATTCTTTATTCGGACTCTGTAAACCGATTCAGACCGATTTTAGTCTAGAAACCAGCCCTAAACGTTGGTTGACGCGGTCCCATCTCATCGTCTTGTTCATTTGGCCAGTGGATGCTAGTTGTACGCGTCCCCCCTTTAGGTCAGGGGCGAATCATGTTGATCCAAAGATGTGAAGGTATTAAGAGCCGACGGGGCAAGCCACTCTTTCTCTTTCTCTTTCGCTTCAACCTGGATATCACTCGTTCTTATCCTCGTCCTTGTCGTCTTTAGTGTTACTTTTTCCGTTTATAGGAGGTTTTCTTCCGATCCATTCGCTATATCTTCACTATGAAGCTGTCCTTGTTGTCGCTGGCGACCCTGGCTGGGGCCGCCATGGCCAGCATTGACCCTATTGTCATCAAGGTACAGCTGGTCAATTCAGATCTCCAACTTCCCCATATTGATCTGGAATAGGGTACCAAATTCTACTACTCCAGCAATCAGACCCAATTGTGAGTAACTGTGATCCCCCTTTTTAGTCTACCATCCTAACTCGTTCCAGTTTCATGCGTGGTGTCGCCTACCAGTGTAGGTATTCATCCCATATCGGATGCGCCGGAGCTGACAGATCTAGACTCTCAAACTGAGGATCCCTTGGCTGATGCTACTGCTTGTGCGCGTGATGTTCCTATCATGCAGGAGCTGCGCACCAACGTTATCCGTACTTACTACATCAACGCCACTGCCGACCACTCGGAGTGCATGAAACTGCTGGAGGATGCGGGCATCTACGTCGTCTCGGACTTGTCCAGCACTACTGAAGCCATCGACCGTAGCGACCCCGAATGGAACGTCGCTCTCTACGATCGCTACACTGCCGTCATTGACGAGCTCGCTCAGTACAACAACACCATTGGTTTCTTCGCCGGTAATGAGATCGCCAACTCTGTCGCCACCACCCAGGGCATGGCTTTCGTCAAGGCCGCTGTCCGTGACATGAAGAAGTACATCAAGGAGAAGGACTACCGCAGCATGGGTGTTGGATACGCCACTGCTGATGTTGAGTCTATTCGTGTCGACCTTGCCAACTACATGGACTGTGAGTCCGATGACGAGACCGTCGACTTCTATGGATACAACATCTACTCCTGGTGTGGTGATTCCAGCTACGCTGCGTCCGGCTACAAGGACCGCACTGAGGAGTTCGCCAACTACACCGTCCCCGTCTTCTTCGCCGAGTATGGTTGCAACACTGATGGCACTCGCACCTTCACTGAGGTTGAGGCTCTTTACGGTGACGAGATGACCCCCGTCTGGTCCGGTGGTATCGTCTACATGTACTTCCAGGAATCCAACGACTACGGTATGCATCCATTATCTCTCTGTATGGCCTAGCTAATCCCTCCAGGTCTCGTGTCCGTCGTTGACAGCACCAGCGTCAGCAAGATGGCCGACTTCAAGTACTACTCCAGCCAAATCGCCAGTGCCGATCCCTCCAGCACCAGCAAGGACTCTTACACTCCCACCAACACCGTTCTGATGTCCTGCCCTACTGAGAACAGCGACGCCTGGGAGGCCAAGGCCTCGCCCCTTCCCCCCACCGCTGATGAGTCCCTGTGCACCTGTATCTACGACGCTTCCGCCTGTGTCCCCGACAGCAGCCTCTCCAGCGCCAAGCTCGGAAAGCTACTCGGTATCGTCTGCGGTTACACTGACTGCAGTGGCCTCGATGCCAACGGTACCACCGGCGAGTACGGCGCTTACAGCATGTGTGGCGTCACTGATCAACTTGCCTTCGCCCTGAACAAGTACTATAGCGAGCAGAGCGAGGCCGCCACTGCCTGCAGCTTCGACGGTTCCGCCAGCACCAAGGCCACCACTGCCGCCACCGGTACTTGCTCTTCCCAGATTAAGCAGGCCGGTACCGCTGGTACTGGTACCGTTACCACCGAGGCTACCGCCACTGCCGACTCCAGCTCTGGCTCCAGCTCTTCCTCTTCTTCCAGCGGTGGCTCCCCCGCTAGCATTCACCAGAGCGTTGCTTTCGGTTCCCTCCAGATTGGCGCCTACGTTGCCACCGCCCTGTTCACCGGTATGGGTATGCTCCTCCTGTAAATTGCGTCGCCTTGGACGGCATCTTCTTTTCGTGTATTTATACCATGTCTGAGGTATAATTTGGATATTCGGAGTTGTCTACGTCTCTCACGATAGCTCTAGTTATACTTGGTCAATGGTTTGGTTCGCTTTAATATCATTGGATTTGGCGATTCTTTCAATGCTTTTTTTTAGTGTATAGATTATTCAATGGCTCGTTTGGTCAAAATCGCAGACGTTTCATCGAGTCGACTCCAATCATGTGCATCAATACAGGCTTGTCGACTGAGACGCACAGCTCGCCTAGTCCGTATCCGCATCTCCCGCTCGAAATCGTCAATTGCGGACTGAGTCGTCGCAGTGCAGGTGTAGACCTTCTCAATCGCTTGCATCAACTGGTAGGCATCGAGTAGACCGTGATTCGCCGCCTCTCCACGATCTGTTCACGTTAGCAGGGTTCAGGTAAGGTATTTCCAGACCTACACATAGTCATTGCATGCGCTGCATCTCCCGCCAAGGTTACTCGACCACCATGATTATTCCAGTCCAGACATTCCCAGTCCGCCAGCTTAATCTCTGTTACCATAGTCCCAGTTGGGATGCGATCCACGGCTCCTTTCAAAAATGGTGCGAAACCCTGTGCCCTTCGCTTCATGTTTTCCAGTCGCGCCTCGTCGGTAGCCGCGACTTCGTCGTCTGGGGATTTGACCGGCCACGACATACAGATCTGACAACGAAAGCGCTCCGACTCCAAACCGGCCGTTCCATTCCTCTGTGGCGTCTCTAGCATGGAGAACCAAAAAAACACGCCTGATGAAGGGTCACAGCCTTGGAACAACAATGGATCCATCTCTCGAAGGGCTTTGATCTCCGCGGGTGTGAGATCAACAGCGACGCCGGTGAAACGGATCGGAAGAGGTGTATTTTCGAAAGCATCAGGTCGCAGGATCTGCCTGACAACCGATCGACTTCCTTCCGCTCCCACAATCATCTTTCCCTTGACAGTTGTATCATCAGCAAACACCAACTGCACGTCATCAACCTGAAGTCCCACAACCCGTCGACCCCAATGAACATGCTCCTCGATTCCCTGCAACAATGCCTTCCGCATCTTCTCCCGATTGACTCTCCACCGTCGCGAAGGGGGAATCTTATACTTTGGCTCCCCGGTGGCCAGGTTGATAAAGAGAAAGTTCCCATTGTCTTTGCGCGCAACTTCGGGGTCAACCTGGACATCCTCAATCCTGGCTAGGGTCTCTGCAGGAAGCATCTTAAACATATGTTCCAGCGCCCAATGCAGAGTAATGGCCCACCCTTGCCCGCGCGCGTCGGGAGTCTCATCGCGTTCGTAGATCTCAAAGGGAATGTTCTTTTGCTTCAGGGCTTGGCCGAGCGTGAGGCCGACGATGCCAGCTCCGACAATGAGTACCGGTTCCATTGTGAGGTTGTATTGATATTGATTATTTAGAAACCGAGTTTTGTTCAATGTGAAGCATTTAATAAAAAAATTATCAAATGGGCCGTCGCATAGATAGGTCGCATAGATAAGAAGCGATTTGCATTAGCCGACGCGGAACCAAAATCCCCGCACTTCTTAAGGCTTACCATCGGATATTCTTAGTTCAATGTTATATATAATAGAAATCTCGTATTCATGACTTGATGTTCATCTCAATTATCTAACATTTCACTGCAACCATGTCGCACGAGGCCCTCAACCCTATCCATCGTTCTGTTCTTCCCCACCTTGACCCTGTAAGTAAAGAGGCTGTATCCGCGGGAAAATCTACTAAAGAAAATAGACATTCGTCAAGCTCTACAATGAACACGTCGCAAACACACCTTCCGGTCCAATTGATCTCGCCTTGCTACGAAGCAAATACTCTGTCCTCTACTCTTACGGCACCGGACCAGCACCCGATTGTCGGATTTATGACACCCAAGTCGCAGGTCACAATGGCGATTTGATCGCCGTGCGCGTGTATGAGCCGGATTCCCCCGGTCCTTGGCCAGTTCATATCGATTTCCACGGCGGAGGTAAGAGCAACTATCACCAGAACCCAAGCAGAAGTTGATTGAGGCAGGATGGGGCCTTGGCGACCTCGACACAGAGTCCCACATCTGCAAACACATCTGCGCCAAGGCAAACGTCTGCGTAATCGACGTGGCGTACAGACTGATACCCGAACACGCATTCCCGATTGGAATCCAAGACTCTTTCGACGCCCTGCAGTACATCCATGGCAACAGCGCGGAATTCAACATCGACCCAACCCGTATCTCACTAGGAGGCGTCTCAGCCGGAGGGAACATCGCTTTGATCTGCGCACATCTCGCCCGGGATTCCAAAATCCCCCTCCGACTAGTCGCAGTTGGCACACCGACTATTGACGATATCTCCAAGTACACTTCTGCCGCCGACGCACCGTGGCCATCAATGCAGGAGATGGAACACGCGCCTACGCTGAACTGGGCAAGACTGAAGTGGTTTGATAATTTGAAGTGGCAGAGTTTGGCATCCGAGGGACCTGTGAGGGAAGCTCAGATCACAGCTATGAAGTGGTATGCCAATGCGCTCCAAGCACCGGACTTTACTGGATTGCCGAAAACTGTTATATACACGGCTGGGTGTGATCCCTTGCGTGATGAAGGTGAGGCTTATGCGAGACGATTGATCGAGGGTGGGAATGAGGTGGTTCAGAAGCGATTTGCTGGTGTTCCGCACCCTTTTATGCATATGGATGAGTATCTGTGGCAGGCAAAGGAATTTATTGATTTGACTGCGGAGCATATTCGGGCGACTTTGCATCGGTGAAACATCTTAGGCATGGGTTAGTTAGAAGGCAGAGCACAGAATTGCAAGCATACATATAGTCAAATTCAATCAAAATTTGGAATACAATCCTCGCGTGCAGAATTCTACTCCCTTTTTTTTGGGTACACTGCGGACTTTTTGGACATACGTTCGAAACCTCCACCAGACTTTTCCTCTTTTCCCCTTATTCTTCCACTTTATTTTTCTTCTCTTCTCTTTCTCTCTCCGTCTGTTCTATTCCGCTAATTATGAGTTTGGGGAGACCTTTGACCATTGGATCAATACGGTACGAAAGAAGGTAGAATACTGGATAATATACCGAGCAGGAGACTACGTATAAGACTAAATAGAAGACTGAGTAGAAGACTGAGTAGGAGATATAGTAGGAGGTGAGGTCTAACACCTAAGTAGGCGCCGCGCAAAAAGCGCGGCGGAAAGCTTCCAGTATATATGTATAAAGTGGTCCTTGAAACATATATATGCAGGCGTGCTGAGGTATGCAATGAACACAAGTGACGAACTCCAATGTCCTGGTTCAACCCATTCCACACCAGACTTGCTGGAATTTTTCGATCGGAACTGGACTGTTCAAATGATAACATACTTCCTGAAGCCAAGATTGATCATTGACAATAAAGAAATTACCAAAATGGTCTAGACTCGGCAGCGATAAGTGGCGGGGTAAGTGGCTTCGGCCGAGGTGGCCTTTGTCGCTATCCTTAAACCCCGTACCTTTTTGAGATTTCTCTGTCAGCGATGGTCAGATAACATAATTTTCGCAGGAAAGCGCAGCAAATCCGATCAATTGAAGAATGACTACACTATAGCTCAATCAAAGGGACCTTGGACACTGCTCAGGTGGAACTGGCCTTGAGCTCCTGATATACCGCCTTTCCCACCGCCTATTCATGCCTTCTCAAAGTTTGCTGACATAATAGTTGGTGTTTGGTTTGCTTTGTTGCGTCCAGTTCCTGAACGACATAATATTACATGCATTTGAATCTCCCACTATCGACTGATTACTCTGACAACTACATGATACCATTGTTGAGTTTGAAAGTCCGATGATAAAGAAATCTGACTAGTGGGGATCGGGTTGATATCCGACGGCGTCGGAAAGATCCAAATTCCAGCCTACTTGAAATCCACAGATAGGTAGATAAGTAGAAAGCTACGTAAATTTCTCATCTTAGATCATTCCTCAATCTTTATCCATGGCTCCTATCGAGTCCGGATCCCTGGTGCTTGTCACAGGCGCAAATGGCTTCATTGCAGCACATTCCATCGCTTTTCTTCTACAATCGAATTATCACGTCAGAGCGACGGTGCGTTCAACAGAGAAGGCAGAGGCTACCCGGAATGCTCTCAGCACAGCAGGAGTGCAGAATCTTACCCGCCTCCAACTAGTCGTTGTCTCTGATCCGACAAACCTCGACGCCTTAGTTGACGTGTTAGGAGATTGTCAGGCCATTCTGCATCTTGCATCGGCATTCAACTACGATGCTGCCCCAGGAGAGTTTGAGGAAAAACTGATGATTCCCGCTCTCAGGGGTACACAAGCGGTTTGTGAAGCTGCTCAGCGGTGTCCTACTGTTCGAAGGGTGGTCATCATGTCCAGTTTCGCTAGTGTGTATGACGCGAGTCTAGGACTGCAGCCTGGAAGAGTCTATACGGAGGAAGATTGGTGTCCACTAACCTATGAAGATGGGGTTAATGCATCGGCTGTTGTGAGTCTATCTCTCATCGTTTGTAAATCCCAACTAACTCGCACAGCCTATCGCATACCGTGCTTCGAAAGTGGTTGCTGAGCGTGCAGCTTGGGACTTCGTTAAGAGTAACGCAGTCAACTATCAGCTGATTACTCTCTGCCCAGGCATGGTATTTGGCAAAATGATACATCCCATCTCCTCTCTTTCTCAGCTAAATGCGAGCAATCAGATTGTTTGGCAGGTGTTGAATGCAGGCAGAGATGGTCAGATACCACCTACAAAGGCGCCTGGTAAGACTAGTCCTATCGTGTATCATAAACAAGTACTGACTGGTATAGTCTGGATTGACGTCGAGGATTTAGCTGAGACTAGCCACAGGGCATTGACCTTCCCCGGCACAGGTCATGAGCGTTTTCTGGTCACGAAGTCATCGTATGACACACAGGAAATTGCAGATATCATCCGTGCAGAACTGCCAGATAGACACACAGTCCCGACTGGAGACCCTGGGAGGCGAAGTGCGGACACCCATTATTCCTGTGATTCGTCTAAAGCGGAAACAATACTTGGCGTTAAGTTTCGAGGGCTTCAAGATTCTATTGTCCCTTTGGCACGCCAATTGTATGATATGGTTAGTTGATAGCTTGATATTTGGCCTTTCAAATTTGCTTAATACCCCGGTTCTTGGCTTCTTGTTCTAAAAGCCCTTTCCCATAACGTACCTACACACATCCTATCTACATATTTTAAGTGTGTTAAGACCAGACATTCCGGCCCTCAAGTTGAGACGAATAATATTCGAGCTAAATTGTCTCATTCATTTGCAAATTCAAACTTCATCTATGTGCTTTCTCCCATTGCATCAAAAGATGTGTATTACGAACAATGTCAGGATCATCAGGATCTAAGATTCGTCGTCCCCTCTCGATGCAATCCTTCAGCATATCGATAGCTTCAGCATATCGACCAATCCTCCACCAAATCGATGCCAAGGTGGTCTTACTTGCTAGCGTATCACAATGGTCCCCGAGGATGTTTTTATAACTCTCCACCACATGCTCCTGAAGGGTTGCTGCCTCAAAAACATTCCCCTGCGTCAGAAACATGATTCCTAGTAGGTCCTGACTCGCTAGGGTGTCGAGATGCTCTGAGCCAAGAACTTTATCTCTAGTCTCCGTCACCCGAATCTGCAGGTGCTCCGCCTCGTCAAGGTGGCCCAGTCTCCAAAGTGTCAATGCTAAGTTGGCCATATCTGATAGCGTTTCAGGATGTTTAAGTCCAAGGATAGTCTTCCTGGTTTCAAAGACGTGCCTCAACAGGCCTTCAGCCTCATCATAGCGTTTCTGCTCTTGAAGAATTGATCCTAGAGTGCTCATGCTTGTGATTTCCTTGCGAATTTCAATGACCTGCCTAGTAAGGTCACCGGCCTCGGCTGACTGGTTCTGCTCCGATGATGCTCCTGTTGGTTCCATCATTGCTACCAGGTTGCACCCACTGGCCACGAGTTCGTCAGGCCGTTGCTGCTGCCAAGAACTTTATACTTCACGATGATGATCTAAGTCCGGGCTCTCACTCAAAGCCTGACCTTTTTCAACAGGGAGCGACTTCTCACTTGCTGCGGACTTGGACGATCCTGGTTGCTCTTGTTCAGATATCAATGCCCGTTGGGGGTCATCTAAACCTCCTTCAAGGGACGCATGTTTGGTCTCTTCCGACTTCAAGCGAGGAAGGACAAACGAGGGATAGTTGTCGAAGATGCCTGGCCAGGTGCTCCTGGAATCTCTCCGGATTTGGTACAGATTCCTTACAGAGGGGACATTGCTGCGGAGAAGATATCGGCCGTTCAGACATTTCCAGCACCAATTTCCTTGTGTCTTCTGGTAGCGCATCGCCATGCGCATCTCACAAATGTTCCAAAAAGGAAACTTTGGAATGATAGATGCATGAGCATAACTTGCAAAACCACTCTCGTCGATAGAGTCGGAGTTCATGTTCACTCCACTCAGTGTAAATGTGGTAAAGCTGATTGCGATGAATACAGTCTCCAAATGTACAGATATAGGGCCGCAAGTCGTGAAATACATGGTACCTCCAGTCTTGTTCCATGACTTTGAGCTGTATCATTTGATGACAGTATGGACATAAGAATGTTTTGTCCTAGACTGTATTTACCGGATGTTGTGGCGGGGGAGGAATGAAAAAAGCGCGCTAGTCACCAACGGTTGAGGTTGTTGCAGAGAAATTTGTCCGTCCTGAATCGGATGCAGCATTGGTGTGGGCATCCTGAGTCCACTTAGTTGGGATGCGCTTTGTTCCAATGGGCAAACTTTCTGGTGGGTATTGTGGTGTCGTTATTTCCCTGGCTTTTACAGGGATATCAAGATGTTTAGCAATTTCTTCGACATGCTCCTTGTGATATGCTAAAAGTTGACGACGCTTTGTGTTTGCTTTCCAAGTCGTTGAACAAGCCTGGTATCTGGTGGAAGATTGAATTTTTCTGATACATGCTGGATATCATGGAAGTCAAAATGACTCAGATCGATACGTGATGCCTGCGATGAAAAGTCAGCTGGGTTCTGGAGGGCCAGGGAGAATTTGTAACTGGCCACGACTGTAAGCACCATTCCTGCTGAGTGGTACGAAGAGACTCACAGGCTGGTGATTGTAAAATCAATATCCTCTAGATATTCTTCTAGTTAAGAATAGTTCTGATTATCCTCCTTTACTTGCTCCCAAAACTCCAAGTCTGATTCTGAATCATCTGAATCTGACCCGGCATCATATTCCGGACCAGAAGAGGGCTTGCTCGTGGGAAGTTTTGTTCGACTTCCCCAATTCAGAGATAGAGGTCCTGAATATGATCAGCAACAATGGAAGCTGAACTCACGCTGGTCAAATAACTTTGGAAATAGCGTCACCTGCTGCTAAAATTCCTTCAGAAATATCGGTGATGTGATTCTGAACTTCGCAACGCAATTCTGGAGCCTCTCGAAGTCGGTGATCCAATGACAGTCTATCCATTGGATTTCTATGTCCGCCAAAGTTCCCCACCCAAACACGAAATCTGCCAAGATCATCTTGCACAGTCAAGCGCATTTCCTCCGGGATGTCCTCCAGTAGTTCCAGAAAATTTTGAAAACACAGCTTCAGGAATATATCGACGATCCACTGATTGGTCCTATTTTGAGAGCTTCCGTAGATGAGCGTCCCGAGAGCTTGGGTATCCCGGTAGAGCGGCCAGACCATCAGATCGTTTAGGCTCTTCGTCTGCCATGTGCGTATAGATCGGGTTCGTTTCATAAATGATTGTAAGATTGGTTTCCGAGTAAGGTGGGGTTGAGGGAGAGAAACGAAAGGATACAGGAGTCTGTAATTGATCCACTGCAAATATGAGGTAGTGGGACAACTAGCAGTCTTCTTTACTGCAGAATAAACTGCAAAGTTTTCGAATTGAAAAGCTGCTCCAACTCATCTTGGAAATGACTCGGGAGTTTCACCGTATCTCAGCTGAAGCGGGGTTGCTGTGATGTACTGCATACGCGCTAAAGCAGATCACATATTCCACTCAAAGGTTTCCGGGAGATTGAAATTCTTTCCAACTCATCAGAGATTGCTCACTTGTGCCCACAATGAGTGGCTTCGAGGTAGTCGGGCTCGTTCTGGCTGTCTACCCGATCCTCACCGAGGCTCTCAATTTCTTTCATGAAGACAGAGGCCTGTTGAAAGACTTCTTTCATACCAGCGTGTCTTGAAACGGATCGGTCGGAGTCTAGCCCGAGAGCAGAGCAGCTTTGGTAACTCTTGCAGGCGGTTCATGGAGGATATTGCCAACCAATGCGATGCCAGTGCAGAAGCAAGATCCCACTGATCTTCGATGGCGGGAAGGAGACCTCATTCAAGAGCACATATTTCAACAAAGTCTGTGCAGCAATATCTGGACACGGTGGAGGATATGAATGAGGAGCTAGGGAAGATTAAGGAACTGATCACCAAGTACGGAGACAACGAAGAACCCAATGAAAAGCTTAATACAAAGTCTCGTCGGCGGCCATAGAAGAGAATTATCCTGGTACTTAACAAGGATGGAATCACCCAGCACCTTGAAGAAGCTGGGCGTCTGAACAACTTCCTGTTAAGGCTTACGGAACATAACAAGCCCATCATCACTCGCCGCGTGTCTCGCAAAGGTACGAATCACTATGGAAAGATACGCTCCCATGCAATCGATTTGTATGAAGCCCTCCAACGCAACTTTCAAACTTCCCCTGCCTGCAATTGTATGTTGCGTCCCGACGTGAACATGAAGCTCGAGTTTCGCAACGCCAAAATCACGGCAGAAGGTCTTCATTTCCACGCGGTATTCACATCGGATGCGCAGTTCTGCTCACCATGGAACTGGCGGGAAATTGAAATGCAGCCCTGGGAGAGCAAAGCCACCATTTGTCACGAGAGTCATACTCGGGTCCAGCTTGCTATCGAACCACCAGTTGCCAAGTATGGATACATTTCCGACCTTTGTGCAGCGATCATAGGGCCTATATCATCATGGGAGTGGCTGGGGGCTATCAAAAGCCACAAAGGCACACAACACCGCATCAGGGCGATATATCATCGGCAAAGGCTACCGAGCTTCAAGGACATCGAGACTGTGTCGCTTGCTGAAGTTCTAAGTGATGAAGCTTTCCGTCTGGAGCAAAGGTCTCGCTTAGCTCTTAAGCTAGCTTCCTCGGTGATGCAATTAAATACCACTGAGTGGCTAAGCGATTACTGGAGTAAATCCGACATTTCATTTCTCCGTTCCTTGGAGAAAGTTGACTTTAACAACCCACTAATTCGACGAAGCTTCGGACCGCGACTTGGGCTGGCTTCTTTGTCGAACAGTCTTCCAAACCTTTACTGGAATATTCCATGTCCCTTCTCACCAGGAGTTGTGATCTTAGAACTATGGTATAGGCAGGCGCTCGAAAAGCTGAAGAATGAGACGGAGAGAAAGATGGTAGACATTCCCCCTACATTCCATGACTGCCACTAACTATTTCCAGCCACCGGAGTACTCCGATGTTCTGACAGCAAGACGCTTGGCCAGTGAGATGGACTGTAGTCCAAATTATAAAAATAGTGTGCAGCGATGCGTGTCCGGGCTTGACGCTGCTTACACAAGCTTGATGGAAGATAAATTTCGAGCGGAAGTAGAAGAGAAGATCATTTATCCATTGGAAGAGGATCTGAGATTCTACTGCAACAAAGATTCTATTGAAGATTGCATATAGCAAATTAATCTAATCTTACTTGCAGGTGTGATCTCACCGATTACTCAGTATCTTTTTTTATCTTCCACCTTATTAGTTGAACGATTCATCGACATGCACTTGGTAGGATTTCATGAGCCATGCTATTGCACTGCTATCAGTACACATAGCGCCAGGTATTATCGCCGACATCAATGCTTTGCCCTTCCATTGAACTGCGTGCCGCAGTTCCCAAACGATCGGCACGAGAATTTCGACGACCATACATTATCCGCAAGATCGTCGATATCAAAATCGCTGCTGCATTGACCGCGACTAATGTAATCTTCGCCGGTATGTAGCTGTTATGGTTAGTTGGAGTAAGAAGCAGAAAGATGAGATACTCACTGAGGCGCGTCTTGGGACTGAAAGGTCTGGGGACCGATGATGTTCGCAATGCTGAATCCAGCTGAGACGATTCCCGCGCCGGCGACCTATAAACATTAGAATCTAGCAGGTTATCCAGAGTTGAAAAATACCTTCATCGTGTATCCCTATGAGCAGAAGTTAGTATGACTTGGAATGGTGGAACAGACTGGGTGATCTCATACCTTATAATTGGCTCCAGTCCACGCATAGATCAGGGCAAGCGGAGCAACAGTCTAGGTAAGTCAGTAAATGCTGGAATTTTATTCCTAGTAACATACCGTATTCACCAAATATATCCCTGCTAAACAACCCCCTTTGTTGGAGGATGGAAGAAATGACATGAGGCAAGAACCAACAAGTGTCGGAATCAGTAAAAGATCAATGGCCATCCACCGAGAAAAGCCTTTGGCAATCGCATATGTGGACAACATCGTAGAGACGATGCTCACTACACCAGATGGCATATTCAGTAACGCACTCTGCTTGCTGCCGTATCCAAATCCCTTGATCAGAATGGAAGAGAAGGTAGTAATCACTCCACTGGGGATGGTGATCAGGATGGTGAGAAGAACCAAAAGCCACGTCTGGAGATCAGCAAATGCCTCAAGCACAGCGCGCCAGCGAAAGGTCTTGGCACCAACACCGGCCTGATCCTTCTGGAGGCGCTGGGAAACACGCAGTCTCTCTGATTCACTAAGGAATTTGGCGTTCGCCGGGGTCTCTGGCAAGACGAAAAGAACAAGCAGCGAAACCAAGACATTGACAGCACCGATGACCACAAACATGATGCGCCAGCCACTGAACGACAAGCTAGCAGGGGCATGCTGGGCTGCAAAAGATATCAATCCTCCGATTATCTGCCCCGCTCCCAATCCACAGTACCAGAATCCGTATCGCGGAGTAGACTCTGCTCGGGTGTACCACATACTCGTATAGATCGTGAGAGCCGGTGCTATGATTGTCAGATTTAGATCCATAGGAATACAAGAAGACTCACCAATGACCGCTTCCATGAGACCAAGAAGAGTGCGCAATGCGATCATTCCAGCAAAGTTCTTGGTCGCGGAGGAGCAACAAAGAATGATGCCCCAGCAGAAAACGTTTGTGCCGAGCACCTTTGACACGGGAAATCGTTGAAGCAGAGCTCCTTGAGGGATTTCGGCAACAGCGTAAGCAATGAAAAAGGCCATTGCCAGCCATGAGAAATCATCCCCAGTCATCCCCAGGTCGTCCTGAAAACCCATCACATTCGCGTACTGCACTCGTTAGTTTTGTCAAGGATACCATGATGCCACATACATTGATGGAAATCTTGTCAATCATCTGAAGGAAGTAAGTCAGAAACATGATAGGCAAGATGTGCGAGTCGATCTTGCGTATAAGTTTCTTGTCATCTGATGCAGTGCCCAAGTCATAGTCAAACTCTTCATCCTTCATCATAGGGGTGTCTTTCTTCTCCATGATGGGCAGGGTGGATGGAGTTTTCCGTGGAGTTGTTCCCCATTATGTTGCCTTTTAAGAACAACGCACTGATACGAGAGGCAAGATAACATCAAGATAGGTCATAAAGCTTCCAAAGTTCCCGGGAAGTGATTCAGGGGAGGCTAACACCATTGGGGGAAGGATTGGCGCTAGGCGATGCAACCGTCGGGTAGATTAAGAGGCGATAAGAACTCGAGATAGTCTAGACTGGTGGAGTCATGTCACTAGAATGGCTTCATTACACCTATATAATTAGAAGAAAATCCAGTGTTTCGATTCTCAGTCATTATTGATTTGTTCAAGATGCCTTCCCGTACAGACTCGCCTCTTCAAGTAGCCATCATCGGTGCCGGCTTAGGCGGCCTAGGAGCTGCCGTTTCTCTTCGAAGACAAGGTCATCAAGTCACCGTCTATGAGCGATACGATTTTGCTGGCGAGGTAGGCGCATCTTTGAGTGCTGCGTCGAATGGAAGTCGCTTTCTTAAAGAATGGGGGGTCGATATTCAATCCGCGAAGCCAGTGCGTCACACCTAAGATCGAATGGACGCATCTAATTCATCATAGGTCATTCTTCGACAATTGATCATGCATAATTGGTCGGATGGAGAGGTTCAAAGCACATACCCGCTTGGCGATTATAAGTCGAAATTCGGGACAGTAAGTTGTCGAAACAGACTGATGAATATCGCCTGACATCAACAGGACTATAACAACTTCCATCGGATCGACATTCACCGGGAACTCCTCAAGTCCGCGTTTGAAGAACCTGGTGAAGGGCCTCAATGTGTGCTGAAGGTCAATCACAAGGCCATCAATGTCAACCCGGAAGAAGGCACCATTCAATTCGAGGATGGCTCGCAGACATCCGCCGATATCATCGTGGCTGCTGACGGAATCCGAGTAAGTTCAAGTACCAGCAGAAAACCTTCAATATTGACTCGCTTTAGTCACTCACAAGAGAGTTCATGGGAATCACTCCCAACTTCACCATGTCCACATCATGCTGCTATCGCTGTATTATCGGTGCGGATAAACTCCGCTCCCTCGGCCTGGAGGACTATATCTCCAACGAGGCTATTGAGTATTGGGGCGGATTCGGTATCAACAAAATTGTTATGTCCCCTTGTAGCAATGGAGAGGTCGTCAGTTGCTATTGCTTTTATCCAGCCTCTGTCAACAATCTTCGCGAAGATGGCTGGAGTATCGGAGCCTCACCTGAGCAACTGGTGGACACCTTCCCCGATCTGGATCCAAGAATGAGAAAATTGATGCTGAATGCCGAGGATATCAAGATGTGGCGATGTAAGTTGTCTTGTTGGCGCGGACGAACAAAGACTGATGCGCTTGAATAGTGTACAGACACGATTCGTATCCATACTGGGTGAAAGGAAAAGTCTGCTTGCTTGGCGACGCTGGTGAGTCTTCTTTGCTAAGTATGAGAGTTCTGGGCTGACAGATCTAGCCCATCCAATGATGCCTGATCAATCACAGGGATCCTGTATTGCTTTTGAAGATGCTGGCGCACTTGGCTTGATTTTCCACAAGAACTTCCGTAAGGACTATGGAGTCACTGAAGGCTTGTCGCTGTATGAGCAGTTGCGCAAACCCCGGGCGACTCGGATTCAGGAGGCGAGTTTCAGAGCACGCGAAGATCTCAGCGAAAGGATAGGGTGGAGTAGCTCGTCAGATCGCCCGGGGAAGCTGACGATTGAGGAAGTTTGTGCTTATAACATGCGTGATGACTTGGCTCAACTGATGGAAGGAAGAACTGTTCAAATTGGAGAATAGATCACACTGGTAATCAAATGGGATTTCAATCAATTGTTCACATGTATTTCAAGACCAAATTGGGTATTGCAAGGTCACTTTCTGGCAGGCTAAACATGCTTCATAACTCATTATATACAGTATTCTATACAAATACAACGCCCGGAAACTTACTATATCGGACTGATGCCCAATTTAGGTCGGATGCGGAACTCTCCCAAACAGTCTCTAGTAGCTGTCGAGCATATTGAATATGAGTGAACCCCAAGGTGTTTTCCATCACCATTAGACGCTCCTTCACTATCATCCTTCGTTCAATCGTTACACTCGAAGACCCGGCAATGACCAGTGGAAACAGAAGACAGCCCTCCACTCGACTAGCGTAAGGAATCTCTTGCACGGCATCTAAGATTGTGATGATCGCTTTTTCAACGAAACTATGCAAAGGATCATACCCCTCTACTACTTGATGTAGACGCAGTCTAATAGCCCATTCCATTGCAATGGTTGCGAATTTCGTGTCAGGCCTCTGGTCAGGAATCTCATCGTGATTCATCCGCCATTCGTCGATTTTGGTCTCCACGTTTGCCGCCGCTGCGCGGAAGCCAATTTCAGAGAGTTCGTCAACCCGTTTACTTCGGTGATCAGCCAGGACATTGACCATGCCCAAAAAGTCAAACAGAATTGGAGATATTCCATAAATAGCCGTGGTGGATTCCCCACGTTCCAGTTGTGGTACACTGCTTCGCCGAAAGTTGGTGGTGAGCTCTGTCATGCTTGTTTCGGGGTGCAAAAGGGGAGCCTTGCATCGAGAGAGTGTCGACATCGAATCCAGATAGTGAAACAAGCTAATACAGAATGTCCACTCGTCGGTCGAAATGAGAGACTGAAAGGCCGGCGACTTTAAAATGGCACTGGCGGCTTTGAGATGCCATTTCCATACCCGCGACGTGCCATCGAATAGTTCGGTCAAGCAGAGTAATAGAATGGTAACACATGCTTCAAAAGTACATCGGCTATCTGACTTGCCGAGAAGGTTATTCACTTGGGCCAACGCTACAATCGTTAGCTTACACCCAAACCCGGGGCAGGGGAATTACCTTGGCCTTGTCTTCTTAGTGCGCAGCCCCATATGCTTGGGTAGACCCGCTTCCAATGACATCCACTCAAACTCAAGATTACACTAGTGACAGTATCTGATGTGGCAGCTAGGGGCAACAGCGTCACCAGGAATGGGTTCCGGTCGGAATCATGGGAACGGGAAAGGGCACGCGAAACGACATGAATATAGTGATTGAACAGCGAACGATCTTCTTCGCTCCGTAAATGCGGGTTTGTGGAGACCGGCGACCCCAGGGAAGGTGTTTGAGTGGGCAACAATGGATGTGGGAAAAGTGAGGCGATAAAGTCATCATCGTTATCAGGTGTGCTCCAGTCAAGGGTCAGCGGATCTCCGTCGGCACTATCAATCGGATCCACATCCGATTGAAAGTGGTGCATTGGTTCCGTCGTATAAGAATCGGATTCCGGGGAATGTGGACTAGCCACCGGTGTGCTGGAAGGCCATTGGCAGGGCAAGTTCAAGCGCCGACAATCAACGCATTTTGGGCGGGTCTCATCACATTTCTTTTTCCTGAATGCATATCAGTCTCACCATCTCGATCCACCGATAAAGATCTACTACCTAGCCTTGCATGACAAACAACCCCGACGTGAGCGCGATGCGCGTGGTCGGCGTGAGATGATCACTTTCGAGGGACCCACGCTCTCCGCTGGTTCTCTCGGCCTGCATACATGGCCCAAGCCTAGTCAAGACATCAACCTGTGTCCATTGGTACTTTGAGAGAGACTTACGTTTACACCGAGAACAAGGCAGACCACCATCACAACGTTGTTTCTGTCCTTGTTAGTGTCTGTCGCTACTGATGCAATGCAAACTCACAATTTGGGCGCAACGAGCACAGACTCGGTTGGGTATCATCGTGTAAGGCGTTTCAAAGTTGAACTCGAGAGGAGAGATTAATTGACGCGACGGGGGTCTCTTTCCCCCTCTTATCGTTGACTTCCGATCCGACGGTGATAAGCTACATCTGGTATAGTCGACAATTTGTCTCCACTGAAAGTGCGGGGATGACGAGCTCCATCCAATCGTAGGAGGGATCTCGATTTTCAACAAAGACATACAATAAGTTTATGTATTTCAGATCTAGCTATGTCATAAGAATGAATAAGGGCATTCTCAAGTATCTGTTTCAGGTTCCACCTTGCCATCGAGAAGTAAAAAATACATTCTTCAACGGATGATTCTCCGGTTGATAAGTCTGTGTATGAAGGCATCATTGGTTTTTTGTCTAGTCGTACGAGCTGTCATAGCTGTCATAGTCATCGTAGCCGTCAGAGTCACCATGATCGTCATAGTGGTCGTGGCTGTCATGCATACCGTGCCTTATCGTAAGTTTAATGGATTTCATGGTTGTCATGGTTGTCGCGGATGTCGTGAATTTTGTGGCTGTCATGGCTATCCTTGGTTCCATATCTGCCGGAGTCACCACGATTACCCGGGTTCGATGAAGATGGCGGGGTGTAAGTAGCCTCGCCCTGAGCATTCCTGTGGTAGGTGCTACCATCTGGGTTCGAATAATGGTACGATCCATCTCTATAGTGAGAGATTAGTAGTGTCCCATCTCTCATTCCAATTACTCATACTTGTTGGAGTAGTGGTAGCTGTTCTGGTTCACGGCGTCTGGGCCATAGTCACGCGAGCAGTAATGATTGCCCTAGATTATCAATCAGGACATTCCCTTCATATCAAGACCCACTTACCTGTTTGTTCGTGCCAGAGCCCTTGTAGGAATACTTGTTTCCGTGGTTGTCTGTACCCATCTTGAATGATGATTTGTGGATCAGTGGTTGATAAAAAATTGTGAAGAATATAAATGGAAGGTGTGGAAGGGGAGGTGGGAGTGAGAAGATGGGACAGACAGAGCAGAACTCATGATCAATGTTTCGCATCATTTATTTCATTCTATCGCTTCAAAAAATATTTAAACGCTCCTTCCTTTTATCTCTATATTCAAACAGTACCAGCATTGCCAGCATTTACTGCTCGTTCACCAAAACGTAACGGAATCGAGCCTTGCCAGCATCCATATCAAGAATGGCCTGGTTGGCCTCCTTCATCGGTCGCTCCTCCACCCAAGATTTCAGGTTTTTAGCAGCGGCCAGCTCCAGCATCTCCCGGATCATATCGGGGCTACCAATCAAGGAGCCACCGAGCTTGATACCCTTCATAATCAGGGCAAAGGCAGGGATCTCAAGTCCGCCATCCTCGGGGGCACCGAGCTGAATGAAGGTTCCGCGAGTACGCAGCAGCTGGGTGTAGCCCATGATGGGCATCTTGGAGGAAGACACGGTGCAGATGATGAGATCCAGGGAGTTGGCGTTCTTGTTGGCCCAGTCCTCATCCTCGGCAGTCGCAATGTAGGCGTCCGCACCAAGCTTCATCGCATCATCCCTCTTATCGCCCTTGCGTGAAATGGCAACTACACGATCGGCGCCCAGTGCTTTAGCAAACATGATTCCGAAGTGTCCAAGACCACCAACACCGACAATTCCGACGGACTTGCCCGGGCCGCAACCGTTCTGTCGCAGGGGCGAGTAGGTGGTGATACCTCCGCAGAGCATAGGGGCGGCGTGGGCCGAGGAGAGGGCGTCAGGGATCTTAACGACAAAGTGCGAAGGGCATCGGTTGTAGGTCGCATATCCACCGTACGACTTGCCGCCATTGGCAAAGGTACCTCCATAAGTTCCAACCATCTTGGAGCAGTGTTGTTCAAGACCCGAAGCACAAGCCTCACAGTTGCCATCCTTGTTCAAGCAGGAGCCGCTCTGCGCGCCGACACCAACACGATCTCCGACTTTGATGTCCTTGACCTTTGAGCCTACGCGGACTGCAACTCCAACCAGCTCATGACCAACGCAGCATGGGTAATTAGTCGGTCCCTAATCGACAAGTTGATTAGATCCTGCATTTATCCTTTAGACGCTTTCCTGTGTATGAGAATCACATACCCATCCACTTCGTAGAGTGTGCATATCACTACCGCAGATACCACAGTGCGTAATACGCATATCAACATCAGTCTCCTCCCACGGCTTGGGCTCGAATTCCTGCCAGACCATCTTGCCCTTGGCAGACTCCTTGTCTAGGCCCATCCAGCCCTCAAACTTGTAATCGGTAGAACCCATGATGATTATGGTGTGTGTATGTATTCAAACTGATTGAAACTGACCGGCATCAGTAGGGAAACCCATTGTCCCTTTATACAGAACAAATTTCCCCCATTCAACGTCATATTCCTGGGCCGGTTCCATTAAATTCCCAATATTTGCCCGATCCGTGCTCGATCCGTTCTACTGTGTGGGTCCATGTCTGAATAAAATATATGGATCCTGTCATCAACCACGGTTTTATGTCTTAAGTCCTACTTATGTCCGTTGGGAGATATTTATTTGATGACATGACGCGGTAATTGAGTTTGGATGGTCGAATCCTGGAATAAAATTTAGAGTTGACCAATTAATAAGCAGCTCATGCAGTGTCATCGTTTCCCTGGCACGTTTCCAGAAAGTTCTTAATATTCTCACCCGATTCGTTCTATTGTGTGGATCCATATCTCTATGGCTTAAAAAAAGGATCCACTCGGTTGAAGATTTTTTTTTTAGCCACAGATATGCTATCCCAACACCAGACCCGAATCATGATACAAACACAAACCTAGAAAGAACCAAAGGTGGTGGCTAAAGTTGAAAAATGTAGAAAAAGATGGAAGATAAAAGGCAACTACTACTGGCCCTTACTTCGCCACTATTCAAGGTTTTCGACCAATGGAAATATGAAAGAGAGGAGATCCACCAATTCGAGCAAGCTGACCAATACCTGCTAGCAATACTCTTATAAATACAAAACCGCAGGGCCCGCCAAAGGGACCACAATGTTGGAGCAGAAATGGCAACGCGGGCATAACAGAGCATAACTTGCATAAAAGCTATCGAGCGGAAAGTCGTGAGGATGGCCGGACCGTGGGCATACAGTAACCAACGGTTTCAATTGGCAATTTTGCTTCGCTTCTCCACCCACTACAGAATACATATCACATCGTTGATCCACTTGTTTCTAATTTACAAGAAGACTCAAACTTAAAAGGCAGAATACTAGTAGGAGACTAGCCAGGGATATTAAGCAGGAGAGTCTTATCTATTAAATTTTATTAGATCAATAAGGGTCATTAATTTCTACAGAAATAATTAACTTATGGAATCTCAGGCAGTAGAGTTATTATATATAAAAACCTATCTCTTAGTAGTAAAAGTATGGATTTTATTTATAGTAATTAACAGCTAGGATACTAAAAATTGTCATATTTTGCATAAATTATGCCAAAAATTAAGATCCACTTTCACGGGCCTTACAGGCTTTTCACGGGCCTTACAGTCTTTTCACGGGCTTCATGTCTATAGACAAATCACTTTCTGTCCACCTGGACAGGCCCACGGGCCGTCCACACAGGTATGCCCTTGGGCCTACCGCAGTCTACTCCATCCAGAGGTAGAACGGTGTATTTATTAGCATCAAGATCGAGAGAAGATGTAAAAAGATTATTCCTCAAACATTTTGGTCCAGTTGTTCAGAACCTTCTCTTTCAGTTTCTCGGGGTATGAGTTCTTGAAATCTGCAGCCACCCAGTCTTGACCAGTCGTGTATTCGGTTGGCATAAGAGCGTCCGATACCACCTTACCACCCATAATGGGAGACCCATTGCCATGGGACATGTACGGGATAAGTGGGAATCCACGCACCTCTTCAAAGAAGGTCTCGTCGAGGTTAGGTCGGCAGCGAGTGAAATCTCGAGGGCAACCTGACGAGCCATTGCGTTATTGGCACTTTTAGCAGTTAGAATATGGATCAATTGATCCAAGTGCCATTAAACATGTAATGAGAATTAAATTGGATGTGTTTTTATCGGGTTTATAAAGCACGCCATCTAGATCCACTATATAGATGAATCCAAGGATAATACGGAGTATATATGACTATATCAGGCACCCCAAGTAAATGACAATTCGAATACCATGTGTGTGTAACTCAAATCGTACACACCTTTTGCCCCTGAAAATCTTGAAATCTAGAAACATTGAAATCTTGAAATGATTTTGATGCCCGCAGACGAAATATCCGTATGAGCAATCCGGTGGGTCGATGGCATCATACCATCAGCTCCACCTACTTTTTTTTATTAAATCTAGATCGAAGAGCCGACCACATTTCTTTCCTGGTACATTGGCTATAGATGTCGATGATCATCGGGAGTCAAGTGACATAGAATACGTAACGTTAACCTCTAAAGTCGGTGGTGAAGCTATCATACTCGAAGAAGGTGTGTATATAGGAATGGACTATTTGTTAAATATCTCCTACCCAGTCTTCTACTTAGTCTTCTACTTAGTCTTCTACTTAGTCTTATACTTAGTATCATACTTAGTATCCTATCAAGAATTCTACCTTCTTTCATATTGTATTAATCTAATAGTCAAAGTTCTCCTAAATTGATAAATAGCGATATAGAAAAAGAAAGAGAAAAAAGAAAAGAGAAGAGAAATAAAGTGGAAGGAGAAGAGGAAACAGCAAAAGTCTGGTGAAGGTTTCGAACATATATCAAAAAAGTCTGCGGTATACCCAAGTAATAGAGAGGTAGATAAAGAGTGGTGGTGATACCCTCCCTTATATTAAGCCCCATGTTCTAGATTAAACTAGGGTTAGGTAGGTAGACTAGAAAATCTAAGGATGGAAGGCGCCTGCGAAGGTGGTGTGGACTTGATGTATTGTTAAAGTGAAAGTCATTTTACTGATTTTTTATGGGAGTGACGGTAGCAGAAAAGGGAGTGACGGTAGAAAGTCTCATCATCAAAGAAATTTACCACTGAGGATCAAACGGATCAAAGGAAAGGAAAAGGCCAACAGGTGATCTAGAGGTTACTGGGATGATGGGTCGATCCTTGGTGGTATAGCGTATTAAGCAGTTGTTGTGAAAGCTAAGTTCGTTTACTGTGGGAGAAAACTGACCCCTAGGGCATCAGGCAGGTCTATACAGTATAAAAAAAAGGCAGATTTGAATCACACGCTAGAAGTCCTGAGTTCTCAGGTTAGGCAGGTGATCCTGTGAAGAAGCGTGATTGGTCGATCATAGAGAAGGTAGTGAATGATCTTAGGAATGGACGTGTTCCTGGTGTGGTGATCCTGGGACTCATTCACTTCACGTAGTGATCCCACCTAGGAGTATAAATACCTCTTCCGTCACCTCTCTTGTCCCTCTTTTTTTTCTTCCTTCTCTAACTCTCATTGAACTACGCTCTCAGTCCCTGTTTACAGTCCTTTTTTCAGTATTCTAAAATCAGACCCCTGATTACAGTCCTTTTTTGAACTACGATCTTAGTTCCCTGTCCACAATTCTATTTTTAGTGAACTACACTCTCAGTCCCCTGTTCACGGTCCTTTTTTCATTGAACTACGCTCTCAGTCCCCTGTTCACAGGTCGTTTTTCATCATGACCAAAAAATCTAAGCGCTTTATCCCGGACGAAGAGGTAAGTCCCATTTACGAGCGATGATTTCAGATCTATGGCTGATGTTATTCAAAAAATAGCGTTGTCCCCTGCATCCCGGTTCACAGCATAGCCGTTCCCAATGTCGGGTGTTCATAGCCGCGGGTGATGCCACTTCGCGGGCCTTGCACAGTGTCTATCAGGCACTGGAAGTTAGTGAATGAAAAACCTCCCCCCCCCCTCCAAGTCAATGCTTGAGGTTCCTTATACCATTTTGTACTCATGATAAGTATCAGTTAACAATACAATGCACTCATTAGGAACGAAATCGCCGTGCCCGCCAGCGCAACCTTGGAAGGGCCAAGGCCAACAAGGTCACGAAGCCCGGCAAGGCCGCGAAGGGCAAGGGGGTGGCCCGCCAGCTTGGACAGGCCATCCTCGACCCTCAGGCCGAAGCTGAGGCTGTGGGGGAGGCGGAGGCTGTGGGGGAGGGGGATAGGGGTGGGGAGGAGGCGGCGCTGGAGGAGGAGGAGGGGGGGGTGGGAGGGTGGAGAGGATCCGCCACAGGATGGCGCTCCTGGGGCTGAAGGCCCTCCCCGGGATCAGGATCCCGATTGCCCCATGGCTTGCTCCTGATCCTTGGGGGGGCTGAGGTAGCTGGTTGTATTTTTATCTTGTTGTTCTTTTATCTTGTATCTTTAGTATATTCTTATTATATTTCATCATTACCACCATGCTACTACTACGCTGGTGTGTATTCTTTCCAAAATTCACCCTTTTTCTTGTGCTCTGTAAACGAGTAAAGGGTACACCTGCAGGATGTACTGGTATTGGTAAATGGACACGGACCCATCGATGTGATAGTCGAACTGTATTCCGAGGGACGAACGCGGGGTGCCTAGTCGGAACTGTTTTTGTAATACGTGTTGCACTTATTCGAGTTCGTGCGCGTTTGCCGAAGCAACAAGGAAGTCATCGATATAGACACAAACGACGTAATTCGATTTGGAGAACACAGAGCTGTCAGATTAGGGCATGGCAAAGCCATCAGAAGCCAGAACGCGGTGGACATATTGGTACCAAATTTGCGGAGCCTGCATCAGTCCGTACAGTGAACTGCACAGCCGACACTTATACCCTGGCTCTTCAAAGCCTTCTGGCAACTCTATATAGATAGACGAATGAGCTTATCCCTAGATAAATACGGTAACCGTATCGAATTAGTGGAGTTTTCATCTGCGTAAAACGACACCGGCTATAATGCAACAGACGGAGTTCATTCGGGACACAGCAAGGAACGTTTTTTGATGGTCGATCTCGTGTTTCTGTAGGTAGCCCTTTGATGACCAGTTGCGCTTTGCGCGTTCCGTTGACTTTGGTCTTGAAGACCTATTTATAGCCAATCATATGGTCTATATCATCCTACCGAATCCTTTCCTAGGTCCTGTGTTTAAGAACCGACGTATATTCTTTCTAGATGGCGGCTTACTAGTCTAGCTAGTCTAGGCCAGATATAGCTTCGCGAAAGGTCGCTAGGTCGACTTGTCCAGCTGGTGCGGTTATCAATACCTACTGTGTATACCTTACCAAGTAATTCCAGGAGACGCCGTAGTGGTCATCTTCTACTACTAAAGATCGAATACCCAAGATCTAGTCGCAGTTCAGTTTCCTATTAGCTTAGATTAACTACTAGAGGTATCTACTCATCACGCTCAGATAGCGTTTTCTCTCGCTTATTTAGCGGAGGCACTAGTGATGAAGGTAGTATTAGCAGCCGATCCCTAGCTAAGTTTGGCATTAGTGGGAAGATAGGTAGTGGAGGAGCGTTGTCTAGGAGGTCGTTTCCTGTTTCCCTCTCGATGAGTAGCGCCACAGGGGTCCTCTTATTAAAGTCGACATTATAGCAAAAGACTGTCTTTTCAGAATAGATTTCATAGAGCCTATGATATTTTGGTTCACAGTACCCCCGCAGTTGGCACTCGAGTAATCTTAGTTTAAGTTTGGCTCAATGCTCTTTTAGGATCGAGATCCTTACATAGGAGCTGATCCGTCGTAGATACAAGAGCGAGGGTGGCTTCCCGTAAATGACTTCATACAGGTTCTTCTTCTGCGGAATTGACGCTAGGGCGAGCAGCTTGAAATAGACCAATATGTCCAAGAGCTGGACCTACCAGGAAGGAGAAAGGTCCTCATCAGATAGGAGCGTGTTAATCTGCCCCGGATAGTACGATTAGTACGTTTGGCCAGCCCATTCTGGTCTTTATAGTATGATATCGAACGTAACTGCCTAGGATTCGATATATATTCTAACTCGTAGATATTCTCTCCCATTACCGGTAATAAATCTTCTAATATAGGCGCCGTATTATTATTATACCTAGGCCTCGAAATATAGGAACTTATGGAGCGCTTCATACTTCCTTCTGACGGTATAGGCCCACGAGCCACGAGAATAGTTATCAGTAAAAGTAGTCACGTATCCTAGAGCCATATTTAGTAATCACCATCTCCATCGTATCCAAATGGATCAATTCGAAAGTTCTCGTTGAATGCAGACATGGCCGTCTTGCGCGAGCGTTCCTCTCATCATGCTGCTTACCCGACATGCACGCCGTGCACTGCGGCGTTGCCAGCAGCTGTGCCTGCGTCAGTAGTCGGTACGGAGTGCTGGTCGCTGGCAGACCACCCTGAATTTGCCCTGGTTTAGTTGTCCCATCGAGAGTGCCACAATGCTTCAGAGGCCTGGTCCACTCCTGTGTAAACATCTCCTTCCAGTATCATTGCTTCACTGCCGAGTATAGCTATGTCTGCTCTTTTATTGAACATGTAGGCGGGTAGACAGGCGGGAAGGGGAGACCATAAGGCAGACCATGAGGCAGACCGTGAGTACCATGCTTCTCCAGATGTGAAATTGAGGCTCGGCGGTCCGGTGCTCGGACGGACATTAGAGTCAATAAAGCCCTCCACACACGACACTCGCATATTCCGCTCGGTAGTGCGCGCCATGACAGACTGGAGCATTAAATGGAGCTGCAGCATGTTACCAACCAATCAAAATTTCCCAGTGTAGCCGCGATCATTACTTCTTGTCTCAAAGGTGTAAATAAGTGGAGAAAGAGCAACTCTTAAATCATGATAGCATAGGACTCCCTGCAACCAGCCCCTAGATTATTCATTTTTAGTGGCCGCAGGGAATTCTTGCCAGACAAGGACAAACGAATAGGAGGTAAGTGTGGTCGTGACACGTCACTCTCGATCATGACCTGCAGGCAATGAGTCCAGCTGACCAATATTGTATCTCCTCACCGGGAGTGGGGTAACAAACCCGTAAATTCGCTCAAAAAGGGTCATGCACTGCCAGGCTGTTTGCGCCTTCGGCACCTTCAGTCACTGCGTGCATTCGCAAGTTGTGTTGCCTCGGCAAGCACCTCCGAATAGAAGGCCACTGCGGTCAGTAGTATATCACATCACCGAGGCAGTGATACACTTCTTCAGCAGAAAATAAAAACAGCGGACCAATGAAATATCCACTCACTGAGAGCTGGCTCGCGATCGTTCAAGATATGTGAGCAGCCAACGAACAGGTTTGAAGGTACGGAGTACAGCATCCATGATCAATACGCCGACTCTTTTTACGGCCTCATGCTGACCATCGAATGCATATGGAGTCCCGTGATTAGACCAGAGATAATGTAGCAGGGATTGACTGTTCTTTCCGATGAAATACAAAAGACAATATATATACAGCGTGACGTCCAAATTTGTTCGAAATCAATTCGGTTCTTTATAAAGACAACACAGGAATTGTTCCGAGGTTGCGGCTTTTATTTCCGATATGCACTTGCATTGTATCACAAAAATATAGTGTTGAGGACATCAGAATAGGCCATAACAACCGGTACCCTCAATAATCTCATTTTTGCCGGGCGCATCAAATCAGGTCACGGTGTTATGCCAACTTTTTTTTGCCAATCCTTATACCGTCTACAGCAAAATTGGAAAACGTTCAGACTGGACTAATGCGGAAGAAACTGCTCCGTCAGCTCCATTCCACAGAACAATACCGCACGTGAAGATAATGAGGATTTTAGTCAGGAGCACTTGGTGGCAGGGATCGGCGATGACAATAAGGACTTAGGTAAATCGACAGAGTTCAGGTGCATGCGCGGTATTTTCGCTATTGGCTCGTATTGCCACACTGTGTTTTCAAAGGTATTCGACTGGATGCAGAGGGATCGAAATCGAAGATGAGGACGGATGGGGGCTATAGGCATCTGCGAACCAGCAGCCGAACACAGATTTACGTCACCAGGGGCTATGCAATTTGACCTCATATAGAGCATGCGAAGAGGAGTACCTTGCTTTTGGAAACATGGCCAACATTGCAGCCGAAAAGATCGCCAGGAAAAAAGAAACAGGTACGCTATCTGGGGACTCACCGGCTGAGGTCTCTTAGCTGTGTCTTTCAATCCTCTTTCTTCTATTTGATCTTTGAAAATTCCATAATAGCAAAAATACAGCATGTCGGATGACTACGAGGCTCTCAAATCCCAGAATTACGCAGAATACAAAAGTGTTTGCAACGAACAAGCGCAATACGAACAAATTATTGGCAAACTTTACAAAACTTTCGAGATGCCCCTCTTGATCCAAGCGATCCTCCTCGGCAAAAGGGGTTGCATCTTGCAGTCCTCTGGTTTGAGGCGGCAAAGAGGTAGCTCTCCGATTTTTAGTTCCGGTTTCTTATTCGGGGCTGACATACTGAAGACACTCGGAACTTCGCCTTGCATTCAACCAGACCTATAAAGAAGACCCTACATTTACAAAGGTCTTTGGAACGCACCAACTTGAAGCTAATGAAGCTAACGAGTCGTCAAATAATGCTTGGGAGAGGTGTCAATACCATGAAAATGCCATGTTCGTGAAATATCTTCTTTAATATCTATTCTTGGCTTCTTGTTTTCGATCTTCATGCTTTTTCTATTAGCTGACTTATAATCTCATGATCAGGGCATTACTCCCTGTGGGATCATCAGAGTGACTTTAGATGAACCAATTTTGGAGATTCAAACAGTCGCTTTGCGGCTCCGGGGATCAAGTAGGTTCTATTTATTAACATTAACCCCCGAGGCATGAATGAAGTGGTTTGATTCTGCCATGAAGAAAGTCGATAGACATACAAGAATTCAATTTTCTATTTGAAATAATTTTTTTTTTTGTTTTAAGCCTAGATGGCCCCCACCCACGTGTGGAATTGGTATGTGGTAGTGTGATAGGCGTGACATTGGCTCATGCATGCTTATCAGGAAAATCGATCACTTTCCAAAAGTAGAAGAGGCAGCTGAGGAGTCAGCGGACTGCTGTCTGATAGGCTGTCTCTCAAATGAGTATTCAAGTATATCACGCCTGAGAATTTTGTTCATCTTTCCAAATTATTTTTCCACCCTTCTTACACCCATGGCCTCCGTGGTTACCTTCCCAAGTGTGAACTCCGGCTCTCAGATAGGAGTCAATAACGGCACAATAAACCTGTTCCACTCTTATTCTGGTCAGATGATGAGCCTGTAGCGATCATGTGACGCACCTGAATTCTAATAAAGTGAAGACCCTCTAGATAAACTACCGATCGCACACGGTGCAGAGTTTGACTCGTATGATGATCGAAATGAAGATGAATGTCTCGAAGGCACCAGGGCCGCACTTCTCAACGAAATTGCAGAATGGACTATATCGCCGGAGGGAAAATGCCTTTTTTGGCTCAGTGGTATGGCTGGCACTGGAAAATCGACAATCTGTCGTTCAGTCGCTCGAGATTTACACCTGAAGAATTTACTAGGAGCAAATTTCTTCTTCAAAAGGGGTGAGGCCGATAGAGGGAATGCTAAGAAGTTTTTCACCACAGTGACAAGACGAATGGCAAAGAATATTCCTCAGCTAAGGCCTATCATTCAGAAAACATGTTATGATGACCCTGAAATTTCAAACGAAGACACTTAAGCAACAATTCGATACTTTGCTTCTTCAGCCCTTTCGAGACATGAGAAAATACAACTGCAACAACTCACTGTTGGTGATTGTGATAGACGCCCTCGACGAATGCGATCAAGATGATGATATTCAAGTCTTGTTGCAGCTGCTTCCCAAGCTACAACAGGCAGTGAGTCTCCGGGTGTTCTTGACGAGTAGGCCTGAACTCCCCATTCGCCTTGGATTTTCGGAGATGTCAGAGCAAGCGCATCAGGACTTTGCCCTCCATCAGATTCCCAAAGAAATGATCACACACGACATATCCCTTTTCTTGAATCATCGGCTTGTCAAGATCAGGAAGATTCAAGGACTATCCAAAGACTGGCCTGGATCCCACAATATCCATGCTCTTGTTGCGCTGTCTGTCCCACTATTTATTTTCATCGCTACTGTATGCCGCATTTTTGAGGACCCTCGTTGGGATCCAGACGAGAGCTTTGCCGATATTCTTGAGCATCGAAGTGAAGGATCCCAAATTGGAGGAGCTTATCTCCCAGTTTTGAATATGCTTTTCAGAGAGCTGAACGAGAGGCAGACACAACGTCTAAAAGAAGAATATCAGAAAATCCTTGGTGCGATTGTGATCCTTGAGAGCCCATTATCAATTTGCTCTCTTTCAAAACTTATTGGCCTCTCTGAAAGGCTGATTGGTCTTCGTCTGAAGCTATTGCACTCTGTTTTGAACGTCCCGCAGGATAACAATTTACCAGTGCGGATGTTTCACATCTCATTTCGGGATTTCCTCCTCAACCCGGACTCTCAGGAGGAAATCCCAATCCGAATAAATGAAAAAGAACTGCATAGCCGACTGGCCACGCGATGTCTTCTGTTGTGCCGAAATCTGAAGAGAAATGTGTGTGGGCTAATGAGCGATGGAACACTGCGAGAGGAGATTGACCTCCAGACTATTGAGCATTGTGTCCCTTCAGAAATGCAATACTCCTGCCGCTATTGGGCACATCACCTGATACAAAGCCAAGATCCTCTGTCTCACCTGGAAGATGCTTTTATCTTTCTTCAAAATCATTTTCTACACTGGGTGGAAGCAATGAGCATCATAGGTCTAGCGTCTGAAGTTGTGAGGACCATTGATTTATTACAATCAATCAAGCAAATAGTAAGCTATAGACCCAAAACTACTGTACTGATACTTTAGTTAAACATAATTACTAGGACGATGAGAATCACGAATTGTTTGCTTTTCTTTATGATGCAAAACGATTCGTTCTGAAATTCAGACTCGTTGCTGATCTGGCTCCCTTGCAAATCTATTGTTCGGGACTGTTGTTCGCCTCTAGGACCTCCGTCATACGAAGTCATTTTAAACAGGAGCTTCCTGGGTGGATACTGAGAGTACCAGATGCTGAAGAAGACTGGGGGAAAACTTTACAAACATTTGAAGGTCATTCAGATGGAATTACATCTTTAGCATTCCGCTTTGACAGCCAGCTTCTGGCTTCTGCCTCGGTCGATCACACTATAAAGCTATGGGATATCACCACAGGGGCCTTACTCCATACTCTGAGGGGCCATTCAGCCGGAGTCTCATCTGTTGCATTCTGTGCTCACGACTCCCATATTCTGGCGTCTGGCTCGTACGACATGACGGTTCGGCTCTGGGACACTGTGACCGGTGATGTACAGCAGGTTTATTCAGACCATACAGATGGGGTTACGACTTTAGCTGTGTCTCCAAACGGCAAAGTTCTTGCGTCTGGTTCATTTGATAGAACTGTCAGGCTAAGAGATAGAACCACTGGTGCGATCATCCAGCCGGTACTCAAAGGACATACTCGCTCTATATTCTCAGTGGCATTCTCTGCAACTGGACAACTTATAGCGTCTGGCTCCAGGGATAGAACAATTCGTCTCTGGAATGCTGCCACGGGTGCTCTGAGCTATATTCTATCAGGTCATTCAGGGCTTATTTATTCTGTAAAGTTTTCACCAAAAGACCCACTTCTTGCGTCCAGTTCCGAAGACGGGACAGTCCGACTCTGGAATACCGATACAGGCGCTCTACTGCAGACTTTGCAAGGAGATTCGGATCTTCATCCAGTCTTGGCTGTGGATTTTTGTCCTGATGGGCGGCTTTTAGCGTCCGGCTCGGAGAACAAGACCGTCGAGGTGAGAGGTACTGTGACAAAATCCTTGAATCACATTTTCAGGGATCATTCGGGCATAGTCCGATCTGTGGAATTCTCTCCCGATGGCAAAATCCTAGCATCTGGGTCCTGGGATCATACAGTCCGGCTCTGGGATTTTTCTACACATGCCTCGTCAGTGACTGTCGATGCTCACTCAGACTGGGTTTGGTCTGTGGTACTATCTCCTGATAACCAGCTCCTAGCTTCGGCCTCGTGGGATCGCACTATAAAGCTGTGGGGTTCCTCTTTATGTCATCTACAAAGAACGCTCAAAGGCCACAAGGATGCGGTTCTGGGGATAGCATTTTCCCCCGATGGCCGACTTCTTGCATCCGCATCCCGTGATGAAAGCATTAGGGTTTGGGATCTTATTACAGGGAAGGAAAACTTGATATTGATGGGTCATTCTGATCCAGTCTACTGTGTAGGTTTTTCTCCTGATAGTCAGACGTTGGCCTCTGGCTCGAGTGATGACACGGTCCGATTATGGGATGCCACCACCGGCTCCCTACGGCAGACTTTGTGCGGACATTCAAGATCAATTCACTCTGTCGTATTCTCTCCCAATGGCGTGATGCTAGCATCCAGCTCAAGTGATCACACTATCCACCTATGGGACACTGCCACGGGTATCCTGCGTCAAAAGCTTGAGCGTTGTTCCTATACAGTTCTATCCATGATATTCTCTCCGGATGTTCAATTCTTAGCGGCTGTTTCTAGCAACCAGACCATCAATCTGTGGGATATCCCGACAGCGGCCTTACGGCGTACTTGGAGCATGGACAGGGAGGTGACTGTGTTGCACTTTTCGGACGATTGTTTAAAGCTCAACACCGACCTCGGATCCCTCAGTCTGCAGTCCCTCGGTGATACCCATACGTGCACCTCATATCAGGTCACTGAGGGTGTATCGGTCTTGGAAAATACATGGATCACCCTCAACGGGGAAAGAATTCTGTGGCTTCCTCCCGAGTATCGGCCTGTATGCTCGGTTGTTCACCGTGATAATATTATCCTGGGGCATGCTTCGGGTCGGATTTCATTTCTTGGGTTCTCGGCCATTTCTGAAAGTTCGATAACAACCGACACTAGGCCTCTACAAGGTGACAAACCTTGGAAAAGTTTCGTATAGGACGAGACCTTAAAAACAACTCTTTCTTGGCAAAAACGAGATAACTCGCCAGCCAGCGGGCCTGTGGCCTCGAGGATTATTTTATCGTAGCCGTAACTTCAAGCGCTACCATCAGATACCTATTACATAGGTAAGTTGGCAGTAATGATTGCGACTGGTGCGAATATACAGAAATTGACCCTCCCCCGAAAGGAGAGGAACACCAAATCCATGGTACCCATTAAAGGCGCGCTTCAATGGCGCGCTGTCTCACAGCCCCAAACAGTTGCGGCTCTACTAAGGGGTTAATATCCACCGAAATGGGTTTGGCGTACTTGAATAAGCAGTCAGGACACTAGAGGACGCCCGACAAGACATCCCAGACCTGCCTCGCTTTGAGGTAGGAGATCATGAGACGTTTGGTCGCGAAGTTGTCGCTTCCTGTCAAAGTCTCAATGGCCCTGACGGCTCGGTCGGGCGAGTCGCATATTGTTCGAAGATTGCTTTACTCATTATTCCCACCCTTATGCATAGACCAGACACCTATAACTGATTTTTATCCTAAATTCTTGTGTCTCGGCAATTTGCTCAGCTCGTCAAGTCATTCAATCCGGCTTAGCCCTGCTCTTTTAGAGATCTCTAGATAATCAATAGTGAAAAGCCGTGGACACATGTAATCTTAGCTTCTTAAGGTTGTCGCATTGAGATAGAAGAAGAAAGTTTTATAATCTATGTTCTAAGAGGAAAGACAAGGGATAAGAGAGAGAGGGGGGGGGGGAGAGTAGAGAGGGGGAGAGAGAGAGAGAGTAGAGAGGGAGGAGAGAGGGAGAGGGAGCTAAGAGATATAAGCGCTAGAGTAAATAGGGTCCACCTGACTCCATACTTAAGTAAAGATATTAAGGGGATGGATATAGAAGAGAAGTGAGTCAAGACTGATTCGGAGACGAAGCAGGAGACCAAGTATACACATTAGCTATTCTCAGCCGCTAGTAATATAGAACAGCATTAACCAACAATTTCGGAAGTCTCTCTCATGGGGTGTGAGCTTATGTATATGAAAGCAAACTCATTTTGTCAATTTTCCTTTCGGGACTGTTTGTATTCATGATGGAGAAGAATTGTGTTCATTGCCCATAAAAGACGAAAGGCTGTACTTTAATACATACTTCCTAACTGGCACTCGTACAGTTTATCCCAACATCGCCTTCAATCCCATCGCAAATATACTCGGGAGGAGAACCCGCGGGAGATGTGAGATCAATTCTTGACAGCGTAATATTCGTACACACCGCATTCGGGGAGCAAGTCAGATCCACAACGACCTTGCCTTCAGCTCCTGACGAGGTGCCCCAGATATTGTCGAAGATGATATTGGTTATATTCACCCTTGAGGGATAAGCTAGACACTCCGTTGAATTCACATTGAAATAACACTGATCTAGCACTATTGGCTTGTCCGTGTTTTGAACCTGAATATTGCGGTAGGTGATGTTGTTGATCCTACCATAACCCACATCGTCACCTGCCCAAGCTTTCAATCGAGCACCGGTCTAGCACATGTGATCAGTATGAGTCTCACGGGTTGAAGGCAGAACTTACCTGGCCGTTCAAGAGGGTGATGTTTTCCAGATACGCATTCTCAATGAAATCCATTTCTCCGGAGTACTGACCGATGCTTCCCATGCTTACGCCATGGGTATTATTGCACCACATGTTCTGCACAAAGATGTTGCTCGTGTTGGGCTTTGGGCTGAAGCAATCATCGCCAACATCAATAATGGCATTGGTGACGCTCAAGCCATCCACATTGTACGAGTCAAACCCGTCCGTATTTGCTGCCTTGACGGAAGCATTGTTCGAAGAGGCATGGATGTACACGTCATCAAACGAGATGTCGTTAGTGCGGACGAAGAAGTTCGTCCAGCAAGGTGAGTTTAGCTGGGTGATTCCCTCTACAGTGACTCTCGTGGCGTTGTCCGTAAGAAAGAGGATTGGTCGGTAGAAAGTGTTGTCTGGATCCTGGAAGAGGGTCAACACTCATCTTCTATCAGGTGGTGGTGACTGACCAGAATTTGGTTACCAGAGAACTCGTTATACCATCGCTGTCCATTTCCATTGAGAGTTCCCTTTCCGAAGATCTTGATATCCTGACCACCCCAGACCCAGAATGTGATCGACTTCTGGAATGAGTAATAGAAATTGTTGGCCTGCCAGTAGGTGACGTTATCGGTGAATTTAATCTCCCCTTCCAGTTGAACTTCGATATCATTCAAGAAACTCAGGTCCAGCTTCTTTCCGATGACATAAGTCTTTCCTTTCTCCAGCAATAGTCGACCTCCGTGATTGGCTTGCTTGATACCCCAAAGAAAGTCGCTGGACACGTCGTCATCATCCCTCTGGGACGAGCGAATGGTAACAGTACGACGGTCCGGGTGTTTCGCATGAAAAGCACCGATGCCTCTCAGTTTCGCCTTCTCTTGAACAGGAATGATCTGTGCCCCTGGAATCAGATGCGTAAGGGCATTCACGCACACAAAAAGCGCACCCAGAGCTAGAAGCTTCATATTGATCGGTGTAATGATTGAAAAATTGCTATGCAATGCTTGGACATATTTATAGCTCTGATCTCAGTCAATGCCAATGTTTTGCCAATGTTTTGCCAACGGTCAATCTGGGGTCGCGGGGAATTTCTCCGCCTGTAGACATCCCCTGGACGCATTTTAGCATTGATCAACAGAGAAATCGCCAAGCTGCCAATGTTATGTACGAACGTTCTCTGGATGGGTGTTTCTCCGCATGTCGCCAAGTCCGGACCCTGGGGAAGTGGAGAAGTGGGGAATATGTACCTTAGGTATTTACTGTAGTAATGCTGCTTTTAGCCGGAGTTATTATGCCGTCTCCCAAGGTTTATGAGCATAAATTCCACCAATCAACGTAAATGAACAAGGGTTCGACATTTCTATGGAGGTATGAATAATGTACTGAAAAGTCCCAGTTGTCTTATGCATCATAAAATACAGCATATCGAGTGATCACTTCACTTGAGCTTCTTACCCGCCAGCACCAGGCCAGTTATACAGCTGATGTTAGCAGACCACCATGCCAGCGAACGAAGAAGACTCAACGACTGAGTCTCAATGTGTGAATAGCACAGACTGAAGGCGACCCGAGACAATGTGTACCACAAGCCGATCTTGTTAATAGTCTTATGAGGGAGCCCAGCATAAGCCGCTGTCAAAACTGCAACGGTCAGAGCTGGATTCAAGATGGAGCGATTCACCTACTTGCAGCGACAAACACGGTATATCCCTCAACGGCATTGGCATGTGCGGCCTCCTGGCGCTTTAACTTGTTGAGAGTCCGCTGACTGATCTTGCCCGACTTGACAGCATCTTCACCCCTTGTCGCCAGGCCCTCACGCGGTGCGACATTGTTGTCTATTCCAAGATATATTTTGGTGTATCTGGTGCTCATAAAAACATATGCGAGTGCCCAGTTGGCCAAAAGTAGAGTCGCAACGTGATTATCGCGCAGGCTGAGCTTTGTCATGATACTGGGAACATTAGCTACACCTCATGCAAGATAAATTGCACGTACGACATGATGATATATGTTGGTAGCTCAGAAGCTTACATCACAGAATTTGGGTCTGTGAGGATTAATAGGCCGAGCGCAGCACGTGGGTTTGCCTTCGTCAAGGCCGAGGAATTTTGCGATCGGCACAAACAGGCATTTGGAGCGAGAGCGAACCAACCAAAAAGGAGGTGATGTGGTTAGCGCACGGCCTACCACCTCGATCGAGTGCATTGTGGCTTGAAGGAAATGAGGTCAAAACGTGCCGAAGGAAGTCAATTTATGGTGCATGATGTCGACCCAGAAATTGCCTAAACCATTTGCCACGCCTGTTCGACCTCATGCGAGGTGACTTTTGACGAACGGTCCGATCGTGCATAACGGTCGTGTAACATGATGTTATCCGGCTCCTCTGGTTGGTCGGAGTGGCCGCAATCGAGCGCCATTCGAGAAAATCTGTTGTTCAATATTACAGAGTGCCTTTGAGGACACACCACGCTATTGTTGGGCACTGGCTCATTGTCCGAGAGTAGGAGAACCTTGACTGGATGATCCTTGATAACGGGAACCTGCATTATCTTATAGATGCCGTTTAATACGGGGATGGACAATCCGTGAATGAGGATTGAGAAAAAGACTAGCCAATAAACAACTTGAGATGCGTTAGCGCGACGTGGTCTCTTCTAGTGGGGACTAGCTCGCTCACCTGGAATCATGGCAGATGTCAAATGATTAATTTCGCCATCACTATTACCGGGGTCTGGTAATAACCGTCGAGCATACTCTACATAGGAGATAGCTCCGACACCTATCAAGTTAGACACGCAGTAAAGAGGAGTCGGTCAACGTACCAATTGGGGCAAAGTATCCCATGAAAAGCGCCTCTCTCCACGAGTTGCAGACTTTGGGCATGAAGCGATAACCCAGTAGGATGGCGGGGATCCGTCGGAACAGAAGCAACAAAATTCCGAGTGTGATGAGACGCCAAATCGTGATTCCAGTTACCTGTGGCATGTGCATTTGATTCCATGGCATGCTGGTGCCGATGAAAACAAATGTGCCAAAATTCAAAATCATCTCAATCGCAGAGTTGAACGAATCGTGTCGTGCTTCTACTTCTTTTAGGTATAGCCCATCCCAATTCAACGCACAGCCCGCAATGAAGCACGCAAGGGTTTCGTCGGACCCGAAGCATCCACAGGTACCCACAACGAAGAGCCCGATTGCGACCGGGAAGATGAAGAAACTCTCTTTATCAATCCATCGCCTATGCCTGTTAGCCGTTGTCTCCCTGACTCTCCCAATGAACGGAAATGCTTACCTTGCGGAAGCCAAGTTCAAGCCTTTGCGTGCCAGGAATCCCACCAATAATCCGTACCCCGAGCCCATGATGATCATGTATAATACCCCCTCGACAGCCCAGTGTGCCAATGCCCGACTGGCATCACCTCCCAGTCGACCCGTGTCCGGCGTCCCGATCCAGTCACGCTTTCCGATGGCATCACCCTTCGGTGGATCGGCATATCGGAGAATTGAGACCGAAAGGAGGAGAAACGGAAATCCAAATCCGTCATTACCCCCAGCCTCGGCGGAGATGAATTCGCGAAGATGGCGTCGAACGTATTTGTCCGCAAAAGGCCCCTTCGCGATGGCCTGCGAGAGAATCGGATCGATGCAGATGATACAGGATCCAATGATCAAAGACGTGAGCTATCACCGTTAGCCATGTTTATCTAAATCTCGGGCCACATACAAAAGATAAATGTGGAATCATCAACAAGATACATGCCGACGTTGCCAGCCACTGCAGCCCCATCAGTGGAAGCAGGCAAATGGTGAGCTCGACCAATCGCTGCCTCAAGTATTGCTTCGGAAGCTCATATCCGACTTTTACCATCTGGATGCCAATGACCAGTCGAGTCAGGGCCTGATCAGTTAGTTGAGTTTCTAGTCGGCATCATGAACACTTACATAGGCAATCTGGCCATCCTCATTGGTACCATTAGCCCACCGTTTCGCATCCACTAGGCTTGACACTGATGGTCCTAGAATGACTCCCGTGACGAATGCCGGTACTGGGATGGTCAGCTTATTCAAGTCGAGAATCGAGCAACTTACATGCTTCACCGAGGTACCATCTCTGTTTCAATTTGAGGGAAATGACGGCGAAGGCCAGTAGATAGATTCCTGAGTCGGATGTTAGACGATCCCATATCAGTGATCTGGAGGGTACCTGAGGCTACCTGAGAAGGTCAGAGTAACGTTGAAGTTGGAGATATCGAGAATCGGATGAAGCATCCTGCGCAGAATGGTGTAGCGAAAAGAATCATCCAGGGGCAGTGAGCCTGGGACTCAGGGATCAATAGATAGGAAAGCATTGCGAATACCTAGACGGTCGGAATGCGCCCTTCATTATCCCTGACACGTACATAGTACATGTGGTAGCCTGCCCCCCCCCCCCTGGCAAACGTGACGTATCATAAGAATCTCCACACATTTACACGGTTTACACGGTTTGGTACGCGTAAATATGGAGACTGATAAGAATATTTACAAGCTGGAATAAACCAATCGGAATCTCTTACAATCAACCTACACCTGCAGTGATCGACCGAGCCGAAGGTGTTGAAGCTTAGCTAATTTAACCATTTCTCAGAAATTCCCTTGCAGGAAGATCGACAATCGACGATCGAGGGAAGGGATGAACTAATTTGATCGATCTTAATGGACTTGGCGCATCATGAATATTTTCTAGAAGGCTTGGCTGTGGACAAGCTGAAATGTATAAGGATGTATAAGGATATCTAGCATTTCAAGGTATCTGCAGTAATTACTTATACCAAAGGAAGTAGAACCATGCCAAGGTCATCAACTACCCTGGATTGCCAAGCTTGGCGTCACGCTAATCGATCCCGAGCCAAACAAACATTGAGACATTCTCACCGGAGTCTTCAGGGTCTCACCACCAGGGTAGAAAGATCCTTTGTTGCCCCGCAGACTGGGGATGGATCTGTACGTACTATGTTATCTCTTATTCTATCCCTCTATTACTTGGGTACACCGCAGACTTTTTGGACATGCGTTCGAAACCTCCACCAGACTGTTCATTTTTCCCCTTTTCCCTCCACTTCACTTTTCTTCTCTTCTATTTTTTTTCCTTTTCCTTTTCTATTCCGCTACTGATGGACCTTTGACCACTTGATTAATATGGTACGAAAGAAGGTAGCATTCTGAATAGGATACCGAGTAGGAGACTAAGTAAGAAATTAAGTAAGAGACTGAGTAAGAGACTGAGTAAGAGACTGAGTAGGAGACTGAGTAGGAGACTGAGTAGGAGATCGAGTAGGAGGTGTGCTCGAACACCTAAGTAGGCGCCGCGCTTTTTGCGCGGCGGAAAGCCTCTAGTATTATTACTATTGAGATACTTCGCGGTCTTTCAATATCCAAATACTTCTTCCTCGCCCACTCGCGGTCCAACTGATAGTGACCGAATTTTTTCTACCATCACCCATTCTGGTCGGAGCGATGGTCACACCCTGAGTTCGTAGGCCACTACTCGAACAATTGGCTCAAAGCTCCCTGGTTTAGACAGACTAAGCGTCGCACAACAAGGCTTCTGTACCCCTCGGTGGACTCCAAGTTCCCCTGGGGCTACATCACATACGGAACAGTCTACACTGCCGAGTCCGATGCGCTATGGCCCATTGCCAAAGTCATGAATCACCCCATCGAATCTGAGCTTCAAGCCCAAATTCGATATAAGAAACCCGGGGATCCAGAGCCAGACGCAGAGCGATTGGTGAAGGAAACGCACAAGGACACCATTTTCTCAGACAAACAGTTCTGGGATGGAGCAAGTGTCAAGCAAGTTCGCCAACATTTTTTCAAGCACCTTTGTGCAAGCAAAGGCCAAGGGACCGGTCGATTCAAAGGCTGCCTTCTCATTGATAAGCGGTCAGTGAAGTCAATAATTGCCAGTCCCGACCCCCAGCCCTGGCTCGGGAGGAGAAGGTCCAAGAAGCCTAGTTATCCGTGGGGATTTGTTGGTATGATCGATGGGCGGTATCCTGAGAATGGGTATGAGTCGCGGTATACCGGCTACATGCGGGTTGAAATTCTTTCCTTATGGTCTCTGTATAACGCGTTGACAACTAAACACATACAGGAGCTCTGCCCCTCGGTTTCTGATGGATTGATTCCGGTTTATGACGGTGGATCTGGAAAGCGCAAGACGAGGAGGGAAAGGTCTTCCCAACAGCAGCCGATCGGAAGACTCGACTGTTCTAATGACTTATCGCCAGCTGACAGAAAGAATATATGTTAGCTTGCAGTGCTTCAGCGTCGTGGCTCTATGCGAACTAATATCATGTATTTTATAGTCGTTTTCTGTGGACTTCGTGGACCATTATTGACAGAAGGGCTTCAAGAACAAAGGGGTTCTAAAAATGGAATAGCGGCTCCCCTGGATTTCCGTCAGCCACCCTCTCTGAATGTGTGAAATTCAAAATCGACGTGGCTGACCAAAACGCGCACACTCGCATTTTGGTCAGCATACCACTGGACTATTACTTAGTTATCGCCAAGGCGACACGGGACAACCTTACGTATGCCATCTCAAGCTATCTGATATTCCAGCTGATCTCTCCCCTCTCATGCTCGAGATGATTGATCATCAAAGTCACGTTATTATTCGAGATTAGTTGATCCCCACAATCAGTGACCAAAGGGATCTAGGCTACGGAGATAGAGCATGTCAATATGTGGATAGACACGAATCACAAGAGATCAGCTAAAGAGCAGAGGGCACGGACCTTTTAAAGAAACGAATGATGTCGACTGGAGAAGTAAATTGCGAGGAGTCAAACCGGGCTAAGGGACCGGATTTAGTAATAGGAGTAAGCAAAGTCAATATTCCAGCCACATTTAACATTTAATCAAATGTCAAGCAACCAACATCTCCACAGTGGATAGTCATGATGCTAGGATTCCGGGGAAAAGGAATAAAATTGGGTCCTTTTCAACAATAATCTGGGGCAAAAGATCTAAACCCCAGATTTCTCGCTTTTCTTTCTCATTAGGTTTGATTTTATCTCCACAATCATCCCCACCGGGTAATGTCATCTCCGTCTGGCGAATCATATCATTATACGAGTCCGGGGTAATAATCGGACTCGGACGGAGGTACTCCTTCGCTGTAGGAGTATATGCTAGACGTGCAGAGTCTATAAGTAATCGCTCAGATCGTCTCCTGGGTTCCCAGACTGGGACTACCACTGACAACATGGAAGTGATGGCAAAGACAGATAGCAATTCTCAACATGTCGAGGGTGTCAGCCCAAGTGCCATGGAGTCTGGCAAGGAGGCATTCTATGTCGAAGATCGTGTTGCCCACCTCTCAGAGGAACATCGCCAGTACCTACTGGCACGTCATGGCACACTTGATCTCGACCCGATCCCTGATATGAACGATGCGGATCCGTATAATTGGCCTCGCTGGCGGGTACGTGCCAACTCTAGAAGCACAAAACCGTGCTGACCATGATAGAAAAACCTCAACCTCGGTCTCGTCGTCTTCCATGCCATGATCGGTCTGTTTACCGCATCGTCGATTCAGTCCGCCTTTACCAATATCGCCGCCGATTTGGATGTCAGTTTGCAGCGTACCAGTTACCTTGTTTCACTGTTTATTGCCGTCCTCGGTGGAGCACCCCTCTTCTGGCGACCCCTGTCCAATAGATTCGGTCGCCGTCCAATCTTCTTGATCTCGTTGTTCTGTGCTATGATTGGAAATATTGGCTGCGCGAATAGTCCTTCATACGCTACTATGGGATTATGCAGAGCTATCACAGCGTTCTTCATCAGTCCGGCTGCTGCGATCGGCAGTGCTGTCGTTGCAGAGACCTTCTTCAAGCGGGATCGCGCTCGTTGCATGGGTGTCTGGACCTTGTCTGTGACTCTGGGGGTGCCTTTATCTCCCTTCCTGTTCGGATTCTTGGCCTTGCGCGTGAATTATCGCTGGATCTATTATGTGTTGACTATTGTAAGTCCACACACACTCTACTGCTGTCCTTTACTAATACAGTCAGGTCAACGGTGTGCAGTTCATCCTTTATTTCCTACTCGGGTCCGAATCGCTCTACCTGAGGGAAGAGGGAGCCCCGAAGCAGATGACGAGCGAAAAGACCGGTCTACTCACTTTCCGCCGCATCGATCCTACTCCCCTTCGCTTCTGGGACTTTATCCAGCCCTTGAGCTACTTCTCCAAGGCGCGCGTTCTTATCCCTGCCGCGTCTTATGCCATGATCTTCCTCTGGGGTAGCATCATGCTCACCATTGAGATCCCACAGATCATGCCTGAGAAGTTCGGCTTCAACACGCAGCAAGTTGGTTTGCAGTTCCTGGGAATCATTGTCGGGTCTGTGATTGGCGAGCAGATTGGTGGTCTTATCTCGGATCGCTGGATGCTGCTGCGTCAGAAGAAAATTGGTGAACGACCCCCGAATGAGTACAGATTATGGTTGAGCTATATTGGTCACGCCTTGACTATCTGTGGTGTTGTGGTATTTGCTGTGCAGATCGGCAAAATTGATAAATGGAACATTACGCCTATCATTGGTGCCGCTATTGCGGCAGGTGGTAATCAGATTGTCACCACCATCAACATAACCTATGCTGTTGACTGCTATCGATCTGATGCGGCCAGTGTTGGAGTATTTATTACTTTTGTTCGACAGATGTGGGGTTTCATTGGTCCTTTCTGGTAAGATCTTTGAACAAATCAAGTTGGTTTATCAATTGCTAACAGTTTAGGTTCCCTGACATGTTTACCAACCTTGGCTGGAACGCAGGTGCTGGGGTGGCTGTAGCACTGATGGTCGGGGTCAGTGTTATCCCTACCATCATGTTGCAATGGCGCGGTAAGTCTTGGCGTTAGTGACCTATTATTCTAGGTCGTATCGAGATATCGATGTACTGGATTTTCAAGTTTGAACCAAGCGTTCTATATGACATGTGTATAGTATCCTTGAAGATAAAGTTTAAGCCTCGATTCATGCTTGGTGACTACTCAACATGGAACATTGAAGCCATGAATATCGAAACATTTTGAACAAACATCCAAGCAACATGTGAAGTAAATATACTATTTGATTACTTTGTCTAATACAATCCCATGCAAATATTACATCCGATCAATACCAAATACCCGGTCTTCAATGAAAATCCCCAGATATCCATAAGGCCATCTACATGCCCTCGCATTCACAAACAACCCAGGCAGAACAGAGATCAACGACAGGCTTGCCCAGGGAGACCCAAGTCCTCTCAGCGTCAAGGGTGGTAATTGGGTGTTTCTCCTCAATAAATTTGCAGACGGTTGTCTGTTCAGTGGCAGTGAGCTGGGCGCTGGAGGCAAAGACAAGGCCATGTTCCGCAACAGCGGTGTGGCCCCAGAGTTCTTGCACGGGACGCTTCACGCCATCAACGGGGATGATGATGTCGGCATTGGCGCCAGAATGATCATTGGCGAGTTGAATGGTGGCGGTGTGCGGGCCCTTTGTAGGAGCGGCCAGGGCAGAGGCGAGGAGGGAGAAGATGAAAGTGGTGGAGATGAACTGCATGATGACAGATCAAGAGTTTAATTCAACTTGTGGTTGGTTACTTTGCAGTAGATGTTGATTGAATTGGTCTGCATATAGTGGATGTCGGGATAAATGACTCTATATAGCTTTCATTAGAACTGTTCACGGTTGAGATACTGAACTCGGTTGTTTGGTTATACTCCGTTTCCGTCGATTGTATAAAATACCCCACGTACCCCACTTGACCCATTTAGATGAGAACATCCAGTGAGAATAGAATTAATTTTATGTAATATTATCGTGCCTAAGTGGTATCTGAGAAAGACCTTAGAAAATGAAGTCCTGGAGACATCTCACTTGAAACAATGACCATATTCGAAGGAACGACTTTAATTGAGAATTGGCTGTCATCTCAGTGGATGTCCGCTTCTGACTGCTGGCTCGTGCACGGGCTTTGACGTGTGTACAGACATATGACATTCTACGGCTGGGAAGAATGTCGAGAGATATTCAGGCACCAAGGCAGAACCGGAGTTTGTTTCCGTTGGTTTGAACACGGATGAACCAATCAGAGTGACTTGTAGTGTTTTCAACTGGAATGCGGAAGGCAAATCCTTCCATTCCTGTATAAGGTATTTGTTATCATGGTTTCAAGTGGCGGACCTTTTGTTCTCAGCCACTGATGTACGACAGTTGAATGACAGAACCACTTGGACCAGCTTCCTTGTTGGCATAACACCGAATTAGACCTAGGTAAAATTCCTTCCAAGGGGCTAGTTGCTTTCAAAATGTCTTATACTGGTCTATTATGAGTGAACTTAGATAGTAATACATGAAAGACCCCTTGATGTTCCCAGTTGGTTTGCTGAGATTGACTTATTCAATGTCGTACCCAATCGAAGCCGACATGTAGGTCACTAGAATTAGAGCTTCAAGTCACCTTTGAAAATCGGGTTGGAACCATGGAAACAGATAGCTGACTCTTGTCCTAAATATGATCATGCATTAATGGTGAAAACAAAGAAAGGTACCTACTCATGGCCAAAATTACTATCTCGTATATTCAACTTCTTTGTTGTTCGACTCATTTTGACTCGAACAAAGCATCTCAAGTATAATGGAACAATGGAATCGCTCCCTCGATCATGTTTACATCTAAATTTGGGATTCGAATACTCACTCATTGTTCTATTGATATCTGAAATGACTCTCATCTGAGAGACTTAAATACTGCCAAGTATCCGTCTGTTGGCCATCATACTACTGTTTAATCACTCAATAAAACTAGAACAGAGGCTTTAATATTCATCATTGATCCCAATGTCCATTCAAACTTTCCAAGATCTCGGTGCTCAGTACCAGTGCTGGATCGAGAATCCACCCAACCCCGATGACGGATGTCGAATCAAGCCATTCACCTTCAAGCTGGAAGATCTCGATGAATCATTCGCCGATACCGCATTTGACGGTTATAACACCGAGGAGCTGAGATCGGTAGTGGAAGAAGTCATGGGTATCAAAGCCCCTCCTCATGAGAAGTGGAGAACGATAGAGAGGAAAAAGGTCGACCCCGATGCCGAGCCAAGTCCCGATGCAAGCTTGTGTCATCTTCACAGCTGGGAAGGACATATTGGACCAGGTATTATCTATATTGAAAATATGTTTCGGAAGCCTGGGGCCGGATCGGAGGCTGGACCTCATTCTTCTCAGATGGCGCAGGCGGCGTACGAATCGGTCTACCCTATCCACACTCTGGAGCACATAGTGGTTTCTGACGTTGTGAACAAGGAGACTAAGCGGTTTGTCAAACGTCAGCTCTATACTGATCATGTCTTTGAGGACACCGAGCTCGAGTGGCCCACTGATCAGCTGGTTAGATGGGGATATGATACCTGGGAATATAAGAGCCTTCTTGGCACACAGATTGGTGCGGTGGTGTCGCGGATCTTGCTGGGCGCATTCAAGCGAGGCACTCGTCGGATTTCCAGAATCTATACCGTTGCACACTATGGTAACTGTCTCTTCATGCGTTTTGATATCGAGACCATCGAGCCTGGAAGGCCTACGATCAAGCTTGTAGAGACTGACAAGAGGAAGCATGATGAGTGCGATAGCACGTCTGATGTTGAGAGCAAGAGGAAGAGGAAGCGCGACGAGTCTGACGACGTTTCTGAGGTTGAGAGTAAGAGGAAGAGGAAGCGTGATGAGTTTGAAGACGTTTCTGAGGCTGAGAGTAAGAGGAAGAGGAAGCGTGATGAGTGTGACGACGTTTCTGAGGTTGAGAGCAGGACTAGTAAGAGGAAGCGTGATGAGTTTGGAGACGTTTCTGAGGGTGAAAGCAAGAAGAAGAGGAAGAGTGATGACGAGGGTAGCGATCGTACAAAGTGTCGGAGGCTTGATAACTGATTTCAATGCATCTAATTTGAGACAGAGAGAAATTTTTTATGGTATGCTCGCGCGTAATTATGTAACGTAGACTGGTCAGCCTATGATCATAACAATAGCATCTGGTTATGATCATCTTCCCTCCTATGGCAACATGTTCAGCTTGTCCTCCTCTTTATCAAGTTGTCAGTTGACCAACCAGAAGCCTACACATCCAGAAAAGGCAAGAATCGCGGTGATGCCGTAGTTTCACACCAGTAAGGGGTCATCGGATAGTGCCACCAGTGCCTGACCCAAGGCTGCTGAGAAAGCATGCATAAAGAGCGATACCGCCTGAATGAGCGATCTCATATTACGAGCTTTAGTGTATGCATATTCAAGAGATGCGACGGATGCAAAGATCTCCGATAGGCCACCCAAAACGTAGGGCTCAGTCTGTACCCCAACTGAGATGTTGGTGTGTATTCCATCCTTCTCTAAACAGTAATTGGCATATTTCCCACATGGCCCGTCCTTGTAGATGTAGTATTGAGTCAATTTCGCAGTAATCATCGAGCAGCCTGCGATTCAGAAGCCAGCCGTGATACGTTTCAATAAAGTGAAATTGATCCCCATACTACGAAGGGCGGGATAGTCAAGTCGGTCCATGATGGGAACAAAAAATAATCAAGGTTATCGGGTTCAGGTTGGTGGATAATGTCATTTGGTACCCCACCCAATGCCAGTGTGGCGGCTTAGGATGTAAGATTGTTCATCATTTGATTGTAAGCCAACCCTATGCTAAATGAGATGAATAAAGCAATGGATCAGAGGTTGCAGTCACTCACAGTACAGTGGATACCACAGAAACACGGTACAGAATCTTGGACCGTCAGCGGAGCTCACTCATCATCAGATTGACTTACAGGTGCATCGGGTTGAGCGACCATCGGCCTTTCATGGCTAGGCACCAAAGACGGAATGCGCGAGAGTACACCGAACCAGTGGGAGGGAGGAGATAATAGCGCTTTCAGCAAAGGAACAGAAATGTGGGACAGAGGCAAAACATCGCCGTTGGGAGCAGGTAGGCTAACCAGAAGCCAATATAGCGCTCGGGATAGACCATGCATATCTGGCCAACCAACGAGCCGATGCGGATCATCATGTAGAAGTAGAGAGAGATTCGTGTGACTGTGGCAGCTGGAGCAACAATGATTCGCTCTCCAGTGGGAAGGACTCGGATGTAGGATTTGTCGTCGCGGTACTACTCTGCAATGAGTGGACAAATGTTGGACTTGAACCCGCCGGTTCCCACCCCCATCACCAACAGACCCACCGAGAAACAAGCAATAGTACCCCTGGAGTAGCAATGTATGGCACCACTTACCTGTACGATACTTTCTTACAACCACACAACCCATGAACGCATTTTTATCGCCAGTATGACCAATCCGGTCACTCCAGTGTTCAACGCGTCGGTTTAGACTTGAGAATTTTTAAGCCCCAGTCAAAAATCCGTCTTTGATATGTACTTCGACCACCTTGTCAATGACGGTATCGAGAGTCCCAAAGGGAGAATTCTGAACTGATATTCGTATTCAAACTTTACCGGTGATTCCTGGACCATGGGGGCATCCATCAAGATAGCTTGTCTTTGGTAACTTTGGCTCGCTGAACCTCATCTTCATATGAGACCTGCTCTGCTAAGATGGTAACTGCCGATCTTAGATCGTGTGTCGCTAGGGTCCATACAATGATACAATGTTTCCGGTCTTTTCGAAGTTGATGACCACATGTTGTACTTGCGGATACTCTGTGCCATCTAGCTGGCAGCAAACATCATCATGAAAGGGGGGACCAGATGTCAGATTTTTAAAATGACAATATGGTGCCAGGTCCGAATGCTCTTCTTTATTCTTGCCACCTCATTCTTGATGGAAATCCACTCGATTGGGCGTAGACCACGGCCTGCCAGGTGTATAGATCATTAGCATAAAATTGCAATGCTTTTGCCTTCACTCACCCTGAACGGATCGTGAGGACTTCGTCTTGGTGAAGATGGTGTTCTTACAGTGGTGTTTAACAAGTATTTGACCTTGGGTACTTCAGGACTCACTTCTCTTATTGCCAGTAGAAACTGCAGAAATTCATTACAATCCATATCTGGCCTAATTTGGCCGAGGAATTAAAGTCAAAATCCCGTAATTTCTTCTAAGCACCCTTTTAGCTATTGAATAGTGCCGTATATATAAAATGTCAGGGCGCGGGTAGTTGCCTTTACTAGATTGGTGAGCGGTCTATAAAGCGGTCGGGTCTGAAAATACCCAAGGTTATCTTCCGCCCCACCCGTGATGATTACCGTATCTGGCAGCCACTCTTGCAGATCATTGCCGCTGATCTCCTTGGAAAATCATCCGAGCATGGCGATCCCGAGGCTCCGAGGCTCCGAACCCGGTCTATCACTCGGAACTCGGCCATGAGAGACTGGAAGCTCCGGCATACCGACACTGCCTTGCAGTGAAACGGCCTGGTTGCCTATCGATCAGCTGAGTACTTGATCCGGGCTTCCGACAGGATCTTTGTATATATAGGTTGTTTGTTGTGTCCTCAGTCGATCCTTTCCAAATCACACCTAGTTCACTCTCTACATCTCACTTAGAGTTCTACTATCTACTACAATGGTTGCTACCGAACCCCACCTCAACTTCCGGTCCTTTGTCGAGGCCCTCAAGGCTGACAACGATCTCGTCGAAATCAATGACCCCATTGATCCTTATCTCGAAGCCGCTGCTATTACTCGCCTTGTCTGCGAAACCGATGACAAGGCTCCTCTGTTCAACAATGTGATTGGTGCCCAGAATGGTCTCTTCCGTATTCTAGGAGCCCCAGGATCTCTCCGCAAGTCTCCCAAAGACCGATATGGCCGTCTCGCCCGTCACCTGGGCCTACCACCCACCGCATCGATGAAGGATATCCTCGACAAGATGCTGTCCGCTAGCGAGCTGACTCCAATTGAACCCACGATTCTTCCCACTGGTCCCTGCAAGGAAAACTTCCTCGAGGAGAGCCAGATCGATTTGACCAAGCTTCCCGCTCCGCAAATCCACGCGGCCGATGGTGGCAAATACATCCAAACCTACGGCATGCACATCGTTCAGTCTCCTGATGGATCGTGGACCAATTGGTCTATTGCCCGCGCGATGGTTTCAGACGATAAGCACTTGGCAGGTCTGGTCATCGAGCCGCAGCACATCTGGCAGATCCACCAGATGTGGAAGAAGGAGGGCCGGGACGTGCCTTGGGCTCTGGCCTTTGGTGTACCCCCTGCAGCTATTATGGCATCCAGCATGCCCATCCCTGACGGAGTCACTGAGTCTTCCTATGTTGGTGCGATGACTGGATCTTCCCTGGAGCTGGTCAAGTGTGACACCAACAACCTTTATGTGCCTGCTACTTCCGAGATTGTCTTCGAGGGTACCTTGTCCATCACCGATCGGGCACCCGAGGGACCATTCGGAGAAATGCACGGCTACGTCTTCCCCGGCGACACCCACCTGTGGCCTAAGTACAAGGTCAACCGGATCACCTACCGCAATGACCCGATTCTCCCTATGTCATCCTGTGGTCGTCTGACTGATGAGACTGTAAGTTTACTACCTACCCTGTTGCCACTCTTGTACTCACCAATCTAGCACACCATGATTGGCGCCTTGGCTGCCGCAGAGATCCGCAAGATTTGCCAGAACGCTGGTCTCCCTATTACCGATTCTTTCGCGCCGTTTGAATCGCAGGTCACTTGGGTTGCTCTCAAGGTGGATACTGCTCGTCTGCGGGAGATGAAGACCACCTCCAAGGAGTTCTCCAAGAAGGTTGGAGATCTGGTGTTCAACCACAAGGCTGGATATACCATCCATCGCCTGGTTCTTGTCGGGGATGATATCGACGTTTACAACGGGAAAGATGTGATGTGGGCATTCAGCACTCGCTGCCGACCTAACCTCGACGAGACCTTCTTCGAGGACGTGCGTGGATTCCCACTTGTCCCGTACATGTCCCATGGCAATGGATCCCCCACTATGGGAGGTAAGGTGGTCTCGGACGCCCTTATGCCCACCGAATATACGACTGGTCAAGATTGGTTGGCTGCCGATTTCAAGAATTCCTATCCCGAGGAATTGAAAAAGAACGTTCTGAACAACTGGGAAAAATGGGGTTTCCGCCGCGAGGAGTAACCGGCGCAACAGATGATAGGGCTTGCCACTTTCAGGTGTTGAAATGTATTATCTCGATCAAATAGATTATAGAATGTATTTTAAAGTTTGCAAATTTTGTTATTTACATCTTCTCTCGATCTTGATGTCAATAAACACACCGTTCTGCCTCTGGAGGGACAGAAAGTAAAGCGCTAAGCAAGCAAATGGGAAATGCCGAAAATCTGCATCAGTTGTAAGCAATCAAGCATCTATCCTCTCCATAAACCCCAAGGTATACAAATCTGGGGCCCAGGCCGTCTGGACCATTTGTCTCTTTCTCTTTGACTTTTTAATCCACATACATCTCGATGACATCCCTCTCAACACGTTCAAGAAAATTAAGTCTTTTCTTCCATGTATCGCAAATATCTCCCAGATACATCCTGAAGAATTGCTGATCGAAATATTATAAATACATCTTGTCAAAGGCGAAGTTGTTCCTTACAGCATAAACGATTCAAAATCGCCGCTTTCCCAACTGTCTCGCATCCGAGTCGATAGACGCTGTCTTTCTTCTAGAAGCCTACCTCGAGTGGGCTTGAAAAGCTTGATGATGAAGAGGATGCAGTAAGACTGGTGACTCTTGAGCAACGTTGTAAGGATATTGCTCCTGGGACGATCATGGTCGACCATAAATTCTCGGTCCATAAGACATTAGGTGACTTCCAATGCCGATGTCATCTGTAAATTACTCCCATTGCCAGTACTTTGTACATTTATTGATTAGTTTCATTTTCCGCCATCACTTTGAAGAACTCTTTCTTCACTTAGGGGTGCTCAGGCTTCGTGAGGCGCCCCATGGCCAAGGCTGTAGACACCGCCACTCTCATTGCCCGTACATATCTGTATATTTGAGTCCGTTCATAGACCCTTTCTACCCACTTTAGGAATTCTTGGGTTTGAAATAATTTTGAGAAAGTCTCTTCAGCGATGAGATCAATAGTACATATCGCCCATCTATTATACGAACAATGGAAAGATTAAAGCCGACCTAAAATGAAATTAAAGGAACAGCATACAGTATACGCAAATTTGGAACCCGGGATTCCAATCCTGTTCAGCTCACTGACCAATCGGTGTCTGATAATTCCAAGGCTTATTTTGGGGGCCGAAATGATATGATAGCCGTTGACAAGTGGCCTATTTGCTTCTGTCTCCTCTGACCTCCTTCGACCAGCGCATCGTGCTGACACTTGTAAATACTATCCACCCTAACCAAATCTTGCCCGCATTGGGCGCCTTACAAAATTTCCCCACTTCTTTCGATCTCTTTCTCTTTTTTTCTTGGGTATAGTCAAAACTACGCGGTCGCAGAGATATCTTATGAGCCACATACCACATTTTTGCGCACTCGAGACTCCCTCCTCTCCATCCAACATAACAGTCTGCATTGCAAATATTCCAGCATGGCTGCTCCACTTTCCAACAGCTTCAATCCCTGCACACAACTCATTCCAAATGTCATTGACCACTATGCCCGGGTCAAGCCAGATGCTATATATGCCGAGTATCCGCTCTCCTCGATGAGCTACGAATATGGGTACCGCGTGGTGACCTACAAGGCTCTAGCAAATGCTATTAACGGCATTGCAAAGTGGTTGATAGAAAGTCTGGGTCCTGGAAATGGTGAAACTTTGACCTACGTGGGACCCAACGATGTACGGTACCCGGCCTTGGTTCTAGGTTCCATTAAAGCTGGCTACTGCGTAAGTACTACCAAGGAAAACCTCGGCTGGTTGGAATGAGATACTGACGGTGAAAAGATGTTCCTTACATCACCACGCAATAGCGCAGCTGCTCAACGGAGTTTGCTCCAAAAGGTCGGCTGCATCGCCTTGATATGCCCTACACCCCGACCAGCTCCTGCCAACGTTATTTTGGAGGCATGCCCACTCCATGTACTTGAAGCTCCAAGCGTGGATAAGCTGCTGAGTACGCAATATCCGGACTTTTCTTTTTCAAAGACCTGGCCAGAGGCGGCAGCAGAGACATTAGTTGTTCTGTAAGTCAACCAATATAGATCCCATGTTAGATTGACTCCTTACCCCTATAGCCATACATCGGGGTCAACTGGAATTCCAAAGCCGATCTTCTGGACTCATGATACGGCATCTAAGCACATGGAGATGCTGGTTCTTACCCCTCCGGAAGGTTACGAGAGCCAGGACCACTGGAATTTTGGCAAGAGAATGTACCTTGTTCCACCTCCCTTCCATGTATGCTCTCTTCAATGCCTTCATCAAATAGCCACGAGGAAAGACTCAAACTAATATCACAGTAGGCCGCTGGAGTGGCTTACTTGCATTATATCGGATTATCGGTTGGCATTTCACTAATTGCTCCGACATCTGGGGGCCTTCCTACGGCGGCTGCTCTGGTTGAAGCGAGAAAAAAGACCTCATTCGAGACCGCTCTCGTTGTTCCTTCAATTGTCCAGGAACTCGCACAAAGCCCTGAATTACTGGACTACGTCAGTCAAAACCTGACGCATCTTGTATACTGTGGAGGAGACCTTCCACAGCAGGTTGGCGACGCGGTGGCTGCAAAAATCAAGCTCGTCAATCAGTACGGCGCCTCCGAGGTTGGGATGATTCCTTCGGTCCATTCCAAAGCAAATCGGGATCCTCTAAAGGACTGGCGTTATATTGAATTCCACCCTAGAATGGGGGTAGAGCTTCAGCACGTATCAGATGGTGAGCACGAGCTGGTTGTGGTCCGCAGCCCGGAATGTGAACCACATCAGTTCTCATTCACCATCTTCCGCGATAGACAGCAGTACCATACCTCCGATTTATTTGTCCGGCACCCCGATCCAGCTAAAAGAGACCTGTGGCGCTGGTGCGCCCGAGCGGATGATATCATAGTCTTGCTCAATGGCGAGAAGACAAACCCTGTGTCAATGGAACAGCATATTCTTGCATCCACTCAAAATGTAACAGCCGTGTTGGTCGCCGGCACGAGGCGATTCCAGACCTCTCTTCTTGTTGAGCTCAATAACAAAAAGCATCTGAGTGTGAATGAGCGCGCTGCCATGATTGAGGAACTCTGGCCTAGCATTCAGGAGGCCAATGCTGTTTGTCCGGCCCATGCACGCATTGCAAAAACTCATATCGTCTTTACTACTGTCGACAAGCCAATGCTCCGGGCTGGAAAGGGTACCATTCAGCGAGCCGGAACACTGGCACAGTACCACCCAGAGCTTGACAAAATGTACGCGGATGCGGACAAGTTGTCGGATGATGCTGCCAGTGACAAGTGTCCCGGTCGTAGTGATGATCCCGCTGTCATTGCTCAGTATATTCGACAGTCGATCTTGGAAATAACAGAATGGAATGAAAATCTTTCAGATGCAGACAACTGGTTTTCCCTCGGGCTGGACTCCCTGCAAACAATCACCACCACTCGTGTTCTAAGGCGGGGTCTCGGAATCCTGACTCTTAGTCCAAACGTGGTCTACTTGCATCCCACCGTCGAAGACTTGACCAAAGCGATTATTCTCTTGCAATCTCAAAGAGAGCGCTCGGCTGAAGACTACAGAAAAGGTCAGTTAGAAGAGCGCGAGAATTTACTGCAAGAACTCGTGGGGAAAATCAACGTTCTTTCGAACGCCCCTGCTCTCACAACCACCACAGAGCAAATTGTGATCCTCACTGGCTCTACAGGTAGCCTAGGCGTCTATTTGCTGGATTCACTCTTGAAAAATACGTCCGTGAAGCATATTCATTGCCTAAATCGTCGAGATAACGCCAAGGAGGTGCAGACCCAGAAGAGCAAAGCCTGCAGCCTGCAGCTGGATCACTCCCGTGTGAGCTTCTGGACTGCAGACCTTGCGGAACCTCAATTCGGCCTTCATTCCATGGCCTTCCAGCAGCTACAACAGACAGTCACGCTGGTGATTCATAATGCCTGGGCGGTCAATTTCAACCTTTCCCTCAGCTCTTTCAAGCCGAATCTGGATGGCGTCGTAAACCTAGTCAACTTCTGCCTTCAAGCCTCACATACCCCTCATCTATATTTCATATCCTCCATTAGCTCAACAATGGGGTACAGCACGGAGAATGGCCTCACTCCCGAGAAAGTGGTCACTAGCGCGCTGCCTGGACCTAACGGTTACGCCAATAGCAAATACTGTGCCGAGCACATTCTCGCTGAGGTACCTGAGAAGAGTGCTGGGGCCCTCCATCCCGGCTTTTCACGCGTTGGCCAGATCGCAGGTCCCGTGCGGTCAAGTGGTTTATGGAACAAAGCGGAGTGGTTCCCTAGTCTAGTCCTGAGCTCCCTGCACATTGGAGCCCTCCCAGATACACTCGGACCTGCTATGGACCGTATCGATTGGATGCCAATCGATCTACTTGCCGAAGTTCTGGTGGAGCTAGCAATCACTAGCAGTGTCAAATCAGACGAACCTATGAGCGTGCACCACCCAGTGAACCTCAATCCACTGAGTTGGAACAATATCAGACCAGCTGTGGTAGAAGCTCTGAAGCACTATTCCGGTGAAACGGTCGAAACTGTTCCTTTCCGTGAATGGCTGCAGCGTGTCCGACGGAATGTCGAAGTTGGCGGAACCACTGGCGATAAACAACTTGAGGGGCTTCTCGCGAAGAATCCAGCTGCCAAGCTCTTAGAGTTCTTTGAGCAGATCATGTCTCAATCCAAAGTTGAGAACGCACTAGACACGCAGCTAACGGCTCAACGCTGTGCGAAACTTCATGCTGTGAGTGCAGTCAAGTCGGAGTGGATCCAAAAATGGGTTCGTGAGTGGTTGCAGTAGAACGATATATTTATCGGGGATCGTGATGGCAATTGGAAGATATAGGGGGAAGCGACATGACAAGTCACATAACATGATCACATGATATACGAACACAGTCCTGAGCCTCTACTAGTACTATTAGTATAATGCCTGGCTGGCCTAGACTGACTCCTGGTATATATTGATTTAGCTTGGGTTTGTTCTAGAGAGGTAAGAGGCAATTAAGTGAAGAATATTGGGGACCGGATCACATGACGAATCACGTTATGCGCATGGTTCGGATGAAACGAGTCTATACCGCTTTTTATAATCAAGATTCCGTCGAATACGAATTTCTAACCCACTAGCTTGACAAGAAACGACACTGATCAGTGTTTGGGAATATTCTCGTCTCAATCGGGATTCACTCACCTCACTTCGGCATCCTCGGCAAGAATCCAGAATCCAAGATGAGCCAACGCGAGGCTGACCGGATCCTTTTCTTAAAAAGCCGAGAGAGAGAATCCCGCGCGTGTTATCCTTGTCGGAAGCGTAAAGTCAAATGTGATGGAAAGCAGCCCTGCCAGACATGCCAGAAGCGAAAACACCCGCAAATCTGCGATTTCGACATTCCGCACTCCAGACGCAGGTCGGTATCCCGTCAGCCAGCTCGTTCGGCATCACCTGTACGCCAACCGGTGATCGAGGATGAACCTCCAGCTCAAAATGATAGTTCTAAAAACTATGTATACTCTGGAGATAATTCCGTGGTGTCGATTTTGCGCCTGCGAGCGTCGGATGCTAATTCGATGGCGCACGACGTCGGCTCCGTTTTGGGTCTCCAGAACACTTTCGACAGCTATCCATTCATGGACTCCAAGACTCCTACTGAGAAATGGAAATCCTTACTGGGGATATTGCCGCAGCGATCAGAGATTCTAAAGTATGATGTCTACAAGTATGTTGAATTCTGCTAAGCATCAATAGATTCTTTCATTACTACCAAGTGACGGCATACCCGTATAATCCAATTCTGGCAGATATGGATCGGTTTGAAGCTGATCTATGCACCTATTTGAACGCACATGCTCTGGGGGAATTCAAAGACCCAGGGAAGATCTCGGATCGATGGGCAACTGAAAAATCTATTGGTCATATTAGTCTTTTACTGGCTACTTTAGCCTCAGGAGCTCATTATTCCGACCTTGAATACTCACAAAGGTCGGAGCTCGCCATGGACTTTACCCGCCGCTCATTCCATGCTCTCCGTCTCGCAAACTTCCTTTTCCGGCCGTCTTTGGATGTAATTCAAGCGCTTCTCATAATCGGAAATACATTGCAGAATATGGCCCAGTCGGACGCTGCATGGGCATTGCTTGGCTCGACAGTGCGACTGGCTCAAACTATGGGACTGCACACTGAAAAAAGTACTAGCTACTGGCCCGAGTATCTACGAGCAAAGGCGAAAAAACTTTGGTATGTAGAATCAATACTCTCATATGACGTTGCTGATAACTTTAGGTCGACTATCGTATGGCAAGACAGCCTCCTCTGTCTCTGTTATGACCGCCCACCCATTGTTTCTGTCGTTGGGTGGCCACTCGATCAGACAATGTTGGAGCGAACCGACTTGACCTACCCAGAGACGATGCATTTTCTTTGTCGCCTGGGTCTGGACATGATGCGACCGGGGGGCCAAACGGAAGTGGACAGAGCGATTGACAGCCTTCAGAAATTGGACAGTGTTGGCCAACGAAGCCAAAAGTATTTGCGAAATCGGGAAAGCTGTATGACTTTCCAACAGAACCTTGAGCATCTAGCACTCAGGATGCATACAAACTTTTGTATATCTGTGGCTTGCCGACCAGCGATGAAGCAACAGCCCCAGCCTCTCTACCCACAGGCTGACTTTCTCCGGATGCGCGCCAAGGGAGGCTTGATCGATGCATCCAAGGCATTCCTTGACTTCCAGGCCCTCAGTGTCGTGCCTTTGCGAAGCTGGTCTATGGTTCATACGGTTCTTAGCTCCACACTTCTTCTCTGCATATGGGAAGAGACACGCAATGACCCCGAATGCCGCAGGCTCCAGCAAAGGGTGATTGACGTATTTTCGTCGTCAAATGCAAAAACAGCAGAAGGAACTCCCTGCGACGGCGACGAGTGGTTATCTGCTCGTCATATCCGAGCCCTGGTTACCCTCCGAAGTACTTTGGATCGAGAGGGCGATAGGAGTTCAATCCAACCTGATCAAGGTATAGGTTTTGAGACTGGTATCCCGCCGAGCAATCCAGATGGCTATGGCTATATGCCAGATATGGACCCGTTTGGAATTTCACCGGTAACATATTTAGACTCCATTATGAACGGCATGTCTTCTATCCTTACCTCAAGTGTCGATGCTAATTTCAATAGTCCCTTTGTTCGATTTTACACAAGAAAATGGGTTCCTATGAGTGGAGGTCAGGACTCAATTATTGCCACTCGGATGCCGGCGGGTACAACCAATATTGGGTTCACCGTCTCCACAAGAGCAAAGTATGATTGCTCGGGACTCGGATCTCGGGATCTCGGTTTTGGCAACAACCTTAAGCTGCCCGAGTCGGTCGGGACGAACGGCTTCTACGATTCACCTCCGAATCGAAAATGCTGCTATTTAATGAACGGTTGGACCTTATAATCTAAGCCTTCATCCAACATCATTCACACATTCACACATTCACATCTCTAAGTCTTCATCCAACATCATTCACATCCACATTCAATGTTTTCTCGGCTAGCCGGTACCAATACTCCTCAATCTTCTCGTGCGTCTCCCAGTGGAAGCCCCCCAGACTCCACCATGATTTTCGACAAAGCAGACCAACATGCCCCGGCACCTCAACCTACACCGCGCCGTCGCCGGATCGTGGTAGCCATGACCGGGGCCACTGGATCCATCCTGGGAATCAAGTGTCTCATCGCCCTCCGCCGACTAAACATTGAGACCCACCTGGTTATGAGTAAATGGGCCGAAGCCACAATCAAATACGAGACCGACTATCACCCGGCGAACGTCAAAGCCCTCGCCGACCACGTCCACAACATCAATGATATGGCAGCGCCAATTTCCAGCGGCTCCTTCAAAGCCGATGGCATGATCGTCGTCCCATGCAGTATGAAAACCCTTGCCGCGATTCACAGCGGCTATGGAGAAGATTTGATTTCGCGCACGGCAGATGTCATGCTCAAAGAGCGACGCCGTCTGGTACTTGTCGCTCGGGAGACCCCACTGAGTGATATTCATCTGCGCAATATGTTGGAAATCACCCGCAGCGGGGCGATTATCTTCCCTCCCGTGCCGGCCTACTATATCCGAGCTGCCACGGTCGATGATCTAGTGGACCAGAGCGTGGGGCGCATGCTGGACTTGTTCGATTTGGACACGGGGGATTTTGCGCGATGGGAGGGATGGTCGACGGAGAAATAAATGAAAATGGAATCCTCAAGGCGTTTTGGGTCAAGGGATCTCGGTCACATGTGACATGTAAATTAAACCATAGACATCACGCGGCGTTATCGGCTTTAGGCGTTAGTTATTCAAATTTCACTACTTTACTCCAGTCTTCAGGCTTTGAGAGATACCACGTAGCCTATTCAAGATACAGCTTAGTACTACAGTCAAGCTAGGTACATTTTGGATGGGGTGTTTATATGACCAAAACCCAAAGATATCCTGGAATCAGTTAGAGGCAGCTCGCTAGCGGACAGCATCTTGTTCAAAATATCTTTCATTGCCGTGGGTGGTAGGCCCAGGTGCTGGGCAAGTCGGCCATATCGGTCTCTGGGATTAATAGAGCTGCTACACTGACTAGAAAGACAAAAGCGAAAGAAAAGAAGCAAAATCCTCGAAATATGCGCGGTATTGTAAAAGGAGGGCCTTGAAGAGAACTTATCATAGAGGTCTGTTTCACTTCGGGAGAACGCGGACAAGCTCCAGCCAACGATAATTGAGTTTCACCTCCATCAAGAGCATCAGACTTGCTTCCCGAGTCAATGTTATGCCTTGAAAAACGAATTGCCACTGCCCAGTACTCATGGCTAAGAGCTAGATTCACTGCGCTGCTCGATCTGAGGCTTGCAGTATGCCACTGAAACAGGCGAGGAGTTGCTGGTTAAATGACAAGCTCTTTTCCTTCTATAAAGCATGTTGTTCCAGGACGCGTGTCAGTTCATCCTGTAGCCTTTATATCCTCGGTCTTGGCCTTCCGGAGACTTTCTAGAACTGTGATTCCCCACTTCCCCAGAAATTCCCTGCGCCAGGCCCACTCGCTTAAATCGAGGCCCGAGACCCTGCATAAACTTTTTTTTACAACCGCATGACCATCCGGTGAATATTCCGAATCCAGTCTACACCAAGCCATTTTCCCCGCGTCAGGAACGGCGGGGAACTTTATGATTCTTGCGGACCGAGGAACCGGAGCAGCACATGTTGATTCCTGAAGTATGAGGAATTATAAAATCTACGATTCTGTCGAGGGAGATGGACTACCAAAACATACCAAGCGAGTAAGCTAGTCAGCGGTGGCAATGAACATTATCATGCTCATTCATCTGTTCCTTGTTGTGCCGATCCTGGCTGCTCCCTTTGATAGAAGGGCCAGTGCACCCACAGTTACCATTTCCACGCCCGAAGCTACCATCATCGGATCAACTTCAAGCAATATCGACACCTTCAATGGAATCCCATTCAGTCTCGCACCCACTGGGGCCCGTCGACTCAAGCCTCCACAGGCAATCGCAACGTCACTGGGAAAAGTTGAAGCAACAGGAACAGCCATGGGCTGTCCGCAGTTCTACTTTACGACAAGTACCAGCGACTTCCCCGTCTCTATTCTTGGTGACATTGCCGATATTCCGTTGTTTCAAACAGTCACCAATGCCGGTGAAGACTGTCTCAATCTCAATGTCCAGCGTCCCTCGGGGACCACAGCCGGCGCAGGTCTCCCGGTCTTGGTGTGGATATTTGGCGGTGGTTTTGAACTTGGGTCCACATCAATGTATGATGGATCGTCTATCGTCGCTTCCTCGGTGACACTAGATATGCCTGTTATCTTCGTGGCAATGAATTATCGCGTGGGTGGGTTTGGGTTCATGCCCGGATCGGAGATTCTCAAGGATGGTTCTGCGAATCTGGGTCTTCTGGATCAGCGTCTGGCTCTAGAGTGGGTGGCCGACAATATTGAAGTGTTTGGAGGCGACCCGTCAAAGGTGACGATCTGGGGAGAATCTGCTGGAGCAATCTCCGTCTTTGATCAGATGGCTTTATATGACGGTGACATCACTTATAACGGATCGCCGCTGTTCCGAGGCGCTATCATGGACTCTGGGAGTGTTGTGCCAGCGGACCCAGTGGACGGGGTGAAGGGGCAGGCGGTTTATGACGCCGTTGTCAAAGATGCAGGGTGCAGTGGAGCGACCGACACACTCGAGTGTCTCAGAGATCTGGACTATACGACATTTCTCAATGCTGTGAACTCCGTTCCGGGAATCCTATCATACAACTCTATCGCCCTTTCATATCTCCCACGACCTGACGGCACAGTCCTAACCGAATCTCCAGAAATTCTGGTGGAAAGTGGCAAATATGCCTCTGTGCCATTTATTATTGGAGACCAAGAAGACGAGGGAACGATATTCGCCTTGTTCCAATCCAACATCACGACTGAGACGGAAATCGTCGACTATTTGCAGGACCTCTTCTTTGCCGACGCATCACGCACTCAACTCGAGGATCTAGTAGCCACTTATCAAACCATTACAACTGACGGTTCGCCATTCCGCACCGGAGTTCTCAATAATTGGTACGGACAGTATAAGCGCCTGGCAGCAATTCTAGGAGATCTCACATTCACGCTAACCCGTCGGTTATTCCTCACGGTTGCTAATCAAGTGAAGCCCGATGTACCTTCCTGGTCTTATCTATCTTCGTACGATTACGGTACTCTGTTGCTCGGGACATTCCATGCTTCAGATTTATTGCAAGTGTTTTACGGGATTTTGCCAAATTATGCATCCAAGTCCACGCATTCGTATTATCTTTCCTTTGTTTATGATCTGGATCCCAATTCCAAGGCTACGGGATATACTGAGTGGCCGCAGTGGAGCGCTAGTCAAACTTTGATGAACATCTTTAGTGACTATGGAGCTATACTCGCTGATGACTTTAGAAGTGACAGCTTTGACTTTATTCAGGCAAATGTCGGTTCGTTTCATATATAGTCAAGTGAAGACTCAAAGCTATAATGCATATATTTACCCTCACTATCTTACTTTCCATTCAATATAAACTTCTTTCGTCTACCTCCACGTCGCTACGGCCGTTGCAGTGGTGCCTGAGCAGACGGTTGGCACTGTATAAGTCCGGTTGGGGTCACTTTCCCATTTGATCGATGTCGATCCATCCGTCTTCTCGATATATTTATACTCAAAGACCGTCCCAGCAGGCAGCGTTATGACGACATACCACAATGGATCGGAGGATGTGTAATCAGCGGCAGACAAGGCAATAGCATCATCTGTATCCCAACTTCCAAGCGCACTGATGGAACCAGAGATGTAGATATTCTCGCCGTATGTGGTGGTTACGACTTCCTCGAAGAGCACTGGCACGGCAGTGACTGCAGAGCAAGTGCTAGTGGTTGTCGTGGATGTAGTCGTAGTGGTTGACGTGGACGCCTTGGTGGTAGTCGTACTCGTTGATGTGGTCGACGTGGTCGTCTTAGTCGTGGATGTGGAGGTAGACGTGGAAGCAGTAGTTCCACACAGTCCACTGCCAGTGACAGAAGAAGACAGCATGAACACACGAGGTAGGCCAGATGCCATTGGGACTGCGATATCTCCACTAGAGTCCACTGTCACGGAGGTACAAGTGTACATCTCCATGAGCACGGTACCCGAGGAATAGCCACTGCCGCTGAGTGTCAGAGTGTACGAGCTGGCACTCGAACCTTTGTTTGAAAGAACAGTAATGACCGGTGAGGTACTCGATCCCTTCTTCATAGCGAGAGTATTGCTATCCTGGTAGAATGCATCGTTCTAAAAGATGTTAGTCTTTTCCGTGTAAGAACCACCAGTACATACTAGTGTAGTAATGTAAGTAGAATCCGCAGATATCGCTAGATTGCGAATCTCGTTTGTTGAAGCAATAAACTCATATAGTGTTGCGGTGGTGGAATACCCAGATAGCCAAGTGGCCTCGCGATTGTCAGGATCACTGCCACCACTATAGTGCTGTTCCTGACCTGCGTAGATGATTGGAATACCATCTGACAAGAACACGAAAGAGATCACATTCTTTGCTTGGGAATAGTCGGATGTATAGCTTCACCGGTTAGCTTAGTCTGTAATAAAAAAGGTGCACGTACTAAGCAAATCGAGGGTTGTCATGGTTTTCAATAAAGTTTCCAAGGAGCGTAGGATCGGCACAGTCCGAAGCAACTGAATTGATCATATCGTATAAATCGCTGATGCTGCCACTCGAATCCTCAAAGGCATAGAGCAATTGATAGTAGCTATGAGGTTAGTATGTCTTGCTAAACAGGTAGGCCACTTACATTGGATAGTTCAGCACTCCATCCAGGTAGTCCTGGTAGGGACAGGTATAGGCTGGATCCCCATCGTAGACCTCGCCCACGCAGTAGATACCGGCAGCGTCATTGTAATCAGGCCAAAATGATTGTTGGACATGTTTGACAGTATCGATGCGCAGCCCGTCGACTATTGAGGTTAGCGTGATACGATGCGCGGGTCGATCTGCATACTTGAATAGTTTGACACCAAGGCTGCGACCCAATCGTACCAGATGGTCTGTACTGATGTCAGGGTAGTATCAAGATCTGGCAATGAAACAGTAGTATCTCCAAGCCAGCAATCCTCCACATTGGTCTGATTGTCGTAGTTGCTGATCAGACAGTAGGAATGGAAGTAGGAGGACGAGTCAAAAGGATTGAAGACACTATAGTCTACACTTGTGCCTGCACCATCATAGCCCTGGACGAATGAGATAACGAATTTATGATTCCTCAGGAGTCTTACCATGTGATTTGCCACCACGTCTACCATAAGATACATTCCTCTAGCATGTAGAGCCTCCGACAATGCCAGCAGATCAGCGGCGGTTCCATAGTTCGTGTTCACATTGTATCTAAAAGATCAGTCTTGTTCATCATGAGGGTTTGAGTTATTACATTTCCTGCTGCCAATAGCCGTGGTATGCCTCACCCTCCCCTGTGTCTTGCTGCAGCTGTTCCGTCACTGGTGTGATCCATATGGCCGTAAATCCCATGCCTTGGATATAATCCAGCTGTAGTAGTTAGTATGAAGATATGAAGTCTGGGAAAGACTAACATGATTGATGATGCCTTGCCAGCTACCTCCGCAGTAAATCTAGACAGTTAGCCATTGTGACATTGACATCTAGGGGATATTTCCTTACCCGGTCAGAAACATCACATGCCGCCGTAGTTGAATTGTCCGTCCGACCAAATCGATCAGTCAACAAGAAGTAGATAGATTGAGTACGCCATTCAGCTGGCGTTAGGCCTATGACCACACTCGCAAAGAGCACAGTGATCCAAGCAAGTTGCTTCATAAAAGCGGTAGCCAAGTCAATATTTGGAATAGATTTGAGATTCCTTCAAGGCGACTCGGCACCTGGAAGTCGGTTTATACCGTTTCTCTCCACAGAAATATGCAATCTCCGGTGGCCATCACACTCATCCAGCCCACGGAGGCCTGTCGGACAAAAGCACCAATCGCTTCTCAAGATGCTCCTCGTGCAACCGGTCGTCAGAAATTTCATGGTAGCGACGGCATGGCTTGAAGTTTGAAACTTCTGGAATTCCGTTGCCCAAGCCGACTTGAGGTTAGATTCCCATCAATGAAGAAAAGATCGCCGTCGGCAATTAACTTCTGTGACAGAAAACTAGTGCCGAAATGACTAGTGCCCGACGCCAGTCTTCAACGGGATCCCCCGAGCGCCAGCGGGGTTTCTTCACGGCTCTCCGCATTTCCAATAGCCAATATTGTCGGCCGCTGGACTTCATTTCCGGTGCACATGCCGATCTCATTATTTGCCAAAACGCCTCCTTCGTAGGCGAAGACAACGCCTTCAGGGACGGCGCAGTATGCAGGCGCTGATTGGTGGTTATAACGCCCAGGTGCTGCGGGGTTCCCCGACTTTTGTCGACAGGGGACGGAGAATCCCCGGGCGTCACAGAACCAAGTTCTGAATCCCCTGCATGACAGACTAAGCTGAATGAACAGTCGGACCGGTATTGCAATCAGAATCGAGATGTTTTGAGGAAAGATCGGGTAATTGAGATCTCCACTTTGCTGCACGTCACGCCCGGGCAGTCCGAGCTCATGCGCCGTGATTCCCGTGATTCACATCTAACCGAACCCCTTCGACGATGGAGAATATAAAAGGCGAGCAACCCATATGGGTAGAGAGACAAGAAAGGCAGAAATCGAGATTTCGAATCATGGCTTCTCGTATCTTTACCGCGCTTTGTGCGCTGACCCTGGGCAAAACTGTCCTGGCCATCCCTGGATACTTGGCTCCACGGGCGTCTACAAGCGTTGCCAGCTGGTTGGCCACGGAGACTCCCATCGCAAGGCAAAGCATTCTCGATAATATCGGATCTGCCGGTATATATGCTGAGACTGCGGATTCGGGTATCGTGATTGCCAGTCCAAGCTTGGATAGTCCTGACTGTAAGAACAACCCATCGATGACAAAGCAAGAGACTAATAGACCTAGATTACTATACCTGGACTCGTGACTCGGCTTTGACGCTGAAGGTCTTGATTGATTTGTTCAGGAATGGAGATACTGCTTTACTCTCCATCATTGAGGAGTACATTGACGCCCAGGCTTATATCCAGACGGTCTCCAACCCATCTGGTTCTCTTTCTGATGGAACTGGACTGGGTGAGCCCAAGTTCAACATTGATGAGACTGCCTATACTGGATCCTGGGGACGTCCTCAGCGTGATGGTCCTGCTCTTCGGGCCACTGCGCTGATCAGCTTTGGTCAGTGGTTGGTGGTAAGTGATGCCCTCCATCTAGCAATCGGCAGTGCTAATGACGCAGGAAAACGGCTATACCACTACGGCAACCAACATTGTGTGGCCAATTGTGCGAAACGATCTGTCTTATGTGGCGGAGTACTGGAACCAGACCGGTTATGGTGAGAACTTCATTCCTGACCAATGTCAAGACGTCACTGACCATCTAGATCTGTGGGAGGAGGTTTCCGGCTCCTCTTTCTTTACCATCGCTGTCCAGCATCGTGCACTGGTGGAGGGCAGTAAATTCGCGGCTTTGGTGGGCTCGTCTTGCTCATACTGCGACTCTCAAGCCCCTCAGGTTCTTTGCTTCCTCAACCAGTTTTGGACCGGATCGTACGTCTTGGCCAACTTCGACAGCAGTCGCACGGGCAAGGACGCCAATACGCTCCTAGGTAGCATTCACACCTTTGACCCTGAGGCGGCCTGCGATGACAGCACTTTCCAACCCTGTTCTTCTCGCGCACTGGCAAATCACAAGGTGGTGACAGACTCTTTCCGCTCGGTTTATACCCTGAACTCGGGCATCGCTGAAGGAGTGGCCGTGGCCGTCGGTCGGTACCCAGAAGATTCCTACTACAATGGAAATCCCTGGTTCCTGTGCACCCTAGCTGCCGCTGAGCTTCTGTACGACGCATTGTACCAGTGGAACAACATCGGTTCCTTGACCATCGACAGTGTGTCATTGGACTTCTTCACTGATCTTTACAGCTCCGCCGCGACAGGGACCTATTCTTCATCCAGTGCGACGTACTCGTCGATCGTGAGTGCCGTGAAGACATACGCGGATGGATACGTCAGCCTGGTCGAGACATACGCGGCCAGCAACGGATCTCTGTCCGAACAATACAGCAAGACAACTGGGGCTCAACTGTCGGCCAGAGATTTGACCTGGTCCTACGCGGCCTTGTTGACAGCAAACATGCGCCGTAACTCTGTTGTCCCTGCAGCCTGGGGTGAGACCTCTGCTAGCAGTGTCCCGGCCACCTGTAGCTCCACCTCGGCGACTGGCACCTTTAGCTCTGCGACTAACACGGCCTGGCCCGCTACTTTGACCAGTGTATCTGGAACGACGACAGCCACCACTGCCACTACCACTACCACCGGTACCGGCACCACCGCAACCACCACATCCACATCAACAACGAAGACCTCCACGACAACGACTGCCTGCACTACCCCGACCGCCGTGGCCGTGACCTTTGATCTGATTGCAACCACCGTCTACGGCGAGAACATCAAGATTGCCGGCTCCATCTCCCAGCTCGGTGACTGGGATACCGATGATGCTGTCGCTCTTAGTGCCATTGACTATACCAGCAGCGATCATCTCTGGTTCGTGACCACCACTCTCCCTGCGGGAACTGTCTTTGAGTACAAGTATATCCGGGTTGAGAGTGATGGAACGATTGAGTGGGAGAGTGACCCGAACCGCTCCTACACTGTCCCAGCTGCCTGTGCTACCACGGCCGTGACGGAGAGTGATACCTGGCGATGAGTGCTCCAGATGATTGATGGAAGCTGGATTAGACCAGTCGTATGGAAGTGAAGTGTTGTGATGTCAGTATGGAAGAATATGAAGAATGAATGAATTGGTATAAATTCTATGAAACATGGACAAGTAAATGTAAAGTAAAGCTGATCTTACAGCTGCTGATGACGGATAAAAAGTCCTAAGAACGCAGCTCCGAGAGAGCATACAAGCGAAAACACTAGCGAGGATTAGAAGTATTCTTTTGCAGGACAAAGGGAACTCACCATATGTATGCTTGAGACCAGCAATATAACAGGCCACAACAATCTCTCGAAGGCGACCACTCAGATGCGCGATATAGTCAGTATCATCCATGGCCCTTTGGATAACCCGCTCCGAACCAGGACCATGTAGATGAAGTTCAAGCTGGCGCTTAAATTCCATTCCCAGAACGGAATTGGAAGTGGTAACTCCAGCGGTCATGGCGAAGCTGATCAACAACATGTACATGGCCGTCGCCATAGCCACCTCATTTGGAGGCAAAGCCGCAGTCAGTGCAACAAACGCAGCTGCGGAGGCCATTCCAGTACCCATGCCACCAGGGAGGATATACAGCGACTCCCAAGGGCCGGTATTTCCATTCCAGCGCAACCCTAGAAGGATATAGGAGACTGATGCTACCAGGCCAGCAAGCACCAAGAGAACGCGATAGGATCCCGTCTTTCGAATAAAGATTCCTGCAAATAGTCCTCCCACGGTGTTGCCAACCACTGCGGGGACAAGATGAACACCCGCTGCGGTGGTGGATGCATTCTGGGTAACCTGGAAGTACAGTGGGACGGAGAACAGCATTCCCAGCTGGGCGGTGATCTGCAGTGTGCTGAGGACGTAGCTCACGGCCACGTTAGGTCTGCGCAAAATGCGAAGATTGAAGATGGGCTCTTTGGCTACATATGCCTCGACCAGGACGAAAGAGACTAATAGCAAGAGACCACAGCCACCGAGCACAAATGTCAACCACGAAGTCCATGGGAAGGCCTTTCCACCTTGATCTAGGAGACCAATCAGGGCGACAATGCCTGCTCCCAAAAGTCCTGTTCCTAGGAAGTCGACTTGTCCGAGTTTCGATTTTCCGCTCTCGGACACTGTTTCAGTCAGTTGGAGTTTGATTATCACTAGGAAGGCTGCAAGGGCGAAAACAGGGGCTTGTAGAAGGAATAGCCTATCAAATGTTAGAGATGACTTTCTCTCGCGGGAAGAAGTCATACCATCGCCATCCCACGGTGTCACTCAACCATCCTCCCACTGGGCCCCCAAGACTGCGGCCCAGGGTCATGGCAATATTCACATAAGCTCTCCATGTCGCAATCTCACGTCTCGGGACGATATCTGTAAATCTTAGCGATAGTCCGTTCACCCGAATAATCCTTGCGCACCAGTAATAATCACTGAGCTGATCGTCATCGTCCCGGCACCTCCGATGCCACTAATCGCGCGACCCAAAATGACCACCCCCATATGTGAAGCAACACCACTACCTTCATCAGCATATTTCGATTTTGTGCGATCACAGTAAAATACCTGATAATACATCCCAAGGCGAATAAAAAGTAAGAGAGCAAAAGGAGTGGTTTGCGACCGTAGATATCGCTGAGTTTCCCATACTACACGTGATCAGCGCTGCCCGTCTTTCTGTTGCAATCTACTTACCATGGGCTGTGCCGCGCAAAGACCTAACGAATAACCGGTTGATAGCCAGCTTGCATCGCGTAATCGATCAAATTCCGATGAGATGTGCCCGGAGGCCGCAATGACAAGGGTCGAATCAGCGTTCGAGATAAATTCCCCTGCAAATTTGTTAGATAGATCGCGTAAGGATTTTCTTTCATCGTACCGAGTAATAACACGGCGATGATGGTCCCGACTCCGACTAGAGGAGTGACTTTTGAATCGAGTGTGGGAGGAGCAAGCAATGGGCTTTCTTCATCGCAGCTTCCGTTGCCAGCTTCCGTTGCCGGCCTTGCCGACGAGTCGGTCATTTTTTTGATGATAGTTGGGCCCTGTCCGAAGAGATCAAACTTAATTAATTCTGAACGGAAAGAGAGGAAATGATTATCTATATGCAATGAGTTTCGAGGGCCATTGCGTTATTGGCACTTTTAGCCGTTAGGACATGAATCGATTCAAGTGCCATTAAACCAATGAAAATCTGTGTGGATGTGTTCTCATCAGGTTCATAAAGCACGTCATCTATGGAGTAGATCCACTATATAGATGGATAGTATACGGAGTGCATATGACTATATCAAGTACCTCAGGTAAGCGAAAATTCGAATGCCAGACATGTGTAACTCTAAGTCTTAAACGCCTTTTACGCCTGAAAATCTCGATATCTAGAAATACCGAATTCTTGAAATGAGTTTTGAATCCCGTAGGCGAAATCTCCGTATGAGCGCCATCCAGTGGGTCGATGATGCCATATTCAGAGACCCGCCTCCGGATTTATGAAATCTAGATCGAAGAGCCGACCACATTTCTTTCCTGTTATATAATTTAGACATTGAATAACCATCCCTTTGTTCATTGGCAATACGTGAGCCTGAGACACATTCAAATCTGAACATATATCTACCCTCAGTATAGCGGTGCGTTTAAGATATATAGTGATGCCGCGTGTCACTTAGTGGTACGGGTACCTTGGATCCACTACTCCAGATGAGCGCACGACCTTCATAGGAAACTGGCGATTGAAACATTAGGTTCTACTTTTACCGTAGTTGGTATATCTACATATGTATGTATATAGTTGGAATAGCCAATTTTTGTGCTGAAGTGCTTGGTCTCCTATTTCGTCTCGACTCAGTTTTCTTCTATATCTATCCCTCTTAAACATTTACTTAAGTATAGGGTCAGGTAGACCCAGTTTACTCCAGCGCTTACATCTCTTAGCTCTCTCTTTCTCTCTCATCCCTTCTCTTTCCTCTCGAAATGCAGATCATATACCTTTCTTCTTCTTCTTCTTCTTCTTCTTCTTCTTCTTCTTCTTCTTCTTCTTCTTCTTCTTCTGGCCTTTAGTTTCCCTAGACGACAGATCAGCTATCGACACCATTAAATCATCAATAATCAATCTCGATCTTCACCATAGCTAAGAAGAGCTTAAATCGGGGTTTCCCGAAAGCGAAGTCAGTTATACTCATAAAGATCTGATTATACCAACTATTACTAATTTCTATAAAGTGATATCCTTTATACCCGAGATCGTCTTAGAGACAGAATACCTCGAAATCCGGGGCACTTCAACAGCATCCTCCAAATCCTCCATTTCATCACCAACTTTATCTTTCTTAGGAACTTCTAATCCCTCTGCCTTTTCTCTAATATCCTCCTTCCTTTTTTCTATTTTTTTCTAAAATATCTTCCTTAAAAAAAAGCATCTTAGGGCTGCAAAACAAACCCCAAAAAGAGAAACTGCTAAAGACAGTAGTACTTCATTAATCTTAGGGTACTTACCACCCTAGTCGCGGTTACCTCTGACCAAGAACCCAGAATGTACGGCAGCGTATAAAAGTTCCGGAAGAAGACGAATGTTCGCTTCATTTCCCCAGAGACGCCCCTGAATTTTCTCAGAGCCTCGAAACTTGAAGCTCACGTCTCAAAGTTCAAACTTCAAAATTGAATCTCAATGTTGTCTTTCTGAACCATCTGCTCAGAGTCTGATCATCAGCCTGTTGTCTTTCTCAACGAGCTGCCCAGTCTTGAACTATTTGTTCGTCTTCAATCCTCGGTATACAGTCTGTGTTCTATACGGTCGTGTTCGACCTTCTGAATTCTCGGTCTGTGCTCTACAGTCCGTGTTCTACAGTCTACTGTCCTTAATTTTCCACTATTTGGAAGAAGTTGAAGCGATTCATTCCGGAAGGCGATGTCAGTTCTATTTATGAGCGATGATTTCAGATCTGTGCTGATGTTATACAAAATAAAAGCGATGTCCGTTCCACCCAGGTGCACAGCATAGCCGTTCCCAGTGTCATATTACATTGGCAACAGCTCAAGCCACTGCCGTGGCTATCAATAACCTGTACCAGTTCTCAATCATCTCTCCAGTCTTGAACCATTTTGTTCGTCTTCAATCCTCAGTCTACAGTCCTGGGATTCCCGGTCTTCTGTTATCTCTGATCAGTCTTTTCCCTTTGATCAACAGTCTGCTTTCATCTCTGATCAGTCTTTTCTCTTTGATTGACTCTCCTGAACTATGGCTGATGTTATTCAAAAAACAGCGATGCCCGCTCCACCCAGGCGCCGCACAATCAAGCCATGAGTGTAAGGTCATACGGGCCGGGTGATTCAGCTGAACTCTAAAGCGGGTGCGGGTGGCCTCCGCCGGTCACGCCACTGCCATGACCCTATACAGCGTCTACCAGGCGCAGGGGGTTAGTGAATCAAAAACCACCCCCACCAAGTCACTGCTTGAACTTCATACTAAGAGATGTAGAATCGAAACCGCCGTGTTCGACAGCGAAATCGCGGAAAGGGGAGGCAGGACCCTAACAGGGTGGGCAAGATGGCCGTGAAGGGCAAGGGGGTGGCCCGCCAGCTTGAACGGGCCATCCCCGACCCTCAGGCCGAGGCTGAGGGTGAGATCGTGGTAGGGGTGGTGGAAGAGGCTGAGGCTGAGGCTGAGGGCGAGGGAGATATAATGGAGCCTGTTCTTGACACCATACAAGGCAACTACTGCAACCCAGAAGCAATACTGGAATCTATATTGTTTACGATCTACTAAACATTGCAAGGATGAAGTGATTGCATAGATTTAAGCCCACATATGTATGTCAATACAGCGCTAGCTCACTGAAATTGCTCAAGTCGTCAGTCATCAACCGTCCTCAAATAACGTATCTAAATTGCGGATTATCCTTGTCCGTCAAGCCAGACCACTTGACTTCATCGACAATAGCCTCAGTTACAGCGCCGCGTCGATCCCGACGGCGATTCTCCCAGCAATAGTACAGAAACAGTACAATAGTCAACACAGCTGCTGATGCCTGTGTTGCAAGAACGATAATCTTAGCAGGTCGATACCCTGGTGCATCACGGGCCTGAAAGGTCTGCGGTCCGATGATATTTCCCACGGAAAAAGACCCAGCAATTAAGGCACTGGCGAACGCACGTTTGGTATGTCCGGCGCAGTTGGCCATGGTCCACTGGTACAGAATGGGTAGGGTGGCCACGATGGCGTTGACGAGATAGACTCCTATCAGAATTCCCGCCTTGTTCTTCTTCGGAAGGAACGAGAACAACGCCGACCCAATTATCCCCGGGATGCAACAGAGGACATTCCAGGCCCAGCGGTTAGAGGTTCGGCGGATGCCAAAACCGACTAGTAGGGTGAAGAAGATGCTGACTATACCGGAGGGCGTGTTGAGGAGGGCTGAGATGGGACCTGAAAATCCGAATCCTGCAATCAGGGTTGCGGAGTATGTGGTCACCACGCCGCTTGAGATGGATATCTGATAGGTTAGCTTGGAACCAGATGAATAGAATTGCAACTTACTAGGATTGTAATGATGGTTAACAGACAAAGCTGAGGATCGTACACACTTTGCCAGATCTGTCGCAGGTGGTACTTGGAACTCCACATTCCAGTTTGGTTCTTGCTGATATGCTGGATAAGAACGAGTTTTTCATCACTAGACAGCCACGAGGCTTTGATTGGAGTATCCGGGATGAAGAAAAAAGTCAAGGCGCCTACCAAGCTGGTGATGAGACCCAGTACCAGAAACATGATTCGCCATCCCTCCATCGATGCATGATGAACATGTTGGAATGCAAATGAAATAATGCCACCCAGAATCTGAGCAACACCCAGTCCCATGTACCAGAATGTGAATCTCGGAGCTTGTTCACTGCGGGTATAGTATTGACTGCTAATAAGCATCAATGAGGGACCGACAGTCGCCTCGAAGACGCCAAGGAATACTCGTGGAATCAGCAGGGTTCGATAGTCATGCGCTGCAGCTCCACAAGCAGCAGCTAGACCCCAGAGAAAAACATTTGCGCCGAGCCATTTCGCGGCTGGGAATTTCTGAAGACAGAAAACTGCATCAGTCAGAGCTGGGTCACCAAGCAAGGGGTGGAGGGGGGTTGATACTTACCGTTCGGTACCTCGGCGATGAGATAGGCAACGAAGAAATATGTAGCGATGTCGCTGAACTCATTGCCCACAAGTTTTAGGTCTTTTCGTAGACCCATGACCGAGGCGTAATTGAGCATCACCTTGTCTAGGAACTGCAGGACATAACAACAGAACATGTAAGGGAGCAAGTGTCGGTCAATCTTGCGTCGAAGTGCGACTACATCAACCTCGACAGTTCTGGTGTGAGCTTCGAGATAATCAACTGCATCATCTTGGTCCTTGATAGAAGAATCCATGTCAATAAAGGTGGGACGGGGATGGGTACGGGACAGAAATGGCGATGGGGGGTGGAGATGGGGAAGAGGGGATGTAAGGTCAGAGTTGTACAAGCATTTTGAGAAACCAAGACTGCTCTATCACTTTGTCAGATTTGTACTCGACTCAGCTCCTGGTATTTCTTCCAACAATCTCACGCTTTCCAGCCAATGCCTTCCCCATTCAATATGTGGGTGTTTAACGCCACGGATGAGGTCGAAGCAGTGTCTCAGTACAAGTTGATTCTCGCTGTATGTCTGACTTTTACCTCTTTGATGGTTATCGTGGTTTCTTTACGTCTGTTTCTACGCGCAAAGGCGAATCGACTTCTTGCGGCGGATTATGTGATTTTCGTTTCTATGATTTTCAGTATCATCTACAGTGCTTTGTGTATCGCTCGTGAGTAATATTGCTCCTCCTTCCATAATCAAACTAATTCAAACAGAAAGCAGGTATGGCCTTGGACTTCCACTTGCGCTGCGCCCAAAGGCCGATTTGGCAACATATACCAAAGTCAACTATGCCGGACGTCCATTTTACCAGTTAGGCATCGCCGGATTCAAGGCCAGTCTGTGCTTATCCTACTTGAGCTTGCTCGTTGGCACATCGAAGCACATCTATCGCTCATTGATCTGGGTTGTTATTTTCCTCTCGACTGGAGGTCATATTGCGGGAACTCTGGTCTTGTTGCTCAGCTGCACGCCTGTTAAACGAGCCTGGGATATCACAGCTCATGGAACCTGCTTTCCCATTGGACCTACCTTCTACGGGCTTGCAATCTACACCATATTCTGCGATCTGATGATCATCTTCCTGCCGATTCCACTGCTGATCAAGTTGAACATCAAACGCGCACAAAAGATTGGAGTCCTTTGCCTGTTCCTATTAGGTCTTTTTACAACAATCTGCTCTATTCTCCGTCTAACCCAGATACATCGAGTTGCATTTGGTGTAAGTCTCTTCCTGTGTGGTTTTGTCCATACTAATGATTTCAAAGGATGGCAATTCGACTGCTCTGATCCTTTGGGGGACAGTTGAATTCAATATTGGGGTGCGTAAAAGCACCGTGCATAGAGACTCTCATGCTGATCACATCTAGAACATAATGGCCTCGGTACCATACCTCACCCCATTGCTCAAGGGCGTCGTGCGAGATTTCCGCAGTCGGAGGGAGTATGATAGCCAGGGAAATCCGATGGAGAGCTGGGTACAATCGGTTTCATCACCTACAAAGCGAGGCTTCCCCCAGTCACCGACGAAGCGAGGCATTCCCCAGTCACCTACAAAGCGAGGCTTCCCTCAGTCTCCGACGAACCGAGCTTTTCCCCCGTCACCTGCAAAGCAAGGATTCGTCGATCTAGAGTCGGAGGAAGTGATTGAAAGGGTGATCAGTTTCCAGGTTAGTCGGGATTAACTTTATGACTGGGTAGTTAAACTTAGCTAGACTTAGCTAAATTTGCGCCGGTAAATAGCGGCCTTGAATGATATTTGGACTTGCCCAATGAACAGTATAGAATTGGGTTTTACCCACTGTAAAGGTATGTAAGACCATTCTATGATTGCTGCTCATACTCTTGTTAAAATTGGCGTATTTGGTCTGTTTGATTTGTCCATGGTGAATCCGATGGAATGAAGTTATATGGCCATACACGTGACCATCAGACTTGGAAGTTGAATATAAACCCGAACTGCTTACCTAACTGCTTCACTCTCCTACATTGACTTCCTGCCATGCCATTTGTTCATGCTGCCTTCATCCGGACCCATCATATTACGTCTCGAAAAAAAGTCGCTGTCTTAAAACGTGCCGCCAATACACATCAATGTTTTGTCCTTTTACGCACAGGGGGTTGCCCAGGAATGATGTATGCAGAAAGCCAGGAACAAACAAATGTTGAGTCGTGGGTTACTGTCGTGCGTAAGCTGCGCTATAAGGATTATCAGCTGGTCGCTAAGCCAGGGATCGTGACACTGGATGGTGAAGCTCCTTCTGTTACTGGGTTGTGGGAGGTCTCTAGTGTCAAAGAGTTTGGGGAATTTATGTCCAAGAGGGGGACGAACGTGTTCGAGTCCTGGAGAAAAGCAATGGGATATGCGGCTGCCTGACCCGACTATATACTGATGTTGTTCCATGCTGTACATTATTTCTAAGGATATAACGCCATCTCGATAATATACATGGTCTCGCTCGCTACTGGAGACCAATTCAAATAACAGGAGCCGGGAAGCTGAGGATCTTGCAAATATCCTGCCTGGAATCAGTAATGAACTTCTTAAAAGATATTGGATTCGTACCCTTCTCTGACGTCGGTTGTCATCGTAGAGTTGTTTCCACACCTCACGATCTCTGCAACCACTCTCTTGCGGTGTCCCAGGAAAATAATCGCACGCAGGCTGCAGCTCAGCCAGCAATTTGCCTGGCCACATCACCCAGGGCTTGGGCATAGGCCAATCAGAGAAATGGACGAACTTGGCCTCGGCCAGCACTTTATCCGGATTCCATTCCTCCTCTGAAGAGCCCAAGTACCGACTGTGGTCTTTATTGCGGAACTCTCCCGACAAAAGTCCATACTGTCGGTGTGGCAGCACCAGGGCACTATCTCCGTATCGATCATTCAACACCTCCATGTCATATCGGTGGTCAGTCTGGTTCATGTCGCGCTGGCCGGCGAGGGCGGGCTGGATGAATTCTCGAAGGGTGGTATATTCACGGAACGACGGTTCGATCACGGCCATGAGGGAGGAGAGGGTGTGGACTTCGGGGAGGAGCCAATACGCGCGAGGCATGGCAATCTGGGCCTTGGGGAGGAAAAACAGCTCATCCATGTGCTGCAAGAGGGTCATGTCGGAATCAAGATGGATCACGCGGTCATACTGGAGGAGGCCGAATGCGTTTAATTTGATAGTACTTGTGTCCCATCCTGCCTCAGCATATCCTATCATACAGTCAGCACAGCCCTCTTCAGCCTGTGGTAGGATTTACCATGTTGCGCCACTTTCGCGTCCACTCTGATGTTCTCAACCACGACCGGTCTCAGGTCCACATTGTAGGCGTCCCTGGCCAGTAACAATAGCTGACTGATACGGTCTACATCATTCTCAACAACCAAGTCCCATTCTTGGGGGTAGAACAAGACCCGTTCTGCGCGGGATCCGAAGCGGTGCAGGGCCTCAAACACCATGACGCAGTTGCAGAGGTAGGTTTCCGAGGTCGCATAAGATGTGTAGGCATAACGCGACCAGTCCACCCGGTTCTGGTCAAGGGGAGGCCAGGAGGCGTCGGACGATGGAGAGCGCCGGAATCGCCATTGGAGTAAGAACAGGACCAGCAGGGTGATCCAGGTACGAGGTCGGCGCAATTGGCGCTTGGCAATTGTTTTTATAGATTCATCAGGAATATCGAAAAAGTCTCTCTCAGAAGAGTTCGAGCCGCGGCGATAGGGGAAAGCAGAACTTTTTATCGCCATGATGTGGAGAGAGAATTAGATGTGCGGAGATGTCGTTCTCCCGCGTTATCGTCACGTGCGGGGCCTTCGATATTAACCTCAAGTTGCTTTTGGGGCATTTAGGTAGATGAGCAAGTTCTTTGGGGATTCGTGGGGATTCGTGGCAAGGGGAGTTTGCTGCTCTGGTGGGGTTCAACTGAGTGTACATGTGGAGTCATTGACGCGTATCTGCAAATCTCCCGAATATAATCTACCTTTTATAGTGGCAATGTGGAGTTCTTTAAATAGAACCAATGAACTCGAGGAAAAAGAAGTTGATCAAAACCATACTCTTCATGATCTTCTTATCTTAAGCACAAAAAGTAGATAGGAGGCTCAAAGCAGGGTAGAGAAGGCTTAAGAATGACAGATGAAGTAAATTACAGAATCCACAGTTTATGTGAAGTTATTAGCATACCATGACATTGCTATCATTGCTATCATTGCTATCATTGCTGTCAAGGTGTCTGTGACCTGATCCATTACTCCCATTAATGCACATATGGTGCCACTTGCTCCCTTTCAACTCCATGTATATACATATTCATCAAATATACTCTCCACCAGGAAGTAATCGTACATCACCTGATGATGTTGATCGTGGCCGACTTTTGCCCACCTGTACGACAACTTCCGTCTTGACTGAGACACATCCAGGATCAACGTGATCTGGCAGTGCCCGAGATATACGACTCTCTGACCGCGGCCAATCCGGTGAACTTTCTTCATCCTGCCACCCGGTCACAGTCGTCGAGTCCATCCATTGGTCTTTCGGGCGACGTTTCATTTCAGTGTCATTGCTGTTTTCTTTGGACTTGGACCGAGACCAGTATCCTGGTCGGCCGCCACTGCGAGAGTCGACGAATGCTCGGAGAAAGAGACGCGCGACGGGCGCGCATGATGCGAGGAGAATGCTGTAGTTTTCAATCCTGACTATGTTAGCAGGTGCGACACCGTGTGAGCTTTGTGCTTACTTCACCCAGAGTATGAATGAGACGATGTTGTAAGTGAAATCCTGTCGATCTCCTAACGATTTAAGTTTCTGAACTAGTTAGTTTATATTCCATTGGCTCTCACGTTGACGTACATAGGTCTTGATAATTGATGCAGCTCCGGAGAGGATCAAAGGACCACTCAAGGTGAGTGTCTGCCATATGCGCCGCGACCGAGTTGTCCTGTTGATCTTGCGGAACTGAGCCCAGAAGGATATATTAGGGTCCCGATGCAATGTTCGCAGGAAGAACTGCCACAGCTCCATCGCAGCCAGAGCGGCCAAGAAGAAATCGATAATGGTGTTAAAGCCGCCTTGGACAAATCCGACTGTGGTTTGCACCATCGGGGATTGACATTGCACGGAGCCATCTGCTGGGAGCTCTGTCCACATATAGTGAAAATACTGAGTACGATCAACTGAGCGATAAGGACTCGGACCGCATTGCAAGATGATTTGCAGCACAGTGATCAAATTGACAACGATCTGGACAACGGCACAGACTATGATCGATGTCCGGATCCTACGATCACTCGCCGCAAAGCAGGTCAGCAGGAAGCACATCATGCCGGTCCGAGAAACCATGGCCGATGACACAGCAATGGGTTGGGAGGTAAAATCCCATTTCATGGCGTGGAACTTTTCCTCCGCAGACAGGTAGAAAAAGTGTCTTCCGAGACCCCAATGGGCACTGGCGAGATCAGCGATTGAACAGTGTAGTAGACATGGAATAATACCTCATTTGAATCATGGTCATGTGTGTGATGTCAAACCCATATGCAACCAGAAATAATAGATCTTCAATTCCCCAGATCCGCTCCGGTCTGGAAACCTGGGGTAGGGTCAAACCGATCCATGCTTTAACCACGAAACGAAAGCCCAACGCCACACCAACTATGGCAGTGAGAACCTACACAGATTAGCGGTGCGCTATCTCATGGAGCCGGGGTCTGCCTACCCAGCATGCGTCGAACGTGGCCGTGCCTGTAGGGGGTCAGTACAGTATTGATCGATACACGCGACATGAACATACCGATATTGACATCCCCTTCCCGGGGCCGTGGAATACTCATAATTAGGATGAACTGCAGGGTCAGACATAGGAATGTAGCGAGCGGGGACTCGATACAAATAGTTCTGAACGTCACAGCTGTAGAGTTTAAACTTATTACAGGTCAGACGGGCAAGGGATGATGATGATAAACCATGAAGAACTGTAAACCCAAAACTACACTTTTCAATCGTGGAGTAACCGACTAATACTGCGTAAACGAGAATTGGAAATATGAGGCGAGTTCATGACTTCGGCGCAAGCGGATCAGCTTATGCAAGGGGTGGATTACAAGGGAGAAAGTAACAGATCAATAGTTCAAGACAAAAGTACATCGACAAGATCTGAATTAGATTTTCAAACGAACCGGATCGGCAAGGAAGGTGATGGATGTATCACATTGATCTATCTGATCTACAACTACTTTATTAGATGATCCGATTGGATCAATGAATCAACTGCATCTCCACCAACGATTCACCCCCTGCAACATAAGCCTCGAACGTAACTTTCAGCCCTGCGACTTGGGCCAGCTGCCGCCACTCAGAAGAACTTCGCTCACGCCCGCCAAAGAGACAAATCATGGTCGCGTGTAGGTTTGTATAGGTCATGTTCTTCGCATATTCAATAATCAGCAGCCTAAAGCTATCAGCAATGTTCAACAGAGGGAATGACCGAACAACCTTGACGTAGGCGCCATAGCGCGTGAAAGCTTCTGCAGTAACGCCACGGCGGCCAAATCCGGCAAGTTATGCAGAATGTGCTGAAGGGAGTAGATCCTCGCACCAGTGACCGGCTGTGCAGGACTAGTCTGATAATTCCACTCCATCAAGCGAATCCCCGGGATGTGGTCGATCTCCGCGTTGAACTCTTGCACCACAAGATTCTCGGCGCTTAGATGCGGGAATGCCGCTTGGACTTCTAGGAGTAGTTCGCCGCGTCCCCCTCCGATGTCGACCATCGCTACTGAGCCTGGGGCGCTGAGGGCTGCTCGTAGGTCATATCCAAGGGATTGGACGCGTTCGGGGAATGTGCCGAATTTGAGGAATTTGCCGACCATGAATTCGTTGAAGCTTTCCATTCGTCCTTGGGCTTCCATGATGCTGTAAGTGTGTGATTTGGAGAGTGACGAATCGCCCATGAGTTCGTATGCATATTGCATTGGACCAGCTTTTTCTTCAAATGGGTAGGCAAAGTTCGTGTCTTGAAGCTTCTTCATCAAGAATGCGCCTCCCATCAGCCCCTCGGTGGTGCTAATTGGTCAGCTTATTTCAGAGTTAGGGTATGCGTACGAACAAATGTAATGCGCCATGTTGAGCGCTGGGCATATCAACCATGTGTTGGGTAACCATATTGGCATTGTATCGGTCCTCGTCCACGCGGTCCACCAGTCCCAATCCAGACATGATGTAGAGTGTATCAGCTGTGATGGTCAGTACAGATCAGGCAGTCAGGCAGCGACACGAGTACGTACATGCGAGTTGAATACATAATTCTGGCTTGTTTGGCGACCGGGCTGCGTTGGCAGCTTTGGCTACGTCTTCCGCGCTGGCGGCGCCTCCTCGCACCAAAATGCCAAAAAGGTCAAAATGAATTGCGACTGGGACAAATCCTAACGAGGCAGCCTACTTGCATTAACTCTGTTCGTGGTCATATCACAGTACTTACCTTGGTGACGGTCGCTGCCAGGATAGCTCCAGGGTGCGGAGCTGGCTTGGAAAGGCCGAACAGACTACCCAGACGATTGAAGAACGACATGGTTATGGTTGAAGCTTTCATGAGTGAAGAGCATCAGTATGATTCTTAAAAGGGTTGGAATTTGTGATACAGTACCTTTTGCTCTTAGTCCTTGTTAACCGATTCGCTCGTTTTGACCAATCACCATGCAAGGGAACTTGCATGAACAAATCACTAGTCTATGTTCCTTTTCCCGGAACAAATCATTAGTCTATTTTCCCTTTTCCGGAACTCCAGACTCCGTAATTGAGTTTTGATTTACTTTGTGATTGATATCGAAGTCAATGTGATGTCTCCAGTACCTGATACATCTGATGCGGAACATCCTACCATGTGTTCTTAAATCCTCCGATTCCCACAGAGGAAAAGATAATCCCTTACATACTTCACCTTTATTGATCGTTCTGTTTCATTTCATCATGTCCAAATTGGCGCCAGTACATGAGATGACCGAGTCCAATGGCTTGAGTCCATCTCCATCTCCAGAGAACAAACAACCCATGAACTCTCCACGAGATTGGTCCTTTGCCCGAAAGACCTTGATATTCATGGCGCTGATGTCGAGTTCCATTCTGGCCGATGGGTACCTATCCTCCAGCCCAATTGTGATCGGGACTGACGGAACTAGGGCGATGGTCTGGGGTTCAACGCTGATTACCCAACAAGCGATTGATTGGGATATTACTGTGAATCACTCTGCAACCAGCATGAACTATGGAATTCTTCTTCAGGGATTCGGTGGAATAATCGCAGTCCCGTTGGTTGAAGCATATGGACGGTACGTGCCATGTGGTGCCATGTGGTCCACGTGGATTGTTTGGAATTGGACTGATCATGTTAGATTCCCAATCTGGATCTGGCCTCAGGTTATCACAATGTTGATGGTCCTGGGCGCGACACTGTCCACAGATTATGCCACGTTTACCACTTTTCGCTCGCTGCAGGGGTTATTCGGAACTATCCCTCAGGTCAGTACTCATACATGACTTAGATCATAATTTAATTTCGATTTAGGTGATAGGACTGCCGCTTATCCATGACATATATCATCCTCACGGTAAGTAAGAGATAAGAGATGGAAGGGACTCTGCTGACCTGATTAGAATGGCCTCGCATGATTAATATCTGGTAAGACCACAGGCATGTATGTGGTCCATTGCTAACGCATCCAGGGGCACCACCTTTTTAGTTGGTCCGTTCTTGGGTCCGGCTATAGCGGGCTATATCGGTGCTGGTACGAACTGGAGGGTTTCCTTTGGGGTCTTGACGGCACTCTATGGCTTGTCTACTGCAATGGTACTTGCATTCGGTCGAGAAACCTATGCTTCAGGGAAACCTGGCTCGAGAGTCGGTTCATACTTTGGGATTGGGAATACGGGTCTTCCGAAGCTGGCCACCATTGCAGATCAGTGCCGGATGTTGTTTGTCTATGTCTTCAAATTCCCACTTTTCATGACAGGTAGGTACCATTCCCGCCTCTTTGACAAGGCTAACTTGTTAAGGTCTGACGGTCCTGGTTACATTTACCTGGCCGATCGGAATCACTACCACCATCGACACCTTTCTACACAGTCCTCCATACCTCTTCAATACAATCGAGGCCTCGTCTATGCGTTTTGCCGGTGTTATTGGGGCTCTTTGTGGTTCGTTTTTTCCCCTCTATTCCCCTTCTACATGACACTTCTGACTCCTCTAGGGTACTTGGTTGGGAACATCTTCAACGAGTGGATCTACCGCCGCCACTCTCACAACTGGCGCACCGAGTATCGGCTTCACGGAGTCTGGCTACCCGCAGGAAGCATGGTGGCTGGCCTGTTGACATATGGGTTAACAATGCAATTTAGCAAGCACTGGATTGGTATTGCATTCGGTTGGATCATGGTGAATACCGGTCTAGTAGCAAGCATTGTGTGAGTAATCTCCGGCATTCAATTGGTCGAGCTAACACGTACAGGGCGATCACTGCATACGCGTTGGAGAAGTATCCAAATCAAGCTACCTGTGTGTCGGCCATTTTGAATATGTGGCGCACCTGTGGTGGATTCTCCGTGGGTTATTTCCAGCCGGCTTGGATTGCGCGGAACGGACTGGGTGTGGTGTTTGGGATCCAAGCAGCGATTGTAATTGTAGCGATCATCTTAACTATTACCCCTGTATTCATACTGGGTAATAAGGGGCGATTGGATGAGACTGAGCCGGAGGCGGTCGAATGAGGCACGAGATCATAGATGATGTGATGACTTGTAAATGGAAGTTTTGTAACCAACTTTGGCGATGGATATGAATTTGACAATGTGAATATGTATTGAGCAATGATACCTATTGGTCTGTTCTCGAACGGATCACTTGCATATCATAGACTGTAAATGCAGGCAGTGTCCTGTGTGTCCATGTCGGTTCCAACGCCGAACGCCTTGCAAATGATCTCGTTGAAAGAATCTGGATGTAGCGAAGTAGGAAATATGTGCAATGAAGGTTATATATACAATGAGAGGGTCATGACCTAGTCAACAATGTACTCGACCTGAGGACAGGATGACTGGAAGGTATTCAACAGCTTTTGAACACGACGAGGGATCCAGCCCGAGGATGTTCCATTGCTGCGGACGCCATGCAACGTAGTGGCAGCATGTTTGCACGAACTCTCCTCGTGGTGGTACGAATATTGAAGACATTCGGTATTCTGCATGCAAGCATCTGCACATGAGTCGACGGAAGGAAGAGTGGGTTCATCGAAGATGATATCGGCCCCGGACAGGTTATCCCAATCATCAAGCTGAGAGAGGGTTTCATTGTGGACGTACTCGCGGTACACGTCGGCATGGAGCAGCAAGGCATTCTTGCCACTCTGGAACCAACCCCGGTCAAACTGCCACATCTCCTCGATATCATCGGGGTTCATATGATGGTATGAGATCACTGGGTAGCACCAGGGCTGTCGGCCATAGGCCTCGGAGAAGTGGTCAACCTCCCATGGCCGAGAAGTCATCATCATGGGCCAGGCCCAAGTCAAGAAGATGTGCGTGCTTTGGAGAGCCTTGGCCAGGACACAGTCTCCGGCCCATTCGGAGGCGGTCATTTGCTCCAATTCATCCATAGCTTCGGTCTGATAATTGTGTAGACGGTTCATGGCTTTGTTCGATAGAATGACACCAGCTCCACCATACCCAAAGAGGATGTCGCCGATCTGCATCGGGCTGCCGAGGTAGTAACTGCGCGTGTAATCCAGATGCGCGAGCCAGTTGACCAGATTCTGCCAAACGATGTAGGTGTCGGCCTCGATGAAGATGTACCATTTGGCGTCGGGCATGATTTGCCGCGCTTCCTCTGTCATGGGAAGAAACTTCCACTTGTCCAGCTTCCAGCCCGGATTGTTCACCTTGCCGAAGGGGCCGTTGGTGTCATCGCCCCAATCTTCCTCGGTCAAGCCGTCACGGCCAACCTCTTGCAGACGTTTGTAAAATTCAAACTCCGGCTCCTTGTCCATGGTAGTCTGAGATACATTTTGCAGGACATCGTAGGTGCGCACACCGTTGATGACTTCTTCATAATCTGAAAACACTGCAAAGTGTGGGACACACCGGAGACCAGTGCGTAGCTGCACTGGAACTTTTTCTTGGGCTTCTGTTGCGCCCGTTTTCAGAATCACCATCACCTCGTCCATGTCGCGACGTATGCGTCCACATTGTTCTTCTTCGGCAGAGATTTTAGGCGAAGGCTGCGGGGTTGGTTGGGTCGGCTCCAGGTCGGCGGACTGATTCACTTCCGTGGTCACCCGGATTTGATTGTATGTAGACAAAAGGTAGTAGAGGAGGGCGAAAACAAGGAGCGGAGAGGAGATGAAGAACCATCGTCGTGGAGAACTCAACATGGTCAGAGAAGTCTAAAGGAATGGATTAGGAAAGGAAAGTATGAGCCATAAGAGAAGGCCCTCTCTGTTGGAAGAAAAGTGAGTGAAGGGATGGAGCAAAGACGGCGGCTACTAAAACGTGCAGAAAGGGACAAGGGATCATGTAATAAATGGGGCAAATAGGTGTTTGACAATCGTTCTCTCCTTTCGCATTTTCCCCATAGCTGGTTGACCGCGGCGATCTATGGGGCGACCGCACAGGGACGACCCTATGATTTGGGCAACCGATGACGAAGCGTAAGAGTGATAGGTTAACCGCCCGTAGCATTTGGGATGGATCATCAACCACGCGGGCCATGAACCAACGAGGCTGTGGGCGGGAAGTTCAAGCCTACCGCTGGCCCCACGTAGCGTCATCGGTTGCGGGACTCGAAACGCAACAGAAGGAAATGATCGACCGGTGGGAGCCAGTGAGAGTGGGGAACCAGACACCGGGTTGGTCCAATATTAGCCGATCCAGCTGATCAGGGGGGTTTCAAAAAAGTATTGAAAGGAGAAACACTAATCAAGGAGGGGAAATATAGATTGAATATCGAAGATTAAGGTTCAATATTGAATATTTGGGTGACGGAAGTGGCTTTGAGCCGAGGCAGAAGCTTAATGGAATCCAAAACAACTGAGTAATTAAAGTCTGAAACAAGGGACCCAATGGGGAAAGGAGATATGGAGAAGAGAAAGGAGAGGAGAAAGGAGAAACTGTCAAAGGAGTAAGATCTCTGGATCAAGTCAAGGTCAACCATGGTTACGGAGTACTTTTGGGGGTGATAGATGGTTGCCTGAGTGCCTGAGTGCCTGAGTGCCTGAGTGCCTGTACGCCTGATATATCTGATCATCACGTGTGTTTCAGAGACAGCTACAACAGGCTTGGTGGCATTCCAAATGACTTACACACTAGTACCTACTACTGACTATCAATAAATCTCAAATGTTTTATGATCTGGCAAATTCCAGGGTCCAACCCCTGATCGTAGCCTGCATGCTCTATACAGTAAAGATCTACGTAGGTATGTTCTGGTACTACGCAACAAATATTCCGTGATCATCCTTTTTATTGGGTCTAATCTACAATCCAATGTCTGGTTAGACTGGAGGTAGCTGTCACTTTCACTCAATATATTTACAAGATGAGATCTAGTAGATTTCATTTGAACCCTTAAGGGAAAGATTCTGGGCAAATGCATGCCAGGGAATTCGTGCCCATGAACTAACTCCCTTGGTGTCACCAATGGGTACATGTCGATCCCGCCAGTGATGTTTCGGCGGGGCGTTAAGCCGTAATGCGGTGACAGTCCACTGGCCATTGTTTTCCAGAGACCTGCTTGAACCCGGTCAAGTGGGAGATAAATGACTCGAGCGGTCGAACCAACTCGATCCAGCCACGGAGTAAGTCGCTTCACCTTTTCTCCGGAACCTCTTGGAACATTTCTGGGAAGAATCCTGGCGGCGGCCAGATATCAGCAATGGATGGTGGATGGACAAGAGGTTGTGGTCCAACCAGTCGATCGGGGTCGTGGCAAAAGGCCTGGAAGGTGCTGTCGTCCAAGAACCCAAAATCCTTGAGGCCAGCCTCGCGGTTGGTGGACCATTCGGTGGTGTCCAGGTACGCCAGATCTTTGAAAATCGCGTCGAGGTTTCCGTTTCCGTTGAATCCCATATCGCTCGTCGGCGGTCGATCAGAAGAATTCATCATCGGGTTAGAGGTGCCTGATTCTGGAGTATGTGGCGGGTGACCATTGGACGGATACATGACATCCGGTGCACTGCGCGGCGTCACTTTATCTGAAAGTGTAGGTGCATCCATAGGCAGCGCTTGCATGGGCACGTCCATCGTGGACAAATCGGTGTTCTCCATGACGGTGTCTTTGGGTGTCAGCGATTGCCCATCCACGGGAATGCTGATACCGAGGATAGACGAAGCATAGGCTTGATCACGTAGATGCATGTGTGATGCAGACATTGCAGGAATTGCAGGAACGGCCGAAAATCCTGGCTGTTGCCAGCGCTCCATAAAGGAAATTAGAGAGCCATACACGGGCCACGTCGGAATAAGCGCAGTCGTCTTTTGCTGGAACTCCTCTGCCCACTGGGCAAAAGGGAAGCTGTCTGACGAATCTACGGTTTGTCGGAGTGAAAAGGCCTGCTCGGAGATTGTACGCATGGCAAACTCGAAAATAGGTGGGAGTCCACACATGGGGAAGTTTTCCAGGTGCTGCGTGATCATCGACAGTCCTCGGTACAACAGCTTCTTGGCCCCCTCTGTTGCGGGTCGCTGGGTTCGGTGTAGCCCCTGTTCTCCCGGAATGAGGCGTACATAGAGCCACAGAAGCGTCGCGACGTAGGTCAGGCCTAGGTAAGTCTGGTGCGGCAGCAAAGTGGAGTGTCGTTCCGGATACATACTCTCAGGCCCGATCAATCGACACCCAAGAGGTAACCCATCATCCCACAGCTTGAGATCCGCCACCATCTGCTGCGCAAACGACGCAGGCTTGTATCCCATTGCTAAATTTCGGGAGACTTTGTTGAGTACACTGGCCAGTTCGACTAGTCGATTGAAGCAGCTCAGTGCCAGCAACGGGCCTCTGCGAGGGGGGTTCTTGTGGGCAACACCGGTTGGTGGGAGGACGTCAACCCATGAATTCCACTCCTCCAGTCCATCCTCTTCTAAAAGACCCACAGCAGCCATGTCATTCGAGGACATTGCCGGGGATCGAGAGAGTCGGAACGAAAGTAATGAGTCGATCACAAAGCACCCCAAAAAGACCGCTTTGCCCTGTTTCAGTTCATCCGAGCGGCGGGTATCCGTCATGGCTCCCAAGCCCATGGCGATGGCCATCCGCACGGCCTGGCCACTTAACAGCCACGACGCTGTCCAGTCTTCCAGGCCCATATTCACCAATGCTAGCAAGAGTAACGCCTGTATATGACCGAGTTCGTATCGTTCTTTCTCCGAGGGAATGAGATTTCGAGCCACCGCATAGTACTCTTTCGCAAGAGACAGCGCGCCAACCGGGCGAGCTCGGGGATCGGTTCGGGATTGAGTGATGGTGTAGCTGAGAATAGCCCATAACGTAGCATGGTCTCCGGATCCCGGAGACGTTGTCGCCAATGAAAATGGTGCATTGGCGTAGAGGTAGGACGCGCGAAGGACGTTGTGTTTCGCGACGATGGGCAGCCAGGAGTTCGTGGTCGCGAAATAGATATCTAGAAGTTGTGAGGTTTGCGGCGGTAGCTGGAGGGTATTGGGACTGCTCTGAGCGCCACGATTGTCCGGGGCCTGCGCCAGGCGGGCTCGTTTTGCGAGGGGGAAAGACCGGACGGACCGACGACCCGTGGTGCGTCAGAGCCCAGGGGAGTCATTTCTCGACCAACTCGAAACCCCCATTGACTACCATCTCCATGATCCTCGAGGTTCCGTGATCGCTTCCCGGTGGTAGAGGCTGGTTCGGAGTTGGACAGCATCTTCTCAAGAGCGCCGTACAAGCGACTCGTCTTCCAGGTCTCATGCAGACTCTCCGAATTATTATCGTCCGTCCAGACCGACATCAGCTTTTCGCGACGACCGGCCGATTCCACTGTCGTTCCCAGCATGGCTAACATGGTGTCTTCGAACCCGTCGATATTGCATATTGACAATGCCCAAAGTTTCTCTAGGCCGCGCACATAACCTTCAGGTAGACCTCGTTTCTTCGCGTGGGGATCGTATGAGCAGCTTTGGCCGGAAGCCTGGCAGGCGGAACAAGTAGGACGAATTCCATCGCATTTGTCCTAGGTTCGAAGGAGACGGTTAGTCCGGACGTCGAAGACATTTCGAAGAGGATTTGCCAACTCACCTTTTTACTGCGACAGCGGTCGCATGCTCTAGAGACCCTCTTCCGCCGAGGGGCTTTATCAGAGCCCTCGTCCATGAGGGTTATTTTAAGTCAATATGCATCCCATGTATTTTGAATCAGATGAGATCGCGACTCCCAAGAGTCAAGGGAAAGATCGAGTATTATGAGAATCCCGTACAAGGGAAGATCTAGGTAAAATAATCCATGGGAGGTGGAAGATGGAGTTAAAGCCGAATGCGGGATTACGCAACAACCAAGTTCCAATGGAGGTCACATTCAATGCTGAGTCAACCATAGAGAATCCTAAGTTAACTAATTCCTAACTATATATATAATTAACTGGATCAAATACTACTAGTACCTTGAAACAGGTATATGAACATCCAGGTACGATCTGCGGCTATTCTTGCTGTTCAAAGTTCCCCACATCCCCACGCGTGGGAATTGTGGGAAATTGAAGTTGTCTTCAGTTTAGACTGGAACAGATAACATTGAGGTCGATGTATACATTTATGTATAGATTTATACATACCTAAAAGGATTGTCGCTATTACTTTACAATGAAGTGTTTTCTCCCGCTACATAGCATTCTTATAGTCTGAACTTGCTCAACTATATAGACTTTCTCCTTTCTTCAACCAGATATTCCTGCCCCACGAAAACCCACTTGTTTTCGGTTAGAATTAAGATCAGGCTATTGAAAACATATTTCATATCTAGTTAACTATTCCATCATCTAAAAACAGAAAACAGGGAGCACTGCCCGATTGACCGGCTTCCCGATACCCACGGGTGACCCGCCGGCTCCCTAATTACTCCGTCGGGATGCATCCGTCAAATTTACTCCAATTGATGGCTTCCTAGACAATAGATGACTTTATCTTTATGACTTTGATATTTTTAGAGTGTTCTTTTTTTATTTATAGACCACCTTATTGCCATTGATTATTCAAGTACGCAGTGCATGTACTTGCAAGTGACACTGTAATTTAATCTTGATTGTCCGGGATAAGACTTCTGCCGCGGCGACAGCAAATTAGAGATCTATTGCGTACATGATCGTTCACGCGGGTTTTTATATCCACCTGATCTGTTTGAGTCCAGGGATATCGTATTACTGTCCAGGATGCTCTTCACTGACATCAATACAAAGTACCCTTCCCATAATTGCTGCCAACCCTTCCAAGGTTGATAGTACATATACCAGGGCTCAAGTAAAGAGAGATAAATAGGAATTAAGTCCATTAGAAAGTAATCTATCGAAATGATAGGCTTTAATCTTGGAAAGATGTTAGCTTCGAATTCCTGGTCTTTATATCAAACTCAATGTATCTTCCTTGGTATTGCCGAAACACTCATTCCAGTCCCTAATCACATTCTTATTACTGAAAGCCCGCAACGTTACCTAGATATAACCGCTCACATCAAAGCATTTGAACAAAGCTCAAAGGAAAAGTCTAGAATATTCGGACTATCCGAACAGAGAAATCAAGTAAGACCGTGGAAAAACCGTGGAAGAAGTCACTTCCATTCAATTGATCGAATTGATTAAGTTAGAAATATCGAGCATATTACTCAAGTGCTACGCCCTAACAATTACCTCTATACTGACACCATCTCAGTCATCTCCGACTTCAGTTAAAAGTTCAACCTGCCAGATCTCTAAATGGTTGGATAAAGAGCACAGACCAGCGATAACAACTTAACCCCGTAGGCGGTGTGTGGCCCCCCCAGCTTTATTTTCTTTGACCTCGACCGGGCCGTCAACATTCAGATTCAACCTTGGAACTACCCCAGGGGCATATGAATTTTGGCGAGACTATCACAATCCCTCATGCCTGGTTTTTTAGATCCTGCAGACCTACTGGCTGCTGGTTGGAGGAAACGCAAACGAGATCATGAAGACTCTACAACCTTGGTTCGGCCGTAAGTCTTTATCTGATAGGATTGGATGTTCGACTTTGATCACTAATGATTACTAGATCAACATTTGGACCGTGTCGAGTAGATCGTTCCGACCGGGATAACAATTGTTCACCCCTATCCCGACATCAGGAGACTGGCGACCTCTCCTTCCGGCCGCGCTGTTTACCTCGCAAGCGCCGACACATTCAGACCCCCTATATCACATTTCCTACCCATCAACAATCCTCCCTCCTCTCACCCAATGTATACGCCCCCGCCCAAGATTCCTACTCTCCACCCGTGTCCCCCAGGACCATCGTCCCTATTACCTATCCTACTTCGCCCTCCGCGCTTCGTCCCTGTCACATCTGCCACCGTCGTCCCACAACACGACAAGTCCTAGATGCATATGCAGACTGTGATCTTTGTGGTGAACGCGCATGCTTCATCTGTCTCCGACAATGTGACGCGCTCGCCTGTCGTGGCACCAAGATAAACCCAAGCCCGGGTCAATCAGATATCTACACCCACGAGAGGATGTTCGAAGGCACGGATTCTCGAAGAAAGATCTGTTCAAGCTGCGCGGTGGAGGGAATCACTGAGACCGGTACAGAAATTGTCCAGTGTCTGGATTGTGTCCGCGGTCATTCGACTTGGCCGACTGGCGCTATGGCACCTGGATGGACATTGGATGCCATGAACCATGACCATATGGTTGGATAAACATATTTCTCCTGCTATGCCCATTCATGATCACCGGCCATCCTCGGTCTTGCAACACTTTATATCATGAACCTGACATGAAACGACCTACGACATTACTCCTATTATTTGACTTGAGGATTTGACTGCTTTCCCCGGCGTTGCACATATGCATAAGGCTTGCATCTGGTTCCTTTTTCTCTTTTCTTTTTCTCTTTCTATTGGACTTGGCTTCTTTAACTTTATGCATTTTTGGTTCTTCGTTCGTTTCATGGCATGGCATAGTGATACCAATACATTACATCAGTTACATCAATTAATAAAATTCATGGTATTCTCCAAATTAATGACAGATGCATATATAAATGTAGGCCTCATGTCGATGCTGATCGGGTATAACATAATAAAGACAGACTCTACTCTGCTCGACTTAACGTCCAAACCGCATCTGAGCTCCAGCGTAGTGCCACAATCCCCGCATGAAACCCTGATACTCCACTGCCTCACCATACCCAGCTACTCCATGACTGCGGTCCCCAGTGCAGTACATCTCGGTCAGGCGGATCTGCCATGGCGGGTATCCATCCAATTTCAAATATGGTGCAAAGATCAGCAATAGATCAGGCTCGGGGCTGATGATATTGGCTGTACGGTCCGATCTCCCCTCGGGCTGGAGTGGCTGAGAAGTGATTTCGCTGAGCTCTGCGTCCACCAGCTCTGGGGTGATATCCTCCGGAGACAGCTTTCCATTCTGGGACATCTCGGCTAGGGTCTTGGTCAGATCCACCATGGTCTCTCGGCCGTCGGTGGCGGAGAGTAGCAGTAGGGTCAAGGGAGGCACCTCAGATTTGGAGCTGGTGGTACCGTAGATGGGGTGGTGAGGGGCAAAGAGCTGCAGAGACGGCTGCTGCGAGGGTGAACCGTAGTAGGATGCGAGCTTGGTGGTAATGATTTGATGCAGAGCAGGGATACAGGATTTCAAGACACCTAGATTTGAACTTGGTCAGTCTTCCACCTTTCCTAGGTAAGTTAGAAGCATACCTGTCTTCTCATATATACTGAGCTGTGAAATCCCCGCACAAGAACTCCAAGCTGTCAGCTCGGCTACCTCATCCATCAAGACTGCTAACGCATCATCCTCGGTCCGCAATGTCAGGATAATACTCAGATGCTGGGGCAATCGTTTCAATCCCCGAACATCCTTTCGGATCAACTCAGGCGTCCGGTGGTGGTGGTAAACGACCGCGAAGATCCGGTCGACAACAGCATGGTAGGCTTGAAGCAAGCGCACGATGATTCCATAGATAATGTGAGTGAGAGCGTAGGTAAGGTGATGAATCTGCGACTTGACAAAAGTGCGAATTGGGGTCTTGCGAGTCTTTTGCCGCCGGGAGTTGGTCGAGGCTCTGGGACGTGTCTGTGGTAGGTCGGCGGGATCAGGAAGGTATGGTTTAATCAAATTCTCGCGATCGGCGACTGATAGGTTATTACCACGAGAGCGTAGCTCTGCACGCAAAATATCGCGCTCTTCTTGGGTGACCATTTTGATGTTGGGGAGTTTTTGAGGATTCCAAGATCGAAAGCGGAAAAGGTCGCAGATAAAACGGTTATGCAACGTATACTTTAACTCTACATACTGTGTCCCGCTTCTATCAACTTGTTAGGATTTTATGTGATCTTATTTGATTTATAGCATATAAATTCGGATTTCTCGTTACTCGAATTGATCTTCAATTAGACTGTCGAGGTACAAAAATCAAGCTGTTAGAATTTATAGTACAACATAGCAGGAACAGCATAGTAAGGATTAGAAGTAAAACCCGTTGATCTGAATCTATTCAATTAAATCCATACCGGGGTAGATTCATCTCTCATCAGATACGTTCAGAGTAGATTACTCAGGTACTCAGTGTTGGTTTCTGTGGCAATAACAAGAATTTAGTGGCATTTAAGCCCGCGACTCCGTTGCGCGCATCAGCTTTCCAGCTTCCCCAGATTCTCCAATTCAACTCTTGTGAAGAATTGTCAACTATTACTGTCTGGACCAGAGGGCCCATGACGCCCTGCAATCGCCATGATGCCCGATAATGCATCCATAATGTCCTCCAACCCCGCCCGCACCGTATTCCCCCAAGGACCCAGCTTCTCACTTGAGGACTTCTCCGGTCGAGACTTTATCGTCAAGGAGTTTATCGAAGCTCTCTCCGATACTGCCATCTCTACACGTCGCTCAACAGTGGGAACGGCCACGGCCAATCAACCATTCGATCCGAAACCCCTCATCCGGACGTTTGAAGGTGCCCAACGACGTCTAGGTGAACTGTCGGGGGACCTAGAGATTCGAGAAAATGAGCTCTCCGCTGCGGTCCGTCGAGCAGAGGCCCAGCATTCGCAGAACCTCACCTCCCTCGGTCGGAAGCTTCGACAGGCAATTGATTCATTCCAGCAACTCGACACCTCGCTGAACGGCCCCGGACTCGAGAGCACCGGGGGCACCGGAAACATGGCAGTTGAAACGGGACGACGGTTGGAGGAACTGGACCGACAACGCCGGCGAGCTTTGGATGCCCATTTCTTGCTCGAATGCTGGGATGGGGTCTGTAATCGCGGGGAGATTTCCCTTCTAGAGAACCTACGACGATCGGGCACGGCGGAGGCCAAGGTCCGATCTGCACATATCGCGAGACAACTGCTGCGGATCAGTCAACGGTTGGATCCTCAGAGCTGGCAGCAGAACCAGCAAACATCGTCCAATGGTCACTATGGCGGAAATTCCTCCTCAGATGACCTTCACAGTGGGAACAGTACCCCGCGTCGGAATACAAGGGAAATTATTGAAAAATTCTCAGAAACCCTGGAGAAAGACCTCTTGACACAATTTGATGACTTTTATCGCAAGGCCAACTTTGATGGTATGAAGGACTGTGCAACTGTGTTGCAAGACTTCAACGCTGGGTCTAGTGTGATTGCCCTGTTCGTCAACCAGCATCAATTCTTCATTGACCGTAGTCAATTGGTGACAGAGGAGGTCGGTGGGGACGCAGAATCATGGGAGAGAATGGCCGATCCCGATGCTGAGCTTCCCGGGGTAGAACCCAGTCTGCAGTCGTTGCTAGATGAGGTCAAGGTGGTAGTGCAGGAAGAATCCGCGATTATTAAACGGGCCTTCCCATACTATGAGCAGGTACTTGGAAAGTTCCTCCAGCGCGTGTTCCAACAATCCATCCAGCAAAGATTGGAACTGGTCCTCGAAAAGGCCAGCGGTGTGTCCTCTCTCGCCTTTCTACGGTGCCTGCAGAGCTCCCGGGGCTACATCAGTACCTTGATCGATGATTTGAAGGCCCATGGGTTGACAGAGCACCCTGATCCGATCTCCTCCCAAACTGCGCTTCTACTGGATCAACAGCTGGAAGAACTGTTTGTACCCTACTTTGTTGGGTCATCCTACATCGAGCGCGAGAAACGCACGCTAGAGGATCTCTTTAATGCCCTACTTTTCAAATTCACTAGCTACCAGGCCCGTCGTAAGAAGGCCGCTACTACCTTCATGGCTTCATTATCTCGCCCGGGCACCGAATTACTGTCCACCACTCGGGACGCATTCATCGCTCGGCTGGACTCGCCAGATGTCTCTCCATTTCAGCGGAGAACGCTACTTCAGGTTGCCAATCTCGGTGATCTCCCAGACACGGTGCGGCTGACAGAGATTAAACTTACCGACGAGGATGGCCTGCCTAATCTAAGTGATGCGAAACGCATGCTGAAGTGGCTGGCGGAAGCAGTGGGTCGGGGGCTGGAGCTGAGCGTCAACGCCGACACACACAAAGATGTGTCGGCTCTTTTGACCTTGTTACTGCTCACCATGGGTGAAGGATACGTGGATGTTTGCCTCGACGCTGCCCTGGAGGCAGCCACGGCCCAAGAATCGGGCAAGAATGAGCCTGATTTTGGATACTTGCCCTCCGTTCGCACCACGATCAGCATCACCACGTTGATGGTGATGTGCATAAATGCCGTTCTCCTGCCGTTGGCGGCGGGGAGTATTACCACTCGTCGGGACATGGAGAAACGGACCAGCCAGGCGACTTCTCGATTCGAGGATAAGATCAACACGATTGAGCAAAAGACTATTGACGGCACCCTCGCGTGGGTTGGGCGGTTGCTCTCCGGCCAACGTAAGAATGATTTCCGGCCTCGGGAGGGCGATAATGCCACATGGCTCGAGATGCTGCAAACACCGGTACGTGTGATACATAAGAAAGGGAAATAAATCAAACTGACTCGTCATAGACATGCTCCTCGATCTGTACATTCCTCACGCGGCTGCACAACATAGCTCGTACTTCGTTACCCTCCAGTGGGTCCAACGTGCGACTAGTGTTGACGGAGATTGCGCTAGGAACACGCGGACTCCTGCTGGAACATTTTAAGCGGTTCGCCGTCAGCGGACCGGGTGGATTAATGGTAACCAAGGATATGACGCAATACGCAGACCTTCTCAAGTCGTGGGACATCGACGAGGAGATCAAGGCCCCTGGTGGCGCGCTGGACGTGCTCTTGGAAGTCGGTAACTTGTTTGTCATTGGTGTGGAGGCGCTCCGAGAACGTATTCGCGGTGGCGCCGCCAATAGTACTGGGCCAGGGTCGAGTCGAGGCTCTGGACCTGAGGCCAAACTTAGTGTGATGGAGGTGCGAGCCTATGTTTCCCGTCGTGAGGATTCGAATACCTTGGCTCTACAGCAAGTACTTAATTCCCTGTAATGCTAGTCCTTCAGACACATCATATACCCGGAGAATTACAGTTCAGTAATGTGGTTTTTTGTCTTTTTCTTTATTGTATCAATTTGTTTGACTTTTGGGTTTCCATGAGGCGCTAAAGATGATCTAACAGATCACCCGGGCATGACTTGCATGACACTAGCATAAGGAACAGATATTTCTTTGTTCACAAAGTCGCAGGATTCCACTAGTGGATCCTTGGCTGGGCTGACACGGTACTGTAGGAATAACAATAGTATTCTCAGTCCTTACCTGGTCTTGTCTAGAATGAAGGTCTTAACATTTAGTTGTAAACCCAACGAGACCCTGAGATATCTCCGATCCTAAGATTGTTTCAGTTCGCGCCAGGGCTGGTAAGATCGTAAAGGAACCAGTCAGATAGAAGATTCCAGTCCAAACTGATACGTGTACATGCAGATGTACATACGAAATACGATCCACATCAATCTTATTGGCCTCCCCCATTCCTTGCCGCCCCTACATCCCTTACTACATGTAGTCACACAAGGCTGTAGACTTTAATTGTCTGTCCGACACAGAATTGTCCACCGCAGAATTGTAGGTTTCACTGCACTCTGCAAGTTTCCAAGATTTCCAAAGCTCGCCCTTCGCTCGAGCCTCGAGATCTATTAATGCGAGATTGGATCGAAGAGTTCATGACTGGTCACATCAACAAAGTGACAGGTTTCTGGTGTAGATTGTCCCTGTCACATCACACGGCCCGTGCGACTGGGGTCTTAACTTCCCCAATCAAACATCATCACTTGGCGGGGTTTTAAGTGTGATCCTAGATCGTTTCTTTGATATATATTGATCGCCCAACGGTCCGTTTTTCGAGTTTCGAGTTTCGAGTTTCTTTGAGCTGAAGCTTGTGCAATTTCCATGGTTTCCAGCACTTGAGGTATATAGTCGGACTTGACTCCACTGTTGAACTGGTCGTTCACACCGCTACCAACTGCACGGGCTTCAACTTCTTTCCTTGTCTTCGGGATTTGGATATTCTGATCAAGTTCTTCCTCTCAACACAAAGACATGCAATTGCCCAGTGAGGAGGGGTTTGACTCTTTACCCCCCGCAGTGAGACGAAAGGTAAGGAAACAACTTGCTTTGTCATCTAACCCTTTCCCCTTACTTTGAACTCGATAGTTCGGCGTTAGTTTCCTTGAACACTCACACTCAACCTGCTTACGAGCTTTAACCTGCATATCCCTTCCCTAAATATCTTGATTCTCTTGTGCTCCACTTGGGGAAAAAAAAGTTCATTGCTTTTCTCGTGTTTTCCTTCCCGTTTTCGCCCCCTGAACTTTTTGAACTTTTGAACTGAGTGGGGCCAAACACCCGCTATCACCCATGGCGCTCTCCGTTCCTTGTCCACATTGGCGCACGGGAGACTCGTCTCCACTTCTCCACTCCACTTGTTCATGAACTGACCCGAAAACAGTTCTTCTCGAATGTCGAGCGCTTGCGCATGAGGTTAGCTCAGGATGCCCCTGGGGCTTCCAATGATTATCATGTTCGCTCCTATCGCACCAATCACCTTCACGGACCACCCCTCCACCCGCGTGTTCGAACGGCTAAGAGACGGGGTTTGGAGAAACGTTCGGCTTCTCCTAAGAAATTGCGCAAACCTGGTTCCCTTCAATTGGCATACCTGGTTGCTCAGGCTGACTCGCAATGCTTTCACTCTCTCCCCGCTAAGGTCCAACAAAAGCTTTTCTCCCCTGAAGAACGCCGACGTCTCCGCTTTACCTATCGCGACAGCGTGATTCTCGACGCCGCCGACGAGGCCTTTTATCGTCGCGACCAGGCTCGCCGTCAATTATCCACAGACAGCCTTCCCTCGGACGCGTCTGGAGACGACCCAGCCTCTATCTTCTGGGAATCAGACTCCGAATCTCTTGACGAGAAAGACCCTTCCAGAATGGACAACACCATCTATGACAGCTTCCGATGGCTAGACGGAGATGGGGATCTGGACTTGTCGCTAGACGAATACCATGCTCATATTGCCGATGCTGCCACCAGTCAAGGGAAAGCCTGGCGTCGCCCCTCTTTTCGTCGCTCTCTATCCTTCTCCGCTCATGCATCTTTGAAACCCCGACAACCCTCATCCATCCCGCGAAGCATTCCCCCAAGCCAATCACTCCCACCTTTTGCACCTTTGGCCAACCGCAACTCATCCTCCCGCCCGGCATCCCGTCATCAATCCAGCCAACACGCACCACACTCCTCCACCTCTAGCATTGACCCCTCCGCGCAATACTATCAAGATCCCGATGCTCGCTTAAAACTGCGGGTGTATCTGGCATCTCCACAGAAGTTTGACGAGGCAATTGAATTTGGCTTCCCATCTTTGGACCACAAAAAAGAAAACATGTCGCCGGAGCCTCCATCTCCTAATTCAGTCCCAGTCACCCCAGAATGGGCCGGGACCTTTTTTGAAGAGGATGATGGCACCATGGTGGGCAGCCCCTCGGGATCGGTCATGGAATCAAATCCACCATCAATAGTGTCAAACTCGCGGGAGACACCGCGACCATCCGTTGATACGCCATCCTTGTTACAGAGACGTCAGTCTTTCTTGCCAGGGTCCAAATTAGGTCCTCAGCGACTCTCGGGGAATCGGGAAATGACCTTGAAAATGACATTGACACGGCCCGACCTTCGGACCGAGTCCCCTTCCCCATCTCAATCTTCTCAGGAGGATCCCCTGCAATTGGCCGCCCTACCCCCGGCCGATCGTAACCAACATCTCTGGGAGGATATGGATGATAATGAAGGCATGGTCAAGAAGATGTGGCGCAGATTGCGCCGCAGAGCTTAAACCTGCTATCACTCGTCCCTCCTGTTCCTGCATTTGCTTTATGATTACTTTCTTATTCGTTCATTCAGCGCTTGGACCTCGTTGATTCCCCTATTCATTCTTTATCTTTATTAATGGCGTCTTGTCGAGGCCGGTTTGCATCTTCAGCATTTGGATCTAGCGTTGGTTTGACTTGAAAAGATTCTGGAGGGTTTGACCTCTTGTTCTTGTATCTATTATCTAAGTTCATAGCACCTTGTACATATTCTTCTTGGCTGCTGAACAGCACAATTTCACTGCATTGGGAGTCAAGATCTGTCCCAACTTACTTTGCGCTATTGGAATAAAACAAAGAAAAGAGATTGCTAGATGACTAGCTCAACATTATCAAATCCAATTAATCTAAGAAAATGTATTAAAGTGGGCTAACCAAGGTACAGACCACATAGGTACCCGCTGATAACCCGATAAGTCTTTCACGTGATAGGATAGCTCTCCAGGCTGAGGCCACGACAGCGGGCTCTTCCATACTTCCATCATTCGCATTCAACATTGTGCTTTGTCGAATCCCCCTTCGACTCTCGGTACATTATACCAAGTTATCCGTATCCACCCATTCGCTTGATCTCATCCGGATCGGCCCGCCGGCAGCTAGGCTGCTGAACCCAAACCAACGTCCCCATTCAGATGCCTAATCAGCGGTCATGATATCTCGGTGGCTGCTGCTCGTGGTCGGTCTGCTGCTGGCTTTGACCGCACAGCCGACCGCGGCCAAAGGGGACAAACCTACGGCCACGGCGACTGAACTGACCCACTCACCTAGAGGCTTGTTCTACTTCGAAGGGTCCAACACAATTGTCTTTCACGATGAAAGCGCACGCAATGTCCACATCTCTTTTGATGGCGGTGATGAGTGGAAGGTAGTTGAGGGCGACGATGGAAGCATACAAGGAAACGCGATCGTCGTCATGCCGCACCCGTACGACAACAACCGCGCCTACATCATCGGCCGAGGCACACACTGGATCACCACCGATCAGGGCAAAACATGGAGACCCTTTGTGATCAAGGCAGCCCCAATGGTCCTGCGCAGTGTCATTCCGTTCAATTTCAATGGTTGGGACCCTAGTAAGGTGATCTTCATGACCGAAGAGTGTTTCATCATAGGGTGTATGACACAGTCCTTCTATACAACTGATGACTTCAAGACCATCACTCCACTACGCGAAGCTATCCTGGAGTGCTCCTGGGCCGCGAATACCCCCCAATTCGGCCAAGACCTCGAGAAAAAGGACTCCCTTGGAGACCGCATTCTCTGTGTGGTGCCTGGATTGCGTTCTGCCGATCGCTCTGAGCGCCTGGTGTATTCCGATAACTTCTTCCGCGATGATGTGGAGGGTACCGAGGTCAAGCTGAATCGCGGACTGCCTGTCAGTGCCGTGCAGATCAAAGTTCGCTCGGTCAAGAAGTATATCGTCGCAGGTGTTCAATCACGAGGCACCACTGAACAGGCCCTCTATGTGAGTGACGACTCGCACGAATGGCACCGCGCCGAATTCGGTGGTCATAAGGTCGAGAAGGATGCATACACGCTGCTGGAAAGTACAAACTATAGTATCCAGTTGGACGTGCAGACTACATGGCACGAGAACCGCATTGGTGTCCTCTTTTCATCGAATTCGAACGGAACATATTTCTCTCCCAACATCGAACATACCAATCGTGATCTGAACGGACTCGTTGACTTTGAGAAGGTCGCTGACATCCAAGGCATTGTCATTGTGAACACGGTCGACAACTGGAAGAAAGTCGAAGAGTCTGACACTGAAAACAAGAAACTCGTCACCAGCATCAGTTTCGACGATGGTAGAACGTTCCAACCTCTCAAGGTGGAAGGCGACCGACTGCATCTACACTCCATGACTACCTATGACTCCCTGCGCAAGTTGAGCTCTTTGGGCCGCATGTTCTCAAGCCCCGCACCGGGCTTAGTGATGGGCGTGGGCAATACTGGCGAGCACCTAAAGAAGTACTCCGAGGGTGATCTTTATGTCTCCGACGATGCAGGTCTTCATTGGCGGAAAGCATTGAAGGGCCCTCATCGATTCGAGTTTGGTGACCAAGGTGGCATCATTGTGGCTGTCAGCGATGATGGTGACACTAAAAAGGTCAAGTACTCCATTGACCATGGCAAGGAATGGGAGGATATCGAGTTGGAGCACAAAATCAAAACTTCCTTCCTGACCACAACTCCCGACTCGACGAGCCTGAAATTCTTGCTCGTAGGTCAGAAAAGCGAAGGTCATGGTGATATCATCTACTCCCTTAACTTTGAAGGCCTCCATGAGCGAAAGTGCACCAAGGACGATGTCGAGACATGGACTGCTCGTGTGGATGAGAATGGCAAGGCAGACTGTCTGATGGGCCACAAGCAATTCTTCCAGCGCCGGAAAGCCAGCGCCAACTGCTTCATGGAGAAAGAGTTCCAGATGGACCCACCTATCTTTGAGAAGTGCAAGTGCTCAGCAGAAGACTTTGAATGTGATTACAACTTCCAGCGCTCTGAAGATGGCAAGGAGTGTCTGCCGGCAGTGTCTTTGACTGCCCCTGCGGGCAAGTGCAAGGATACCAATGACAAGTACATGGGTCCCTCAGGTTGGCGGCTCATCCCCGGCAACGCGTGTATTCGCGATGGCGGTGAGAATCTTGACAAGGAAATAGAGCGATCGTGTGGAAATACCACCGTCGGTTCTCCAGTCACCGACGGCAAGGTCCATGCAGGAAAGCCACAGGAGTTTGATGCCACTGACGCGGACTTCTTCTATCTCGAACGTCAAGCTAGTAACTCCGGGGACGATGAGACTATCTTCATGCTCACCAACCAGCTGCAAGTTTCTGTCTCCCACGATCATGGCAAGAACTGGGAACAGCCTGCAGCTCTCAAGGATGAAAAAATTAAAGAAATGATTCAGCACCCGGACTACACCGACGGTGCTTACTTCTTGACCACTTCGGGCTACGTTTACTCGACTATCGACCGCGGATATTCATTCCGAAAATTCAAGCAGCCCACCACTTACGTTCCAGAGAGAACGTCACCCTTGGTTTTCCATGAAAAATACATGGACTGGATGATCTGGATCGGCAGCGAGACCTGCGAAGGCAAAGATTGTGTTATGGATGCCTACTTTAGCAGGAACCGCGGCCACGAGTGGCAACTGATGCTCCGTGGAGTCGGCTCATGTGTATTTGCATACAGTGACAAGCGCGAGGACAGCGAACAGCTTGTCATCTGTGAACAATATGCACAGGAGAACAGCAAGAACAACCGGCAGCTGGTGTCCAGTAACTCATTAGACAACTGGGCGGATAAGAAGGTGATTGACGACAACATCGCGCACTTTGTGACGATGAACGATTTCATTGTGGTCGCAACATATCCCACGGAAAAGCACAAGTTTTTGAATGTCACCACCAGCCTGGATGCCCGTGTGTTTGCACAGGCCAATTTCCCCTTCAACATCGATGTTCCTCAATACACGGTTCTTCCGGGCTCATCGTATGCCTTGTTCCTGATTGTGCAGCTCAGCACCAAAGAGGGTTGCGCATATGGCTCCCTGGTCAAGAGTAACAGCAACGGTACTTATTTCGTTCAAAGCCTGGAAGCTTTGAACATGGACGACCGAGGCTATGTCGATTTTGAGAAGATGGCGGGAATTGAGGGTGTCGCGCTTGCCAATGTCGTCCGCAACAAGGAGGCCGTGGATAGCAAGGGAGACGTCAAGAAGCTTGTCTCTGTCATTACCCACAATGATGGTGGCCAGTGGATGCTATTGCCGCCCCCAACTCGCGATGTTGATGGTAATAAGTTCGATTGTTCTGTTATAGAGGGTCAGGGCACACTTGATTGCGCACTGCACCTACATAGCTACACGCAGCGGCGCGATTGGCGGGATACTTTCTACTCTGGATCTGCTATCGGGTTGATGATTGGGGTTGGTAACGTGGGCGACTCCCTGTCGAACACTCCTGCCGATGCCAATACTTTCCTCAGCCGAGATGGAGGAATCAGCTGGAAGGAAATCAAAAAAGGTCGCTTCATGTTTGAGTATGGTGACGCCGGGTCGGTGATTGTGCTTGTCCGCGAGCATCAGCCGACCAAGGTGGTCTACTACAGCGTCGACGAGGGCGAGAATTGGACGGAGTTCCAATTTTCAGAAACCGAGATGGTCATCGATGACATCTCGACCGTTCCATCGGATACGTCGAAGAACTTCCTCTTGTGGTCCAAGTCTTCCAACAAGGTCACTACCATCAATCTTGACTTCAGTGGTATCTGGGATCGCCAGTGCGAGCTTGATGAAGTGAACGGTCAGAGTGAGGACTACTACTTGTGGACTCCCACGCACCCCGCTCAGGGAGATAACTGTTTGTTTGGACATATTGAGCAGTACCAGCGCAAGAAGCCCGGTGCGGAATGCTGGGTTAATTGGCGCGATCCGCATATCCACCGAATTGACGCAGGAAACTGCACCTGCACCCGTGCCGACTTTGAATGGTAAGCATGTTTAATGATGAAGAATGTTCGGTTACTAACAGTGTCCAGTGACTACAACTACGAAATTCAAAGCGATGGTAGCTGTGCACTTGTGCCAGGTCTCCCCCAACCTGACCACAGTTTGCAGTGCAAGGATGATCCCAAACTGGTCGAGTACTGGGAGCCGACTGGCTACCGAAAGCTTCCGCAGACAACATGTCAGAGCGGAGAGCAGGATCTCGACCGTCAAGTTCCCCGCCCCTGTCCTAACAAGGAGAAGGAGTTTGAGAAGAAACACGGCATCAGCGGCGTGGGTCTGTTCTTCGCCATTGTGATCCCCATCGCGGCGGCGACTGCATTCGGATACTTTGTCTACACCCGGTGGGATGGCAAGTTTGGACAGATCCGCTTAGGCGAGGGCTCCTCCGGGTCTGGCGGTTGGTTCAATGGGGACTCTCCCTTGGTTGTCGTGCCTGTTGCCATCATCGCTGGATTGGTGGCTGTGGCCCAGGCGTTGCCGTTGATGGGGTCCAGCCTGTGGAGGACAATTACTGGATTCATGCGTCGTGGCCGCTCCCAGCGGCCTTATGCGACGCGTGGTTCTTTTGCAGCTCGTCGGGGTGATTACTCGCATGTGGTGGATGACGAAGATGAGTTGCTAGGTGTCGATGAATTTGAGGAGGATGAGGAGGCCTAGTCCTCTCCCCTTGCAATGCAGTAACGTTTGGAAGATTTGGACATGGGATCTGTGGTATTGTGACATTATGAGCGCACTGGATTTTCCTTTCTATTTATTTTGGGTTTCTTTCTGTCTGGTTTATACTGCATAACTCGCTAGGGGCTTTTCTCTTTTGACTTGTGAAAGATATAGAGAGTTGCTTTCCTTGAATTTAGACTTGTAGGAATTCGTTGGCTTCAATCAATCTTTTCTCCCTACTAGGTTCTACCTAAATACCTAGATCCCCAGGGCCAAACGAGTCCGGCAGCAACTGCACCAATGTTATCAAAGGATATCAATAATAGGAAAAAAGAACAACATACCTCTTCCATGGTCATGACCTTATACGATCCGTCCCCATCATACATATACACAGGGAACGAAGGACCAGTGAACTCGCGGATGCTAGTACAATGTAAGCTGATAGAACAGTATAGGAGGGAGGAAACATACCATTGCCGACACATCCCACACGGCGAAGCAGCTGGCTTGATGTCCGTCGCCACAGCAAGCGCCTTAAACTCCTTGTGCCCGGCAACCTATTCAAGTCAGACTTGCATCTTATGAAGATTTGACTCAACATACAATTGCAGTACCAAAAGCAACTCGCTCCGCACAAGTTCCAACAGGGTATGAGGCGTTCTCAACGTTGGCGCCAACGATGAACTCACCCGACGCAGTTAGAATGCATGCGCCAACGCGGAACTTGGAGTACGGGCAGTATGCCGACGCCTTGGCAGCGATTGCCTTGGTGGAGAGGATCTCCAGTTCTTGAGCTGTTATGGACATTGTTGTAGAAAGGGGAATTGAAGTTGCAATCTATCTTTGTACGGAGTACAGGAGGGGCTCATTCTTATCCTTATCCTTATCCTTTTATCATATCTTATCGTATCTTGTGCCTTATCTTATCGGCTTATCGCGACTTCCGGAATCTTCTTATCATTCCGCTACACCTCGTACCTATAGGCGTAGCAGCTTTGAAGATATTAAATAGATGTTCAGAAGAAATCGAAACCAAATGGTGATCAAAGCTTGCCAGCTGGAAGAAAATCTGATGAATTGCCAGATGATGACCAAACTTTGGTTGGAAGCAATGGCATGAAGCTCTGTCAAGGCCAAAAGCAATGCATCGTAGCTTCCCTTGTGTCTTCGGTAAGTCTAGGCTATATTGTCACTATATCTCCTGAACTATACTTGACAAATTGATTCATTCCTTTTAGATACATTTCTTTCTTCTTTCAATAATGTGGTGGTTTTAAAGTCCGATGGCGTTGATCATCAACTACCATTTGGTCAACACGACACAGGCGTGGACGAAAGTACCTAGAAATGCCATTGAAGTCAGAACCTACACGTAGGATACATAGACTGATGGTATATTATATGAAAAAGTAGAGAAGAAGGTTACTCTACCTACATAGATACTCTAGTAGGTCCTCGAATACAGAGGCGTGATATGAAGTCGAATCGACATGGATATATACCGAAATGGGCATAATACATACGTGTATCAATATATGTACAGTATCTATTTGCATGTACAGTACCTATTATAATCACATATTAACAACCCTAACTTCCTACAAGCATATATCATCCTCCATGTTCTTCTAGGCCCACTTTCCAATCAATGCCATAATTCCAGCCCCCAGTAAAGTGCAAGCCACCATGAACAACAGCCGAGACCGGCGCTTAGTCCGACACGGATCAAATAGGAAATCTCTAACGAGCAGCTCCACCAGGCCAGTGTAGATCAAGATACCCCGCCGACACGGCATTCAACACTCCCTGGAGAATCAACGAGTCCTTGGATCCGGGGTTGTAGCTAGTACGTACCCCCAGGCCAATAGCAATGGAGATCGGGGTAGTCAGGCTGTATGCCGCACACAGCATCCAGGGCAACCAGGTATGATTCCCAAAGGGGATGGCAGACATTCGAGCGCCAATACCCAATCCTTCAGATGATTGATGGAAGACCAAAACCGGGTAGAGAGTGGTGAACTCGGGACCTGTCACGCCTAGGTTCTTCCGCCGCCAGGTCCATCAAGAAGATAATCACCACGGAGGCGAGGACAATTGCCGCACACCAGGAATATTCGGCCCAGTATCCAGACTGGCCAACGCAGGTCATGGGGCCGATTTGCGTATATGCCGGGTCTAATAGGTGGATTAAAGCTGTGGCCACAATAACACCTGTTCCGAAGTACCGCGCGAATATTTACACGCCCAAAGGGATCTTCCATCCTGGCATCTGCTTTGATGCCATGGGAAAGACGGTAAATGCCGAGGAGACGAAGAGAATGACGAAGACGGACGAGATACGGGCACCGAGGTGACCATTATAGTCATTCCCAGAGATGGCTAGATAACACAGCACATCTTCTTCGCTGGCTGTCTTCAAGTTCACATTCGTTAGATCGAAAGACATGTTGAATTGCAACAGAATGATGATAAAAGTACATTTCGACCACCTCTGATCCCCATCTTATAGATCATATGGTGAGGACCTTGGGCTCTCATGAGGGATTTCCAGATGACTTTCGATGAAGTTCGAGGCTGAGAGAAATTGAGGAGTTGATGGATAATTTCCTTGAGGACCTGGGGGGTTAGTGTAGAAGTAAAGCTTTTCGAGGAAAATAAAAGAAAAGAAAGAGAAAAAGAAGAAGAAACAATGTCAGCCTGACAAGGTACAAAACTATCATTTTTCATGTTTACAAAGCTTCATAATCATGTTATCAAAGTTCCGCTGTTATGACTGCCCCGCTTCTTCCTTTTCATCAACTACTCCGTAATGTCTAAAGCGCAGGTTGTTAATGGCATCAAGACATTTATTCCTTTGGGTAAGTCCTGAAATCTTCCTAGAATGAAGTTAACATTTGAAAAGAGAATAATCCAGAGGTCTTATCACATCTCTGCCGAAACTTGGGGTTGGCCCCAGGACTCACATTCCACGATGTCCTTTCTACATCACCCGACCTTCTATCCTGGATCCCTCGCCCTATTCACGCATTGATTCTGCTCGTGGATAAACCCATCTATAATGCAGCCCGATCTGCAGTGATACCTAAGATCCCGGAATATCAGGATTCAGGTCCGGACGAGCCGGTCTTCTGGATCAAACAGACGATCGGACATGCCTGTGGTTTGATGGCGCTGCTTCATTGCGTCTTCAATCTGGACGGGGGAAGATACCTCATGCCAGAGTCAACGTTGGGGAACCTTTTGAAGTGTGCGATTGAGCTTGAGCCGACTGAACGAGCACAGTTACTGTACGACTCTGAGTTTCTCGAGGAAGCACATATGGATGCTGCATCCAAAGGCTCCTCTACTCCTCCTTCGCCTCACGATGAGAACCATCACCACTTCATTGGGTTTGTTCAGAAAGATGGCCAAGTGTGGGAACTTAACGGAGGTATGAATGGACCTTTATGTCGGGGGATGTTGGATGGGGAAGATCTGCTGAGCGAGCGAGGGTTGGCGTTGACCGTGCAAGACTTTCTGGATGCAGCAGTGAAAGGAGGATATGGTGAAATAAGTATCGTGGCAATAGCTGGAATTGGAGTATCAGGTAGCTTGTAACATAGGCTCTTATGTTTACCAATCTTTCAAATAGATATGATCAATGTCTGAGATTTGATTCTATGCAAACGGGTATAAGTAAAAGTAAAGTAACCGAAATAAATGACAACCGAAATCTATGTGCAACGTCTAATACTCAAAAATTTTGTCGTAATCCTTCGTAGACAGCGAAAATAAAGGCAGAGCTGGGTGCCGAACGCGCACAGGTGATCCCGCACCCGCGGTACATGCCCTTGAGGCCTTGCTGGCGCCACAAGGCACGCCCAACGCTCCAAAAGCTTTGTCGAGTGCCGTTGGCAGGGAGCCGGGAGATATCCTCAGTCTGCATCCGCGACTTGATGGTGTCGGCCGGGAAGAACAGGAAGTTGTAGCTAATTCCCGCAGTAGCACCTGCAATCAGTTGCTGATGCATGGGAAGGCTGTCGGACGATTGTGAATTCGAGTATTTCCGGAAGAGACTGGACACCGCCTCGTAGCCACCGAACCATGCCGCACTGCCTCCGGTTTCTCGAATCAAAGTGCCCATCTGGCCGCGCCAGAATCCCATGATACCCTCATGGCGAAAAATCGTCGCTATGAGAACGAGAGGTGTGGGGGGTTTGTGCCCCACTGCGGACTCGACGGGCACTTGCATCTTACATTTGATGAGTTCAATCGGCGTCAGGGCCAGCGAAGTGACGGAGCCCGACGCAGCCCCACTAGCCACTAGCACCCACAGAGGCAACTGCTCGACATCGGGGAAAACATTCGCTTTCAAGGCGTCCTGGATCAGGCGATAACTGAAGAACAAGCAGCTGGTTTCCACTGCGGCCCCGGTCATGGGGGCACTGATGCCTCGGTAGAGGCCTCGCAGGCCCTCCACCTGAAAAGCCTGGCGGAAGCAGTCCAAGGGCCCAGTGTATCGGAGGGGAAGGTGTTCGGGTTGTGATTGTAGTCGGACCTTGACTGTGTCGAAGGGGTACTCGATCAATTTACCTGCCATTCCAGCTATCTATGGCGGGGTCAGCGGATCGGTCAAAAAAAAAACCCTCAGTGGCAAACCAGGGCCTTACCGATCCAAAGCCAATATCCTTCATAGCCTCCAACCCCTGATTAGGGGGAAGAGACGGGAGCTCCATCACTTGCTCGACCTGAATTGCATGCTCGGCTGTCGCCATCAAGACATCCAATGTCTTCAGAAGACCCAAGACCCAAGACGAAGAAAGAATAATTATGTTATCGGGGGAGCATTTTTCAAAAGAAAAGAAGATTAAAATAGGTGGGGAGGGGGAGAGGAGGACTTTATGAGCGATTTGATTTCCGGATTCTCAGTAGATGCATCAAGTGGGGAAACTCAAGACGAGAACAGGAAAGGGAAGAGAAATTGTGAGGGAATGGAGAGAATGGAGGGGCGGTGTATAATGCCAAGACCTAACCAAATGCATTACAGTACCAAAAGTCAACTTTACCCTGTATTATAACTAGAGATATATCCCTTCATCCATAATCAGATCCGTTTGATCAGATAATTATGAGTAATAAAGATTGAATTTAGACAAATCATAAGATACTAGACTCCATAGTGGAGTAGTGTCTTTTCCATTTTTCCTCTTTTCACCCGGTTTTGTTGGTTTTTAGCGTCCGCCAAGCCCGGTTATCGATCAGATAATCTCCGTCTTTTACGTTTGACCAAAAACTGAAATTTTCATCCCGTGATAACTTCCTGTTATCAAAGAACTTCCAACTTTCCACCTACCAACTCCCCAATCACATTTACCCCACCAGATCATACCTGGTGAAAAAGGTGATACAGAGGTTCAATATGTCATCTACAGAGGCACCAGTTGCCCCAGCGCCTGTCGCAAAGTCAACGGGTATGCGCAAGAATGGTCAGTCCACGAATCTCCGAAACCCGCGCAGTCTCCACTCTTATTTCTCTCGGTTCTTCTGGCCCCGACTAACCCGATCGTCACTTTCTAGGCAAGAATTGGCATGACTCTAAGCGGGCTTTCCGTCCGACCGCCGGTTTGACTTCTTATGCCAAACGTCAAGAGCTCCGCAAGCACCAAGATGCCGTCAAGGAACGGGAACGGGAGATGAAGGCGGAAAAAGAGGCTGAACGCCAGGTAAGTTCTTTCGTAGTCATCTTTGAATCTCTATCCTTTATCCTTTTCGCATTTTTCTTTCGCCATCTTCCCTTCTCAGCCTCTCCCCACTTCTTTGCAAACATGCACTAATATTGGACCCATCAGGCCCACATCCAACGCATCAAGGACCGTCGTGCTGCTAAGGAGGAGAAGGCTCGTTACGAGAAGATGGCCGAAAAGATGCACCACAAGCGGGTCGAGCGACTCAAGCGCCGCGAGAAGCGCAACAAGCTTCTCAACTCATGAGTTCGGTGACTATGTTCTCTTTCCAGCATATACCACCCACTTCCTTGCTCGTCGATGGCTTCTATGCTGGCCAGGCATATCAATATGTCTGCCATACGCTATCAATGTATAAGAAGAGGGTTGGGTCATCGGCGTTCTTCCTGGGTATTGATATGTAATTTTGTTGTTCATATATTGTTCTAAGAGTTGATTCCATTGGGAGTCACTGAGAGATAAAATTCCGATTATGTTGCATGAATGAATTGACTTGTACACCCTTAAAATATGGTGTGCATATACAGTGTCAACCCTTTTCTAGTGCTTAGTACTGAGGTAGATACTGTATAGATGATATCGGCCATTCATTGATATGATTTCTATGTGATCGGCACTGCAGAATCATGTCATCTGGCTTGGCGTCACTTCCCCAAATTCTCCACTTCAAACTCCGACATCCCTTGTCAAACTGAAAGCATTTGAAAGTGTTGGATATGTTCGGACATGGATCATTTCAGATCTCCATCACTCTCCGCCAAACCCACTTCTGCGACTTTCCCTCTGACCCATGGATCCACACGACCCAATGAGACCATCGAACCGCAACCAAGCGAGTCCTCCCGTCATGAAACCGAGGGACGACCAAGACTATCTGACTGGCATCTCGATGGGGCCAAGTCACATCACCGACACAAGTCCAGCAAATCACGCGAACTCCGTTTTCCACGCCCCATGAGCCATCTTGCGTCCTCCGCGAGTGCCCGAGGGCTGCTGCCCACCTGGTCTGGAAGAGGAGAAAAGGATCGAGAGGAAGATGGAATGTTACGACCGGTCACACGGGAGACTACACGATCGCGTTGGGGATCAGATTCCACGGGACTAGGCAGTGACAGCCGAAGTCGTAAGGGCAGTATCCTAGATCCCCCCGAACAACAACAACTGGGTCCGATCCGGAGGCAAGAGATTCAATCGATGGAGGACTTGGAGCAAGTGACAAAGCGACGAAAACAGGGTGAACAGTAAGATATACTGTGATCTTTTCTGTTCCAAGAGACATGCTCACTAGGAAACACAGATACCTGCGCTCCGCACTCTCCTCCATTGGAATCTTGGCGACCGACGTCACCCGACGACTCGACTATACTTATTATAATCTGCTTGAGAAAATCACGGCTCTCAACTCGATCATTGGGTCTTTCCAGGACCTCTCGGACTCCGCGTCAACCCTCCTTAATGACTTCGATCGCGAAACCGCCAGGCTCGACCAGGAGACCCGCAAGCAAATCAATGATCTTCAGGGATTCCAACCCCAGATCCAAAAGGCCGACGCGCTGGAGAAGCGAATGAAGGCGGGACAAAAGCGAGTTCAGGATCTTGGCAAACGACTCGAGGGTGTTCGAGGCGAGATTGACCGCTGGGACCAACGTGAGTCGGAATGGCAGTCCAGAGTCAGCCGTCGATTGCGAATCTTTTGGGCCATGATCACCGGTGGTTTACTCGTGCTCGTTCTGGCCCTTGTTCTCCAGAATTGGCCGGCCTTCAAACCCCCACAGTTACTTGATATGAGGGAGAAATTGAATCAGTCCTCGATCGGTACCACGCCGTCTGACACCTGGGACGTTCTTGGCTCCGATGCTTCCTGGTATCCAACCACTCTGGCGGATCGTCGACAGAGCTTGGAACAGGCGAACAGCGTGACTGCTGCGAGTTCCAGCTCCGAGGCTGAACCGACCGATGACCCTCTACGCGTATTCGATGAATTGTAACCGACCTACTCTTATGACCGGTGTTACTCCGGCGTTACTCTGGGAATGGGTTGTCCGTGCTATACAGCGTTTCATTTTCTGTACTGGAATAGTTTCTCGTTTTGGTTTGTTTCCTTTGGTCATGTCATGATACCCTCTCCGCGAAATTCCATTTCTTCATCATCGTTAAAAAAAAAGGATATAGAAAGGGCCACCTCAAACCGGGGCGGTGTCCTTCTTCTTCTTCTTGTCCTCGACCAGCTCAATATTGGCTCCGGGCACTTTGCTACCATAGACCTCCAGTAGCCAATCCTCCACTTCCTCACTGACATCACCCTGGACGGTAATCTCTTCAGTACCCGAGGGTGATCGGGTCATTGAGGAACCAGTGGCAAACTTCTTGCCCAGTTCCTTGGCCAGCTTCTTGTTCTCCAGACCAAAGACCTCCAGGCCTGAAATGACGGTGACGTACTTGCGCTTGTTACGTTCAACTCGCTTGATAATAACTTTGGATGCAGCCTTGCGTTCAACATCTCGTGCTTCGTTCTGGGCGGCTTTGGCCTCTTTCTTAGCGGCGTCTTTGGCGGCACGCTCTTGTGCGGAGACGGAGAGGGCGGACAGATTGGCATTAAGGGCATCTATTGTCATCAAGCAGGGATTGTTAGTGGCTGCCACATCTCAAGCTCCTTCGGTTTCAGAAGGGCAAGGCGGTTGTTTGCCTACCTTCAGAATGTAACTGATTCCAGAGCTCAGGCTCTTCGTCTTTCAGCCACTCTTCGCATTTCTTAGATGTTCCTCCGAATCCACAGTACTAAAGAAGTTGAAACCAGAAAGAGTCAATTGTGCCGAGGTGGGGGGGACTAGAATCCAGAAATCGGATCGGAACTCTCATACCTCTGGGGGTAGAGTACACACTGCGCGGGGTTTACGGTCAGCCAAGGTCCTCCGCACGGGATATTCCGGGGGTACTCACCTCCACAGTATACGATATGCCGGGCCTGCGGCTCGACCGGGCCTGAATCTGCCACCTCAGCCATGATTGTGAGATGAGAAGAGTGATAGGGGTCTCGGCCATTATGGTCCCAAGCTCTTTTTCCAGGAGGGGCAATCTGGGGGTTATGTCAGCAGCGCTAATATCAATCACGTGATATATGTCTATTACGTACTCTCATACTTTTGCTTGCTTGTATCGAGAGGGGTAAGCTTTCTACATTCATTGCTTCCCTTCTCGGTGTCTACCGTGTCTACCGTGTCGGAACATTTTCAATCTACCCGAGGACCCGGCCAATAGATTGACAGGACAGACGTTTCATCCTGGGCCTGTCGAAGAAATTACCTGCACGCAAACGGGTCAACACATCGCATGGGGCAAAGGCGCAAAGGCGCAACACGACCAAATCATTGCTGCATGCGATCCACTGAGTGGCGTCAATGCCAAAGTAATTGCAGGGGTTTGTTATCGTCTCCTCTTTGCGTGTTTATTTTTTACCCTAATAGCGGCGGCGTACGTAACTGTTTGACTATTTGACATTGGGGGCCATGCAGGCTAAAACGGGACCGTTGAAGCTGCATCAGGCCCCAGTCCTCGCAGGGGGGGGGGATTGGGAGCTGGTCATTGGAGCCTGATTGACAACCGATCCGCACGGCCGTTAGAGAAGCCAGGGTCCCCGATAAGATAGGACTTGACGATCCCCCGTCGCCATTCACTTGCCCCCCGGGGGGTAAACTGGAGGGGGATCCGGAGTGCATCATCCCGTGCCGGGTTTCAATGTGCGACATTGATTTCCTTTATCCAATGAAGAAGCCGAAGGTGTCCATCCCGAGGATTAAGAACATTGAGAGCCGGGGTCATCGGGATTCATAATATCGTTGAACTTGGTATAAATATCGAGAGCAAACAATGTGGAATCTGGGGTCCGAGTGTCCAGATATTGATGCTGTATTTTTGTACATTGCATGGTGTCAGAGGCCTAAACTCGAGGATTCGGTAACATGCAGCGATGGGATGATACAACTGGTCCAGAGTATTTCACTCTCTCTGTTTAGCAAAAGGTTTTAGGGTTTAAGACCAATCAAGTCGCGCATGTACGCACAGACATATGTCCAAGGGTGTACGCAGTGCGACTGTGGCCCTCCTGTTAATTCTATTCTGTTTCTGTTCATTCCTTAATTTCATAAAATAATAACACATTTTGATAGCAAATCAAAGTCCAATGGTCAATCTAGAAAGTCATAGATAGAAGAAGCTTTGATCATAACCATAGGACACTTGACTATGGATCCGGATTTTACTATGTAACCCCCCCATATCTAAGATAATGGATCTTGATTTGACTTTTTCTTACTTGTTCTTGTTCTCCCAAATCTCGATCCGCTTATCTTGAAGTCAATGGGCTCTGGCCCACGGTCTGTGCTATTACTTGGCAAGGGCGTGGCACGGTCCTATGGACGACTAATTAACTCAGTTCCTTAGTTACTTAAGTACGGAAGTAGTTAACCAGTGAAATAACTATTTATATAATGCTTTATAGAGCGCGATCATGATTACGATCCTTTCTAGGCATCTCCGTAATCAATGGTTGGTTAAAAGTATATAACATGATACTTGTTACCTACCTTTGCACCTTCCAGGTATTCCCAGTCTTTGGTTCTGCATTGACGTGCATATTAGGTGCATTTTTAGTGGAGATGGTTATTGGTTCATGTTCATTCGTGTCCCACACCAAGGGCTTTTTTGTCTTTTTCGTAGTGGTCGGACCTTTGGTGGATCAAACTCCGCGATACTCCGACTGTCTGGAACTTGACAACGTTAAGACTCCACCTTGAAGGATCGACTTTCGGAGCCTTCGGTGGGGAATCCATGCATTAAATTATCGTCCGGTCTAGGTCGTCAAGTTTTCTGTATAAAAGTTGATAAACTCTCAGTGGCGACTATGTGTTACCCAAATTCCCCCCCCTAGATATCGACGGCTTTTTCCACTTTTTAACTCTTTTTTACCACGTTACAAAGGGGAATTTGATGGAGAACTTATAACTAATCTTTCTCTTCCCCTCCCCAGGATTTTCTTCTAATTTTCCTTTCTCCTTTTTTCCTCTCATAATCTACGTGTATCGGGATGACGGCCGTTCTGGTTCCCCGCGAACATTCGCAATTTTCCCCGGATCCGTTAAAAGCCCCCACCGCACAGCGATATTTCCTAGACCTTCCGGTCAAATCCCCAATGCAAAATGATTATCCCGTTTCTCCACTCCTTTCCCCAAACTTCTCCCCCATCGATTCACCAACCACCACCCTGTCGCTCGACGAGGATTTGATTCTCCCTGCCTATGGAGATGGGGCCCGCAAGAACTCCATTGCGAGCGACGCGTCTGAAACTCCTTGGGCCTGTGGTACTCCAGCTGCAGACGATAGCTCTGTCGAAGATGAACCTTCCCGCCATGTAGATTACCTCTCACATGACTGGCGAGAAGAGGATATCTGGTCCTCCTGGCGATATGTTGCCGCCCGGAAGAATGACTACAGCAATGGCGCACGCTTGGAAAATGCCTCATGGAGGACTTGGGCGAAGGCCAAGAATAATCTGGGGACCATTTCCCCAGAGACATTGCACTGGTACGTGAGCATCTCCTCCCTCCCCCCCCCCCCCTTCCCCGGAAAAGGATTCCTTTTGGCTAAAAGTATCCACAGGCTCAAAGACTGTGATGTGACCTGGCTCTATGGGCCTTTAAAAACCTCTGCCTCGACCGACGCCATGGCGTCGGACGTGTCGCCGCCACCCAGCCGCCTTGAAACACCTAACTCCTATCTGGAGCCGAAGCCTATCTTGAAGAAGAAGACCGCCTCCGAGACCATGCTCCAGCGATCTTTATCGCAGCACACCCTCCTACAACATGCCGGGGCCATCCTCAAGGCACAAGAGGCGGAACAAAGCTGGACCCGCCCGCCATTACCTCGGTCCAACACCGACCTGCATCACCTTCATCATCGCACGGGCAGTTCAACGTATTCGCTCGGTGGCACCCTGACCTCTTCCTCTTCGGGGATGACCTCTCCTAGTGAGCGCCGTCATATTCACTTTAATAATGAGGTGGTGCAATGCATCGCTGTTGAAGCCAAGAGCGACGAAATTTGGCCCATGACCTTTGACGAGTCCTCCTCCGATGATGGAGTGGTGATGATGCGTCAGGCATCTAGCGACGCATTCATCAGCAACCGCAGTACTCCTCGAAACAGCTTTAGCGGTGAGAGTAAAACAATCGCCCCTCTTCCATCTACTACTCTCAAATACCGCGGTGACACTCCCGAGCCTCGAGAACCCTCAATACTGGACCGCTGGGCCGCTCTCTCTTCCTCCCCAACTTCCGCCTCGCCCTCCTCCTTATCCCCCACCCCATCTGTGGAGACCCTCCGACCACCTTCTGCCAACTTTCTTCTGGATGACGACGAAGATCCAAGTCTTGACTTTACTGGACAGTACCGAGATCGTCAAGCTTGGTTCGTCCCCGAGGAGGAAGATGAGTTGGCCGATCGTCCACTGCATTTATCCCCCTCCGGCATGTTCATGCCTTATGAGGCAGGGGGCGAACCAGAAGGGCCTGTCAACCATACCATTTTGGGACGTGTGGTGGATACAGTTAACACTGCTCGAGACATTGCCCATGTCATTTGGAACGTCGGCTGGCGACGATGATCCTCACGTCTCTTTCTATCCAAGAAAAAACAAGGAAAAAGGGAAAAGACTTTGTTCATACATAATAAGTCAGCATTGTCTGGCTCTCGACACTTTGCATCTGCACGGAGTTTGGTTTATCTTGAATGTTTATGGAGAGTATAGACAACCAAACCAGGAAATACAACCAACCTGGATTATCTTATGAAATGAGTTTAGAAATGAATAATTACATCCACCAATTAATTTTGTATAGAAAAGCATCGAGTCGTCTGTAACTACGTCAAATACAAGTTAATATAACTGGTTAAGAATATAGTTCGGATGTCAATTGCCCCCACACTGAACCCCCTAATGTACCTCCCGCTTCACCCTTTCACTTCCTCTCCCCACGCCCACAACACTGTTAGGGGCACCATGGAGAATGTCAATGTTCCCGAATTGGTGGAGCGCCTTGGGAGCGATGAGGATGCCGTGCGCAAAATGGCTGTCTTTAAGCTCCAGGGCAATATCGGGGACCCTTCCTTCGCCGACCTCTTTATCATTGAGGGTGGGTTGACTCGACTTCGCTACCTGACTCTACATGCCAGTGGTAATACATTGGCATATAGTCTTACCAGCTTTGCAAGGCTACTGGAGGTTGATAAAGGGTGGGAGTGTGTTGATCAGGAATTGGTTGAACGGGTAAGGAAAAGCTTCTCCCTGTCACTCCCTCGCTTTTGATTCATTTGTTGATCTATGTCTCAATTAGATTGTCGAATTGATTGTCACTCATCCCCTGGTCAATATTCTCCGAGGCGCCATGTCAATCCTCGTATCTATCGTCTCCCATCCACACGCCGGAGGCAACCCAGCACAGGCGGATGTTTTTGGCTTCCGCGCCCTAAAACCGGCGATCGCAATCTATCCCCAGTTCCTGGAGATGCTGGTCAGTCGGCTGTCTTCGGCGGATCATGCTTTATGCGCCAATGCACTTCAATTGATCAACTCTCTCATGCGCGACTCTATTACCTACGACTCGGAGGCAGAATGGCCGAAATTCATCCAGAAACTGCAGGACCTCGGCGTTATTCGAGCTGTCTATGTGCTCATGCAAGACTCGGCCCTTCAGGATCTTGCACCCCCGCTCGTCGAGTTCCAATCCCTCACAAAGGTACTTCTCCGGAAATGGAGAGACATTCCCCTGCAACAGGAGAAGCCCGAGCACCGTCGCGCATTGAAGGGAATCTACCTCGCCAGCAACCCTACAAAGGGATCGGAAGAAACGACGGAAAATGGTGACGTTAGCCGCTCGAAAAGACACCATCCAGAAAAATGGCGACTGCTAGGATTCGAGTCCGAAAGCCCTGCAACGGAGTTCTACGAGGTGGGCTTCCTGGGCATGATGGACCTGGCGGATTATGTTCGCAGCCACCAGGGTGAGTTTCAGAAAATGCTCCTTGAGCAGTCCACAAAACCGTCGCGTCAACGATGTCCGATCGCGCGGGCGTCTCTCGCGGTAACATCCATTCTGTACGAACATTTTGAGGTAGACAAATCGGAGATGGACGATTCCAAGAACTATATGCTCATGGAATCACGGTCCAGCTTGGATAAGCTATTTAAGCCCCTACTTCTTCATTGGACTCGATTACATGTCGCAGGGCTACAGGCCTTTTTCCGAATGTGGAAGGCAACAGCAGCGGAGACAGAGGATCTCGATAAGTTGGTGGAGCTGGTTCGCATTCTCATGGAATCTGTGGTTGGCGGGGCTGGCCGCACCAAAGATGTCCAAGATGTCGAAGAGGAGCTGGCTAATTTCGAATATCATCGGTTGCGGGAACTGCAGATGGAGCTCCTGGAACTCACCTACGAAGATGCATGGGGTCAGCACTTGCGACAGGTGCGCGAAGAACTTCACCACGAAGCTCTCCAATTTGTCAAAGAACAGCGCATCCGTTGTTTGTTGCAAGGGGCCTGGTTTTCACTCGATTTTAATTCCAAGCTCGAGTCAACGAGCCGGTCTACAGCCTCACATCAATATGTTCAACTATCGCATAACCGTCGGTATCTACATTTCGGAGAGTTCAATTCGATTGGGGATCGAACTCCCGAGTTAGATGCTCTACCTGAAAAGAGTGAGTGCATAAATCTCCTTGCTCCTGTCCCTGCTAACTCTTTTCTAGTCGATCTCTCTATTGTCTCATCGGTCGTCTCGAACATCTCCACTGACCTGGATCAATCTTCATCATCCACCGTCAAGACAAGTCCACGTCAGGCCTCAACTAAGATTACCATCCATGGTTATGCACAGCCTTCAACGGCAACGAGCCAATCAAAAAGTTATGGACATGCTCGAACTGGCAGTCGGTCTACACAGAAGGAGACGGTGCTTCTTACGCTCCGACCTGCGTCCCATAGTGTGGCTTCGGAATGGTTGGATGGACTGCTTATGCTTCTCAGCCAGCAACCGATTACAGCGGAAACGAACAAACTAATTGATTTGGTCAGTAACTATGGGCTTAAGATCCGTTTGCTCAATGTTCGATTTGACGACGCTACCTTTGCTGGCGAGGCCCCTCCAGTGCCAGCGCGGGATGGCTTGGATGAAGATTACTATTATGATGTGTTTGGAGGCGCCTGAATCAGGGAGAACTGGAATTATGTAGATCATGTTTTTGTTGTTTATACCCCCGGGAAATATGTAAGATAATATACCAATTGGAGTCGGAATCTTTGAATATAGTATTGATCTTATATGTTATATGTTTTTGTATTGTTGGGAGTTCTTCTTGTATGAAACCGTCGTCATCAATCATCCTTATCGGACGCGCTTCTTCCCCTTCACAACTCCCCACTTCCACATCATGGACAATCGTCCTTTGAAAAGACAACGTCGATCAGTCCGTCAAGAATCCAAAGATTCATCTAATTCTAAACCAGTTACCCTCTCATCGCGCCCCAAATCTACCCGAGCGCGTCCCAGTTCAGCTCCCACTCGACACACCTCATCTCCTTCGCTTTCTCCCTCCAACCCTTCATCATCTCCGAAGCCCAGGAACTCAAAGTCCCTTCGGGGCTTTTTCCACACGGCCACAGAAGGGCAACGATGGTCTTCGCAAAAGTTCGAGACGAAACGGGCACTGGCACCAGTCTCAGAAACATTAGACGCAGACGAAATAGATGATGACTATGATTCATACGATGAGATCTTCACCAAGCACATTGCTAGTGGAACCTCCAGCTTCAATCCTAAATCCTCATTCTCCTCAACTGGCCAAACACAAGGGGCATCCAAACCCAAGGCCACGCGCCCGACAAATCAATCCACCAAACGATTTATCATGCCGACGGACTCCAAGGATCAGACTCAGACCTCTCGCCCGTTACATCCTCAACTGAATCAAAAAATCGATCATCGTCCATGGGCCCAGCGGTTTGCTCCATTGGATTTGGACGAGTTGGCCGTTCATAAGAGGAAGGTCGCTGATGTACGGAAATGGTTAGAAGATGCATTTGCAGGGCGATGTAGAGAGGCGAGTAGTTATACTTGGATCCAGGGGCTGCTCTTATTTGCTGACTGTAAATAGAGATTATTGATTCTACGAGGCCCTGCTGGCTCTGGGAAGACGACTACCCTATCCCTCCTATCTGAATCAGTGAATTTTGATATTGTAGAGTGGAAGAATCCGGCGGTTTCCGACTTCACAGCCCATGATTACATCTCTGTGGCTGCGCAGTTTGAAGAATTTCTGGAGCGGGGCGATCGTTTTGGAGGGCTTGATCTCGAGAATAGTGTCGAAGGTAATGTCCACAATTTGCGTTCTGGGGACCAGCGTATACTGTTGGTGGAAGAGTTTCCAACAGTTTTAAGTCAAAACTCTGGCCTGGCTGCCTTTCGAACATCCCTGCAGCACTATCTCGCGGCGACAGATCATGCATCGAGGGAGATACACCCACCTGTTGTGATGGTTGTGTCGGAGACCTTGCTGGGTTCGGCGTCGTCGATATCAGATAACTTCACGGTACATCGATTACTCGGACCAACACTGTTTAACCATCCCAGCACGAAAATCATAGACTTTAATAGTATCGCCCCGACTTTCATGCAAAAGGCCTTGCGCTTGGTTCTGGAGAAAGAGGCTTGCAGCTCAAAGCGTGCCAGGATCCCCGGTCCAACTGTCCTCGACACGATCTCCGAGATTGGAGACATCCGCAGCGCTGTTTCCTCTTTAGAGTTCCTGTGCCTAAAAGGCGATGATACCGGCAAATGGGGCGGGACTCTCACGAAAACAAAGGGCAAAAAGTCCCGGGACGCAGCTCTAACCCCGATGGAAGAAGAGTCTCTTAAAATGATCTCTCAGAGAGAGGCAAGCCTGGGGCTATTTCATGCCGTGGGCAAAATTGTATACAATAAACGCCTTGACCCAAGCCTTGTTCCCGCAGGAACGGCGATTCTCCCTTCACCACCGGACTATTCATCGCAGCATCGCCGAGTCAAGGTCTCGCAGGTAGCAGTGGATGCGCTGATTGATGAGACTGGGACAGACATCACTACATTTGTCTGTGGTCTTCACGAAAATTATCCGCCCTCCTGTGAGGGAGCGTCATTTACTGACAGCCTCAATGCGTGTATTGAGGCATTGTCCGATAGCGATATCCTCAGCACACAAGGCGCGCGAAGTGGTATGGGAAGCGGAATGGCAGTTCTAAATACCGGAATTGATAAGCTGCGACAGGATGAGATTAGTTTTCAGGTCGCCGCACGCGGGTTGTTGTTTGGTCTCCCTTATCCTGTCAACCGACGACTGACCACCGGCGGCGGTCGAGGCGCGGGTGATGCACATAAGATGCTTTATCCATCTTCTTTGCGATTATGGAGAAAGACCGAGGAGGTTGAAGGTCTCGTGGATTCATGGATGAAGCAGATGTTGGATCCCTTTGGCAATCCACTTCATCTGTCTCTGCCACGCGGCACAGCATCTACTGAATCAGGTGTCAAATCATGGCGAAGTCTCCGGATCGGTCATCATCTATCTTCTAGTGCCGACTATTCCACTACGGTGACGATGATATCGCGAGCTGATGCACTACTCTATCAATTACCATACATGGCTCAAATTCGGCGCAATGAGCCCGAATTCGGGCAATTGAAACAGATCACTGGGATCCGAAGTAGTCGATTTGATATTGATCAAGATGAGCTGGTCTCGTCCACACAGCCACAACATGCAAATTTGCCTCGGAAAGAAGAAAAATTATATCTTAGTGAAGATGATATTGAAGATGATTGGGAGTAAACATTGGTTATCAGGGAGATAAACAAACTGATAAGAGTTATCACGGGATCCCACTTCTCCAACTTTCCCTTCTACCACGTCACCCTTATTACCCTTGCTATACTCAAACAGAAAGCAAAAGGACGAATCAATTGCAGAATAATAAAATTGGAGATATCGAATCATTCACGTAATATCACTACACGCCCGGTGGCAACGCTCCCTCACCAATTCCCCCGGCAGACTTGTCCCGCATCAACAACCACAAAGGATGATTCATGACGGTGAGGGCTTGAAACGGAGACCTGATACTTACAAGGTCAATTCGTTAAAGAATGCATCCACCGAGGACAATGAGAAAGTCTCATCTCTTGATAAGAGACCGCAATCTGTGGAATCCCACAAGTTGGATGCGGGATTGATTGCGGCGGCAGCTCATGCGGCGGTACCTAATTGGACCAACATGGTTCTGATGGTCTCACTAATCTTCGGGGGCTGTTGTGCGAATGTGAGTGAATCATCTATGCTGATTTCCATATCATGATTGAAGATTGGATCTAACACTGGTCATAGGTGTTCACACTCGAGGCCATTATCAAGTAAGTTTTTGCGCCTTACACTTGGAAACATATCATCTTGAAAGGTGAACTAACTGGATGCAGAGAACAATCTACAGCTGGTAAGCTCTTCATATTATCCTACATATTTGACTCTTTCTAACAATTCTAGGCCCTTTAATCACGTTCGCGCAATTTGTTCTATGCGCCATCTTCACTCTTCCACATTTCCTTTCCTTTTCTGCGGGGCCTCAAAACCTGTTTATAAGCCCACGAGCAATCCCACTCCGATCATGGATTATCTATACCGCATTTTTTGTCTCGGTGAACATGTTGAATAATTGGGCGTTTGCATACAAGATCTCCGTGCCTCTTCATATCATTATTCGGTCTGGTGGCCCTGTCGCCTCTATGGTCGTGGGATATATCTTTAATGGTAAAAGATATTCCCGAGGCCAAATTTTGGCAGTGGTCATGCTTACGGCAGGAGTGGTGGCCGCTGCGTTGGCTGATGCGCAGGCCAAAGGGCAGAAGGTGGAGATGATATCCGAGTTGGACACAGCCGTCATGACGACCACGATTGGCTTCACCATTCTCGCCTTAGCCATGATCCTGTCGGCCTTGCAGGGAATCTATGCTGATCGACTGTATGCGACCTATGGTCGTGATCACTGGAAGGAGGCTCTATTCTACTCGCACACCCTTTCATTGCCACTGTTCTTGACTAGCTTCTCACAGCTATCATCACAATGGCAAGTGGTGTCGTCTTCGCCATCATTGCTCTCCAAGATCTCGGACGGAACCACACTCTCGGTTCTATCGGCCGTTCAAAAGTCTCCCTCAATCCAATCGCTCCTAGACCAACTTCCGATCCAAGTGGCCTACTTGATTATGAATGCATTGACCCAGTATTTGTGCATTCGAGGCGTACATTTGCTATCTGCCAAGTCCTCCTCGTTGACAGTGACTGTCGTGCTCAATGTTCGTAAGCTTGTGTCACTTCTTCTGTCGATCTACCTGTTTGGAAATCATCTGGGATCAGGGGTTTTGGTCGGTGCGATCTTAGTCTTTCTAGGTGGTGGATTATATGGATTTGAAGGAGCAAGGCTGAGAAAGCTGGTCAAGAAATCACAGTGATGTAGCATCAGGCGTATATATACATTTATATCACAAGATTGCCGGTTTAGCTATTGATCTTACTTGCCAAATCAAAAACATTCAGGTCTTTTCCCCTTTCAGCATATATATCAGGATTACAACGTACGATGTTAACAACTCGGAAGAGAGTAGACATATCACAAGCATGTGCATCCAGTTTCCATCGTAAAGAAAAAAAGAAAAGAAAAGTAATTGTACATCTTCAAAGAACACAAAATATCCCATACTCGAAACAAGCTCACGGGGTGATTAAGCCAAAATGCCCTCGAGTACATCTATAACACTTCACCCACAATCTTCGCGGCCTCCTTGTAAGTATCCAGCAGCCGCTCGCACTTCTCGCGCTCAGCCTTGATGCCGTCATCCTCGTATAACAACTCCCCGAACAAATCTTCTTTGTACAGTTCACTGACCAGTCGATTCTGAACCACATCTTTGCTGTGATTGACAAGCAAGTGCATGATAGTCTTGGGAACCTGATCGGCAATGGTTTCGCGCACAATATGGAAGTATGAGGAGATCAGACGACGGATGAGCTCAGTCTCCAGCATTTCCCGGTCCGTGAGAGTGGGCTCAGCATTCTCATTGGGCTAATTGAGGAGAAGGTTAGCGGACTGGAGAATAATACTCAGGTGCCTGGGAAATAGGTGGAAGAAAGGGAGAAAACTTGATGTATGACTTACAAAAACAGACATGTCACCTCCGTACTCCGAAGGGGCATTGTACTCCTCCGGCATCACTGGTGACCGTACTTCTGCACGGCGAATACTCTGGCTGATACTGGGCTCGCTCATATGGGCAGCTCTGTTCAGCTGCTGGGGTGGCGAAGCTGGGTTTTGAACACCCTCCTTACCAAAGAAGTAGTTCAAGAAGGAGTCACGCGTAGTGTGCGAAGCACCGAAACCAGCCGATTGGCTCGCATAAGTACCATTCAGAGTGGCAGCGATGCCATTCTCCGCGTTGCGGCCCACACTAGGTGACATGCTCCGCGCACCCTTGGTAGAATGGTTTCGAAGGGGCAGGTTGTGTGGTTTGGTTTCTGATTGAGCTTCCTCGTCCTCTGGCATGCCAGCAGTGCCATTGGCCGCGCCGAGCTCCTTCTGGCGTCGTTTTTCCCGTTTTCTCTTCTCCTCGGCGATAATGGCCTTCCGCTCCTCTTCTTGCCGATTCTGGATGATGGACTGCATGGCAGCTGCGGCGCCAGGGAAGTTGGGATGGTTGGTGTTAATGTAGGCTCTTTGAATGGAAATCAAAGATTCGACATAGTTAGAGCATGGTCCCAAGCGTTCGCGAAGGAGATCCGAGACCACTTCAATCAGCTTACCCTGCAGACGGGGAAAGCGCAAGAGCTCCTGGGAACCACAGGTATGGCAAATCTTGATAAGCTCTTCATATACAAGTTCCACGCACCGTTGGGAGGGCGCCTCCAGCAGCTTGATTTGTGGCTTCACCAGGAGATCAAAGGCGAGCTCTGGTACAAAGAGACTGGGCCGGGGACCTGTTGAGTTGCGGATGGCCGTTCTAATATCGGAGACCGTCAAGTTGTGTGTGGGGTCAATTGTCTCCAGGGAATTACCAAAAACCTCGTTGAAAATGTAGTAGATCCTCGCACCACCACACAGCTCCTTGGTGGAGATTTCGGAAGAGGTTCCGTCGATGGATGAGATGAAGGAAGAGGCAAACCGAGTCATCAGCTGCAGGATCAAGGATCCTCGATGTTCCTTGCCACTAAATTGCTTGTTGCCATAGCTAGCCAACTCTTGTTGGGTTTGGCCCATCAACGTGTTCAGACGAGCTTTAATATCGGGCAGTCGGTCTCGAATATGCGTCATGAGGGTCGAATTCAAGGTTTTGGCCAAGAACTGAGTACCACACCTGTTGGCCATATTGCGATATGCCGGGTGGTGGCGGAAGAAGTCTGCTTCGGCGCGCAAAGCATCGGCAAGCGACTTGCCCGATTGGATATCCTGTTGTGATCGGTTGACCACGCCGATGAAACCCAGTTTCAAGGGGTATACTCGACCAGATAGGATATCCATAGCATTTGTACCGTGATCCATGAGATCCAGTTTGGATAAAACCCCAATTGTCCTGCGACCCATGGGGTCCACCTGGCGCGCCAGCTTCAATGCTTCCGAGTTCACAAGATCCACGTTGGCCGGGGATACCGCAAGGATTATACTGTTCGGCTTGGCGATGTATTCTAAAATAAGAGTCCGGGTTTGTTTCTCAATGTCGGAAGGTTGATCGCCAATCGGCACCTTGGTTAAACCGGGCAAGTCGACCAGGGTCAAGTTGAGGACATGAGGGGAAAAGATCTTGAGGTTGATTGGCTGCCGGTTGATGCCCTTGTTGCTTCCTGCGATCCGCGCCGTCTCAGCTTCAATTTCCTGCTTGACCGACGCAAAGTCATCGAACTTGCGGCCGGGCTGGTGGTGGAATTCAGCCCATTCGTGCTGGCCGGCCACACTGGCTGCTGTGTGCGGAACATGGACCTCATCGTGATCGGGTAGGTCGTCTCGCTCGCTGGGGATATTAATAAGTTGCAGGATCAAGGGACGGCGGGTGACGATGCCGCTGCCGCGTGGTAAGAAGTCCCGTCCGACGATGTTCTCCAGTACTGACGACTTGCCAGACGATTGGGAGCCGACAACGACCTAGATCAAGATAATTAGTCCCCAAGATCAATTTATACGTACTTCACATCAAATTCACTCACAATCTGAGGCAAATCAAGGGAGTCATTTCCAATGGTGTTAAACACCAGGTCCTGGAGCTTGTTCACAGTGACGAGCAGATCCTCACCTAGCGACGCCATTTTGTTATATGTTTGAGTAAGAGGGTGTGTTAAAGAAGGATTCAAGGCCAACACCCTGATCTCAGCAGCGTAGACCAAAGGACGAGGTATCGGCAATGTCGAGCTGCCAAGGAGGGTTGTAAAGAAGATCCCTCGCGAGTGGACGGGCAGACCTCGGAGAGTCTCACACTTGTTTATGCCGCTTTTGAGTCACGTGATGCTGACTGATGGCAGGTTATGTAATACTCATGACGTCTTCCAATTTGGCCATTTGGATGTGACTTGTCGAAGGCTATATGCTATGTATATACATATACACGTATATGCTTTATCAATTGCTTTAACATATATGAGCCTTTGTCTTCCCTATCGAGATGACTTTGAAATACAATTGAAGCATATCATGGTCGAGAAGCCAAACAAAAAAAGACAATGAAGCTGATAATGAGCAATAAAGCTATTTACACATCGTTCGAAGTCTTCCCTTTTCTACTCATTCAACTGTACATAGTTGGCCGGGAACAAGCCCCGAGCCCCCTTATACTCACCAAGCCACCAGTCATCGTCGGGGAATTCCTAGAATTATAGTCAGTGACTGACAAGTCGATAGAGGAAGGGAGGATAGTACATACCACATTCATAATGGTAGCACCCTCTGGGAAGCTAAGTTCATTGTCCTCTGCAGCCTCGTAGTCATAGAGGGCTGATGCAGTCGGGCCATGGGTTTCAGCAGTAGAAGGGTGTTCCGAAACGGCGACAGGGGCAGGAACGGGCTCGGAAACAGGCTCGGGCTCAGGCTCAGGCTCCGCGACTTGGTCATGGGCAGTAGAAGCAAGATGATCACCCTCCAAAATCTCAACATAGTTTCCAGGGAATAGACCACGTTCGCCCTGAGCATTCACTCCTAGCCACCAATCGTCATCGACCATCTCAATGTCAGTTACATATTCTCCTTCACGGAGTTCAATTTCGTTGTCTTCAGCCTTTTCATAATCATACTGCACAACAGCGCGAAGTCCACTATGGTGTTGTTCTTGATGTTTTGGTGGTTCAGGAACAGTAGCTTCAACGGTAGCTTCAGCGGCAGCCCGGCCCAAATCATGAGTGTCGTCCTCCAGATCCTTTTCGTCCGGCACGACCTCCTGAAGGCTTTGCACGGGTAAGACGGGGGGCGGGGAGTGCTGCTCTTCGTGTAAATCGGTCACACCACGGCCCACGGGCATCGCCACACGAATTGGGGAGCTATCACGTACAGGGGGAGTCGGAGGGGTGGGAGAGCGTGGCTGGGGCGGTGGGGTGGGTAGCTCTAGCTGAACGTCATGTTCCACTACGGGCTCAGTGGGAGCAGCGGGCAAACCAGGAACAGGAATAGGGCGACTGGCCTGGGGAACAGAGGGAGGGGCTTCAGCAGCGACTGGCTGGGTGGGTGGCTGAGCGAATTGGTCGCGTACGTCCTGAACATGGGTAGAGGGCTCAGCTGTCTCAGCATCCTGAGCGTCAGAAGCCTTCACGTCTGCCGTCTCGGGGACGGACTTCTCCTGAACCGTCTGAACTGGAGCCCAAGATTTGCCCGTGTAGCCGCTCTTCCACTCGCTGTGGCCACTTTGCTGGCTCTGAATCGGACGACTCGGCAGAGCATCACCTGCCGGCCCAGAATCACGCTCCTTGGCCTTCCTTTCTGCCCACAGTTGAGCGGGAGTTTTGCCTCCCTGGTCTGCAAAGGTTCGACTGGCGCTCCCGATCTGGACATTCGGGGTGGTCGATGACGCCCCAAGGCTGGTGGGAAGGGGTGGTTTGGTGCCGGGGAATGACTGACCGGAACCGAACTTGTTAGCAACCTTGGGCTTTGGGAGGTTGGTTAGACGTTCCGCCTCCTGGTTGACCGCTGGTCTTTCGGGAAGCGTTGTGGGCTCGTTCCGAGGAACGCGCGAAGCACCATCACTCACTCCCTCGGGGTTTTGTGAACGGGCACGGATCGCAGCAATGTCCACTTTCCCAACCGGTTCGTAGGATCCTTTGACGGGAGCCGGACGATCATCTTTCAACTGGCCGGAATCTGCGGCCTGGCGCCGGATGGCGGCAATATCGACCTTACCGATCGGCTGGTAAGCACCACGAACCACATTGCCCCTGTCTTCTTCTTGAGTCGAAGCAGGTGCTCGAGATGCGGGGGACTGGTTCTCCGATTTGAGTTGCTGCAGGTTCACCTTTGTGGGTTTGTATGCAGGCTGGACCTTCTCCAGTTGGGTGCGGGTGACCGGGGGCGCATCAGCACCCCAGCCATCATCATCTACGGCCGTCGATGGCTTCGGGCGTAGTGCCGGGGCGGGGCTTGAAGCGATGCCCCCTGAGCGAGTTGGAGTGAAAACAGGCTTACTGGCGACCGGAGGGCGAGGTGCCGGTGTAGGAGCTGGTCCCTGCGATTCCGGTGAATACTTTGAGCCAGACGAATCTGCCACTCGTTGAACAATGCCTTCCGGGGAAAGATGGCCCTCTGCTCGTGCTGTGATCTGAACGTGGTACCCCTAGCGTGCATTAAGCGTCAGCTCAGCCGTGTGGGGTAAAGTAGGGGGAACGTCAAGGGTCTCACATGTAGGAATTTCGATACACTGGCCAAGTGACTGGTGAAATAGCCCTTTGTTCTCTCTGGGACACCTTCACCACACCAAGCGATAAGAACATTCTTCGGCAAGCCGGTGTTAGGGTCGGTCACCTTGACGAAGGCGAATTGTACGCGACCTTCGGAGAATTCATCGATGAGATCGAGCAATTCACCCTCTGAAAATAAATTTGTGAGCAGTACCGCCGATTTTAGTGGGAGAGAGGGCTACTAACCACCAGTGTTCTGGACTTTCAACACACTTTCCTTATTGCCGGTGTCCTGTTGGAAGGCATTGACCAGTGGGGTTGAGACGGAGAAGACGGCCCATTGGGCATATGTCGGTGAGCCATTCTTGGGAGGAGTCGAGTTCACGACGGATTGATAGCTCTTCGATATCGAGGGCCCGTTGGCCGACAAATTGAGAGAGGCCATTGGTGGAGGAGGTTGAGAGTGGGAAGTTGTAGGTGAAGCAAGTTGTTGTAGGAAGATTGGTGGGGCGGAGGGAAGAAAGGGGGCGGAGAGAGGCGAAGCTATTGATCGATCGGCAATCAGATTTGATGAGATCACAGTGGCAACGGGGAATTTTGGGGTAATTACTATAGAATGTACTTTTTTGTACAGATCAATGTAAGTTGGAAAGAAGCGGAAATGTTGAGAAGAGAGAAGAGGGGGGAAGTTGCGGAAGGGAAAGAAGTGTTAATAGGCAACGAAGTATCAAAGATGAACCTTGGGATATGTTAGATAACCAAGTCTTCATACTCGAATTCCAGGTGAAAAACAACTAGTATCATCTGAATTATATATAAGAATAATTGATTCTATGAAAAATCCTACACGATTATTCGCAAGTACACATTGGTTCTATGTATCACCCACTATGACACCATAACATTAACAGGAATATTCCAAGCTTCAAAGCCAAAACTGGAGAGATGACTAATTAGTTATGAACGGACTAACTTGACTGAGATAGTTTATGGATATAAATAGATCAATTCATAGTATAAGCTATACTTTATAAAGATGGACCTACTAGTTAACTCACCACTAGAATGAATCGCTCATTCAGAGATCCACTATAGCTTTGATACTACTGTAAATAAAACGTCATTAACCAGTTATGCTATAAACACTCTATATATGCATGTTCTATAGATTTTGATCATCTATAGTATCAAATATTTCACATATTTCCTGTATTTGATATTTATGTCTATTGGACAATACAATAATATGTAATACTGCAATTCGTACTCCGTACTTATATCTGACTCACCGAGAAGTGGAACCGAGATAAAGCTGTGGCTTACATACTTTCTTTTTTTTTCTGTTTCCCTCTTCCCCCCCACCTTACTTCCTTCCAACATTGGGTTATAGTTTGGGAATTTGAAGATCTTTCTATTTCCTTTATGACCTAGACTTTTCAATTAATTTTGTCTCTCTGACAATACTCTTCTAAGCTTTCTTATCGCCTTCGTTTCCCCTCTACTTCTTTTTTATCTTACCTGTGGTGTATCACAAACTTTGAAGTCATGGGATCTTCCGAGCCCGACAAGGTCGGTCACATTCCCAATCAAAACGCCAGCGTGTTTCTTGAGAGGGAACCGCTACCCTCACCTGGCTTCGATCACTCATCTGCAAGCTCCCCTGGTCTTGAAGATCTGGGTGAAAAAGCATTGGTCGACATCCTGCCCCGGGATCAACAGGAGAAGACTGCCACATATGACTATGCCTACGAGAAATCACTGAGCCACGCGGAGGCAAAACTGTTCTACCAGCACCACCAGCTCGCGTCCAAAAGTGGTGACAACACAGGGCCAGTGAGCCCAGTGCCCACGTGGCGTTCCACGAGCGATCCCCACGACGACGGTCTAGCAATGGCCACAGAAACCAGCCCTCGACACAAGAGTCACCCCGCGCGCAAGGGCTCTATGGTGGTGGAGTCAGAATGGAGTCTGGATTCCATGGTGGATCATGACACCGATGGGACGATCCATGATTCCCCGCTGGTCGATCACTCGCTCCCGCGCCACGCAGGATCCTCGGGGATAACGCATGGACAAGGGCTTTACCCGCCGGGTGGAGAGAATGTCCATGGTTCTGGGCTGGGAATTGTCTCCCAGGGTCCAGGTGGAGACGCCATCACCTCTGAATTGCATGCCATCTACCGCAAGATCAAGGGTCTGTTGGATCGTCGCGCCAAATACCTGGCGCTGTCACTACAGAGACCGGGCGACGATCCAAGGGACAAAGAAAGTTGGGAAATCTACCCTCCACCGCCTGAGCCTTCCTGGGATGAAGGGAAGGAATATCAGCCTGGAAATGTTGGGGGACCTGCCGATCTGAACTCGAAGAAGAGGAAGATGGGTCAAGATATCGGCGAGGACTTTGACATGGATGAACTGACCCTTCCTGAACAGTCCTCCTGGACGTATCGATTGGATAGCAACAGTGTCTACCAGGTGTTCGATTCGGAAGCAGCAGCGGATCGGCATGAACCGATGGTCAAGATCCCATCCCTGCGTGATTTCTACATGGACCTCGATGCTGTTGTAGATGTTTCCTCTGAGGGTCCAGCCAAAAGCTTTGCTTTCAAGCGCCTTTCGTACCTTGAAGGTAAATTCCAACTCTACACGCTCCTGAACGAGTATCAGGAAATCGCAGATAGCAAGAAAGTACCACATCGCGACTTTTACAACGTGCGTAAGGTGGACACTCACGTTCACCACTCGGCATGCATGAACCAAAAACATCTTCTGCGTTTCATCAAAAGCAAGATGCGAAAATCGCCCGATGAAGTGGTCCTCTTTCGAGATGGCAAGCATCTCACTCTCCGGGAGGTATTTGAGAGCATCAACCTCACGGCCTACGACCTCAGCATTGATACGCTTGATATGCATGTAAGTCTTCGGTTTCCCCCTCCCCACCTATGTTAGTGTTCTGTGGTTAATAGTCTGTAGGCACACACCGATTCCTTCCATCGGTTTGACAAGTTTAACCTCAAATATAACCCCGTTGGCGAGTCCCGTCTCCGTGAGATCTTCCTGAAGACCGACAACTATATCAAAGGCCGTTACCTGGCGGAAATCACCAAGGAAGTCATGTCCGACTTGGAGTCCAGTAAGTATCAAATGGTCGAATGGCGTATTTCCATATACGGAAGATCTGCCGACGAGTGGGATAAGCTTGCTGCCTGGGTAGTGGACAATAAATTGTTTTCCCCCAATGTCCGCTGGCTGATCCAGGTTCCACGGCTGTATGATGTGTACAAGTCGAGTGGGATGATGGAGAACTTTGAGCAGGTTATCACAAATGTTTTCCAGCCACTGTTCGAAGTGACCAAAGACCCATCCAGCCACCCGAAGCTTCATGTTTTCCTTCAGCGTGTGGTGGGATTCGACAGTGTCGACGATGAGAGTAAGGCTGAGCGTCGATTGTACCGAAAATACCCCATCCCACGAGATTGGAACACCAAGCAGAACCCCCCATACAGCTACTGGGTCTACTTCATGTTTGCCAACGTCGCCTCACTCAACCATTGGCGGCAACGGCGAGGATTTAATACATTTGTCCTTCGTCCCCATTGTGGAGAAGCAGGCGATCCAGATCACCTAGCTGTTGGGTTCCTCTGCTGCCATAGCATCAGCCATGGAATTTTGCTACGCAAGGTACCCCTGCTGCAGTATTTGTACTATCTGGACCAAATCGGCATTGCCATGTCACCCCTCAGCAACAACGCCTTGTTCCTCACCTACGACAAGAATCCATGCGCCAGCTTTTTCAAGCGCGGTCTGAACGTTTCGTTATCAACCGACGACCCGCTGCAGTTTGCATTTACCAAGGAGCCTCTAATTGAGGAGTATTCAGTGGCTGCTCAGATTTATAAGTTTAGCGCTGTTGACATGTGCGAATTGGCCAAGAATTCTGTTGTCCAAAGCGGATTTGAGCTCTCGTTGAAGAAGCGCTGGCTTGGATCAAACTGTGATCTTCCCGGATTTACAGGCAACAATGTCGCCAAAAGCAATGTCCCTGATATCCGTGAAGCGTTTCGGCATGAGACGCTGCAGGCCGAATTGTCACTGTAAGTCATTACATCCTTCCATTGAGGAGAGAAAGAGGAAGGGATACGGTCACTGAGATGAGGGGGACTCGTCGCTGATATTTGCATACTAGGATTGCACGATACTCCGAAGGATCAGGTGTGGAGGAACCCAATGTCTTAGCCCCAGGTCTCCTGCATACCGCCAAGCAGGCATCTGCTAAACCGGGGATTCACGGTATGTCCATGTTTATCCCAAGGATCCCCTCCTCCTGCCATTTCCAGTCAACTGATTTCCGAATGATTAAAGCAGCTTCGCCCGAATCGACTCCTGGCCATCCCAAGTCAGAGACTTATCCCAATGGCCTGTCATAGATAGCAATGCCAATGGCTCCCTTGGCGGCGCAAAATTTCACGGCAAACTACGGATCCAGTAGCCTTGAAGTATTCCTAAGAATCTTTCATGCTGGCCTGTCTTTGGAGCACTGGTTTGCATTGATGGACCAACGAGGGCCGTAACTTTTCTCACAATTTCGTGTCTATGGATGATTAAATGCAATACATAGTTAATGAAGCGCCCTAATTTATATGCGACAAAAGGGTCTAGGACCAGCAAAGACAGGGATTCTTTCGAACCATGGCCCACATATGAGGGATATAGAAAAATGACTTCGTTCGCCACGCTAGGGTATGAATGCGGATGAATGATGAATCATAGATACAAGCGGGAAAGGAGAATCAGAAGAGATAGGAAATATCGAAACAATATACTCAAGGTCGCAGGGACACAGCGAGAAAGATATCAAATGGCCCAACTACCCCTTCGTTCCGGTACTCCCCAAGCTTCAAGGGTATTTTCATCCTCTGCCATTTTGGGCTGTTGCCGGGCCCATTCCCTGATGTAGAGACGGAGAGCCTTCCATCGCACACAAGGCACTGCACCATTGTTCTCTGGGGCAACAACATAGCCTCTTGCGTCGGTTTGGAGATCATCTCGTCGGAGATTTTCCACTGGGATCCCGGAAATTCGACCGAGTTCAAAGTCATAATAGCGCGCCACACAGGGATAACCCAAGGACAGATAATTGTAGATTTGTGTGACAAAGCCATCATTGAATTCATCATCCAGGCTCTGAGAAAGGTTGGTACTAGCACCAAATTGTGACCTCAACGTGCCTCTGTCGTCATTTTGACTCATGGAAGCGTTGGGTCGAGGGCTGGGGTTCGACTCAGTCTCGTAGTCTTGAATCATTGGAGTCATGATACCGGAAATGAGATGTGAGTCGCGTTCGGGGCCATCGGCTTTACGACAGGTACCCATCCATAGTCCCGCCCCTCGACCACCGTCCCCTTGATTCTCTGCACACCAGAGACCCCCACAGTCAGTGCACCGATCTTCTGCTGTCTGAGCAGCATCCCTATCGCTTGTGTTCTCACAGAGAGTCCCGTCTGGAGAAAGGCTCCAGGGCAGAATAATATCACCTCCAAGCATAGGAGGACTTGGGCCCAGATTCTTTGGCTCTGGCTTTGTTTCAGTTGGCGCTGGTTTAGGCTTACCCGAGGTACCCATCGCTCTCAGACGCTGTTCAGCCTCCTCCTTGTGCTGTCGCATATACTCTAGCTCCCAGGAGAGGTCTTCAGAGGATTGACGTCGGGATTTTAGGTGATTCTTTGAAGGATACATGGAATATTGATCTTCGGAGTCACACTCATCATCGTCGACTCCAAAATGATCCACAGGCTCATATACTTGTTCGTTGGGGAAAGCCGCCAGTGCCTGCTCCTTGAGCTGCCTATGCGCTGAACGAGCGGCCACAGAAAGCAGGTATTCTGAAAATTCCACATTATGGCTTTCTCGAAGTAGTGTGTCAAGCTTGCCATCTGTGCCTCTCTGGGGTCGGTGGGTTGGAGAGGATGAGGTAGGCGAGCCGGCGGACCCTTCGGAGTCTTCACTGTCATTTGACGGAATAGACGGAAGATTCGGGATACGGAATGAATGCCTCCGTGGTTCTTGGCGACGAAGGATGCTCAAATATGAAAATCTTGACTCGGTTGGATGAGGGGTAGTATTCCGTCGAGGGCTTGGCCGAAAGAGTGAGCCCGAGTTTTCTACAGTAAGCTCTCGAGCATTGACGCGAGAAGATTCTCCAAGTTTTCCTTTGACAGAACGATGGTCCGTTTCAATTAAGTCCGGTTTGAATCTTCTTGGGCCAGAAGCAATAGGGGATCGATTTTCCTGCGGTCGCGATGGTCCCCGGCTGGCCACGGTTGTTTCAATCGGTTGGGGTAAAATCCGACGACGAGGCTGGCTCTCAGCTGTTGAAGGTTCAATTTTATAGGGACTATTTGTCTTCCTCGAACTATCTCTGCTTTCGGGGGTTGCGGTGATGGGTGTGGCATTATAGCTTCGTGATGAGGTTTCAATTGGCTGAGGTAGGAATTTCTTTGAGCGGCGAGTTGATAGATTATCTTCCTGGCCTGGTGAGGCCTTCTGTTTTTGATCATTCTGTAAAGAGGAATCAAGATTCGGATGCCTGGTGATCTCCAGCTCGGTCCTTCCTGAGGGGTCCTCCCATAATGATCGATATTCGTGAGGGAGAGGCTGGTGGCCCATTTTCAATTCCACACAAACTTATGCGCAACATGAACACCATGCTCTAATTTAGCGAAAACTTGATGGTGATTTAGTAGGAGAATGACATCGTTTCTGGAAGGTGAATGCGTGGGTGTGTGTGTGTGTGTGTGTGTGTGTGTTTGTGGGTGTGTGGCCTGAGGTCTGCAGTTTCAGTAGCCTCTTTGTTAGGGCTATCGATTGAAGTAAAAAAGATATATAAAAAAACAAAAGAAGAAGAAAACAAAAATGTGTAAGTTAGCCTCTTCTATCGGGGTCGTTTTGCAACAAAAGAGGAAATGAGGGGGGGAAACATGGAAGGTATGGGGGAAACAAAGATAAGGTGACATCAGCGTCGATAGCGATAAGGAAAGATTAAACTTCAACCTTCTCTTCTCCTTCTCCCTCTCCCTCTTCCTGTTATAGACACAATGAACCCTGATAAGCGGAAATTTGTTCCTGATGAGGAAGATCAACTTGCTCCGAAGAAAAGGGTGATTGGTCCCGCATTACCACCATCAACACAGTCCCCCGAGTCCAAGGCCTCATCTGATGAGAGCGAAACTGAGAGCGATGATGATTTCGGACCCAGTATGCCCCCTCCAAATGGTGTCTCTGTGGTAAATGGTGAACCTACGTTGCTTGATTCAAGCTCAGTTGCATCCAGCCATGAAAAGAAGGCGAGTCAGCGGGACCAATGGATGCTACGTCCACCAGAGCAAAGCGATTGGGCCAGCAAGATCGATCCCACACAGTTACGGAGTCGCAAGTTTCAGACAGGAAAGTCCGCGCGCGCACCAGGCTCTAAGCAGGTTGATGCTTCGTGGGTTGAAACTCCTGAAGAGAGGATACGACGGCTGGGGGACGAGATGATGGGCGTTGGGGGCCCATCTAGAAGTTCAAGCAACCCATCCTCGAAATCTGACGCCCGCCGCACTCAATCCATGGAGGAAAGGATCAAGAAATTCAATGTAAGCCAATCGTAGCGGTTGCAAATGTATTGCACCGGGTTGGGCGGAGCTAACGTTGCTTCTCTTGTTCCCTAGGATCAGACTAGGAAGGCCGCTCTCCCCGAGAAGCCGGATCATGAAAAAAAAGAGGTAGAGGATGATCCATCGGCGCGTGCTTTCGATCGTGAGAAGGATATGGGGATTTCATCTAAGATTTCTAGTGCACAGCGCCGGGAAATGGTAAATCGAGCTAGTGATTATGGCTCCCGCTTTAGTAAGGGAAGCTTTCTCTGAATTTATATGAGATTGTGGGAAGAGCCCTACTTTCCTGGGGGCTGGGAATTTCATGGTATTCAAAAGCATCACGTAAAACTCGAGTTCATAGGTTTCACTCCTTGTTGTACTCTAGGATCAAATCATTAACACAACGGGAATATGCACCAAGTTTATGCTGGAATAACAACTATTTATGTAAAGTCCATCCTTTACTACTTGGATACCTACTGGAGCACACACTGATGATATCTGCCCTGAGACTGTGTACTCTAGTGAATTGCAGTTGTACATATTGGATAATGTGATCTTATAGTGAAATATTTAGAGGAGCGAATGATATAAATTTATGCATTCAGGTACAGAACCTCATACTGAGGAATGGACAGATTGATATACTATAAGATAGAATACTATCAATTGAGGTTCATAAGGAGTTTAAAGCCTGCCCCTTTTGGTTCGATGTTTTTCTTCCCCTAACCCGCATAATCGGCTATAATTAAACTTGGCTGGGCCGGGCCGTGTGGATCTTACCCGTCCCCACACTTTACACGAAGTTACGGGTTACATGGACCGATCTAAAATAGTCAGTCGACCCTGAACCAATTGTTGTATACTAGAGGCTCATGTATGACTCGGTTTTACTAATCCAGAGCCTAGGATAAGAAGTATATATTAGTAATGTCCTAATGGCAATGTGAGCTAGTACAGAGTGTGCGATAGTTTGTGAGCACAAAAGGCTATATATATACTTACTAGATGAACCTTGGATTATATGCTTAATATTTTTTAGTGTTTGGCATATCTTAGATGTTAATTATGAATCAACAAGAGGCCCTTGAAAGTCAATAATACAGCCACTATATCTATGGCTACTCATGGGCCTACGAATACCATCTATTTGGCTGTCCAACAATTCTAGATATTTTCCTCTATATAGTTCATCTATAGTCTAAACTCAGTTGTTGAGCAATAAGAAATCTTTCTTCATTTTTACGTTCGTTATTTCGGTTAGAAGAAAAACTAAGTGGTGTTGAGTCTGGAGATTATCGAATGATCTAAAGGACATAATACTCTACCTGGGACGAAGGCACCACTGGACCTTCCAAATCCTCACTTTTCTATCAATAGAAGCCAGGAGTATGAGAGTTCTATCTAGATAAAGCCATTTCAGTGGCTTCTTATGCTCTAGTTATTGTTGAATTGTAAATATCCCTACATCCGAATAAATTGTCAATTTATATGATCAGATGTCACGGTCTATTCCAGTGACAATATTTATATGGCCCTGTAGTGACTCTATAAGTAATCATATATGGCTTATTTCCATAACCTGATTGTCATTTTCTTCATAACAAAAAGTAGTATCCGACTATTTAGCAAGAAAGAGGGGGGAAAGACCTTATACTCATTTATATCTTATAACTAGTCTAAAAGTTTAGGTAGTATTACTATAATATTATTATAAACCTACTTCTCTATGGATATATAGTTACAAAAAAAGTCCCTTATAAATAGAGTCATATATTTTTCTATACTTTCATCCTTAGTTACACTATAAAGCTATTTTCTCCTTCTATTGCTCTTTCTTGGTATATGGTATCTGCCTTAATTCATCCAATAATATATCAACTTATTCATTTAGCAAAAGTTTTTCGTAGCTTCAAAATTCCTAGCCTGATATAGTCCCTAAACTAGGGCGTTATAATTTATGACTATGATATTAACAAAAGGAATAATCTATTCAACGATGTATTTGATTATAGCTTCGGGGCTAAGTTGAGTTAAAAAATAGATTATAAAATATTCTTAAAAAGAAGTTAAATTAGACTTAGATTAAGTAAAATTATTTATGGAAAGTATCTAGAGCTTTTAGATAAAAAAAAATCATTTACTCTTTATTCTAATCCATAGTAATAATGAGAATAGTTTAAGAACTATAAATTAAAAGCCCATATTACTCTATTTTAATTTAAGATTTAAGAATACTAAGATTTTCGTTATTACACTAATACAGATAAAGATTAAATACTCTTTATTACTTTTTTAATAAATTATCTATAAAGTTCCCTTATTTAAATTAGCTAATCTTATTATTAAGCCTATCTCTCTCTTAATACGTCTAATTCTTGTGGCCTTGTATAGTTACTCCCTAAATGCTTAATTAGGAAAAATTAAAAATGTCAAAAGTTCTATATATCGGTAGAATATTTTTCTGCCACTTTTATTATTATCTATAACTACTTTACTTATAACCCTTATTATTATTGCCCCTATAATAACTTCTAAGTCTGTTATACTAATAATTTAAATCTATATAGACCCTTCTAAATCCCCTATATATATAGACTGCTAAGTCCGCTATTAATATGTATTATTTGTTTAAGTCTTCTATATAGTCTTTAATATATTATCTATATAGACTACTAAATCTACTATTTTTTTTAAAACTATATAATATCTATTATACTATCTAGTATATCTAGTATCTTATCTTGATTAGTTTTTTCAATAGCTAATTAGGTTTTTTTTTTCTTAGCTTTCTTAAAGTCTTTCTCTATTCTTAATCTATTCTTAAGATTAAGTAAGATCTATAGATCTTAAAATAATACTACTAAAATAGTCTTTATTTATATCCTTAGAGTCTACTAATAATATACTCTTTAAATAAAGAGCTAACAGGACTATAGTTATAATTAGGATTAGTAATAAATGTAACTATTAAATTAACTGTAGTATCTTTTAGAGATTGCTATAGAAAGAGTAGTCTCTATTTATCTTATGTCAGATATTTATAGTTATCTAGATTAATTTTTACTAATAATCCTTTAATAAGAAGAGATAGTTATATTTAAGATATATAATATCTGTTTTAGATCAAAGGATAGATATAGAATAAATATAAGTCTTAATAAAGTTATTAATTAAGTTGATTATAGACTGATAAGTATTAAATATCTAATCTATAAGAGAGAGAGAGAGAGAATAGATTTTCAGTAGCTTTATATCCTAGAGTTAGGATTTTAGGTTTGTTTTTAAGATTCTTAGGTTTTAGAGTAGTAATTTAAGGATTAGCTTTAAGGATTCCAGGATTTAAAATAGACTTATTGAGGAAATTAGGGTTACTTTTATGGATTATAAGATTACTTTCTTAGTTAACGTTAGAATTATAGTTATATAGTAGAATCTATCCTTGAAAGATATAGTTTTATCTTCATTAGCATCCATAGAAATTATCTTGAATAGTTTTGAATTATATAGAGGATTTACGAGTCTATATAGATAGACTATAGTAGATATATGGAAAGGATTAGGTATATAGGTAGATAAGAAAATCCGAAAGTAGATGGTAGTATAAAGATAGTTTATATAATGATATATAAGAAAAACTAAAGTTATTTATCATTATTTTTTAGGGAGGAACTATAAAAGCCCCTAATTCTGTGATATATCTATATATCTTCTCTTTATTCTATCTATATAATCTAATAACAAAAATTCTTCTTTAATATAATAGAGAAGAAACGATATTATATTCTACATATAGTAATACTTAGTCTTTAATAGATCTAGTAAAGTTAGTACTAATTTTGAATATAATATCAACTAACTCTATTATTAAACTATCTTAGGATAATAACAATTCAGATCTTAAACTACTTATTATTATAAAAGCTCTAAATAATCTCTAAATTAAGAAATTCAGAAAGAAAGAGTTAAAAATACTTAATTATTTATTTTCTTAAATAAATAAAAGAGCTAGAATAAAAAATTAAAAAATCAATATTAGAATATTCTTAAGAAATAATTTAGATTCAAACTAATATATATCTATAAGAAAGATCTATCAGATTTAAAAAGATACTTTATATCATTTTATATTATTTTAAGGTTGAAGATATTAAGAACTTTGTTAATTAAAGATAAATTGAGATATTTTTGATTTAATCCTATCATATCTTATATACTAAAATAGAAAGATCTTGAGAGATAAGCTTTGTAGAGAATTTTAATCTTTGTTATAGTTAAAAAGACTAAGGTAAAATCTATATAGGTTTCATTATAGATTTTCTTATTTATTATAAAAATAAGTATTAATGATTTATTCAATTATTATAAATGAATTTATAAAAAATTATATTTTATTATCTATGATAATTATAATTGTTATTGAAGAACTTAATAAATTTAGCTATAAATATATCAATTTAAAGTATAGAGCTTTAGATAATATCATCATTGATTAAAAGAAATCTCTTTATTAATAAGTTTTGATTAAGAATATACTACTATTCTTTTATAATTCTCTATTACTCTTAATCTAAGGGTCCAAGTAAATATATAGATTATATTTTTGACACTATTTTTATTATTTCATAGACTATTTATGATTTATATTGCTAGATTTATTGTAAACTATATAATTTATATATAATAATACTATCCATATAATAACCAGAATATTACTATTTTTAGTGTTTATAAGATAAAATCCTAAAATATAGATTTATTCTAATGTTAATATCAAAGATAAAGATATATCTTTAATTTATAACTAAGTTTAAAAACTTAGGAATCTCTATAAATTAATAGAGGAAAGTTCATAAATGATAAACAAATTAATAATAAATTATTACAACTAAAAATATAACTCTACAAAATTTAAGATTAGTAATATAATTGAATTAGCTACTAAAGAATCTTAGATTGAATCCTCTTTTTAAGAAGCTTAACCTATATTTTTAAGCTTTATAAGATATTTGTGAAGGTTAATATATAGATATATTATCTGTATTATCTAGTCTATATAATAGTAATAAATCAGCAATTAAAAAGCTATAAAAAGAGGAAACTATGAATTATAAAGTATATTTTTTAATAAATAGAAGGGTCAGTCTAGAATATAATTGATAGATTACTAAAGAAGATAATTTCAATTGAAAATATTATACTATTAAAAATATAATTTAATATCCTACTTAATCATAACTATATAATGATTAAATGCTCTAATATATTTT